TGTCAGGAGGCAGGTGCGAGACCTGGCGGCATATAATTAATATATATGTATATATGTGTATATATATATATATATATATATATATAAAATATTAATTACTTTTCCAACAATAATCAAACAATTTCATTATCCCATCTTTCATTCACTTATTTCCACGACCTCCTCACACCTCCCTTTTTGTATTCCACTTCTGTTAATTGTTTCAAGAATTCCTTTCCATCTTCCTCTGTTTTCTATCCTATAATTATCTTAACACATTCTAACCTTATTTTTTCCTTTAATACTCCATTAATCTATTTATACTTAATTCCTTATAACATTTCTACTAAAGCCATATAACTTCATTCCAACATTTTTCTAACATTCATTAATTTTACAGTATTTCTGTAAATAGTCTTTAAACTTTTTCCATTCTTCTTCCACCGACTCTTCTCCCTGGTCTCGGATTCTGCCAGTCATTTCCGCCAGTTCCATATAGTCCATCAACTTCATCTGCCATTCTTCCCGGGTGGGTAAATCTTGTGTCTTCCAATATTTCGCGATAAGTATCCTTGCTGCTGTTGTTGCATACATATCCTTCTTTGGCACCAATTGGCCGACCATGCCCAGGAGAAAGGCCTCTGGTTTCTTCAGGAAGGTATATTTGAATACCTTTTTCATTTCATTATAAATTATCTCCCAGAATGTCTTAATCCTTGGGCATGTCCACCAAAGGTGAAAGAATGTACCTTCAGTCTCATTACATTTCCAACATTTATTGTTGGGCAAATGATAAATTTTTGCAAGCTTGACTGGTGTCATGTACCACCTATAAATCATTTTCATTAAATTTCATTAAATATGTCCAACATCTTGTGCCCATTTAATCATAGCTGATTTCACCGTTTCATCCTGAGTGTTCCATTTCAACAGCAAGTTATACATTCTTGACAAATTCTTAATTTTTGGATCTAACAATTCTGTTTCCAATTTTGATTTTTCCACTTGGAAACCAACTTTTTTGTCCAAATTGTATGCCTCCATTATTTGATAATAATGGAGCCAATCTCGCACTTTATTTTTCAGTTTTTCAAAGCTCTGCAATTTTATTCTGTCTCCATCTGGTTCCAGAATTTCCCAATATTTCGGCCATTTGGCCTCCATATTGAGTTTTTTCTGTGCCTTCGCTTCCATTGGTGACAACCATCTTGGGGTTTTCTTTTCTAGCAAATCTTTATATCTTGTCCAAACATTAAACAATGCTTTTCTAACAATATGATTTTTAAAAGCTTTATGTACTTTTACCTTATCGTACCACAAATATGCATGCCAACCAAATGCATTATTGAAACCTTCTAGATCCAACACGTCAGTGTTTTCAAGAAGCAGCCATTCTCTCAGCCAGCAAAAAGCAGCTGATTCATAATAAAGTTTAAGGTCTGGCAGGGCAAATCCACCTCTTTCTTTAGCATCAGTTAATATCTTAAATTTTATTCAAGGCTTCTTGCCCTGCCAAACAAATCTGGAAATATCTTTCTGCCACTTCTTGAAACAATCCATCTTATCCAAAATTTGTAATGTTTGAAACAAAAACAACATCCTTGGCAGCACATTCATTTTTATCACAGCAATTCGGCCTAACAATGATAACTTCAAATTTGTCCATATTTCTAAATCCTTTCTCACTTCAATCCAACATTTTTCATAATTATCCTTAAATAAATTCACATTTTTGGCAGTCATGTTAACCCCTAAATATTTCACTTTCTTAACCAGTGTTAGTCCTGTCTCCTCCTGAAACTTCTCTCTCTCATTCACAGTTAAGTTTTTCTCTAAAACCTTGGTTTTCGTCTTATTCAGCTTAAAACCTGCTACCTGTCCAAATTCTTGAATCAGTTCCAATACCTTTTTAGTGCTAGATTCTGGCTCCTGTAAGGTCAATACTAAATCTTCAGCAAATGCTTTCAGTTTGTACTGTTTAGCTCCCACTTGTATACCTTTAACCTCTTGGTCCTTTCTTATCATGTTTAACAAAACCTCAAGGACCGATATAAAGAGCAATGGAGAAATTGGGTAGCCTTGCCGTGTCCCTTTCTCAATCTTAAACTCTTCTGTCACTACATTGTTCACAATTAATTTTGCCTTTTGTTCTGAATAAATTGCACCTATACCATTTTCAAACCCTTGACCTACCCCCATCCCCTGTAAATTCTTCTTCATAAAACTCCAAGAAATATTGTCAAAGCTACAATATCCAGAAGCCCTTGGCCACCCAGGGCAAAGGAGGAAGAACAGTGAGAGAGGCCTGGACAGGGAATCTCCGCTAAGATAGGCCAGTGTCAGGAGGCGGGTGCGAGACCTGGCAGCATATAATTATTATAAATCATAATTGGGGTGGGTGTCTCAGTCTAGCCTTCCCAGCAGTCAGGCTCCAGCTGCTTTCCTTCTGCATCTCCAGCTCTCTCCATTCAAGAATGCAAGGCTGAGAGATGGAGGTCCAACCCCAAGAACATTCTCCAACTGAGCACTCCTTCAACTGACCACAAGCACCAAGCCTTGTCACTAGACTTATATATGGGTCTCCCAAAATGGTCAGTATGGACCTCCTGAGGCCAAAGGGACTGTGCAGGTGATTAATAAAGATCTAGAGGTCGAAGGGGACAAAATGTGCCCCAAGGGGTGGAGGATTATAGTGCAGAGGATGAAGAACTTCATGATGAATTTAGGATCCTGATTAATATTGGCCAGGTTCATGGAACATAGAGCAGCTCCCTTTCCTGTGAGAAACCACTTTTTATAAAACGTAAACCCCACAGTTCTACAGTATTCTAAGATAATGCTGCTTCATTAATGCTTAATTAAGGGTTAGGAAAGGCTGATGATGCATTACCATTATTTAACATTATTTCATCTGTCTTTCCTAAAACTTTGGAACATATGGAGGACAGGAAAGAACGTACGAGACGTCAAAATAAGAGCAGGTGCTAATTGATGTGTGTAATATTCCTTTGTTCTCTTCCTAGGTTTCCTTCCCCCCCCACTCCTCCCTGTTGAAAGAAGACAATGGAGAAGGCAGTCAAAATTCTGGAGGGCCATGTCCAATGGGAATAACAAAGAAACCATATAAATTCATGGAATGTGAAAAGAGAGAGGAGAAACAATTTGAAAGTATGGAGTGTGGGAAGAGTTTCACTGACAGTGGAACACTTGGAAAACATCAACGGACTCACACAGGAGAGAAACCATTTAAATGCATGGAGTGTGGAAAAAGCTTTGGTTGGAGTTCAAACCTTCGTATACATAAACACACGCACACGGGGGAGAAACCATATAAATGTATGGAGTGTGGAAAGAGCTTCAGTCAGATTGGACACCTTAGAAACCATCAACGAACCCACACAGGGGAAAAACCATATAAATGTATGGAGTGTGGAAAGAGCTTCACCGATAGTGGAACATTTAGAAAACATCAACGGACTCACACAGGAGAGAAACCATTCAAATGCATGGAATGTGTAAAGAGCTTCAGTCAGAGTAGAAACCTTAGAATCCATCAACGGATTCACACAGGGGAGAAACCATTTAAATGTTTGGAGTGTGGAAAGAGTTTTAGTACGAATAGAAGACTGAATATTCATCATAAAACTCACACTGGGGAAAAACCATTTAAATGTATGCTGTGTGATAAGAGCTTCACTGAGAGTAGAAAACTTAGAATCCATCATCGAACTCACACAGGGGAAAAACCATATAAATGTATGGATTGTGGGAAGAGATTCAGTCACAGTGAAACACTGAGAAAACATCAACGGACTCACACAGGGGAGAAACCATTTAAATGCATGGAATGTGGAAATAGCTTTATTGATGGTACAGCACTTAGTATCCATCATCAAACTCACACAGGGGAGAAACCATTTGAATGTATGGTGTGTGGAAAAAGCTTCAATTGCAGTGGAACACTTAGAATCCATCAACGGACTCACACAGGGGAGAAACCATTTAATTGCATGGATTGCGGTAAGAACTTCCCTGATCGTGGAGCACTTAGAATCCATCAACGGACTCACACAACGGACTCAAACCATTTGAATGTAAAGAGTGTGGAAAGGGCTTCACTTCTAGTGGAGCAGTAAGAAGACATCAATGGACTCACTCAGGGGAAAAACCATTAAAATGCATGGAATGTGGAAAGAGTTTTATTGAGAGGAGAGAGCTGAGAACCCATTATCAAACTCACACTGGGGAGAAACCATTTAAATGCACTGAGTGCGGAAAGAGCTTCAATCGCAGTGGAACACTTAGAAAACATCAATGGACTCACACAGGGGAGAAACCATTTAAATGCATGGAATGTGGAAATAGCTTTATTGATGGTACAGCACTTAGTATCCATCATCAAATTCACACAGGGAGAAACCATTTAAATGTAAGGAGTGTGGAAAGGGCTTCACCAGTGTTGGAAATGTTAGAAGACATCAACGGACTCACACGGGAGAAACCATTTAAATGTATGGAGAGTTGAAAGAGTTTCTTTCAGAGTGGAACCCTAATTTCACACACAGGAAACTTAGACGACATCAACAGACTCACTCGGGGACAAGCAAATAAATGTATGGAGTGTGGAAAGAGCGTCAATAGAAGTGGAAACCTTAGCAAACATCAGCGAACTCAAAAAGGGAAAACCACTTACGTATATGGAGCGTACATAGAGCTTCAGTCCTGATGTTCTTAGAAACCATCAATGGACTCGCAAGGAGGAAAAGCTTTAAGAGTTGAAACCCTACAATCCACAAACTGAAAAATCTAAAATGGTTTGAATGGAAGGAGTGTGGTGCTGGGATGGATGCTGGGATGTTTTTGCCTCTACGCATGGGTCTGGGAATGTTCTGATCAGTTCACATTGAGTTCAGTACCCTGACCTGTTCTTAACGCATTGTTGACCACATCTACGGAACGCGATTGTTATGGTCTTTCATGTCATGCAAAATCAAGCATTAGTAATAGTTTAAGTCTTGATACTCAATCACTAGTTAATAGTTTAATAAGGAGGTTTCACGCCTGTCCAATTCTGTGTTCCCTTTCCCACCCTTTAATCTATTGATGATTAATACCTATATTCAACCCTTGCATTGTATTCATGTTAACCAATCAGCAACAAGCACATATGTAATGCTGTAATATTCAATAAAAGGGACTCTCCGAGACTTGCTCGAGAGATGCCTCCCGTATGACACCTTGCCATTCGTCTGTCACTTATTTCAACCCAACATCTGGTGACCCCGGACGTGCCAGATCCCTTTACGCAGCCTCGATACTTCACTCGACTGGAAAAGTCTCAGCGCGCTACTTCGTGAGTATGGGGGGGGAGCTTACAAGGTTCCAAAAAGAGCATGCTAAGGAGCTGCTTCATTTAGTCAGACAGAGGGTGGCGGGTGCGCATATTTCTTTAAAGGAAACTGAACGATTGTTATGTGAGATTGCTTGCCAATGCCCCTGGTACCCGGAGGTAGGGTCTTTGGGGATAGAGGCTTGGCAAAAGATCGGAAAAACCCTCTTCGCAGAACCGAGGGCTCCGATTCATTGTCTGCTCACTTGGCAGAAATGTGCAGATGCCATCGCTAAATCCCCCACCATACCCACAGTTTTTGCCCCCATCGCAACCTTCCCTACCCCCCCTACGCCTCAGCCCACATCCAGCCCCCCACCCCCCTTCCCTCCCTCCTTCGCCTGCCTCAGCCCCTGCGTGCTCCCCCACAGGAGCTGTGCGTGCTGCACTTTTTCAAGCTAGACAGAAAGGAATCCTCTCCTTGGAGGAAGAGGCTGGGTGGGCTGGGGAAATGCCGTCTGCCTTCCCTATCTCCTATACAAACCCTGGCACTGCGCAACACAAATTATGTATGAGATGCTTCCTTATTCTATTCTGAAAGAATTAAGGAAAGCTATTACTGATTCTGGCCTAAAATCCTCTTATGTGCTAGGGATGCTGGAGGGGATCGCAACTGGTTATACAATGCTACCTCAAGATTGGAAAGATCTGATGCGCGTGCTTTTATTCCCGGCTCGGTATGTGGTTTTTGAAAGTGAATTTAAGCATAGCGCAGTAGCCCTGGCTGATCCACAGCATTCAGCCAACCAACTCTTTGGTGCTGGTCCGTATGATAATATACCAGCCCAGGCGCAATTGACACCTTTACATTTTAGTCGCACCGTGACTTGTGTACAACGCGCCTTTCGCAAAGTCCCTGTCTCAGGGCAACCGCTGAGCTCCTTTGTTAATATTAAGCAACAACATTCGGAGCCTTACCATCAATTTATAGATAGATTGAAAGAATCAATCATTAGGCAGATTGATGACACTACAGCTCAAAATGAATTGATGAAAAAATTGGCTTTTGAAAATGCAAACACTGATTGCAAGAAGGCTTTGCATTCAATTATACATCGCCCTAAATATGGCCTGGCCGATATGATTCAGACCTGTGCCGATGTTGGCAGCCAGAGTCATGCGATGTCTTTGCTTGCCGGTGCCATCCAGGCTGGCAATAAGCCCACGGGCAACTGCTTCAATTGCAAACGCCCAGGTCATTTTGCTAAACAATGCAGAGCCCCTGGCGGGGGAGCAAACAGGAATGGTGAAGCCAATAAGGCTAAGCCTTCCAAGAAATGCCCGAAATGCGGTAAAGGCTATCATTGGGCAAATCAGTGCAGGAGTTCGGGAAACTCCATGGGGGCCTAGCTCTCGGGCCAGGACAAAAAGAGAGCCCTCCGCCGTTAGTCTCCACTATTAAGACCTTTTCTAATGATACACCCTCTGATTTCACCATTGACTTCATTAATCAGGAAACCAAAGACGCTGTTTTACCTGGTGAAATTGTGCTCATGCCCACTCAGTTGGCGGGCCCACTACCACCTAAGGTCGCAGGCTTAATTTTGCCCAAATTGTCTGCGGCCAAAGAAGGAATCCTGGTTATTCCGGGAGTCCTAGATCCTGACTATGTGGGCACAATCATGGTTCAACTCTGGAGCCATATGCCCATGCAGTTAAAAAAGGGTGATTCTTGGGCGCATTTGGTGGTGCTCCCTTCTCATCCTACTGCTTCTATTGTGGATAGTAATTTGCACCAGCTCTCTCCCCTTCCCCTTTCTCCACAGCTGTTAGCTGTAATCCAGAGGATTGGTCAACAGAAACTTCTTCGTAAGTATAAAATCAATGGCTAGGTTCTGGAAGGCTTGATTGACACGGGCGCAGACATTTCTGTCATATCCAGTAGTTGCTGGGCCCCTTGAGTCTGCCTCTGCGGTTTGGGGCGTGGGTGGACCTCAAACCTCAACCAAAAGCGTAAAGTGGTTGCCTGTTTCTCTGCCTGATAGCTCTGAAACCATTGCATACATCCAGCCTTGCGTGCTAAAAATCCACCTTAATCTGTGGGGCAGAGATTTACTACAACAATTACAAGCTACCATTCAATTTAATGAGTAAGCTTGCACTCCCCCTCAACTGGAAGTCAACCATCCCGGTATGGGTAGAACAATGGCCCATAACGGGGAAAGCTACTTGCTTTAAAAGAATTGATGAATCAACAATTATCGGCGAACCATATCGAGTCCTCAGTTAGCCCCTATAACACTCCCATCTTCGTCATAAAAAAGAAAAGTGGGAAATGGAGATTTCTCCAGGATTTAAGGAAAATTAATGACATCCTTGAACCCACGGGGCCTTTGCAGTGTGGTCTGCCTAATCCGAATGTGATCCCCCATTCTTATCAATTGGCTATCATAGATTTGCAAGATGGTTTCTTCTCCATCCCCCTACAGGAGAAGGATTGTAAATTCTTTGCTTTCCCTGTTCCTGTGTTAAATAAGAGCCAGCCCACGGAACGGTATCAATGGAAAGTCCTACCGCAAGGAATGCTGAATTCCCCTACCATGTGCCAACAATACATCAGCCATGGCACACCCTGCTGCTTAAGCCGTTTGTCCATCATTTTACCCAAAAAGCATCATTTGACCCGCTCTAGATAGCGCCGCTCTGTGGAATTGACTAATGATTGTGATGATTCTGTCTCTCTTCCCAGTAGGTCTGAATATATCTCTTTAGCTGTTTCTCTCTTAGGAGTCCCTGGATTGGCTGTACGGAATAGTATGAACATTAATTCCTTAGCTTGTTCTGCAGCAAAAGCCCTGAATTTTACTTCACAAGCTCTTCACCTTCTGAATAAAGAACAGAGTGAACTTCATAATGGACTTTTACAAAATCGTGCTGCTATCACTATTTGCTCATGCTTCATCATTATGGCTGTGAACAAGTGAATGACATGTGTTGCTTCAATATTACTGATAATTCTAAAGCCATTCAAAAGCAAATCTCTCATTTGCAAAATCTCACACATCACATTAAACTGGACGTTGGATTCTCTGGCCTCTGGGATTCGTTCACCCAGTGGCTCACTGGCTGGTTGCCTAACCTGAATTGGCTTCGTAATCTTTTCCAATATGCTATTGTCATAATATGTATACTAATTTTGCTATGCTGCTTCATCCAATGCATTCCTGGTCTCATGCGTCTTTGGTCTCAGTTTTTTTTCTCCTCCTCTGCCACCTAATAAAATCATTGCCGCCTACTATGCGAAATGGCAACATCAACTGTAAATGATAGGGGAGATGTGGGCAGACTTATTTCGGGCATGCGCTGGCATACCACGTATCCCGAAGTATTTTTGTCTTATTCAACCAAAGTAACACCTCGCCGATAAGAAAAGAAAGGGGGAGATGCTGGGATGGATGCTGGGATGTTTTTGCCTCTACGCATGGGTCTGGGAATGTTCTGATCAGTTCACATTGAGTTCAGTACCCTGACCTGTTCTTAACGCATTGTTGACCACATCTACGGAACGCGATTGTTATGGTCTTTCATGTCATGCAAAATCAAGCATTAGTAATAGTTTAAGTCTTGATACTCAATCACTAGTTAATAGTTTAATAAGGAGGTTTCACGCCTGTCCAATTCTGTGTTCCTTTTCCCAACCTTTAATCTATTGATGATTAATACCTATATTCAACCCTTGCATTGTATTCATGTTAACCAATCAGCAACAAGCACATATGTGGAAATGCTGCAATATTCAATAAAAGGGACTCTCCGAGACTTGCTCGAGAGATGCCTCCCGTATGACACCTTGCCATTCGTCTGTCGCTTATTTCAACCCAACAGTGTGGGAAGTGTTTCAATTGCTTTATATATAGATAATTTTATTAATACAGTGGTACCTTGGGTTACATATGCTTCAGGTTACAGACTCTGCTAACCCAGAAATAGTGCTTCAGGTTAAGAACTTTGCTTCAGGATGAGAACAGAAACCGTGCTCCAGCGGCGGAGCAGGAGGCCCCATTAGCTAAAGTGGTGCTTCAGGTTAAGAACGGACCTCCGGAACGAATTAAGTACTTAACCTGAGGCACCACTGTATATAATTTTATTTACAAATTGCGTTCAAAAATGGAAGCATTCACCTCTGGGTTCTTGGCGTTTGAAAGCCCCAAACGTTCAAACTCCAAAGCGTTCTACAACCGAGATTCCACTGAGAATCCAGCAATAGTGTGTTGTCCAACGATATCCATTCTTTTAACCAACACAAAGAGGCTGCCTCGTAGTAGAAAATCTAGCAGTGCGAAGCCACCTCTATTTTTAGTATCTATCAAAATTTTATACTTTATTCTTGGTGTTTCCCCCCTGCCAGAGTAATCATGAAATATCTCTTTGCCATTCGTTAAAGAAGCTTGTATTATTTATTATTGGTAATTTATAATAAAAACAGTATCTTAGATAAAACATTTATCTTTATGGTTGAAATCCTTCGTAAAAGTGAAAGTTTCATCCTCCCCTATATTTCCAAATGTTTTAAACATTTTTTGATACTCTAACGTAATTGGAATATGTTGTAATTCAGTGTTTTTCAAATAAACCCTTATTTAGTCTCCATCTATACAATGAACTCTTTTCACCCCTCCTTATCATCCATGCTGAGTTTTGATCTGATATAGTTCTTGGCTGGATCTCTACAGTCTTTAATCCTGTAGGCAGTTCCTTCAATATCCAGATCATGTTTCTTCTTCCCGCAGAATCCTTTGAATCAGAAGAACATGTTTACTCTTGTTCTAATGGGGGTCTGAATCTCCAAGCATCTGGGTTGGCAAACTAAGGCCTGTGGGCCGGATCAGGCGCAATTGCTTTCTAGATCCGGCCTGCGGACGGTCCAGGAATCGCCGCGTGGATTGCCAGGACGCACGTTCTTTCCCTCTCCCTCACCCGGCGGCGCTTTTCTCCTCAGGGACGAGCAATCTTGTCCCACACCAGGTGCCATCAACGGGGGGAGTCGGCTCATCCGCCTGCCTGCCTCAGAAGGGGGGCACTGGGAAGGGGGCGTGTGACTGCCGGCTGCTGCTGCGTTTTCCTCTTGCTCCTCCTCCCTCTCCCTCAGTCCGCCCTTCCTTCCTTTTCTGTACCCCTTCTCCGTGCCGCTTCCTCACGCGCTTTCTTCGTCACCCCCTCCCTCCTTCATTCCTCCCATGGCGTTCAGGTGGTTTGTTGCAGCGGCCGCAGCTGCCGCTTGCGGGTTGGGAAGCAGCAGCAGTTGGTGGGTAAAAGCTCTGGCAACGCCCCGGTTCCCCTGCCTCCGTCCGCGGCTCCTGCTTCGGTCTTCTCCGGCCAACGCAGCCTCCTACCCTGCCCTGGCACCTGGCTGGAGAAGCCCAACTGGGGCTATTGGGACGACAACTGGGACAGGTAAAGCCAAACATCTTCAGGCCTCTTTGCGGGCGAATCAAAATCGCTCATTTCCCCCCGAAATATAGTCCGGCCCCCAACAAGAACTGAGGGACAGTGGACTGGCCCCCTGCTGAAAAAGTCTGCTGACCCCTGATCTAGTAGATCCATTGTTGTAACCATATCAAAAAAAGTATTTGGTATTTTCCCTTCTTTTGAGACACTTTCCCTCAGTGTTCTGTCATAGTCCAGTGATACTACTCCATTAAATTCACCCGTAATAATTATAATTATATTTCTGTCATAAACCTCAGACGTACTTTCCTCCAGTAGTTGGAAGAAATCTCATGCGAAAAGTGGCTCTGAATCTGAAAGTCCCATTCCCGGACTTCCGGGTTGGCGCCTCTGGCAATGGCGGATTTCCTCCGATCGGGAGGAACCCGCTCCGCGAAAAATAGGGTCTGAACCGCCACGGCGAGGTGGAGACCCATTAAAACCACAAGCGGGAGAAGCCTGTGGACGTGGGATTCGGCTGGCACCTTTGCGCCTCCCATACTCACGGGGAAACCCTGTTTTGGGGATCCGGAGCGACGTGGGGTGAGTAGCGCGGTGCTTTGAATCGACTGCTTTTTTCACGGAGTGAAGCCGCATTGCTGTTGCCGGAGACTTTTTCCTGTGGACAATTGGATTTCAAACAACTACTTGTGAGTAAATCGGAAAATTGGATTTTTAAATATTTTAATTTGGCACTGAAGTGGGAGGTCACAAACAGGAAGTCCGCCTTCCTTTTTTGTAAATAGACTGAAGCAAAGACGTTACAAAGTTTTTGGCAAAGGATTGAATTTCCACCAGTTTAAAGTTACAAAACCCCCTTGGGAAGCAGGAGAAGAGGGGGAAATTTTGGATCTAGTGAGCGTGCAGGAGAGAGTGAAGAAATCAGATTACCACTGCTCTGAACCTGGGAACAGGCTGCCAGATGATGATTGAAGAGAGTGCTTTTGACAGAACGGATTTGACAGTTAGCTAAACAAGAGTAAGATACTGTTTCCATTGCCCCTTTGTGCATTTAAAAAAAAAGAGGAAAAGTAACTGAAATTTTATCTTTAATGCTTGAAATTGTGCTTAAAAGAACTGATACAAGTGGAGACTGTTTCCCTCTAGAGGGAGCTTTTAAAACTGTAACAGGATTGTAACTGGGGAATTTCCACCTGCAGAAAAGGAGTTTGGGAACCAGAGAGCGACCTTGGGCTATTTAAAAATGTTGATAGGAGAGGCCATTGTGACTGTTTTATGTAAGATAAGCTGTTCGTTGGGATAGCTTCACAAGAAGATGGACGATATGACTTTTAAAGTTGATAATTTGGAACAGAAAGTGACCAACTTGAGTCAAAAAGCGAACACTAACACAGAAATAATTCAGTACTTGGTACAGGAACCCATTTTGGCAGGACAAATGGTGGAGGAGAAGGTGGAGAAGGAGGAGGAGAATGCAGCTGTTGTTCAACACAAAATAATACAAGTGAGATCTGTGGATTTACAGAAGCAAATTGGAGATTATAAATTGAGGCCTTCTAAGATTGAATTCAGGAAAAGTCAGACTCCGAGGAATGGATCCCGGTTTGGATCAAAGAAGGAAAGTTGGAAAGAGCCCTCTATGCAGGGACTAACTGACTTTTGGGACATGGACTCGGGTCTGGAGGAGATTGAAGTTTTGGGGGCCTTTGGAACTGGAGGAACTTTGAAATATACCCGGAAATACTTTATGGACAGTAGTTTTAACTATGGAAACTCAGCTGATTTGTCCAGAAGGAAGAAAAGGATTGACAGGTTGGAATTTCCCCGAGATTGGCTCTTTAGCATTAAAGAAAATGAAGAAGACCCGCAGAAGGGACTTGGAAAAGAGTTAAGAGCCTCGGACATAAGGTCACCAGGTTGATGGACTTTATGGAATTGACGGAAAGGACTGGCAGAATCCAAAACCTGGGAGAAGAGATGGTGGAAGAAGATTGGAAAATTTAAACTTTTTATATAGACTTATGGTAAAATTAATGAGTGATAGAAAAATGGTGGAATGATTTTTTTATTTTATAATTTTTATTTCTTATGGGCTTAATAGAAATGTTATAAGGAGTTAAGTACATATAATTTTGTTTTAATGGAAAATAAGGTTAAAATAATACATTATTTCCAATATCACAGAAAATGGAGAAAGATGGAAAGGATTTGCTGAAACAATCAATAGAAGTGGAATACAAAAAGGGAGGTGTGAGGAGGTCGAGGAAACAAGGGAACGAAAGATACGAGTATGGAAAAGAGAGGATGTATGTTTTTTAAATTTTTGTTTTGGGGAGTGGGGTTTGTTTAGTTTAGCTTAATGTGTTTAGTTTTGAGTTTAGGTTGTGTTTTGTATTGTTTATATATTGTATTGTATGGTGTTTGTTTGTTGTTTTTCTTCCATTTGTTTTTTTTTCTTTTCTGTTTTTTCTTCTGTTTTTTCTCTTTTGCTTTTTTATTTCTCTCTTTTTGTAATCTATAAAAGTAATAAATATTATTTTTTAAAATAAATGAAAGTCCCAGTCCCAAATCTTAATCCTGCCACCCTAAGATATTATAAGCAAGCCCCACATTCCTCTTTCCACCTGCAATAGGGAGGTTAGAACAACACTTAATACCCGGCAAGGATCATAAGAGCCAGAATTGCTTAAAATTGCAGGGAGAGAGAGAAAAACTGGATTTGAAATGACCCAACCACAAGATGAAAAGTCTCCCTAGTAAATGAGGGAAGGGGGAGGCATGGGGGGGGGCTTTTGAAGTCTCCCTGCTGGCAAGGGATTTCCAGAGCAAGGGCGCCTCTGTCTGTCTGGATCCCTCACTGCCTCTGAATCCAGTGGGTGGTTTTTAATGGGGGGAGGAGGGCTGGTGTTTGAAGCTGGGCTTGGCTGTTCGGTGGCGTAGCTCAACAAGGCAGCAGGTGCTCTGCATGCAGAAGGACCCCGGTTGAGTGCTTGGCATGCAGAAGGAGATCCTCCCCCTGCCTCAAAAGGAGGGTGGAGGAAACTTGCCCAGCTTCCCCCCCCCCGCTCCCTGCCGCCAGTTGGGGGGCGGGGGCCGGGTCCCCATGGAGCCCCCAGAGCAGGAGGCCAGAGGCAGCGCCGCCCCGTCTCCTTCCCCTCCGGACACAGGGAGGGGCTGCTCTGCGGACGTAGCTCTAGGGACGCGCGCGTCGGAAAAGGAGCCGGAAGTGTCGCCGCGAAACGCGCCGGAAGTTGCCAGACAGAGGAAGGAGGAGGGGCGTCGCTGAACAGCCCCCCCGCCCGCCGCCGCCCTTTCTATTGCAGACAAGGAAAGCGGAGTAATCTGGAGCCAGGGAGGCGGAGGACCAAGAGGTAAAGAGGGAGAGAAGGGGGGGATAAGGGGGGAGGACAAAGAGACCCCCCCCAAGGAAAGCGCCCTCCCTGGGGCCCGTCGACAGGGGCCCCGATCCAGGCGACCCAGGTGGGAAGGGGGGACCCAACACCTGCAGGGCTGGCCTTGCAAGATCTCCTGGGCAGCAGCAGCACCGCCAGACTCCCCTTTCTCTTTCCTGGGGGGCCGAGAGATGCTCAGCTGCCCTGCCCCCCCTGGAGGCCTTGGCGGGAAGGGGAAGGAGGACCCCAAGCAGGGCTGGGGGTGGGGCTGAGGCCCCCCATTCTCCCTGGGGTCGTGGGGCGCCTGGCTGGGGAAAGGGAGAGAGGGAGTCCAGGGAAGGGTTAAAGGAAGGGGGAGGAGCCTCGACAGAGACCCCTCCCCCTCCAGCACCCCTGACCCCCCTTCTCCCCCCCCTTCCCTAATGACACTACCAGGTTATCTTATTCACTAGGACTCATCTCCAGACTTGGATTGTCCTCAATACCACCAATTATAGCCTAGCACAAACCCAAAAGTCCTGCTAGGATGCATCTTGGCTTCCCTGCAGATGAAACTGAGTGTGTGAGGATTGATAATATTTTCATTTATCCGTTTCAGACCCCTAAGTAGTAGCCGTTGCCAGGACATTGTCCTGTTCGCCTCTGTATAGTTCCAGCCTTATTTCAGACATTGTGGTAGATTGCAAGCAGGGTGGGTTTGATATAAATCAAATTGATTTCAATCACAATTTACGGTAAATCACTAGTCAGTATGATTCTATTTAAATCAAAAATTTCTGATTTGGTTACACTATTAGAAATACACAGACAGATAATTATGAAATCATTCTGAGGTTTAATAAGTTTACTGTCTATATTTAAAATAATCATTTCCTTAATTACAACTTAAACAATTTATTTAACTAAAACCATAAAATTATAGCATGTTGGTAAACTTTTTTTTTTTTTTTTTCTAAAACAGCCAAGCAGACTGAGTTTTAGCGCACATGAAAAACTCAGAACTTAAGCATTTCACCACCTCCACTACCAGCCACCCCTTTGGATTGGCTTCTGCATTCAGGTGCCTATTCTGTACAGTTATGTGTTAGTGCGATTGTTGGAACCCAATGGGATTGGGAAGAGGTTGCCAGCCCTGAAGAGCCTTCAGCGCTTGCCTCAAGTCTGACTTGCACAATTATTACACAAAGACCCCAAGATGTGTGGAGTATTCTGCTCACAAGGTTGCACTTTCATTTTTACTGCTTCACACTTAGCTACTTGTGCAGATCTCTTCCACTGCAAACCATCTGTTCATTGAACCTCTTGGAACTTAGAATTTAAGGGGTTGATTCTGTGTATATAAATCTGCAAAGGAACAATGGGATTAAGGTTTTCCGTCAACTCTGTATGTTTATTTTATAACATTTTTCCTGTGAAGAAAAGGCATGTTATCTCTGCAGATACACAAATTCACACTTTTGAGAATGGCAAAAACAAGCATCTGTGACAATATCTTCTCATTAGAAAAACTTCCCCAAATAATCTTACAGAAACCTCTGGAAGAGCATGACATTGTGAATGGGTTAATGGAATTCATTTACCCCAAAAATTAAATATTGCATATAAAGCCTCATGCTAGATAATTAAAAACAAATCCTTATTTCCAGATGAATAGCCTTTGGACTATAATGTAATTAAATATAAAACTATCTTTAGATAGATTTTTTCCTCTAAAAGCATTTTATTTTTTTAATAATTCTGATTAAAATAAAAAAAATTCTGATTTAAATAAAAAAATCCAATTTTTATTTTTTTAAAAAATCATTGATTGTATCCACCCTGATTGCAATCTTTAGCTGCTGATAACATGGCAACGTTTAGCAGGTCATATTGTGAGGTTTAGCTGGTGAGAACATTGCAATTGTTAGCTGACGAGTTATCACGATATTGAAAATCAGATATTTCCTAGTCCTTATACACATTGGATTTGCGATATAACGTCAGCTCAAATATTAGGAAACAGTTAGCACATTAACATCAAGCCCAGCTCTAATTATGACCTAAATTTCTGGCCCAGTGTATCATTGAAGATTTTACCAGTTTTATTTTGTTTCCCATTCTAATAGTATCTCATACATTTTGGAAAGTTTTTTTTAAAAAATTGTTCAGCAGTACCTAAGAGACCAGCTGAGTTTGTTCTGGGGATAAGCTTTCGTGTGCATGCACACTTCTTCAGATTGGACAATTTTCTACCTGAAATTTGGGAAACACTTTCTCTTTCCTCTCAATAATATCTCTTTCAAACTGTGAACTTTCAGTCCAAAAACCTCTCCCTTCATCTTGTCGAAACAAGATGATTTGATGTTATTGAAACCAATCCGCCACCACACCTCCCACCTCATCCTGTTTATTCAGTTTTATTTCTTCTTCCGAAAAGTCCAAAAGATCTCTGTAAGTTGCCCATTGCTTCTTCCCTATTGCATTTTTAAAAAGCTGTTGCTTTTGTGGGTGGAAGCCAAAGAGGTGTTTTTCTTTCCAGCAGATTATTATATTTATCCCATACTGTAAAAAGGATTTTCTCAATAACCTGATTCATAGAGCTCTTGTGTGTTTTAGTTTTATCCTGCCATAAATAAGCGTGCCAACCAAACATAGTCTTACGACCTTTGTTATAAGAAAAACCTACTCCTTTCCCCTTATGGGGTATCCAAGAGCCCATATAGTCCTCAAGTGGGTTCCATATAGGTAGGAGAAAATAACAGAGGCCAACCAGAGTATATGGAGAAGCAAAGCAGCTAGTAAGCCTGATCTTTATTGCAACATTGTCCCCCCCCCTCACCACAACCAGCAGGGAGGTGTGCAAGGCCTTATATAGTCTTTTGAAATTGCCCACCCAAGACCACCACCCCCAATATCATACAGAAGGAGACTGTCTACAGCAGGAATACATCACAGGAGGCGGTCTACAGCAGAAAACCTGTCCTCAAGGATACCTGTTAATGGTCACTAACTGCATTACCTGGGCAGCCTGGCCATTCTTTTGTGTTGGTAAAGTTCCTGAATCCAGGTCACAGGCTCACCCTGTTCATCCCTCCTTAAGACAGTATTTGTAAGCACAAAGACAATGGGAAGGCTTCCATTTGCCTCCTTTACTGCAGAGGAATATTTGAGTACGTTTCCGGGCACAATTCAAAGTGTTGGTGCTGACCTTTCAAGCCCTAAACGGCCTCAGTCCTGTATACCTGAAGGAGCGTCTCCACCTCCATCGTTCAACCTGGACACTGAGATCCAGCGCCGAGGGCCTTCTGGCGGTTCCCTCATTGCGAGAAGTGAGGTTACAGGGAACCAGACAGAGGGCCTTCTGGGTAGTGGCGCTTGCCCTGTGGAATGCCCTCCCATCAGATGTCAAGGAAATAAGCAGCTATCTTATTTTTAAAAGACATCTGAAGGCAGCCCTGTTTAGGGAAGTTGTTAATATTTCATGCTTTACTGTTTTTAACACTTGATTGGGAGCCGCCCAGAGTGGTTGGGGAAACTCAGCCAGATGCGCTGGGAATAAATAATAAATTTTATTATTATTATTATTACTACTACTACTACTACTATTATTATAGGTCTGTGGTGCTCAATGTTTAGGCATAGTAAATATTAGGATTTAATTAGAACTTGTGTGTTATAATGGAGATATGTTATAAGGTAGTCTCGGTGTATTTTAGAAAGGGAGTTATGTAAAGGGTTTTTCATGTTTGAGCCGTGTTTCTGGGAAAGCAGAAGGGGCAAGCAAGGAAGGGGGAGACGGCCAAAGAAACCTGCTCTCACACAGGTGCCCCCCCCTGCCAATTCCGTAACCTTAGCAAAGCCCAAGTTCAAACACCACCCCTATTTAAAAGAGGCCCCCGTAAGGACGACACTGGACTGCCCTTTACGGTTGCCGTAAGTTACTCTTCCAAGTCCCAAAAGCGCGAAGCAACTCCGGTCTATTTTGCAGGGCTGTTGTAATGGGGACGCCCTATGCCACCGCCCAGGGCAGCCCAAAGTGACGTATAACCAGTTGTTGTTGTTGTTGTTGTTGTTGTTGTTGTTGTTGTTGTGTTCCACTCCACGGTGAGACTCCAAGGTCTTCTGTGTCATCTTTCCTGTGCAGTGGACGCTCAGGTTGCGAACGTGATCCGTGCGGGAGGCACATTCACAACCCGCAGCGCCGCGTCTGTGCATGTGCGGGTTGCAATTCGGTGCTTCTGCACATGCGCAAAGCGTGATTTAGTGGTTCTGCACATGCGCAAGGGCTGAAACCCGGAAGTAACCTGTTCTGGTACTTCCGGATTCCGTGCGGTGCCCAACCCGAAAACACAACTCAAAGCGTCTGTAACCCGAGGTATGACTGTCTTTTGGAAGGCAGCGGGAAGGCTGTTCTCAGGGCCTGCTCCACCGTGAGGGAAACTGAGGCAGCCCCCTCAGGCAGGAGGGGCAGGGAGGGGACGGAGCTGAGTCCCATTTGGCCAGCCCTGATTTAACCCTCTATCCCAGGCATAGGCACCCTAAGGCCCATGGGCCGGAAGTTTGGAAAAACTTTAAAAAGTGTAAGAACTCACATTAGGTAGTCAAAAAATAGTAATTTAAACAAAATGCTTATAAAAAATAAGATAATTACTTAACATTTAGCTTCTGTTACACATTATATCCACATAAGTCAATAGAAAAAGTACAAAGAGATGATGTTCAAGATGTGCCCTTTGGGAAATTTGGTTTTGGCAACCGCAAAACAGCATCCTTCAAATCAACACTTGCAATAGGGAAGACAAACATACAAAATCCTGGTTTTTTCCTGAGGTATGACACTTGTTTAGAGATTATTGTACACTAAGCGGGGCACTTTTATACATATCAGTGCGTCCCATGTCTTAGTGTATCAAAGTGCCCCAATGGACATTTTCAAGAAACTAACAATTGTTAATAAAACCACTGAACTTATTTGAAAATCACGTGTAATCCTGATTACTGAGTGGAATAACTTACCTTTGGTATTTTTAAATCTTAACTAAATGCCGTAAAAAAGTGTTGGAACACTTTTACATTTCACATAATTTTTATTTTATTTTTTTAAAAAAGATATTTATTAAGGTTTTCACAGTGTTACAAAATGAAAAAAAAAAATACAAAATAAAAATAGTTAAAAACAATTCAATCTTTCCATTACTTACCTTTCATTTGCTTGTTTCCCAGACCTCCTCATACCTCCCTTTTTTGTATTCCAGTTCAATTTATTAGTTCAGCAAATCCTTTCCCTCTTTGTTTTATCCTGATCTTTAATCTTAATATATTATAGCATTAAATTTTTACCTGTTAAAAATCCATTTTTCACATTCTTTTATACCATTACAGCTAAAAACCACCTAACTTCAATCCAACATCATTCTAACATTCATTAATTTTGCAGTATTTCTGTAAATAGTCTTTAAATTTCTTCCAATCTTCTTCCACCGACTCTTCTCCCTGGTCACGGATTCTGCCAGTCATTTCCGCCAGTTCCATATAGTCCATCACCTTCATCGGCCATTCTTCCAGAGTGGGTAGGTCTTGTGTCTTCCAGTACTTTGCAATAAGTATTCTTGCTGCTGTTGTGGCATACATAAAGAAAGTTCTATCCTTCTTTAACACCGATTGGCCGACTATGCCCAGGAGAAAGGCCTCTGGTTTCTTCAAGAAGGTATATTTAAATACCTTTTACAATTCATTATAGATCATCTCCCAGAAAGCCTTAATCCTTGGGCACGTCCACCAAAGGTGAAAGAATGTACCTTCAGTTTCTTTACATTTCCAACATTTATTATCGGGCAAATGATAAATTTTTGCAAGCTTGACTGGGGTCATGTACCACCAGTATATCATTTTCATAATATTCTCTCTTAAGGCATTGCATGCCGTAAACTTCATACCTGTGGTCCATAACTGTTCCCAGTCAGCCATCATTATGTTATGTCCAACATCTTGTGCCCATTTAATCATAGCTGATTTCACCGTTTCATCCTGAGTGTTCCATTTCAACAGCAAGTTATACATCTTTGACAAAATCTTAGTTTTGGGTTCTAACAGTTCTGTTTCTAATTTTGATTTCTCCACCTGGAAGCCAATTTTCTTATCCAAATTATATGCCTCCATTATCTGATAATAATGAAGCCAATCTCGCACTTTGTTTTTTAATTTCTCAAAACTCTGCAATTTCAGTCTATCTCCATCTTGTTCCAAGATTTCCCAATATTTCGGCCATTTATCCTCCATATTAAGCTTTTTCTGAGCTTTCGCTTCCATCGGTGACAGCCACCTTGGGGTTTTGTTTTCCATTAAGTTCTTATATCTTATCCAAACGTTAAACAATGCTTTCCTAACAATATGGTTTTTAAATGCTTTATGTGCTTTGACCTTATCATACCACAGATATGCATGCCATCCAAATACATTGTTAAAACCTTCTAAATCCAAAATGTCTGTGTTTTCAAGAAGCAGCCATTCTTTCAACCAGCAAAAAGCTGCTGATTCATAGTAAAGTTTAAGGTCTGGCAGGGCAAATCCACCTCTTTCCTTTGCATCTGTTAATATTTTAAATTTTATTCTAGGCGTCTTGCCCTGCCAGACAAATCTAGAAATATCTCTCTGCCACTTCTTGAAACAGTCCATTTTGTCCAGGATTTGCAATGTTTGAAACAAAAACATTATAGGCAATACATTCATTTTTATCGCAGCAATACGACCCAGCAGTGAAAGCTTCAAATTTGACCAAATTTCTAAATCTTTTTTCACTTCAACCCAGCATTTTTCATAGTTGTCTTTAAATAAATTCCCATTTTTGCTGTCATGTTAATCCCCAGGTATTTGACTTTCTTGACCACTGTTAAACCTGTCTCATTCTGAAACCTCTCTCTCTCCATTGGTGTTAAGTTTTTCTCTAAAACCTTGGTTTTTAACTTATTCAGTTTGAACCCTGCAACCTGACCAAATTCTTGAATCAGTTCTAAAACCCTTTTGGTACTAGATTCTGGCTCCTGTAACGTCTGTACCAAGTCATCTGCAAATGCTCTCAATTTGTACTGTTTGGCTCCGACTTGTATACCTTTAACCAACTGGTCCCTTCTGATCATATTCAGCAAAACCTCCAGGACCGATATAAAAAGTAATGGGGAGATTGGGCAACCTTGTCGTGTCCCTTTTTCTATCTTAAATTCTTCCGTCACCACATTATTTACAATTAATTTAGCCTTTTGTTCAGAATCTATTGCACTTATACCGTTTTCAAAGCCTTGGCCTACCCCCATATCCTGCAAGTTCTTCTTCATAAAACTCCAAGAAATGTTGTCAAAAGCTTTCTCCGCATCCACAAATATTAAAACTGCCTTAGTATTTATATTCACTTGTAATTTTTCTAAAATGTTGATTATGTTTCTCACATTATCCGATAGATGTCTACCCGGGAGAAAGCCTGCTTGGTCTTTATGTATCTCTTCCACTAACACTCTTTTTAGTCTTTTAGCCAAAATGTCTGCAAAATTTTTGTAATCCACATTGAGCAATGATATGGGGCGGTAGTTCTTAAGCTGCGTCTTTTCAGTCTCTGTTTTCGGTACAAGTGTAATATACGCTTCTTTCCACGACTCTGGTGCCCTTTTCCCATCCATTATTTCGTTACAGACTTCTTTTAAAGGTTGTACTAACCATTCTTTTAAAGATCTGTAGTATCTAGAAGTCAGTCCATCCGGTCCTGGAGATTTACCTAATTGCATATTCTGAATGGCACCTTCTATCTCCTGTTCAGTTATTTTATAGTTCAACATTAGTTTATTTTCTTGGGAGATTTTTTGTAATCCATTTGTTTTCAAAAATCGGTCTAAGTCAATTTCTTTCTGTGGCCCTTGTGTATATAGTTGTTTGAAGTACCTCTGGAAACAATTTCTAATCTCAGCTGGGTTCTGTATATTCCTTCCTTCCACTTCTAGATTAGTAACTGTATTTAATTTTTGTCTTTTGTCACATTTGTTTAATTTTCCATTCTATCTCCTGATTCATCATTTTCATGTATTGTACTTGATGTAACTTTATTTCTCTCAAAATCTCTTGCGACTTTGGTTTTGCTCTCAATTTCTTTTCACTTTCCTTTATTTTCTCCAAAATTTTATCCTTCTTCAAATTTTGGATTCTCTTCTTCAATGCATTCTGTTGTATCAAGAACCCTCTCATAACAGCTTTACTTGCGTCCCAGATTACTATTTTTTCCACATTGGTGTTCATATTTATCTCGAAATAATCTCTCAGGGTTTTTTGGGCCTTCTTAAACACTTCTTCATCTCTAAATAAGTGTCATTCATCCTCCATCTGAAGGAACCAGTTGGTATTAGTTTCATCTCCATCTTTACAGCATTATGGTCGGAGCAGGTTTTTGGGCAGATTTCCACTTTTCTTATCTTTGGTGCCATTCCTCTAGTTACCCATATTTGGTCAATTCTTGTCCATGTCAGTTTAGCTTCAGAGAAGAAGGTTCCTTCTCTGGCTAAGGGATTCTTTGTTCTCCAGATATCAACTAAGTCCAAGTTGTCTGTCATCTCAGAACAAGTTTTCGGTAGTCTACCATCCTTAGCGATTACCTGTCTTTGTGCCTTGTCCATGTGTGTAGATACCACTCCATTCATGTCTCCCATCAAAATCACATTATAATCCAAATAGTCCATCAAGGTCTCATGCAACTTTTTAAAAAAGTCAGATTTCCCCTCATTTGGTGCATAAACTCCTACTATCAAAAATTTCTCTCCTTGTGTTTGAATTTCAATTGCCACAAATCTTCCTTGGTCATCTTTGAAGATAAATTTCGGTAATAGTCTCTCCTTTGCATAAATCCCTAGCCCTCTTTTTTTAACCTTGTCCGATGAAATAAACTCCTGACCCAGTCTTTTATTAATCAGTAGTTTCCTGTGTAGCCTTGTTACATGTGTTTCTTGTAAACAAATCAAGTCCAATTGTTCCTTTTTTAATAAATGAAACACAGATCTCCTTTTCTGAGGGGAGTTCAAACCATTACAATTCCAGCTTAATAGTTGCAGAGCCATGATGTATTTACTTTGCTTCTCCTCCAACTGCACCCAGTGCCTGTTCCTGATCTGTCGGTGGTATCCCCTTCTTCAGGCGGTCTTTTAGTTCAGGAGGTAAACCTGGTATGTCTAAAGTTTCACTTACTAGTGCTCTTAACTCTTCTGCAGCTTCCTTCTGCAGGTCTTCTCCGTGGTCTCTCCAAAATCTATCTTTGTCGTCCTCTGATCTTATTTTTATCTTCTTCCATGTGTAACTAAAGGATAGGCCTTGGGGGAATTCCCACCTAAAGATGATTCCGTTACTTCTCAACAGGGCAACCAAACCTCTATAATTGGACCTAAGGTCCAAAAGATGTTTCGGAATGTCCTTAAATATCTCCACTTTTGACTGGTGTATTTCCAAAGTCTTCTGGAAGTGCAGACTCAAGATTTTGTCTCTCTCCTCTTTTGTTCGGAGGGTGATCAAACAGTCTCTCACCCTGTTCTTCCTCCCTCCTCTTCCAAGCCTGAAGGCACTCACTATCTTGAAACTATCCTTCTCCAAATCTGGGTTCCAAAAGTCTGCAAATTCCTGCGTAAGAAAGTCAATCAAGTTGTCTTTCTCAAGTTCGGATACGGCCCTGATCCTTAAATTCGTTTGTTTCTCCTTCAACTCAATCATAGACAGTATTGACCTGTGGTCTTCCAGTTGTTTGTGTATCGGTTGTATCTTCTCTTCTACAACAGTGGCTGTAGCAGTTGCTATTTCCTTTGCCTCTTCGGCTGTCTTTCGTGTCAAGGTAGATTCCTGTAGTAATTTCTGAATAGTTTCTGTATTGGTATTTACCTTCTGTCCCAAATTATTAATACTTGTGGTGTTTTGGTCAATTTTACCCGATGCCTCGGCTACTTGTTTACTTATTCTTTCCAAAGATTCGTTGATTTTACCTAGTGCCTGAGCCAAAGCATCTTCAGCTGCCATTCCTTTAGGTTTAGGTTGTGCCGATGAGGTTACTGTTGGTAAACCAGAAGGGCCAGATGTCGATGCTCTTCGTTGCAGCCCACCGTCTGTGCGAAATAGTCTGCCAGATCTTGTTGCTCTTTCCTGTAACAAATCTATCTTCTCCTTCCCATCTGCCATAACCCTCAAGATAAAACCCAAGGTCAGTCTCACGATCAGAATTTGTTTTGAAGTGGAAAATTCCCCTGGCCCAGCTGCTATTGTAGCATTTTCGAACTTCCTCTAGGGGGACACAGTAGCCGTCAAAAGTGTCTTAAAGTAATTAACTTTTTTCCTTTAGCCCCCCAATTCACAAAAAGGACAATAGTTTCAATCCCAGTTATTTCCTGTTACTTTAAAACCAGGAGAAGCCAGTCAGAAATATTGTATCTTACTTGTATCTCAGATGCAGAGTTAACTGTCAAAGAGTACTTTCAGCAACAGCGTGTTTCGCAATACGGCTTTCTTACTGTTCACTGGCAACCCGTTCCAGGGTTTTGAGCGGTGGATTTTAGCTTCTTTTCCTCTCTTTTTGCAGGGAAATACAGTTCAGACCTTTCCCCCCTCCTCCCCTGCAATCAAGGGGAAATCGCTTGTTTGATGTTCGAATTATAGTCCTTTTCCGACGTCTTTTAAGGTTTCCGCTTACAAGTTCATTGCTTTACTCCATTTACAAGAACGGAAGGCAGACTTCCTGTTTATGCCTCTCCGCTTCGGTGCCAAATTATTTGTAAAATTTGTAAGTTCCTTTAATTCCGAAATTAGCCTACTCACGGATCGTTGTTTTGCAGCCAAATTGTCCCAGGAAAAGGGCAGCGCTCTCCGGTAACGGCTACGCGGCTTCGCTCCACGGAAGAAGCAGTTGACTCACAGCACCGCGCCACTTCCCCGCTCCGCTCCGGAGCCCGTAGTCGGGCTCCTTTGCCAATTGGGGGGGGCGCAAAAGGTGCCCGCCGAGTCCCACGGTCACAGGCTTCACCCGCCTGTGCTTTTTGAAGGGTCCCCGCTTCGCCGTAGCAGTGCAGTCCCGATTTCCGCAGAGCCGGTTCCCTCCAAGTCAGAGGGAATCTGCCATTACCGATGGCGCCACCCCGGAAGTCCACATTTCACATAATTTTTAGTTGGTCGTGCTAAAAACACACCTCCTCTCTTCAAACGCCAACAGCTAACTGGCGGCCAGCACAGTTGCAACTGTTCTACTCACACATGTATAGGCACATTTGGGTGATGTCGCGACACAAATACCATTTCTCGATATTGAAATATTGTTGGTGTGTAAATGTGCCCCTTGCATCAATGTGCCCCACCTCCCCCAATCAGCGTTTTCAGAGGAGGGGGAAGAAGGGGAAAGTGTGTCCCACCAGATAAGACTCCCATCCTCCCTGGCCATGGGCCATCCTTCCTTGGGCAGGTGGTACTTTGAGTCCAACCACATCTGGAGGGCCAGAGGTGCCTCACCTCAGTATAGACGGTTCCTCTAGGGCTCAGTGTTACTTGGGAGTTGGTGAAATTGGATCTTAAGGGTTCTTGAGACATTGCCAAGGGATTGTGATTGGTATCCAGACCCTAACAGTATAAAGCCAAGGTGTCCCCACTGAGCAGTTTATCAACCCTGCTGGCCGCTGGGGAAGACCTTCTGAAGGAAATGGTTTGTCCCCAAAGTTGCTTCCTTCCTTTCTCCGCTGCTGCTGCCCACACTAAAGGAATGTCTGGATGAAATCCCAGGGATGTCTGGCTCCTATGTCCAGTTGAGATTCTAGAAAAAAGTGTGGCTAAGATTCTGAGTCACAATCGTGGCTGAGAAATACAGCCAGGGAATATGAAACTGATTTGAAGATTGGTTTATTCTTTACACTTTATTATTATTATTATTATTATTATTATTATTATTATTATTATATTATTATTATTATTATTATTATTATTATTATTATTACATTCAGGAGGACACACCACTGGTTTCATCATCTTTCTATTCTTTCCCACACTCAGTGTTAGTCACCTTTAATACTCACCTTTTTCAGTGTAACACATATTTTTATCTTGTGATATTCAGATGAAGAGAGGTATAACAATTTAATAAATAATTCCCAGTTGGAGCAGAGCTAGAATATCCAGAAGCCCTTGGCCACCCACGGCAAAGGAGGAAGAACAGTGAGAGAGGCCTGGACAGGGAATCTCCGCTAAGATAAGCCAGTGTCAGGAGGCAGGTGCGAGACCCGGTGGCATATAATTATTATAAATCATAATTGGGGTGGGTGTCTCAGTCTGGCCTTCCCAGTGGTCAGGCTCCAGCTGCTTTCCTTCTGCATCTCCAGCTCTCTCCATTCAAGAATGCAAGGCTGAGAGATGGAGGTCCAGCCCCAAGAACATTCTGCAACTGAGCACTCCTTCAACCGACCACAAGCAAGAAGCCTTGTCACTAGATTTATATATGGGTCTCCCAAAATGGTCAGTATGGACCTCCTGAGGCCAAAGGGAATGTGCAGGTGATTAATAAAGATCTAGAGGTCGAAGGCGACAAAATGTGGCCCAAGGGGTGCAGCGGATGAAGAACTTCATGATGAATTTAGGATCCTGATTAATATTGGCCAGGTTCATGGAACATAAGAGCAGCTCCCGTTCCTGTGAGAAACCACTTTTTATAAAATGTAAACCCCAACCGTTCTACAGTATTCTAAGATAATGCTGCTTCATTAATGCTTAATTAAGGGTTAGGAAAGGCTGATGATGCATTACCATTATTTAACATTATTTCATCTGTCTTTCCTAAAACTTTGGAACATATGGAGGACAGGAAAGAACGTACGAGACGTCAAAATAAGAGCAGGTGCTAATTGATGTGTGTAATATTCCTTTGTTCTCTTCCTAGGTTTCCTTCCCCCCCCACTCTTCCTGTTGAAAGAAGACAATGGAGAAGGCAGTCAAAATTCTGGAGGGCCATGTCCAATGGGAATAACAAAGAAACCATATAAATTCATGGAATGTGAAAAGAGAGAGGAGAAACAATTTGAAAGTATGGAGTGTGGGAAGAGTTTCACTGACAGTGGAACACTTGGAAAACATCAACGGACTCACACAGGAGAGAAACCATTTAAATGCATGGAGTGTGGAAAAAGCTTTGGTTGGAGTTCAAACCTTCGTATACATAAACACACGCACACAGGGGAAAAACCATATAAATGTAAGGAGTGTGGAAAGAGCTTCAGTCAGATTGGACACCTTAGAAACCATCAACGAACCCACACAGGGGAAAACCATATAAATGTATGGAGTGTGGAAAGAGCTTCACCGATAGTGGAACATTTAGAAAACATCAACGGACTCACACAGGAGAGAAACCATTCAAATGCATGGAATGTGTAAAGAGCTTCAGTCAGAGTAGAAACCTTAGAATCCATCAATGGATTCACAAAGGGGAGAAACCATTTAAATGTTTGGAGTGTGGAAAGAGTTTCAGTACGAATAGAAGACTGAATATTCATCATAAAACTCACACTGGGGAAAAACCATTTGAATGTATGCTGTGTGATAAGAGCTTCACTGAGAGTAGAACACTTAGAATCCATCATCGAACTCACACAGGGGAAAAACCATATAAATGTATGGATTGTGGAAAGAGATTCAGTCACAGTGAAACACTGAGAAAACATCAACGGACTCACACAGGGGAGAAACCATTTAAATGCATGGAATGTGGAAAGAGCTTTATTGATGGTACAGCACTTAGTATCCATCATCAAACTCACACAGGGGAGAAACCATTTGAATGTATGGTATGTGGAAAAAGCTTCAATCGCAGTGGAACACTTAGAATCCATCAACGGACTCACACAGGGGAGAAACCATTTAATTGCATGGAGTGCGGTAAGAACTTCCCTGATCGTGGAGCACTTAGAATCCATCAACGGACTCACACAGGGGAAAAACCATTTGAATGTAAAGAGTGTGGAAAGGGCTTCACTTCTAGTGGAGCAGTAAGAAGACATCAATGGACTCACTCAGGGGAAAAACCATTAAAATGCATGGAATGTGGAAAGAGTTTTATTGAGAGGAGAGACCTGAGAACCCATCATCGAACTCACACTGGGGAGAAACCATTTAAATGCACTGAGTGCGGAAAGAGCTTCAATCGCAGTGGAACACTTAGAAAACATAAATGGACTCACACAGGGGAGAAACCATTTAAATGTAAGGAGTGTGGAAAGGGCTTCACTGAGAGTACAAAACTTAGAATCCATCATCGAACTCACACAGGGGAAAAACCATATAAATGTATGGATTGTGGAAAGAGATTCAGTCAGATTGGACAACTTAGAAACCATCAACGAACCCACACAGGGAAAAAACCTTATAAATGTATGGCGTGTGGAAAGAGCTTCACCGATAGTGGAACATTTACAAAACATCAACGGACTCACACAGGGGAGAAACCATTTGAATGTATGGAATGTGGAAAGAGCTTCACTTCTAATGGAGCAGTAAGAAGACATCGATGGACTCACTCAGGGGAAAACCATTTAAATGCATGGAATGTGGAAAGAGTTTTATTGAGAGTAGAGAGCTGAGAACCCATCATCGAACTCACACTGGGGAGAAACCATTTAAATGCACAGAGTGCGGAAAGAGCTTCAATCGCAGTGGAACACTTAGAAAACATCAATGGACTCACACAGGGGAGAAACCATTTAAATGCATGGAATGTGGAAATAGCTTTATTGATGGTACAGCACTTAGTATCCATCATCAAATTCACACAGGGGAGAAACCATTTAAATGTAAGGAGTGTGGAAAGGGCTTCACCAGTGTTGGAAATGTTAGAAGACATCAACGGACTCACACGGGAGAAACCATTTAAATGTATGGAGAGTTGAAAGAGTTTCTTTCAGAGTGGAACCCTAATTTCACACACAGGAAACTTAGACGACATCAACAGACTCACTCGGGGACAAGCAAATAAATGTATGGAGTGTGGAAAGAGCGTCAATAGAAGTGGAAACCTTAGCAAACATCAGCGAACTCAAAAAGGGAAAACCACTTACGTATATGGAGCGTACATACAGCTTCAGTCCTGATGTTCTTAGAAACCATAAATGGACTCGCAAGGAGGAAAAGCTTTAAGAGTTGAAACCCTACAATCCACAAACTGAAAAATCTAAAATGGTTTGAATGGAAGGAGTGTGGTGCTGGGATGGATGCTGGGATGTTTTTGCCTCTACGCATGGGTCTGGGAATGTTCTGATCAGTTCACATTGAGTTCAGTACCCTGACCTGTTCTTAACGCATTGTTGACCACATCTACGGAACGCGATTGTTATGTTCTTTCATGTCATGCAAAATCAATCATTAGTAATAGTTTAAGTCTTGATACTCAATCACTAGTTAATAGTTTAATAAGGAGGTTTCACGCCTGTCCAATTCTGTGTTCCCTTTCCCACCCTTTAATCTATTGATGATTAATACCTATATTCAACCCTTGCATTGTATTCATGTTAACCAATCAGCAACAAGCACATATGTAATGCTGTAATATTCAATAAAAGGGACTCTCCGAGACTTGCTCGAGAGATGCCTCCCGTATGACACCTTGCCATTCGTCTGTCACTTATTTCAACCCAACATCTGGTGACCCCGGACGTGCCAGATCCCCTTACGCAGCCTCGATACTTCACTCGACTGGAAAAGTCTCAGCGCGCTACTTCGTGAGTATGGGGGAGCTTACAAGGTTCCAAAAAGAGCATGCTAAGGAGCTGCTTCATTTAGTCAGACAGAGGGTGGCGGGTGTGCATATTTCTTTGAAGGAATTTGAACGATTGTTATGTGAGATTGCTTGCCAATGCCCCTGGTACCCGGAGGTAGGGTCTTTGGGGATAGAGGCTTGGCAAAAGATCGGAAAAACCCTCTTCGCAGAACCGAGGGCTCCAATTCATTGTCTGCTCACTTGGCAGAAATGTGCAGATGCCGTCGCTAAATTAGGATCTCAGGCATCTCCGTCAGCCCCTGCCCTTCTAGCCGCTGCAGACAATCCCCCACCTTACCCACAGCTTCTGCCCCCATCGCAACCTTCCCTACCCCCCCTACGCCTCAGCCCACATCCACCCCCCCACCCCCTTCCCTCCCTCCTTCGCCTGCCTCAGCCCCTGCGTGCTCTCCCACAGGAGCTGTGCGTGCTGCGCTTTTTCGAGCTAGACAGAAAGGAATCCTCTCCTTGGAGGAAGAGGCTGGGTGGGCTGGGGAAATAATAATAATAATAATAATAAATTTTATTTATATCCCGCCCTCCCCAGCCAAAGCCAGGCTCAGGGCGGCTAACAACAAACAAATAATCAAACAATCAAATAATCCAACATTCTAAAACATTTCATTATAAAAAATAATTAAAATCAAATTAATGGCAACCGTTAAGCAAAGTTCTGTGCAGGTTGCCAGAGGTGGGAGTCAGGCTGGGCCCTGACCAAAGGCCTGGTGGAACAACTCTGTCTTGCAGGCCCTGCGGAAAGATGTCAGGTCCCGCAGGGCCCTAGTCTCTTGTGACAGAGCGTTCCACCAGATTGGAGCCGCAGCCGAGAAAGCCCTGGCTCTAGTTGAGGCCAGCCTAACCTCTCTGAGGCCTGGGACCTTCAGGATGTTTTTATTTGCAGACCGTAGGTTCCTCTGTGGGGCATACCAGGAGAGGCGGTCCCGTAGGTACGAGGGTCCTAGGCCGTATAGGGCTTTAAAGGTTAAAACCAGCACCTTAAACCTGATCCTGTACTCCACCGGGAGCCAGTGCAGCTGGTATAGTACCGGATGAATGTGATCTCGCAGCGAAGACCCCATAAGGAGTCTCGCCGCGGCATTCTGCACCCGCTGGAGTTTCTGGGTCAGTCTCAAGGGCAGCCCCACGTAGAGCGAGTTACAATAATCCAGTCTGGAGGTGACCGTCGCGTGGATCACAGTGGCTAGGTCAGGGCGAGAGAGATAAGGGGCCAACTGCTTAGCTTGGCGGAGATGAAAAAATGCCGCCTTTGTTATAGCTGTAATCTGCGCCTCCATAGAGAGGGAGGTATCGAAGATTACACCCAAACTCTTAACGGACGGTGCTGGCACTAATTGCACCCCGCAAGAGATGGGAGTTGCCCCCCCAATCCCATATCGTCCCGTCCCAGCCAGAGGACCTCTGTCTTCGAAGGATTTAACTTCAACCGGCTTCCGCGTAACCATCCAGCCACAGCTTCCAAACATCTGGTCAGTGTGTCTGGGGCCGAGTCAGGATGGCCATCCATCAACAGATAGAGTTGGGTGTCATCGGCATACTGATGGCAACCCAGCCCAAAACTCCGGACAAGCTGGGCAAGGGGGTGCATAAAGATGTTAAAAAAGCATCGGGGAGAGTATCGCACCCTGAGGCACTCCACACACCAAGGAGTGGCGGGATGACAATTCCCCCAAGCGCCACCCTCTGTCCCCGACCGGAGAGAAACGAGCGCAGCCATTGAAGGACTGTGCCCTGGATCCCCACGTCGGCAAGGCGGTGGTCCAGGAGTTCGTGATCAACCATGTCGAAGGCTGCTGACAGGTCTAGAAGAATCAGCAGCCCCGACCCGCCTCGATCCAGCTGCCTGCGGAGATCATCTGTTAGGGCGACCAGAGCCGTCTCGGTCCCATGACCAGCGCGGAAGCCAGACTGGAATGGATCCAGAGCCGATGTTTCATCCAGAAACCTACCAAGCTGTTCAGCAACCGCTCTCTCAATCACCTTACCCAGGAATGGAAGATTCGAAACCGGGCGGTAATTGGATAGATCTAAGGGATCTAATGATGTTTTCTTTAAGAGCGGGCGCACCACTGCCTCCTTCAATTCCCCTGGAAATATCCCGGTGCCAAGGGACAAATTGATGATACCCCCAGGGGGGCCCGCACCTCGTCTGGACACGCTCTAATCAGCCAAGACGGGCACGGGTCAAGAGGACAGGTGGTGGGCTTTCCAGCTCGGAGGAGTCTGTCCACATCGGCTGGGGATATCCGATCAAAGTGGTCCAATACTGGACCCGAGGACAGTCGAGGGGCCTCCAGTTCCTTTATTGTATCCAAATTGGCAGGGAGGTCATGGCGGAGCAACAGGACCTTCTCCGCAAAAAGCTCGCAAATGCCTCACAGCTGTGTGTCAGATTGTTATTTAAATTTGGCTGTCCTTCAAGGGACGTTAAAGACCTAATTATACTAAATAATTGCGCCGGGCGAGAGCTAGCGGATGCAATGGAGGCCGAGAAGTAAGACTTCTTAGCAGCCTTCACCGCCATCTCGTAGGTTTTCATAAAAGCCCTATAAGATGTTCTTGAGGCTCCGTCACGGGCACCCCGCCATACTCGCTCTAGCCGTCTGAGGTCCCGCTTCATTTTCCGGAGCTCCTCTGTAAACCAGGGAGCCCGGTTTCTGCGGGGTCGCAGAGGGCGCTTAGGTGCGATCTCATCAATGGCTGCCAGGAGCTGGGTATTCCAGCCCTCAACAAGCTCAGTCAATGAGTCGCCAGGGGGAGCAAGGTCCCGCAAGGCTTGACGGAATCTATCAGGGTCCATCAGCCTCTGCGGGCGAGCCCAAATCGGCTCGCCACCTAAGCAGGGTGGGGGTGGAAAGTCAATCCTGGCTTTCAGAGCGTAGTGATCAGACCATGGCACCTTAATTGAAGGAGACATGATCACATCTATACCTGCGCCAAAGATCAAATCCAGCGTGTGGCCTGCTTGATGTGTGGGGCCTGAAACAAACTGGGAGAGCCCTAGTGTTGCCATGGAAGACACCAGGTCCAGAGCCTGTGAGGAGGGAGTGGCATCAGCATGGATGTTGAAGTCCCCCAATACCAATAGGTTAGGGAACTCCAAGGCCCAGCCGGCCACCGCCTCCAGTAGGCCTGACAGGGTGGCTGCTGGTGCGCTAGGTGGCCGGTACACCAGCCAGACAGCCAAGCTCACCTCAGAGCCCCACACTAGGCCAACACATTCAATGCCGGGGATCGATGGCGATGGTAGAGCCCTGAAAGGACAATCTTCCCGGATTAATAATGCCACCCCTCCCCCCCGGCCCACAGTCCGTGACTGGTGGAGGACGGAGAAACCCGGGGGCGCCATCTCTCGTAAGGTAACTGTTGCCCCTTCGCGTACCCAGGTCTCCGTCACACAAGCCAGGTCAACCCCCTGCGAGGTAAAGAAATCTCGCAGAGTGGCGGTTTTGTTGCCTATAGACCTGGCATTGCACAGCACCAGTGACGGAGGTGAGTAATCCTTGCTCACCCTACCCTCGTCCCTCGGGATGGGGCGCAGATTGGAAGGGGTACGAGCATATCCGTATCTCGATCCCCTTCGCCTATAACATCTGCCCCCACCACCATACATCCCTCGCCCCTCCACGGTAGCAATCCCAAGCCTCATACAAGCCTCCATTTACAAAATAGAAAACCAAACCAAACTGAAAACAATTCTACCTAAACAAAACCAATCCCCACCCCAAACCACAGTAAAACAGAACAAAATAAAAATACATAGATAAAAACCGCTGTTCACGGTGGTACAATAAAGTAAAAAGTAAAAACACCTTTAAAATACTTTAAAATATATAAAAACATTTTTAACATTTGCTGCAGCAGCACCAGTGTCCTTAAAACTGTAGCGGAGGTGAGTCTGGGCCCCACCCCTAGGCCTGGTGGAATCAGCCTGAAGAGGGAGCGGCCTTCCCCAACACTCACGGTGCAGCAGCAGCGATGTCCCAATGCCTCAGTGAGGCTTCTTAAAGCTGTGGCGAAGGTGAGTCTGGGCCCCGCCACCCTAGGCCTGGTGGAATCAGCCTGAAGAGGGAGCGGCCTTCCCCAGCACTCACGGTGCAGCAGCAGCGATGTCCCAATGCCTCAGTGAGGCTTCTTAAAGCTGTGGCGAAGGTGAGTCTGGGCCCCGCCCCTAGGCCTGGTGGAATCAGCCTGAAGAGGGAGCGGCCTTCCCCAGCACTCACGGTGCAGCAGCAGCGATGTCCCAATGCCTCAGTGAGGCTTCTTAAAGCTGTGGCGAAGGTGAGTCTGGGCCCCGCCCCCTAGGCCTGGTGGAATCAGCCTGAAGAGGGAGCGGCCTTCCCCAACACTCACGGTGCAGCAGCAGCGAATGCCGTCTGCCTTCCCTATCTCCTATACAAACCCTGGCACTGCGCAACACAAATTATGTATGAGATGCTTCCTTATTCTATTCTGAAAGAATTAAGGAAAGCTATTACTGATTCTGGCCTAAAATCCTCTTATGTGCTAGGGATGCTGGAGGGGATCGCAACTGGTTATACAATGCTACCTCAAGATTGGAAAGATCTGATGCGCATGCTTTTATCCCCGGCTCAGTATGTGGTTTTTGAAAGTGAATTTAAGCATAGCGCAGTAGCCCTGGCTGATCCACAGCATTCAGCCAACCAACTCTTTGGTGCTGGTCCGTATGATAATATACCAGCCCAGGCGCAATTGACACCTTTACATTTTAGTCGCACCGCGACTTGTGTACAACGCGCCTTTCGCAAAGTCCCTGTCTCAGGGCAACCGCTGAGCTCCTTTGTTAATATTAAGCAACAACATTCGGAGCCTTACCATCAATTTATAGATAGATTGAAAGAATCAATCACTAGGCAGATTGATGACACTACAGCTCAAAATGAATTGATGAAAAAATTGGCTTTTGAAAATGCAAACACTGATTGCAAGAAGGCTTTGCAGTCAATTATACATCGCCCTAAATATGGCCTGGCCGATATGATTCAGACCTGTGCCGATGTTGGCAGCCAGAGTCATGCGATGTCTTTGCTTGCCGGTGCCATCCAGGCTGGCAATAAGCCCACGGGCAACTGCTTCAATTGCAAACGCCCAGGTCATTTTGCTAAACAATGCAGAGCCCCTGGCGGGGGAGCAAACAGGAATGGTGAAGCCAATAAGGCTAAGCCTTCCAAGAAATGCCCGAAATGCGGTAAAGGCTATCATTGGGCAAATCAGTGCAGGAGTTCGGGAAACTCCATGGGGGCCTAGCTCTCGGGCCAGGACAAAAAAGAGAGCCCTCCGCCGTTCGTCTCCACTATTAAGACCTTTTCTAATGATACACCCTCTGATTTCACCATTGACTTCATTAATCAGGAAACCAAAGACGCTGTTTTACCTGGTGAAATTGTGCTCATGCCCACTCAGTTGGCGGGCCCACTACCACCTAAGGTCGCAGGCTTAATTTTGCCCAAATTCTCTGCGGCCAAAGAAGGAATCCTGGTTATTCCGGGAGTCCTAGATCCTGACTACGTGGGCACAATCATGGTTCAACTCTGGAGCCATATGCCCATGCAGTTAAAAAAAAAGGGTGATTCTTGGGCGCATTTGGTGGTGCTCCCTTCTCATCCTACTGCTTCTATTGTGGATAGTAATTTGCACCAGCTCTCTCCCTTCCCCTTTCTCCACAGCTGTTAGCTGTAATCCAGAGGATTGGTCAACAGAAACTTCTTCGTAAGTATAAAATCAATGGCTAGGTTCTGGAAGGCTTGATTGACACGGGCGCAGACATTTCTGTCATATCCAGTAGTTGCTGGGCCCCTTGAGTCTGCCTCTGCGGTTTGGGGCGTGGGTGGACCTCAAACCTCAACCAAAAGCGTAAAGTGGTTGCCTGTTTCTCTGCCTGATAGCTCTGAAACCATTGCATACATCCAGCCTTGCGTGCTAAAAATCCACCTTAATCTGTGGGGCAGAGATTTACTACAACAATTACAAGCTACCATTCAATTTAATGAGTAAGCTTGCACTCCCCCTCAACTGGAAGTCAACCATCCCGGTATGGGTAGAACAATGGCCCATAACGGGGGGAAAGCTACTTGCTTTAAAAGAATTGATGAATCAACAATTATCGGCGAACCATATCGAGTCCTCAGTTAGCCCCTATAACACTCCCATCTTCGTCATAAAAAAGAAAAGTGGGAAATGGAGATTTCTCCAGGATTTAAGGAAAATTAATGACATCCTTGAACCCACGGGGCCTTTGCAGTGTGGTCTGCCTAATCCGAATGTGATCCCCCATTCTTATCAATTGGCTATCATAGATTTGCAAGATGGTTTCTTCTCCATCCCCCTACAGGAGAAGGATTGTAAATTCTTTGCTTTCCCTGTTCCTGTGTTAAATAAGAGCCAGCCCACGGAACGGTATCAATGGAAAGTCCTACCGCAAGGAATGCTGAATTCCCCTACCATGTGCCAACAATACATCAGCCATGGCACACCCTGCTGCTTAAGCCGTTTGTCCATCATTTTACCCAAAAAGCATCATTTGACCCGCTCTAGATAGCGCCGCTCTGTGGAATTGACTAATGATTGTGATGATTCTGTCTCTCTTCCCAGTAGGTCTGAATATATCTCTTTAGCTGTTTCTCTCTTAGGAGTCCCTGGATTGGCTGTACGGAATAGTATGAACATTAATTCCTTAGCTTGTTCTGCAGCAAAAGCCCTGAATTTTACTTCACAAGCTCTTCACCTTCTGAATAAAGAACAGAGTGAACTTCATAATGGACTTTTACAAAATCGTGCTGCTATCACTATTTGCTCATGCTTCATCATTATGGCTGTGAACAAGTGAATGACATGTGTTGCTTCAATATTACTGATAATTCTAAAGCCATTCAAAAGCAAATCTCTCATTTGCAAAATCTCACACATCACATTAAACTGGACGTTGGATTCTCTGGCCTCTGGGATTCGTTCACCCAGTGGCTCACTGGCTGGTTGCCTAACCTGAATTGGCTTCGTAATCTTTTCCAATATGCTATTGTCATAATATGTATACTAATTTTGCTATGCTGCTTCATCCAATGCATTCCTGGTCTCATGCGTCTTTGGTCTCAGTTTTTTTTCTCCTCCTCTGCCACCTAATAAAATCATTGCCGCCTACTATGCGAAATGGCAACATCAACTGTAAATGATAGGGGAGATGTGGGCAGACTTATTTCGGGCATGCGCTGGCATACCACGTATCCCGAAGTAATTTTGTCCCGTCCACCCTGGCGAACGTATTTCGGGCATGCGCTGGCATACCACGTATCCCGAAGTATTTTTGTCTTATTCAACCAAAGTAACACCTCGCCGATAAGAAAAGAAAGGGGGAGATGCTGGGATGGATGCTGGGATGTTTTTGCCTCTACGCATGGGTCTGGGAATGTTCTGATCAGTTCACATTGAGTTCAGTACCCTGACCTGTTCTTAACGCATTGTTGACCACATCTACGGAACGCGATTGTTATGGTCTTTCATGTCATGCAAAATCAAGCATTAGTAATAGTTTAAGTCTTGATACTCAAAGTCCCAGTCCCAAATCTTAATCCTGCCACCCTAAGATGATATAAGCAAGCCCCACATTCCTCTTTCCACCTGCAATAGGGAGGTTAGAACAACACTTAATACCCTGCAGGGATCATAAGAGCCAGAACTGCTTTGCATTCACAAACGCTATGTGAAATATCACTAGTGAATGGAATAATTCAAACAAGGAAACCAACAACAGTATTAAAATTGCAGGGAGAGAGAGAAAAACTGGATTTGAAATGACCAAACCACAAGATGAAAAGTCTCCATACTAAATGAGGGAAGGGGGAGGCATGGGGGGGGGCTTTTGAAGTCTCCCTGCTGGCAAGGGAATTCCAGAGCAAGGGCGCCTCTGTCTGTCTGGAGTCCCTCACTGCCTCATCTCCAGCAGGAAGGGGGGATTTCCAGACTGGGACCCTTCACTGTTAGGGGGAGGTGCTGGGGCCTGGGCAGCTGGATGGATGGACATCAGCCTGCAGAAATGCTCCCCCTTCCTTTCACAGGACTGTTGTGGTGTTGCATGTGTGTGACAAGGCAACACTCAAGAACAGTTCCCACCAACCAACATTACATCATTCCTCCACTGCCCACAAGAGGGCGATCTCTCCTCTAGACATGGTAGAATCCTAGAATTGCAGAGTTGGAAGGGACCACGAGGGTCATCTAGTCCAGCCCCCTGCAATGCAGGAATATTTTGCCCAAAGTGGGGCTTAAACCCACGACCCATAGATTCAGAGTCTCGTGCTCTACTGGCTGTGCTCTAAAAGGGAGTTTCAGTTCAAGCAGAGCCCAGAATAATTAGTGTTGCCATATTTCAAAAAGTAAAAACCAGGACAAGCCCAAAATTGTAGTGCTTTTTTTAAAAACAAGGCCCAAATAAATGCCAAAAAAGCCCATGATTTTTCGATTGACTTGTCTTAAATTCAGGACAAAGTGCCATCTTTTGGAAATTCCGCCTTTGAAATCTTTTGCTAGTCTTTCTGTTGAATGGGGTGGGGGGTTTTCAATCTGGCCAGTCCCCACGCAAAAGAATAAATGGAAACGTATCAAAAAGGGCAGCATTTGGAACCCACCCTGGTTGCAAACCACTCTGGGTCCTTTGGCCTCCTGCCAGCAGAACTGCCTGAACTGCTAGATCCGCACATGGGAGCAGAGTAGGACTTCCTTCCGAGTAAGCAGGCATCGGATGGAAAATTGTGTATCAATAAGGCTTTTGGCCATGAATTTATACCTACAGCTAAAACAAAAAATGAAGAAAGACAGTCAGTTAGGATTACCCCAAAAACCCTAAAAACTATTTGTGAATTCCCCCCCCCCCCAAGCCAGGCCTCAAAGCCTTGCCTCAAGCATTTTTAAAACTGCATTTCCTCTAAGACAAAAAGCATTAGCTAAGCATATTCCTCTTGCTGTAACTAAAAGACTGCAACAAAGGTAGGGAACAGAGTCCATTGTTTTCTCAGAGCCTTTGGCCTTGCTAAAACCAGATTGCAACTTACTTTCTGTCCGGGAGCCATTCCAAAGCTCAAGAATGAAACATAACTGGAACACTCTGAAACCCCCTGGTTCCTCACCCCCTTTCCTGGGAAGAGTTCAAAAAATGGTCCCAAGACAGGAACTTTCTGTTCATGCTCAGGAGACACATGGGAGGAGAAAGGGGAGGGAACTGGAAGGGGATATATGAGGAGATTCCACCCCTCCCATATCCAAGAATCTCCTGATGAGTCTGGTGATTTTCCAGAGAGGAGGGGTGGTGTTCTGCTCTCTACTTATTCTGCTCCAGCACCACATCAAAGAGTCAGTCAGTCATTGTGTCGGAGAGAGAGAGACTGAGTGTTAGAGATCGTGTGTATAGATAAGGTTGCTGGTAAGAGAAGCTGCAGACACTCAGTGCGGTTTAGCATTCTTTATGCTTAGACCTCATTTAGCTCTGTATATAGTTGTATAATAGTTGTAGATAGAATGAAGAAGATATTCTACAGAGCTGCTCTCCGAGTCGTTTATGCTCTGCTATACTCTGCTGTGCGACGACTGTCTTCTGGTGGGAGTGAATCCGGTGCTCACAACTCTAAGCTGTGAGTCCACAGCACTTTGACCTGTTCCTGTGCAGAAGGTGGTCTCTGGAACTGCTACCCAGCTCGCCTAGCCCAGTCGGGCTGAAGTGGATTAGTCCAGTTGGTGGCACTGGCTCAAGGGCGACACTGTGCAATGGCTGTGAACTTCGTGCTTGTTTTGTGACTTTATCACACTTGCTCCTCTCCCCCCCCCCCCATGGCAGAATAAAAAGCTCTTTCTTTGGATTTAACCCCTTGGTGTCGTTTGGCTCCTTTCGTCCCTGCTCGGGTGCAACATTTTCCTATCCATGGTTAAAAGGGCCTAGAAAGGCTACAAAAAGAGAGGAGGTTCTTTATGCAGGCCCCAAACTAGACCCCAAGCAGCTATTTAAGGACAGTGAGGGAAGAATTATTAGTTTGGAAGTGACATTGCCAGGAAGGAAGAACAGTCCTGGTGGAAGAATTATACACAGCAAATGGGAAGAAATCAGACTTTTACATACTGTATGGGATGCAGGCAGTGGTGAGGGGCTTTTATACAGCCTTCTTTCTAGAGAAGCTCCAAAAGCAAGATATATGAGCAGAAATGAGGGCGAATGAGAAGAAATCCACTAATAAAGCAGGGAGCCCGGGGAATCTGCCTCCTTGGCGCCTGAAACTGAGGCGAGGCTCAGATTTCGAAGGGCGGGAAGTTGGGAAAAGGCGGGAAAAGTCGTTGAGGGGAAGAAGCAGCGGGGGGGGGAGGGGCTCCTCCTCTCTTGCCCCTCAGAGACACGACAGGGCCCCTCTTGGGAGGGGAGCAGAAAGGGGTCTCTCTCTCTCCCCCTCACAACCCCATTGCACTCCTCTCATGGCGGAAGGGGACCCCACCCTCTCCCTGCCTGGCGAGGGGGCAGCCGGGCCAAGGGGGTCTCTGGGCGCAGGAGAGCCTGTGGGGAGGAGGGGGGAGAGGAAAGGAAGCGCCCCTTCTCTCTCAGGCAGCCCCATGTCTCTTCCCACCCCCCCCCCAGGCTGGGTCCATCTCTGGGCTTCACAAAGGACCTTGCGAGGCAAACCTGGGCGGGGGGGGGAGGGACCCCCTGGCTCAGCCCCTCCCCCACTCTCCTGACCCACAGGGGGAGGGGCAGCCCTTCCCTCCTTCTCATTCAGCCTCTCCCCTCCCAACCTCCCTGTTTGCAGATTGAAAACCACGTCCTTCTCTCCCCGCAAACCCAGGTCACCCCCAGATATGATGCCCCCCCGCAGCCATCTCGCCCCCTGCTGTGGGGAGGAGGAAGGAGGGGGGCCAGGCCCCCATGGAGCCCCCAAAGGCAGCGCCGTCCCGTCAGCTTCCCATCTCAACACAGGGAGAGGCTGCTCTATGGACGTAGCTCTAGGGGCAAGCGCATCCCAAAAGGAACCGGAAGTGTTGTAGCTAAATGTGCCGGAAGTTGCCAGACAGAGGAAGGAGGAGGGGCGTCGCTGAAGAGCCCCCCGCCCGCCGCCGCCCTTTCTATTGCAGACAAGCAAAGCGGAGTAATCTGGAGCCAGGGAGGCGGAGGACCAAGAGGTAAAGAGGGAGAGAAGGGGGGGAAATAGAGGGGGGGATAAGGGGGGAGGACAAAGAGACCCCCCCCAAGGAAAGCGCCCTCCCTGGGGCCCGTCGACAGGGGCCCCGATCCAGGCGACCCAGGTGGGAAGGGGGGACCCAACACCTGCAGGGCTGGCCTTGCAAGATCTCCTGGGCAGCAGCAGCACCGCCAGACTCCCCTTTCTCTTTCCTGGGGGGCCGAGAGATGCTCAGCTGCCCTGCCCCCCCTGGAGGCCTTGGCGGGAAGGGGAACGAGGACCCCAAGCAGGGCTGGGGGTGGGGCTGAGGCCCCCCATTCTCCCTGGGGTCGTGGGGCGCCTGGCTGGGTCCCTAAGAGACCAGCTGAGTTTGTTCTGGGGATAAGCTTTCGTGTGCATGCACACGAAACTGAATTTACTGAGCAACAGTGGTCCGCCCAGCGGGCTGAACTTGCTGCTGTAATCCTTGCCTTTCAACTCTTTCCTGATAAACCTTTTAATTTGCTTGTTGATACACAATATGTGTATCGCCTTCTGTCTTCCCTGCCTGTTTCTTATATCATGCCTGCGTTAGATGCTGATTTGTTTGTTCTTTTTTCTACCTTGCAGTATCTTATTCAAGAACGCCGTCATCCTTTTTATGTTGCACACCTTCGTTCCCACACCAATCACCCAGGGTTTTTGGCTCAGGGAAATGCCGTGGCAGACGCTGCACTGCGATCTGAAGTGTTTTCTTTGTTTTCTGACCCTATTCTCTCTCATTCTACCTTTCACCAGCCTGCTAAAGTTTTGGCAAAAATGTTTAAAATCCCTATTGCACAGGCACGAGACATTGTCTCTCAATGTTCTACCTGTTCTAAAGCTCGAACCATGATTCCCTTTGATGCGGTGAACCCTAGGGGTACGTCCCTCTTGCGGTTTGGCAGATGGATGTTACTCACCCCTCTGCTCGCCCCATTTTCAAAAGTTCACTTGACAGTGGACACCTCATCTGGATTTATCTGGGCCACCCCATTGAAGGGTGAGACCGCTCGTCACGTCATTCAGCACACCCTGCGCTGTTTTGCTGTGATGGGTAAGTCACAAAGCATTAAAACAGATAATGGCCCAGCCTATATCTCCTCTCAGTTTTCATCCTTTTGTGATTTATGGAATGTGAAATTAATCCATGGTTTGCCTTTTAATTCAACAGGACAGGCGATTGTGGAGAGGGCGCACTTGACCTTCAAGACACTGCTGTCCAAACAACTTGGAGGTCGAAATGCCCCCTCCGCCGAGATTCCTTCAATTGTGCATACTGTTTTATTCACTCTTAACCATCTTTTGTATCCCCATAATAGGGAATATACACCGGCTGGCTGCATCCACAGCACCTTCGAAGACATCGACGCTCAGCTAGCCATGATCCCAGCATTTTGTCTAAAACTAATCGTTCAGAGGACTATCATGCTCTCTGGACTGATAATACCTTTGTAAAAGACATGGCTCAATTGTCAAAGATTTTGAATTATACTAATTGTTGGATTTGTATGCACATTCCTCCACAGGCTCGACGCTCTGGCATATTGTTACATGGTATCCCCATTAATGATTCTTTTAAGATAAGTAATAATCTCAAGATTAACCGCACACGTTTTCCACCAGTGGTATTGACCTTGTTAGAACCAGCAGATAGGTGTTTTAAGTTTAAACATAACACATCTGTATTTCTAGGGAACTATCCTAATTGTGCTTGGACTTATGAATATGTCAATACCTCCTCTTGTTTCTTGAACACAACCACACGCAGTGGAAGGCCACCAGTAATTATAGGGAATGTTACCTACCGTATGACATGGGGCCAGCATGCAATGTGCAATGATTTTGATGGATGGCTATGGTGGATGAAAAAGAGTAGTAGGACATCTATGGTTTTACAGAATGATCTTTGGCTTTTCTGCGGATGTAAAGCCTATAAGTAAATTCCTAAAAGTTTTTCAGGGATTTGCACCCTTGGTATTGTAGTTCCATTGATTTATAAGTTAGATAATATATCCTCGCTTCGGCTTCGCAATAAGAGAGATGTTAATGCTCCTATAGTTCATTATGCTGAAACTGCAATTGCTAGGGCTGCCCTGCCCCCTCTTGGTGTTGCCATGAATTACAGGGACCTCCACAGACTCTCCAACTGGACAGAAGGGCTATTCAATGCAACTATAAAAGCCTTGAAAGTAATTAATCAAGAAAGGTCCAATATTCGTGAGGTTACCCTGCAGAATCGCTATGCTTTGGACACCATTTTGGCCTCCAAGGGAGGGTGTGTGGGTTAGTGTTGTCACACTGCTGTATGTATATAAAAGATTATAATCTTAGTATTTCTACAACTATTAATGAAATGGAAGCCATGGTTAAACAAAATCCGATCTCACATCCTCCCATTCCTGACCCTTGGGAATGGCTTTTTTCCTGGCTCCCTGATGGATTTTGGTTTCGTCATTTATTGCTAATAGGCTTAGGATTGGTTATAGGATTTGTGTGTATTTGTTGTTGCATACAATGTGTTCCCTCGCTGATCACCCAATGTATGGGGTGGTGGTCTTCGCGACGCACTTCCTTAGGTGTCCCCCGCCGAGAATATGTTGCCAGATATACGCGCTTTCGCAATGAAATTTATGACTCTGATTAAATAATATAAAAAAGGAGGGCATGTGGGGATGCAATAGAAAAATAGCACCCTTGTGCAAGATTGTGCAAGAGGAAGCATCTGCTGACTTGTTCCCCCACCCGCCTGGGTCACTGTCGCGCTGCCTAACCACAAAGCTTACGCGGCTGTCATGCTGTCTGGAGTTATGTCCTGGTAGAGAATAGTTATTCTAAGAAATGCAAACCCTAGCTGTTTTCCACCCGAGTGCTACACGTGTATATGCAACATGATGTAATGTGCGCAAGGCTAATAAACATGCAAGGCTGCTGGGAGAGAGAGCTCACTCCTTGCTTAAACCTTCACCCATGACTCCTCGTCATTTTCCTCCACACCTGGTGGGCTGGTTCCCCGACATCTTCTTTCTTGTAGTTTGGATCCATTGCTCCGTGTCCGCTTCTCTGGAGCAGCAGAAAACAACCTTTCTCCCTCCTCTATATGACATCCTTTTATATATTTGAACATGGCTATCATATCACCCCTTAACCTCCTCTTCTCCAGGCTAAACATGCCCAGCTCCCTTAGCCGTTCCTCATAAGGCATCGTGTCCAGGCCTTTGACCATTTTGGTTGCCCTCCTCTGGACACGTTCCAGTTTGTCAGTGTCCTTCTTGAACTGTGGTGCCCAGAACTGGACACAGTACTCCAGGTGAGGTCTGACCAGAGCAGAATACAGTGGCACTATTACTTCCCTTGATCTAGATGCTATACTCCTATTGATGCAGCCCAGAATTGCATTGGCTTTTTGAGCTGCCGCGTCACACTGTTGGCTCATGTCAAGTTTGTGGTCAACCAAGACTCCTAGATCCTTTTCACATGTACTGCTCTCAAGCCAGGTGTCACCCGTCTTGTATTTGTGCCTCTCATTTTTTTTTGCCCCAGTGCAATACTTTACATTTCTCCCTGTTAAAGTTCATCTTGTTTGTTTTGGCCCAGTTCTCTAATCTGTCAAGGTCGTTTTGAAGTGTGATCCTGTCCTCTGGGGTGTTAGCCAACCCTCCCAGTTTGGTGTCATCTGCAAATTTGATCAGGATGCCCTTGAGTCCATCATCCAAGTCGTTGATAAAGATGTTGAATAAGACCGGGCCCAAGACAGAACCCTGTGGCACCCCACTAGTCACTCTTCTCCAGGATGAAGAGGAACCATTGATGAGCACCCTTTGAGTTCGGTCAGTCAGCCAGTTACAAATCCACTGAGTGGTAGCATAGTCAAGACCGCATTTTACCAGCTTCTTTACAAGAATATCATGGGGCACCTTGTCAAATGCCTTGCTGAAATCAAGGTAGGCTACATCCACTGCGTTCCCTTCATCTACCAGGCTTGTAATTCTGTCAAAAACGAGATCAGGTTAGTCTGACATGACTTATTTTTCAGAAATCCATGCTGACTTGGTGATCACAGCATTCCTTTCTAGGTGCTCACAGACTGTTTGCTTAATGATCTGCTCCAGAATCTTCCCTGGTATTGATGTCAGACTGACTGGGCGGTAATTATTTGGGTCCTCTCTTTTCCCCTTTTTGAAAATAGGGACAACATTTGCCCTCCTCCAGTCTGCCGGGACTTCGCCTGTTCTCCAGGAATTCTCAAAGATGACTGCCAGTGGTTCTGAGATCACATCTGCCAGTTCTTTTAATACTCTTAGATGCAGTTCATCTGGCCCTGGAGACTTGAATACATCTAAACTATCCAAGTATTCTTGTACTATCTCCTTAGTTATTCTGGGCTGTGTTTCCTCTGCTGAATCATTTGCTCCAAATTCTTCAGGTCGGGCATTGTTTTCTTTATCGGAGAAGACTGAGGCAAAGAAGGCATAGAGGAGTTCAGCCCTTTCTGTGTCCCCTGTTTGCATTTCACCATCTTCTCCTCTGAGTGACCCACTGTTTCTTTGTTCTTCCTTTTGCTACGGACATACCCATAAAAGCCTTTTTTGTTGCTTTTAACCTCTCTAGCAAGCCTGAGTTCATTCTGTGCTTTAGCTTTTCTGACTTTGTGTCTACACGTGCTGGCTATTTGTTTGAATTCCTCTTTGGTGGTTTCCCCCTTTTCCATTTTTGTACACATCCTTTTTAATCTTAACTCAGTTAAAAGTTCTTTAGATAGCCACCCTGGCTTCTTTAGGCACCTTCCATGTTTCCGTCTCATTGGTATTGCCTGACGTTGTGCTTTTACTATCTCCCTCTTAACAAACTCCCAGCCATCATGAACTCCCTTTCCTTTTAGTATTACTGTCCATGGGATCTCACCCAGCACTTCCCTAAGTTTTATGAAGTCGGCTTTCTTAAAGTCAAGAAATTGAGTCCTAGTATGCTTGGCTGCTCCTTTCCGCTGTATAGTAAACTTCAGAAGAGCATGATCACTCGCGCCTAATGATCCTTCCACTTCTACCCCACTAACCAGGTCATCAACATTGGTTAGGACCAGATCTAAAATGGCTGTTCCTCTTGTTGCTTCTCCCACTTTCTGGACAATGAAGTTGTCTGCAAGGCCAGTGAGGAATCTGTTTGACCTTATGCTCTTGGCTGAGTTTGACATCCAACAAATATCCGGGTAATTGAAGTCCCCCATTACTACTATCTCCCTTCCTTTTGCATGCTTGGCCATCTGTTCCAGGAAGGCATCATCTATGTCCTCCGTTTGGCTTGGGGATCTATAGTAAACTCCCACAATGAGGTCACTGTTATTCTTCTCTCCCTTAATTTTGACCCAAATGCTCTCACTTTGGCTTTGAGGTTCTAAATCTTGGATCTCTTCACAGGTATACACATCCCTGACATATAACGCCACTCCTCCCCCTTTCTTGCCTGGTCTGTTTCTCTGAAATAGGTTGTATCCCTCCATTATTACATTCCAATCGTGGGACTTATCCCACCAGGTTTCAGTGATGCCTATTATGTCATATTTAGTTTGCTGTACCAAGAGCTCAAGCTCATCTTGTTTATTTCCCATGCTTTGCGCATTAGTGTACAGACATTGAAGTCCATTAATCATTCCCCCGTGTCTCTTATTTAAGGAGTTTTTCCTCCCACCACTAGGTCTGCGTGCTGTTTGCTCCATTTGGTCTATGACATTTGGATGATCATCTTCATCAATTGATAGACTCCTACCTTCAGGAGCACTGTCTCCCTCCCCCCACATTAGTCGGTTTAAAGCCCTCCTGATGAGGTTTCTGAGATTTGTGGCAAAAACATTCCTCCCAACCGTTGTGAGGTGCAGCCCATCGCTTGCAGTCCATCTTCAAGAAACTGCAGTCCGTGATCTAAGAATCCAAACCGTTCCTGTTTACACGTTTCTCCATACATCTGGCACCTGTGTTGGTGAACTAGCCTCCTTCTCAGGGGTGTCCCCTGTCTCCTCCTTGGTGGAGATGGTGTTCTCTGTTGCTTCCAAGAAGAGCTCCAGCTCTCTAATTCTTTGGAGCGTAGCTACACATTCCTCCAGTTGCTGGACTTTGTCTACTAAGAGGGCAATCAACATACAATTGCTGCAGGTAAAGCTGCCTGCAACCTTTGGCAAGATGGCAAACATTTCGCAGGAACCGCAGGCGACTGCAGCTGTTCCCTCCCCCTCCATCTTGAGAACGTGTCGTTGGGGGTGGCTACAGTGGTCCTCCATCTTAAAAAGCGTGAAGACAGGACAAATAACCCCCCTCAAAAAAAACCTAGGTCTCCCCCAACTAACGTTTGAGACTAGCTCCCCAAAATCTAAAAGATGTATCAAACTGCGCGCGACTCCGGGCGTGAGCCGCTGCCCTGCAAGCTCTGATAAGCTCCTCCCACAGCTAATCACCTGCCTCAAGAGAAACCCTGCCCCCTCTGACCTTTGCACAGGGAGAGCAGCTAATCAGCCACAAAGAAACACACACACAAGAAAACCCTTTTTGCTCCTCCTTCAGCTGCTGCCCTGCAAGCTGTGTATATAAATTTGCAAAGGAACAATGGGATTAAGGTTTCCCCTCAACTCTGTATGTTTATTTTATAACATTTTTCCTGTGAAGAAAAGGCATGTTATCTCTGCAGACACAAATTCGCACTTTTGAGAATGGCAAAAACAAGCATCTGTGACAATATCTTCTCATTAGAAAAACTTCCCCAAATAATCTTACAGAATTCCCCCCCCTCCCGCAGAAGCCGCACGCTCCTTAAAGGGTGCCCAGCTCCTGTGGGCTTTTGCGGGAGGTGGGGAATACTCCCAGAGCTTGTCGGGGCTGGCGGGGGAAGCCCAGGATGAAGGCTCGCTGCTGCTCTGCGTAGGCTTCGCGGGCTACCCCACAAGCCAGAACAGCTAGAGAGAGCGCTGCGCAGCGCTCCCTCTAGCTGTTTTAGCTTCTACCTTAGTGGCGCAAAGCCTCCGCAGGGCACCGGGGAGCTCTGCTCAGCACTCCCTTTAAATAATTTTTCCCCCCTTGAATTCCCCCTAGGTGCCCCTTATGATCAGGTGCGCCTTATGGAGCAAAAAATACAGTAGGTAGGAGAAAATAACAGGCCACCCAGAGTATATGGAGAAGCAAAGCGGCTAGTAAGCCTGATCTTTATTGCAACAGTGTCCCCCCCTCACCACAACCAGGAGGGAGGTGTGCAAGGCCCTATATAGTCTTTTCAAATTGCCCACCCAAGACCACCCCCCCCAAATATCATACAGAAGGAGACTGTCTACAGCAGGAATACATCGCAGGAGGTGGTCTACAGCAGAAAACCTGTCCTCAAGGATACCTGTTAATGGTCACTAACTGCATTACCTGGGCAGCCTGGCCATTCTTTTGTGATGGTAAATACTTTAGTTCCTGAATCCAGGTCACAGGCTCACCCTGTTCATCCCTCCTTAAGGCAGTATTTGTAAGCACAAAGACAATGGGAAGGCTTCCATTTGCCTCCTTTACTGCAGGGGAATATTTGAGTACGTTTCCGGGCACAATTCAAAGTGTTGGTGCTGACCTTTCAAGCCCTAAACGGCCTCAGTCCTGTATACCTGAAGGAGCGTCTCCACCTCCATCGTTCAACTTGGACACTGAAATCCAGCGCCGAGGGCCTTCTGGCGGTTCCCTCATTGCGAGAAGTGAGGTTACAGGGAACCAGGCAGAGGGCCTTCTGGGTAGTGGCGCTTGCCCTGTGGAATGCCCTCCCATCAGATGTCAAGGAAATAAGCAGCTATCTTATTTTTAAAGACATCTAAAGGCAGCCCTGTTTAGGGAAGTTGTTAATATTTAATGCTGTATTGTTTTTAACACTTGATTCCCCAGAGTGGCTGGGGAAACTCAGCCAGATAGCCAGGGTATAAATAATAAATTATTTTTATTATTATGGTATTGGGAGAGTTAAAATGATTTCAGGATGGTTCTCCTGTAATTTTTCAGACATGTGGTTTGTATACTTACTGTGAGGAATGTGTGTGGTTGCTCACGAAGTAAACAGCCAGGACTCCATCCTGCCTTTTACAGCTTTTATTGAGTGGACAACTATGTACAGTGCAGAAGTCCAAAATCTATATCTGCCTCAATCACTAGTAGATTCCGGGAGTGGTTTCTTTTGGTTTGCTCTCCAGCACAAAAGCCCGGGAAACCTCCCTCTCCTCCTTTCTTCCTTACGTTTATTTCCCTGGCGAAAACTATGCGACGGAAGCAGCACGTCGCTCTCCCTTTCTGTTTCCCTGGGAGCGGTGTCGTGGCTCACCTCAGCCTGAGTGAGCCTTTGCTTCGTAACAATAATAATAATAATAATAATAATAATAATAATAATTTATTATTTGTACCCCACCGTCTGGCTGGGTTTCCCCAGCCACTCTGGGCAGCTTCCACAAAGACCAAAAATACACTAAGATGTCACACATTAAAAACTTCCCTGAATAGGGCTGCCTTAAGATATCTTCTGAATGTCAGGTAGTTGTTTATCTCTTTGACATCTGGTGGGAGGGCGTTCCACAGGGCGGGCGCCACCACCGGGAAGGCCCTCTGCCTGGTTCCGTGTAGGTTTGATTCTCGCAGGGAGGGAACTGCCAGAAGGCCCTCAGCGCTGGACCTCAGCGTCTGGGCAGAACGGTGGGGGTGGAGACGCTCCTTCATGTATACTGGGCCGAGGCCGTTTAGCTCACCTCTACCTGCAATAAACTCATGAGCTTGTGCCAAAAATGCAAGGTGAACTGCCTCCCCGGTCAGAAATTACCCTTGAAGGAACCCCATGCAGTCAAAAAATATGCCCCTCAAACAACTTGCTGGTCTCCTACGCTGTCACTGCATGGGAACATGCCACTAGTGCCCCTTCACAAGTCCATTTGTCATCTGGGAACATGAGCCTGGCCACGGGAGGTCCCTCTTCCTCCCAGTTCTCGGGCTTGCCAGATAGTGCATCTGCCCTCACGTTCTGCTCTCCTGGAACGTACTGGATCCTAAAGTTAAAGCTGGCAAAAAACTCCACCCAGCGTATTTGTCTTTGGCAAAGCACATGCGCGGTCCACCAGTACTCCAGGTTCTTGTGATCTGTGCACACCTGTATCTGCTGCTTCGCCCCATCAGGAAGTGCCTCCACTGCTTAAAGGCTGCAAAAATAGCCAGCAATTCTTTGTCATAGATACTTTAGTTTTGCTCTGATTTGTTGTTTCCTGGAGAAAAAGATGCACGGCCTCCAATCTCCCCCAGCATCTTGCTGCAGCAGGACCGCTCCGATCACCCGATCAGAGGCGTCGGTTTCCACTCGCAACAGCTTGTCTGGGTTCATGTGCAATAGCTGCCCCTCCGATGCAAAAACCTTCTTTAGTTTATCCAATCCCCTCTGTGCCTCCTCAGTCCACAGAAATTTCTTCCCACTGAGGCAATCAGTTATGGGCGCATTCAAGTGGGCAAAGTTCTTGATAAACTTTCTGTAGAAGTTGCTGAAGCCCTGGTATCGCTGGACATCCTTCTTTGTCTTGGGGCTTTGGGTGTGGAGGATTAGTATGCAGAGGATGAAATACATCATTAGAAACTATGAACGACACAAGTAGAAGGCATGTTCATGGACATTTCTTCATTGCAGGGGGTTGGACTAAATGGCGCCCGGGGTCCCTTCCAACTCTCCAGTTCTATTATTCTATGACACGGGGAGGACGTGGGAGAATGAATGAGATGTTTAAAAAGGAGAATATGCTAATTGAACTTTTTGTGTTTCATATTCTTTTGTTCTCTACCTTGAAACCCGAACAAGACTTTATTTTCCACGCGCTCCAAAGCAAGCAGTGCAGAAGACTTTTCAGGGTATGGAGTCTGGAACAAACTTCACTGGCAGCAGAACACTTAGAAACCATCAACGGACTCACACAGGAGAGAAACCATTTACATGTGTGGAGTGTGGAAAGAGCTTCAGTAAGAGTACAAACCTTTGTTCACATGAACGAACTCACACAGGGGAGAAACCATTTAAATGTATGGAGTGTGGGAAAACCTTCACTTGTAGCGGAACACTTAGAAGACATCAAAGAAATCACACAGGAGAGAAACCATTTGAATGTATGGAGTGTGGAAAGAGCTTTATTGACAGTGGAAAACTTAGAATACATCAACGGATTCACACAGGGGAGAAACCATATAAATGTATGGAGTGTGGAAATTGTTTCACTGACAGTGAAACACTTAGAATTCATAAGTGGACTCACACTGGGGAGAACCCATTTAAATGTATAGAGTGTGGAAAGAGCTTCAGTGCAAGTGGAAACCTTAAAATTCATCAGGTGATTCACACTGGGGAGAAATCATTTAAATGTATAGAGTGTGGAAAGAGCTTCATTGACCATGGAACACTTAGAATTCATCAACGGATTCACACTGGGGAGAAACCATTTAAATGCATGGAGTGTGGAAACAGCTTCACTGAGAGTCGAACACTTAGAATTCATCAGCTGATTCACACTGGGGAGAAACCATTCAAATGTATAGAGTGTGGAAAGAGCTTCATTGACCATGGAACACTTAGAATTCATCAACGGATTCACACTGGGGAGAAACCATTTAAATGTATAGAGTGTGCAAAGAGCTTCACTTGACAGTTCAAAACTTAAAATTCATCAACAGATTCACACAGGGGAGAAATTTAAATGCTTGGAGTGTGGAAAGAGCTTCAGTGCAAGTCGAACACTTAGAATTCATCAACGGATTCACATGGAGAGTGGAAAGAATTTTCGTCCAAGTGAAACACTTTGAAAATCTCCATAGACTCTCGAAGGGCAGAGACCATTTCAATGTATGCATTGTGCAAAGAAGTTCACTGATATTGTAAAACCTAGAAGACATCAATAAGCTCAGACAAGAGAGAAATCATGTAAATGTCAGCAATATAGAAAGAATTTCTGTCAAAGTTTAAGTCTTCCATGTATTGAGATGAAGGAAGCATCTCCCAATAGTAAGCATTATGTAAGACTTAATGCAGGCGTCCCCACCCTCGGCCCTCCAGCTGTTTTGCGAGTACAGCTCCCATCGTCCCTGACCACTGGACCTGTTAGCTAGGGATGATGGGAGTTGCAGTCCCAAAACATCTGGAGGGCCAAGTTTGAGGATGCCAGACTTAATGTAATGTTACATAGAGAGGGGGAGAGTGTTGCTTTGGAAGCAGGGCTGGTAATAGTAGTAGTAGCAGCAGCAGCAGCAGCAGCAGTAGTAGTAGTAGTATATATAACCTGCCCATCTGGCTAGGTTTCCCAATGCCCTCACTGTAGACAGCTTAAAAACCTGGGGAAAAACATCAAGCATAAAAAACCTCCTGATACAGGGCTACCTTCTGATGTCTCCTAAAAGTTGTGTAATTCTTTATCTCCTTGACGTTGGGCGCTACTGCCAAGAAGGTCATCTGCCTGTCCTTCTTTGGCACCAATTGGCCGACTATGCCTAGGAGAAAGGCCTCTGGTTTCTTCAAGAAGGTATATTTAAATACCTTTTTCAGTTCATTATATATCATTTCCCAGAAAGCCTTAATCCTTGGGCACGTCCACCAAAGGTGAAAGAATGTACCTTCAGTTTCTTTACATTTCCAACATTTGTTATCGGGCAAATGATAAATTTTTGCAAGCTTGACTGGGGTCATGTACCACCTGTATATCATTTTCATAATATTCTCTCTTAAAGCATTACATGCCGTAAACGTCATACCTGTGGTCCATAACTGTTCCCAGTCAGCCATCATTATGTTATGTCCAACATCTTGTGCCCATAATTTTGATTTTTCCACCTGGAAGCCAATTTTCTTGTCCAAATTATATGCCTCCATTATCTGATAATAGTGAAGCCAGTCTCGCACTTTGTTTTTTAATTTCTCAAAACTCTGCAATTTCAGTCTATCTCCATCTTGTTCCAAAATTTCCCAATATTTCGGCCATTTGGCCTCCATACTGAGCTTTTTCTGAGCTTTTGCTTCCATCGGTGACAGCCACCTTGGGGTTTTATTTTCTAATAAGTCCTTGTATCTTATCCAGACATTAAACAATGCTTTCCTGACAATATGGTTTTTAAATGCTTTATGTGCTTTGACCTTATCATACCACAGGTATGCATGCCATCCAAATACATTGTTAAAACCTTCTAGATCCAAAATGTCAGTGTTTTCAAGAAGCAACCATTCTTTCAACCAGCAAAAAGCTGCTGATTCATAGTAAAGTTTAAAGTCTGGCAGGGCAAATCCACCTCTTTCCTTTGCATCTGTTAATATTTTAAATTTTATTCTAGGCTTCTTGCCCTGCCAGACAAATTTAGAAATATCTCTCTGCCACCTCTTGAAACAGTCCATTTTGTCCACAATTTGCAATGTTTGAAACAAAAGCAACATTCTAGGCAATACATTCTTTTTTACCGCAGCAATACGGCCCAGCAGTGAAAGCTTCAAATTTGACCAAATTTCTAAATCTTTTTTCACTTCAGCCCAGCATTTTTCATAGTTGTCTTTAAATAAATTCCCATTTTTTGCTGTCATGTTAATCCCCAAGTATTTGACTTTCTTAACCACTGTTAAACCTGTCTCATTCTGAAACCTCTCTCTCCATTGGTGTTAAATTTTTCTCTAAAACCTTGGTCTTAAACTTATTCAATTTAAATCCTGCAACTTGACCAAATTCTTGAATCAGTTCTAAAACTCTTTTGGTACTAGATTCTGGCTCCTGTAACGTCAATACTAAGTCATCTGCAAATGCTCTCAATTTGTACTGTTTAGCTCTGACCTGTATACCTTTAACCAACCGGTCCCTTCTAATCATATTCAGCAGAACCTCCAGGACCGAAATAAAAAGAAGTGGGGAAATTGGGCAACCTTGTCGTGTCCCTTTTTCTATCCTAAATTCTTCCGTCACCACATTATTTACAATTAGTTTAGCCTTTTGTTCTGAATAAATTGCACTTATACCGTTTTCAAAACCTTGGCCTACCCCCATCCCCTGTAGGTTCTTCTTCATAAAACTCCAAGAGATATTATCAAAAGCTTTCTCCGCATCCACAAATATCAAAACTGCTTTAGTATTTATGTTCACTTCTAGTTTTTCCAAAATATCAATTATATTCCTCAAATTATCGGACAAGTGTCTTCCCGGGAGAAAGCCCGCTTGGTCTTTATGAATCTCTTCCATCAATACTTTTTTCAATCTCTTGGCCAAAATGTCTGCAAAAATTTTGTAATCCACATTAAGTAACGATATGGGGCGGTAGTTCTTAAGCTGAGTCTTTTCGGTCTCTGTCTTCGGTATAAGTGTAATGTACGCCTCTTTCCAAGACTCTGGTGCCCTTTTCCCTTCCAATATTTCATTGCAGACTTCCTTTAAAGGTTGTAATAGCCACTCTTTCAAAGATCTATAATATCTAGAAGTCAGCCCATCCGGTCCTGGAGATTTGCCTAATTGCATGTTTTGAATGGCACCTTCTACTTCCTGTTCAGATATTTTATAGTTCAACATTAATTTACTTTCTTGGGAGATTTTTTGTAATCCATTTGTCTTCAGAAATAGGTCTATGTCCATTTCTTTCTGTGGCCCTTGTGTATATAGTTGTTTAAAATACCTCTGGAAACAGTTTCTAATCTCAGTTGGGTTATGTATATTCTTTCCTTCCACTTCTAAATTTGTAATAGTATTTAATTTTTGTCTTTTTTTCATTTGCCAGGCCAGCAATTTCCCACATTTGTTAGCTGATTCAAATGTTTTTTGTCTCATTTGTTTAATTTTCCATTCTATTTCCTGATTCATCATTTCCATATATTCTACTTGATATAACTATATTTCTCTCAAAATCTCCTGCGACTTTAGTTTTGCTCTCAATTTCTTTTCACTTTCTTTTATTTTCCCCAAAATTTTATCTTTCTTCTCATTTTGACTTCTCTTCTTTATTGCATTCTGTTGTATCAGAAACCCTCTCATGACAGCTTTTCTTGCGTCCCAGATTACTCTTTTTTCTACATTAGTATTCATATTTATTTCAAAATAGTCTCTCAAGGTTTTTTGGGCCTTTTTATACACTTCTTCATCTCTAAATAAGGTGTCATTCATCCTCCATCTGAAGGAGCCAGTTGATGTTAGTTTCAACTCCATCCTTACCGCATTATGGTCGGAGCAGGTTTTTGGGCAGATTTCCACTTTCTTTATCTTTGGTGCCATTCCTCTAGTTACCCATATTTGGTCAATTCTAGTCCATGTCATCTTAGCTTCAGAAAGGTTCCCTCTCTTCCCAAGGGGTTCTTTGTTCTCCAAGTGTCCACTAAGTCAAAATTATCTGTCATCTCGAAAAATGTTTTCGGTAGTCTACCATCCTTGGTAACTACCTGTCTTTGTGCCTTGTCCATGTTTGTAGATACTACTCCATTCATATCCCCCATCAAAATCAGATTGTAATCCAAATAATCCAATAAGGTCTCATGCAACTTTTTGGTCGGCCAATTGGTGCCAAAGAAGGATAGAACCTTTTTTATGTATGCCACAACAGCAGCAAGAATACTCATTGCAAAGTATTGGAAGACACAAGATCTACCCACTCTGGAAGAATGGCAGATGAAGTTGATGGACTATATGGAACTGGCAGAAATGACTGGCAGAATCCAAGACCAGGGAAAAGAGTCGGTGGAAGAAGATTGGAAGAAGTTCAAAGATTATTTACAGAAATATTGTAAAATTAATGAATGTGAGAACGATGTTGGATAGAAATTAAGTGGTTTCCAGCTGTAATGCTTTAAGGGATTATGAAAAATGGGTTGTTAATAGGTAAAAATCTAACGTTACTATTTTAAGACCAAAGATTAGGATAAATAAAGAGGTTAAGGATTTGCTGAACCAACAAATTGAACTGGAATACAAAAAAGGGAGGTATGAGGAGGTCTGGGAAACAAGCTAAGGAAAAATAAGCAATGGAAAAATTGAGTGGTTTTTAATTATTTTTATTTTGTATTTTTTTTTCTTTTTTCTTTTTCATTTTTATACTGTAACATTTGGAAAATCTTAATAAATATTTTATAAAAAAAAAAAAGGTCATCTGCCTGGTTCCCTCTAACTTTGCTTGTGTGTGTGTGTGTGTGTGTGTATAGTCTCCCACCACCAGAGGCTGGGTCCATCTCTGCTTCACAGATGATCTTGCAGTGCAAACTTGGGCGGGGGTGGGACACCCCACTTTGCAGCTGGCTTACCTGGATCAGTCCCTCCCCCCACTCTACTAATCCCCAGAATGAGGGGGCGGGGGGAGCCCTTCCCTACTCTTCTGATCTCCAAGGTCTGCTGTGGGTTGTGTGATGCCCCAAACCATTATCCCACAGGACCCATGGATCCCCACTCTGGGGGAACAGAGGAGAGAGACTGAACAGGCCACCCGCCTCCTCTAAAATGCCTCACCAGAGCAAAGCACCTGCTCTTCCTGAGACGGGAGTGAGTGATGGGGGGAAGAGGGAGGAAATGTGCAGATACCCCTCCAAATCCAGTGTGCATGACTGCATGTCTTCTGCCAGGGGGAACAACCTGCAGGGAGGGGGTGTGTTTCAGGACATGCAAGGTCAGCGTGCAACCCAGTCATGAGTTGGCTGTGTTGCCTGGATCATGCCTTAACCTCCTCAAGGAAGGATTCATTCTTTTCTGGTATCTTGATCTGGTGTTTTCCCTCCTCTCCCTATCTTGCCCTTATTTTTGTGCCTCGTTAAAATAAACTAATGCGAGTTGAAGGAGTTGTTCAGCTGTTTCTCTCCCCTTTGCAAGTGTCTCCAGAAGGTAAATGACACCACCGAGTGGGGTTTGGGAGAGGCGTCCTTCCTGGCGCCAAGCCTTGAAGAGGAACATCGCAGAGGTCAACAGACAAGGCCCAGCCTGCTGTGCAATCTTATATCTTCCGGCTGCCGAGATCTCTTTGGATCTGCTGGTCGCCCAGTGGAAGACAAGTGGGATCCTTTTTGCAGATCATCTTTCCCCAGTGGACATCCTGCTGGCGTGAGGCACTCGGGGCTCGTCCACACTTGGCTCCCCCACTTCTCCCCTCTTTACAGCTGAATCGGAGCAAACAGCAGCCAGGTTCTCCACACATTGCCCTTTGTTGCCATTCAGCAGGGAAGGAGTTTTGCCAGGGGAACCGGAGGGGCAAACAACCAACTGCTGTGGCCTTTGCCTCCTGGGCGGGGGGCAAGCGGCAGCGTGGAGAGGATGCGCAGCCACAACGGCTGTGTCCTACCCTGTGGCCCTATAAGAACTTCACATTCTTATGGCCCACCTTGTTCAGCCTCCAGTTCTCTCCCTGGCTGGCCAGGTGCCCCCAGAAAGAAGCCGGAAAGCAGGATCCGAGCTCAAGAGCGAGGGGCTATATGAATAGACCAGGAGATTATGGGAGACCTAGTCAGCTGAACATGAGCACCAGAACCCGGGTTCGCGTCTCCGCTCCTCCACATGCAGCTGCTGGGTGACCTTGGGCCAGTCACACTTCTTTGAAGTCTCTCAGCCCCACTCAATTCACAGAGTGTTTGTTGTGGGGGAGGAAGGGAAAGGAGAATGTTAGCTGCTTTGAGACTCCTGAAGGGGAGTGAAAGGCGGGATATCAAATCCAAACTCCTCCTCCTCCTCTTCTCTTCTTCTTCTGTCCTGTCCCTGGGTTTCCAGCAACTGATATTCAGACGCTTTGCCACCTCCAACTGGCTATTAGCCATCAATAGCAGTCTCCTCCAGGAATTAGAACTCTTGTGTTTTAACATCTCATACATTCTCCCATATCCTCTCTCTGTCATAGAATCATAGAACTGAGGAGTTGGAAGGGATCCCAGGGCAGTGGTGTACTAAGGCCAGGTGGCACTTGGTGCAATTTTTTGGGGGGGTCAACCCCCCCCAATTGAAATTATTAAAAGAAGGAAAAATAAGATACAGTTGCAAGCCTGTATTTCTGGTTTATTATTTACTTAACATTTCGAGCGTAAGGACTTAAAACCTCTTCCCCCTAACTTTGTTCTCTGCAAATTTTGAAATCAAATCATCAAAACCCAATTCCTTTCACTTTCATCTGAAAGAAAAAACCCCTTCCCCTTCCTTAGCCATCTACTCTCCACTGCGCAGCATCAAGTTAAGCTGCGTTTTGTTGCGTTTGTTGACTGAACAAAAAAGTTTCAATACTTATTATGTTGACTTGTTGAGGTTAATCAGTTGTCAGACGAAGTTATTAAACTCATTTTAAATAATTTTTCCCCCTCAAAATGTCATGTGTTTACTTTACTTTAAACACACTTTATTTTACTTTATTTTAAACACATATTTTTGCCATTTTGTCACCCACCCACCCCGTGATGACACCCGAGGAAGCCCACACCCCACTTCCTATGCCATTGAAGAGAGTATGACTTCATTACCTAAAAAGGTCGTTTTTCTAGGTGCTATTGGAAGAAACTGATTTTCTGGATCCATTTTAATCGGGGTTTAGGGCTGGTTTTGGCACAGAAACTATTTTGGTCACTCTGTATGATGACCTCTCTCAAGAGACATGGGAAATATGTCGGGGGGGGGTGAGGCAACCTGAAACAGATTGACTTCCGTAAAATTAGTTTTTCAGCTAGTTCACTGCTCCCCCCCCCCCCAATTCTCTACAAAACCTCATCAGAATAAATCCAATTTGGCTTTATTTATAACAGCTATTGTCTCTGTCTTTAGTTCTGTCTTCATGCGGACGATTCCATAAGCAGGGAATCCAGTAGTGCACTGGCAGCCCTGAACCCCAGACCATACGCAAATAAGCCTTTTCCAACTTAACACGGGTAAATCTCTACTCTTATGCACACTTACTAATGGGTGTAATTCCATTAGAATATAGGGACTCCTAAATAAATATGGGAAGGGACACGGGTGGCGCTGTGGTCTAAACCACAGAGCCTAGGACTTGCCGATCAGAAGGTCAGCTGTTCGAATCCCCGCGACGGGGTGAGCTCCCGTTGCTTGGTCCCTGCTTCTGCCAACCTAGCAGTTCGAAAGCACGTCAAAGTGCAAGTAGATAAATAGGTACCGCTCCGGCGAGAAGGTAAACGGCGTTTCCGTGCGCTGCTCTGGTTTCGCCAGAAGCGGCTTAGTCATGCTGGCCACATGACCCGGAAAAACTGCGGACAAACGCTGGCTCCCTTAGCCAGCAAAGCAAGATGAGTCGTCTGTGACTGGACTTAACTGTCAGGGGTCCCTTTACCTTTTAAATAAATGTAACTAGTTCCAGGCTGCACAGAAACTGGTATTTGGTGCCTCTTTTAAGGTGATGGATAGCATGTATGCAGCAGGCTTGCTATGTGCTTTGTGGAGTATGTTTTGGGGCTTTTGTGCTGGCGCAGAGGAAATTTCCTCAACTACAACCCAAAATGTCTCCTTTACCTACCACATACTGTCTGCCTCTTGGGTACAAAACAAGGTGGCAGCCCTAACACCTAGACTGGCCCTTTGCAGGATCCCATTCTATGGCTTTCCAACGAAGCTGAGCTGAAGAACATTAATGGGCGAGAGAGACTATGGTTTTTTAAATTGTTTTTATTAAATTTTGGATGCATCCAAGTCACGGAATCCTTCAAACAAGTCAGTCCTATTCATCGAGTGAGACCGCACTGCTCTAGGCAATATGGGGGTGGGGGAAAGAAAAGTGGGAAGAGAGGAAAGGAAAAGGGGAGAGACCTCAGCATTTCATTCATTTATATAGCGTGTGAGCTTTTGTGTCAGCGTCAGGTAAACAGGTATTTTATTTTTATTGGCGGTGGGAGAGACCAGAGGGCCCAGGAGGGGGTTGGTTGCAGGACATTCGCCAAAGCAATGCCCAATCCCTGTCTGTGGTGTTTGAGAGAGACCCCCAATGGCTGTTCACACATGCGAGGGAGCCATTGCCTGCTGCAGCCAACATGTGGCGACCATGTGCGTCTAAACTCCTAGGAGGCAGAGACCCAAATCTGGACCAAGACAAGTGGATGGCAGATGTCTAGCTAGGGATTGACCCAAGCTCCTTTTGCCCGCTGACCAGAAAAGTCATGTCCACCACAAAAAAAAACAACACCCTTCTCTTTTTACCCTCCAATTTTAAAAAGGCAAAGATGGGTTGCAGAACTTCTAAAAAAAATTTGCTTGATAATAACAACAACAACAACAACAACAACAACAACAATATATTTATACCCCGCCCATCTGGCTGGATTTCCCCAGCCACTCTGGGCGGCTTCCAACAAATATTAAAAATACATTAAAATGTCACACATTAAAAACTTCCCTGACGTTTCAGATGTCTTCTAATTGTCAGGTAGTTGTTTATCTCTTTGACATCTGGTGGGAGGGCGTTCCACAGGGTGGGCTCCACCACCGAGAAGGACCTCTGCCTGGTGCCCTGTAACTTGGCTTCTCGCAGTGAGGGAACCGCCAGAAGGCCCTCAGTGCTGGACCTCAGTGTCCGGGCAGAACGATGGGGGTGGAGACGCTCCTTCAGGTATACAGGACCGAGGCCGTTTAGGGCTTTAAAGGTCAACACCAACACTTTGAATTGTGCTCAGAAATGTACTGGGAGCCAATGTAGGTCTTTCAAGACCGGTGTTAGGTGGTCTTGGCTGCTGCTCCCAGTCCCCAGTCTAGCTGCCGCATTCTGGATTAGTTGTAATTTCTGGGTCACCTTCAAAGGTAGCCCCACATAGAGCGCATGGCAGTAGTCCAAGCGGGAGATAACCAGAGCATGCACCACTCTGGCAAGACAGTCCGCGAGCAGGTAGGGTCTCATCCTGCGTACCAGGTGGAGCTGGCAGACAGCTGCCTTGGACACAGAATTGACCTGCGCCTCCATGGACAGCTGTGAATCCAAAATGGCTCCCAGGCTGCGCACCTGGTCCTTCAGGGGCACAGTTACCCCATTCAGGACCAGGGAGTCCCTCACACCAGCCCGCCCCCTGTCCCCCAAGAACAGTACTTTTGTCTTGTCAGGATTCAACCTCAATCCATTAGCCACCATCCATTCTCCAACCGCCTCCATTGTGGTGGTTTCCTCATTGCAAATAAGTGAGGTTCATAGACTACCTGCAATGAAGGAATTCTTTTGACAAGGTGGGGCTGGAACCCACAACCCTGAGAGTCTCATGCTCTGCCAACTGAGCTATTCCAGGACTTAAATCAAATGTCTCCGCCCCGATACATGGGGCATCTCAGAGGCATCTAGCAAGCTGCTGTGGGGGGGCCAATGCAGTGGGTGGGGTCTCGCAGGAGAGTCCCTTTCAGGAAGAGGGCCAAAGGGGGGGGGAATGGGTGGGGCCCTGGGTTTCCCTGACACACATACAGCCGGCTACAATCCAGCCCCCCGCCTCCCCGTGTCCTCCTTTCTCAGGAAAGCCCTCCCACTCTCACTGCCTGCCTCAGACCCAGGAAAAAGGAAAAGGATTTCATGTATTTTATATCACTAGATCTTCAGTTTCCCAATCAATTCCCTTCTCCATCCCTGGTGAGGGTGGAGCTGGGCCAAGGGGTCTTTGGGCAACATGGGCGTGGGGGGGACCCCACTTGGCTTGGCTGGATCAGCCCCTTCCCCCAGTCAAGCAAGAATTGCTTTCAGGCAAAGCCCTCCTGTGTGCAGCAGGGTCAGCACAGCAGTGGTGGTCAGAAAACAGAGGTTCCCCAATGCAGCTTTCAGCCTTACCAGCTCTCCACTGTTCTGCTGGCCTTTTTAGCTCTGATGTCCAGAGATTGTCTACAAATGCAGCCACCTTTGGCCTTCAGCAAAAAGGGGTAGCTAGTGTCAAGCTGACGGGCAACCTCAAAATTCTGCTCCGTGCCACCCATTAATTTGTGGGCAAGGGGGAGAACTGTTCAAACCGCCTGTCTTCTTGACTCTTCCTGGGCTTACCAAAGTACTCTAGGCCGTAACTAATCAGGCAAGTGGCAGATCTAGTCCAGCATCCCTTCTCAGTGGTTGACCAGAGGCCTATTATGGGAAACGAGGAAGGAAGCCCGAGACCTCGCCTTCACTGCCCCCTGCAGGAGGGACTTGCAACTTGATGGCTTGATGGGTGAGGAAGTACCTACCTTTGCTCCAGTTTTCTGACCCTGAAGCCAGTGCTTTTTCTGCAACAACCATCTTCAAGACCCTCCCCTACACAGCGGAAGCTGAGCTGCTCAAGTGGGTTTGTGACGGCAGTGCAGCCAGCAGGCAAATGGAAGATTTGAAACCGCACATTTGTGATATTCTGGTTTCCCCCCAGGAAAACGGAAGCTTCACCCTGGCATATTTGGAAGCCCCACTGAACGGTGATGGTCAGCAACCAGGGGTAATTAGAAGAGCAGTACTAGATGGCCCTTAAAGAGTCTCCTCCAGGAAGGGGGGCTGCTCAGGAGACCCTACAAAGCGGAGGAGCCAAGCCCTGGCTGCAAGCAGGTGGGGCAAGATCCCTGACCTGGTGGCAGTGAGACCCTTGACAGGAAGGCTGCCTGTTGTCCGTGACCAGCGCGCCTTCTTCCCCACTCAATCCACACCAGCCTGTATAATATTTTTTTTTATTTACATGTTTAAAGAACCAGAAGGCTTAACATACAATAAGATGAAACAGAGCCCTGGAAGGTGGACACGGGCAAGGGGAATAAAAGGAACAGTAGAAAAAAAATATACAGTCAACATAAAAAAAAACCTCAAGCGGGCTGCCCTCCCCCCTCAACCAGCCTCCCTTGAGGGGCAAAGAACATGCTGTCTCGATTTTGCCCAGGGACGTCAACGGTCGCACTCACTCCAGATCCCAGGGAAAGCCACCGACGGGAAACAAAGAAAAATAAATAAAGGAACCTCTTGAGTGCCTGCCAGGGGGAGTGTCAGAGGAGGAACTTCTCCCCACAAGAGTCTTGTCTCCCCCTCAGGGCTCCAAGTCCAAGCTGGTGGGGCACAAACACCCCAGCGCAGTTCCTCGCCCCCAACCTGCCCATCCAGGAACGGAGCGTCACAAAACCAAAACTTGCTAAATGCTTTTATAAAAACCACAAGTTTGTTTCCTAAGATTCAACCAAAACAAGAAAACACTGCCCCCCCACGCTTGCTGGAGCCAACTGTACAGAGTCGGGGCGCCCCATGCCACAGCGCAAAGACAGCAGGGCCAGCTCTCGCCCCACGGCCCCAAGGGGGGCGGGACGACAGGGAAGCCGCCAGCCAGCCGGCCGCAGCCCTTCCGCCCCGGGCGCCCAGCTGGAGGGGGGGTGGAGGGGAGCCCGCTCGTCCGCCTGCGCCGCTCTCTTGCCAGTTCTGGTCCTGCAGAACCTCTTCCGAGCAGGCTGCCATCGCTGGCCAGCCACCCCCGGCGGCTGATGCTGCCGCTGCCACCTCCACCAGCCTGCCTAGCTGGAGTCAGAGTCACTTGTGTCCGAGGAGGAGGAGGAGGAGCTGGAACTGCTGGAGTCGGAGCTGGAGCTGCTGGCGCTCAGGCGGGAGACGGCCACTTGCTGCGCGGACTCCGGCTTCTCGTTGGCTGCACAGGGAGAGAGAGAGAGAGAGGGCAAAGGTGAAGGATGCCAGAGGGTCAAGGACAGGAGAGAACCAGGCCCAGGAATCAGAAGCCAGGGCTTACTTTTCTTGGGGGGCTTCTTAGCAGAGTTCAGCTGCCCGCTGACGTCCTGCAGGCGCTTCTCCAGCTCCCGCTTCTTCTCCAGGGCCAGCTCCTCCTTCGTCTTGCCCACCGGCTTCTTCAGGGCTGGAAGGAAGGAAGGAAGGCATTTACTGGGGAGCTCCTCTTCCCCTTGCACCCTCAATGCAGCTCTCATTTGGGACAACAGGAGGGCAACCACTATCCAGCTCCACACAAGGAGAACTGCTTCTCAGACCTCTGGCTGACACCCCTAAACACCTCCATTATCCCCTTTCAGAACACAGCTGCAAAAATCATTACAGCGGTACCTCTGGTTAAGAACTTGGCGGGAAGGGAAAGCCCACCAAGGGGGTCTTCATGAGGACCCCCATCTCCAAGCAGGGCTGGGGGTTGAGCTGAGGCCCGCCAATTCTCCCGGTTTTGCCCTCGCAGGAATCCCTGGGGTATCACCACCAGATTCCCATTTCTCTTTCCTGGGGGGCCGAGAGATGCTCAGCTGCCCTGCACCCCTTGGACGGAAGGGGAATGAGGACCCCAAGCAGGGCTGGGGGTGGGGCTGAGGCCCCCCATTCGCCCGGTTTCCCCCTGGCAGGAATCCCAGGGGTCGTGGGGCGCCTGGCTGGGGAAACAGAGAGGGAGTCCATGGAAGACAGAGACCCCACCCCTCCCCTTCCAGCACCACTTATTCCCCAGTCTCCCTGCTGGCAGTCTGCAAGTCCCGGATTATCCGTATGCATTAGGACTCATTGCCATTTTACTGAATACCACCATTTAGCAGCCAAGCCCAAAGTCCTGAAGGGATGCATCTTGTCTCCCATCGCCCCCACTCACTCTCGCTGTAGGGCTTGCGAGGCTTCTTCCGCAGGCAGGACAGGACGTAGCGCTCCAGCTCCCGCAAGGTGGAGGGCTTGAGGGTCTCAAAGTCGATCTCAATCTCCTCGGGGTTGGAGTCGCGCAGGGAGGGCTCCCGCGACTGGATGATGTGCACCACCCGGCCCAGCTTCTCCCCCGGCAGCTTGTTGATGTCCAGGCTGAGCTGGCGCTTCTCGTCGTACGTCATGGGCTTGCTCTCCTCCTCCTCCTCCGAGTCGTAGAGCACAGGGGCCGGCAGAGGGAGGGCCTTGGCGCTGGCCTTCTTCGAGTTCCTGGGGAGGGGAGACACGCCTTAGAGCCAGGGGCCCCACCGCTTGCGCACTGGGCGGGACCCAGCCAGCGGCAGCTGTCAGGCATCTTGGCTTGTTCTACAAGGAGTTCGCCACGGTCGATCCGCCGGGGAAAGAGAGTCATCAGCCAGCTGCTCGCCCTGCTCTCCCCACCCCAACCCCATCGCCACGAACTCGCTTGCCCCACTCACTTGCCACCACTGCTGCCACCTCCGCTGCTGCCACCGGCGGCTGCCTTCTTGGACTTCTTGAGCTGGGCCTGGTGGGGCCGGGCCGCCTCCTCCTCGCCTCCCGCCTTCCCCCCTTTGCGCTTCTCCAGCTTCTTCTTCTTCTTCTTGTCCTTCTTGTCCCGCTTCTTCTTGGGCTTGGAGACTGGGCCTTGAGAGAGGGCTGCCAGCTGTTCATGCACTGCCCGCAGCTGGGGAGGCAAAAGGGACACGGTTAGGGGGCTCCCAACCCCACCAACTGCAGGCGCCCTTTCCTCAATCCATGGCCGTGATCAACAGTGGCTCAAAGCCACCGGGTGGGGTGGGGGGGGAAGTGTTGCTCTGATTCTGGGGTCTCGCTTGCAGGCATCCCTGTGGGGGTGTTGCTTTGCCCCCTTCTCTCTCTGCCTCACCTGTTCCTGGAGCTCAGCTAGCCGGTTGGCCCGCTCTTCCTCCGAGTCGGAACTCTCCTCGCTGTCCGACGAACTCTCGCTGCTGCTCTCGTCGTCATCCCCCTCCTCTTCCTCTTCGTCGTCGTCATCATCGTCGCTGGAGGAATCGTCTGAGGAGGACTTCATCAGGAGGCCCGGCTGTGGGAGTGACGTGGAGGGGGGGTTGATGTCTATGGGTTCATCTGGCATCTTGGCATAGCTGAACTCGAAGACATCCTGCGGGAGAGCAGCAAAGACTCGAGGTCTGCTACTGAGGGGCTGGGTCATGGGGGGAGGGATGGAGGAAGGAAGAGCTACTGGCCTCTGTCTTCTTCCCATCAAACTCACCTGCAACTTCCGCGCCATGGCCACCACGTCATGGTCAGGGGGGTTGTACTTGTAGCAGTTGGAGAACATCAGCCGCACATCAGAAGCAAACTCCTGGGCGTCACGGTACTCCCGGTTCTCCATCTTGCGCTGAAGCCACAGAAAAAGAAAAGGAAACCGAAGGTAGGTAGGTAAAAGGGGAGGATCATGAGCTTTGCAACACACAAGGAGCAAACAAGCCCCCCCAAAACTGTTGTTTTGTTTCTTTAGCTTGCCCTTACGACTGCAGAAAGTCACTTAAGACACACGTGGCCAGTTCACGCTAAAAACCAGTGGGGCTTGGGTGGGGTCTCCCCACCGCTGCGTGCCCTACTCAAGCCCTGCTTTGCCTGCCCTGGCATTGTCACATGACTCCCCTCTGCCATGCACCCATGCTCGCTCATGTCCCTATGGCCTCTCCCCTCCCCTCAACACCGACTGCAAAGCACACTGGGGCGGAGATGGCAGCAGTTATAAAAGAGCCTGTTCAACTGTTGGCACTGAAAGGTTAGCAGAGGGCACGTTTTCTCCCCGGGACAGAAACAGGCCACTCGCACCTCCAACAAATCTATTTAATCTAGATTGTGGAAGCACCTGCTTGTATGGTGAATATGCAAGAAGTCAGCAGATGGATTTTACCTAAACTCCACAGCACAGACAACCATGTTCTGGAAACGACCCCTCTCCTGTGCCCAGGAGTCCCCACCCGCTGCTCCTCTCCCCTTCTTCTCTGTGGTTGCCAAGCCCCCGCCTACCTTGATGGTGCTGAGGTCCATGGGATGCTTGATGATCTCATGGTAGTCGTGGAGGCCCAAGGCGGAAGCGTCGACCGGCTTGTAGAAGGGCCAGGCGTAGGCAGCGTGCTTCTTGGAGACAAGCTCCTTGAGGATGCCGTTGCAGTACTTGAGCTGCTCAGAGAGCTTGCCCCTCTTGGAGGTCTGGTGCTGCTGGGAGTCGGGCAGGTCTTTGCGGGGGGGCTTGATGGGGCGCCCGCTCTCCCGCCGGGCCGGGATCTTGGCTGCCTTGGTCTCCAGCACGGCTGCGGAGGGAGAGGACTCTCCGCCGCTGGTGGCGATGATGGCTGTGGGGGTCGGGGTGGTCGTGTCCGCTTTCCGCTTCACTCCTTTCTTCTGTTGGGGGGCAAGAGCACACCGCTTAGGCTTCCAAGCCAGACTGGAGGGGGAACCCCAGACAGCTGACGGCCCCCACCCGCCTCCCTCGGCTGCCAGCTCACACAGGCTCACCTTGGCCACCGGCTGCGTTGGGGCAGGCACCGCCAGCACCGGCTGGGAGGTAGCAGTGGAGTGTAGCGGCTTGAGGAGAGGCGTAGAGATGACTGACGGGTGAGGGATGCTGATGACGGTGGTGGGGATGTCTGTGGGGTAGAGCTGGGCGTGGGACACGGAAGAGATGGCCGGCACTTGCTGAGCAGCTGCGTTGGCTGCTGCCAGGAGTGCTGGAGGGATAAAAAAAGAGTGGCTCTTTGTTAAACTGGAGGCAGCCTGCCCCCCCAGACGGCCCCCAACTGGAGCAGAACCCAAGCAAGCCAGCAGGCACCCTAGCCGCTTCTGCCCCAAAGCCCACCCCCCAATCCCCTCTCGCGCCATTACCTGCAGCCCGAGAGGCCCCCTTCTTGTGGCTGTTCTTTGCCACGGTGATCACAATCTCCTGCTCCTCCTGAGGCATCTGGGCCACCTTCTGCAAGAAGATCTTTTCCAGCGTTTGGGCCATCAGCACAATGTCATCTGTGGGCTACACCAAGAGAAGCCGTGGTCAAGGCATGAAGTTGTCAGCAGGCTGCTCTGCACAGTCTGTGTATGCGTCCTCGTCACTTGGAGACGCTCCACACACTTGGGAGTCTCCCCTCCCTCACAATCTATGCAGCCACTTCCCTGACACTCCAGCCATCCTCCAGCCTTGTGGCAGCCGCCTCTCCCACCACACACGCAAACCCTCACCTTGTTGTAGATGTAGCAATTGGTGAACATGGTGTTGAAGTCCTGCATGCACTCGGCTGAGCTCCAGTAGTAGTTGTTTTCCAGGCGCCGCTTGATGGTGCCCATGTCCATGGGCTGCTTGATGATCTTGTGATAGTCCTGGGAGCAGAGAACAGCAAGCAAAGCCACATGGTCACCCCAAAGAGCACGGCACACAGGCCGCACCGACCACGGGGCTACCCACATCCAAAGGTCCCTGCCAAATGTTGGCTACAGGTGGGGAAAGGGCAGGGACTCCTGTGCAGCCTTGCAAAGAGCAGGAAATAAATGCTTCTCAGCTTGCTAGGGCAAGAGGGGATTCTTGCTTCTTTCCCTGGGGTGCAGAGAGGGTGCCTTCTGTTAAGGCCTGCCCTGCCTAAAAAGCACCACCGCAGCACCCCTACTGTGCACGAAGAAGCTAGGCAAGCATAAACCTAGATGGATTTTTACCTCTGGGCTTTAACTCCTTAGGTACCACAGGTGCTGGCCTTTAATTTGGGGGTCACTTGATGTCTTCTACAAAGTCATGGATGGGAATCTGCAAAACGCATTCAGGGCACAAGATTAGATTTGTGGCAGCGTGAGAGCGCAAAAGCGGCTGTATTGTCTCATCCATACCTTTGTAGGGGACATGGGGGGGCGGGGATCAGAGGAGCTGCTCCAGGTGAAATTCCTGGCCAAACCAACAGCCTTAAGATTGTTTGGGGAAGAGACACAGCTGAGCTCAAACTCAGGTAACAGGAGACAACTCTGCTCTGAGGCAGCAAAGGAGGCACATTTCCCTCAGTATGGAAAAGCCTTGCCTGCTGGACTAGCCTCCTGCAACCCAAGGAGCTCCCCAAAACAATTTTAGCAGCACAGCTCAATAATCCAGAAGACTAGCTCAGCACACTAGATACAAACAAGAACCTTAGTTCATGGGATGAGGCAGGAAGTGATCCAGTAACCATAGCAACAAGGGCATCATTAACACAGCAGAACCCGCCCGCAGGTGCTCATCTCCCTCACGCCCCCAGCCCCCCCCCAGGCAAGGAGGAAGCTCATTACCGGAAGACCCAGCTTGACAGCATCCACCGGCTGGCGGAAGGGCCAGGCGAACTGGTGCTTCCAGAGGGCCTTCATCACCACTTTGTGGAGGTACTGCAGCTGGTTGGTGACTCTGCCCGGCTTCTTGGGGTTTGAGACCTCCGGAGGGGGAGGGTTGGCTGGGGCCAGCTGGAGGGGCGGGACGGAGGCCATGGTGGGTCTCTCGAAGCCCTCGTACAGAAGCGACGGCTTGCGGATCCGCTTCCCGGGCGCAGACTCGACTGCCAGACCCACCAGACCCGCATTGCCCGCCCCAAGGATCCTGCAAGACAGGGAGAGAAGGGCTGTTAAGGCAAGAGCCGGGTTCGCCACCTACCGCACTCTCCTCCCTCACGTGAGCCAGCAAGTAGAACATGGAGGAGGGTCGCATTGCCCCCCCCCCACCTGGAAGAGACACACCAAATTACACCCCTAAGCGCAGCAAGGCAGCGAAGCCAGCTCCCAACCAGAGCCAGGGGAAACTCCAGAGTGCAGGCCAACTGCACCCACTGCCATCTGCACCCACTGCCCCCTTGCACCTCAGCACACTGGCATTTCCAGATTGCGACACTACACTGCCCACAAACTCACTCCCCCTTAAAGTACCGTCATGAAGCCCACTAAACAGGAGGGTGTCGCAGGAATCCCACCAAGGCAAACTAGGCACACTCTGGAGAGCAGCGACAACATCTTAAAACAGTTCCAAATATGCCCAGGATTGGTGTTTTGAATCAGAGAACAGGGACTCTTCCCCCAGGACCAATGAGGGGGGTAAACATCTGGGAAAACAGAGACAGCAGGCTTCCTCCATAGTCAACATGCTCATAAGATGAAAAGGACAGAGTGCATTGCCGGTTGCCATGGTGCTGCCCAATCAGAGTGAGGGAGACAACAAAATGAATGGCTGACCAGGCCTCCACACAATGGGGCCAGCCAGTTGGCAAGGAGCAGTTAAGCCAAGGTGGGTTCTGAGTTGAAAAAACAATGGGGGCCATTGCGGAATTCTGATCTGTCTCCTGGCCCACAGATCCAGCTGTGGCACATTCTGAATACAGAGCCACAGATTCACAGGCTGCTGTCTTAGTGCACTAGGCCAGCGTACAACAGTAGCTGCCAACCCATCACCCAGAACCCTGCGGCTCCACCACCAGCCCTGGGAAATGAGCATGTTGGTAAACAGAGTGAGGGCATCAAAGGGCAGCAGGCCTGCCACCCCGAGAGAGAGGAGCGCTTCACAAAAGCCTGGCTTGCCCCCAAGGCATTACAGGGTCTCGTGACAAGACAGCTCCCACTGCTATCATTCCCTTTACAGGCAACTCAAATCCCTTTAAAGTCATCCAAATAATTCACACAACTCATTGCTGCAGGGTTCACACCAGTGAACAACGGGGGGCGGGGGTTTGAAATAAGAGGGAAAAGAGATCGCATTGGAGCTGCAGCACTGCAAACGCTCCCCAGAGGAAAGACGGGCGACGTAAAATGTTGCTAAGCAATGGCGATGTCCAACGTTTCTCCTTTCAACACACCCAGGCAGGGAAGCCTCCCGCAAGTGGCACCGCGAGTTCAAAAGCGACGCACGTCATGTGACACAACACAGCCAGGTATGCTGGATCAAGGCGGGCAGGCGCGCGCGCGCGCAGGGCTCACTGCCCCCCTCCCCCGGCGACCCCCGATCCCCTCTGGCCCGGCCGCCCCCTCCCCCGCCCCCGGCGCACTCCCGATTACGTACTTGCCGTTGGGGTTCACGTTCTGCAACATGCCTGCAGGAGCGGCTCCAGCGCCAGAGGCGGCAGCTCCTGCCGGGGGCCCGGCTCTCTCCCGGGACGGTCCCGCTCCAGCCGCCGGCGCCTCCGTGGCCTCGGGGAACCCCCCCACTTTGCTCGGCGGTCTCGGCCTGGCGGGGGGAAGAAAACGCCCTGGGCGCCTGGCTCAGGGGCGCATCGCCGCCGCGCCTCCCCCCGCCGAACCGGAGGCAGGCGAGCGGCGGGCTGGGCCAGGCGAGCTCGGCTACTGCAGGGCCCCCATCGGGGAGGGGGCCGCTCGCCCCGCCGCCGCCAACAACTAGGCGCAAAAGCTAGGAAGATGGCGGCCTTTGCAGCGGCAGGACCCCGAGGCGGGGCGGGCGGGGGTCCCTCCGGCCAGCCCCCCGCCGGGCTCCCACCGCGCAGGGGCGCCGGCAATATAGGGCGCGCCCGTCTCCGCGGAGGCCGCCGCGTCCGGAGGCGCCGCTCCCCCGGCGAGTCGTCGCGGTCCGAGGCGCGGATGGCACTGGATTGTACTGGGATTACTGGCCGCACTCCACCTTTGCTCTCCGCCGCGTAGGTGGGGGCGGATGTTGTGGGGGGAGAAGAGGACGCTACGGAAGCCGGGAGGAGGGTCCGCCGAGCTGGCGCCTACAGCGATGACCGGCGATTAGGGGGCCGCCCGGCGAGGATGGATCTGGATTGAGTCCGCCCACCCCTGCCCGGCACTCTCTTCCGCTCCCAGGCCAGGATCCTTCCTCCGCTCCAGCGAAATGGCGCCTCTCGGCCTGCCCCCGACCGCACTTATAGAGACGCTCCCCGCGCTCCCATTGGCCCGCGGAGCAGCTGACATCACCATCCCGCCAAGCCACGCCCCTTCGCCGGCTGGGGAGAGCCCTCTGGGCGGAGCAGAGGCCGACGCCGGCCGCCCATTGGGCGACTTCGCCATCCATCACGCTCCCCCTTTCCGCCTCCTGTTGTGCCTCCCCGCTCCGCCGTCCCCGGCAGCCGGCTCGCGCATTGGACGGCTCTGCCATTCGTTGCCTCCCGATTGGCCGCCCTGTCACGTGGGGGCGGGGCGGCGGTTGGGAAGCGGCCGTTGGTTGTTGTGGTTCTCTGCTCACCGCGGGGGGAAGGGAGGGGGAGAGAGGCAGCAGCGCCATTTTGTGGCAGCCCAGAGAAAGCAGGGCGCGGAGAGGGCGAACAATGAGCTCCGACCAGGCGGCCCCCCGGGCCCGGGAAAATGTCCTCGCCCTTCCTTCCCCGCACGGGCAGAGCGGCCGCGAAAGTGAGGGCAGGGCGCGTTTAAATAAAAGAGAGAGAAACGTCGTCCCTCAGGTCGTTCTTCCCGCCAAAACAAGAGCCCCTCACAGCAAGCCCCGTCGCCTCAGCGCAGCAGCCAGGGACCGAGGGGTGGAAGCACCCGAGTCACACTCCAAAACGCCGCCGGGAGAGGGGTCCCCACGCACGCCCCACAGCAGGGTCCAGGCGCCGCCACGCCGGGCCCGGCGCGTGAGAAATGGCGCCCTGGCCGCCCAAAGTCCCCACTTCTCCCCCTCGCGCGTCACTGTCTGCACGTGAGAAACGAGGCAGGAGTTCAAGGCGCCGAGAGTGAGGGGACCTTGAGGAGAGGCCAAACCAACCGCAGAGCTTCCATTAAAAAAGCGCCACAAGGCTTCACAGCAGCGGCCCTCTTTTGCCTTGCCAGGGGCGAAGGTCAAGTGCCAGAGTGGAGCCCAGGCCAGACCCGCCTTTGAAGGGGCAGCCCCTCTGCACGGACCGCCACCGGTCAACCGCCCAAGGGGGCAAAGGAGGGGCGCCATCGCCCACAATGCAGCCTATCGTTTCGCCCACAAAATCCTGTCCAAAAACCCAGTGGGGCCAAAGTGTCCCCAAGGCCCAGCGGAGAAACATTTCAGCCGGGGGGGGGGAGCCAATTTCGGACCCCTAACTCCTTGGAGGACAGCAGGCCCCTTCCTGGGAGTCAGGCTGGCGTTGGCCTCCACCCCCTGGGTGTGGGGTGCGTGGCCTTCCCCCAGGCCCTGGCCCCATGCCATGGTGTGGTGGTGGTGCTGGCAGGAGCCCTACACACAGCCCCACACCCTGGCAGGGGCCATGCTGGGAGCCTCTCTGGCCGCTCAACGGGGAGAGCGCCTGGCTTCCCTTCTCCCGAGGGCGTGGAAAGGGGGCCGGTTGATCTAGGGGGCAGGTCCCAGGGTGCTTCTCTTTCCAGACGGGGATCTCTCTACAGCAAAGGAGAGGAAAAAGGAGGCTGTCGCAGCTGCAGGGATCCACCAGCCGACATCCTGAGTCCAATGGAACTGGGGGGGGGGATCAACCTGCTGGCATATCCTCAGCCCCCCCTTTTCCTGGATTGTTCTGGAAGGAGAAGCAGGGGACGGTCCTTTGAGATGAGTCACATCCTGGCGCAAAGGCCAAGCGCCACTTTGGGCTGAAAGGAGGTTTCTCCCTCCCGCTGGCCTGTTCACCAAAGGGGGAGAGGCAGCACCCCCTAACCCCAGCCGCCCCACACTCGGGGCTCAAGAGGCCTGTCCTGCTCCCGTGTGCCATGCTCCTCCGCATGCTGTGCTTCTCTCCGCAGCGGCCATTTTGCACGGGCACCCAGAGCCTTCCAGCTGACAGCCTCCAGAAAGAGGGGGAAACTGGGGTGAAAACTGGAGGGTTAGCGAAGGAGGGCAGCGCCAGATCCTGCCCCTTCCTCCTTTTCCTCCGCCAGCCCCATTGCGCTCCCGCCCAGCCCTATTCCAGCCAGGAGGCCTCTTCCTCCTCCTCCTCCATCACCAGGCAGGAATGACACAGCACATTCACCGCAGCCATTTTGGAGGCGCAGGAAAGCACGCCAGGCAAAGCTGCCCCTCGCCCACCATGTCTGAAACGCTGTCCAAGTACTGTTCCCACTCACCTCCCTGCTTGCTCAGGGGACACACACACACACACACACCTCCAGCAGCCTCCAGTTTCTGAGATTATCGAAAACGCCCTTCTCTCACATAGTCCCCCCTAAAAAACAACAGCCCCACATTGATATTCTTCGCTCCTCTCAGCCCAGATTCTGCTTCTTCTGAATCGCCTACTCAGGGAGACTGTCTGGCCTCCTCCACGTGGGGACTGGGGCTTGGAGGGAGAAAACAGCTCAAGGTCAAACAAAGGCGGATGCCAAGGTCAAGCCCACCCTCTGCTGCCCAGGACACTCTCCCAGGCACCCCCAATATCGCGGGGGGCTGAGGGCTCACGTCCCCCCCTTCCCAAAGGATAGCACCACCCCTTTCCTTTGCAAGGCAGCCCCCCAAACTCCCCCCTTTTGCTTTAAAAGACGAACAATCCCCCCAATGCAAGCACACACACCCCGACTTAAGCAAGGCAAAGAGACGCCCCCCCATCATTGCAAAACAAAACCCCACCTGTCATATTGAGATTTACCCCAATTCCTAGAAGCTTCTGCATCATTGTAGCTTTAAAGAAGCCTGGAATGAGCCACAAGACAGAGGGGGGGACACCTCTCCCCCCCTCTTCCGAAGACGCCCCTCCTCCCCCCACATAAAAAAATGGGGGTCCCATTGTCAGGTGCCACGTGACAGCCAACTTCTCCCTTCATTTCAGGCAGCTGGCCCTTTAAACAGCCACCGCCCGTCGCCGCCTCGGATTGGCCAGATTGCGCCACCGGAGGCGGGAGCAACGACTTGACTGGCAGATCCCCCTCCTTCCCCATCCCCCAGCCAGCCGAGCCTTCACTCGTCCAGAAGCGTCACGTGGGCAGAAAGGACTCACCCCATTGGTCGCCATCGGGAGAAGGAAGAAGGCGCGCGACCTTGGCGGCCCCGGTGCGACGAGGCCCATCCTGATTAAATTCCGGCCAAACTTAGGCCCCCGCGACGTGACAAAATAATAAGAAATAAAACATCCATTTAAAAAAATAATAATTTCCCCTCAACGGTCGCTTCAGCTGCCATGGCCGGGCGGGAATCCGAAGTGACGCCCACGTCATCGTCGCCTGATTGGCTCCCCGCCGTCACGCGACCGTTCCATCAGAAAAATGCCCGGATGATCCTTCAAGGCGGGGGGGGTCAACCTATGAGGCGATTTTGCCCGTCCGCCGAGAAAAAAGCGCCAAATCGTTGGAGGGAGGAAAATAATCCGCCTCGTCGAAGCCGCCTGGCGGGGGGTCCGGATCGAGCGCCGCCCCCTCCCCCGCCGAGGTCTCGCTTTGGGGGTGAAGTCAGCATGGCTCCCGCGACGCCCGGGGACGGCGACTGCGCATGCGCCCCGCTCCTTCTCCGACTCTTCCCCCTCCCGCCTGGGGCGCATGCGCGCTGGGGCTTCGCTGCGGCGCGAGTCCCTTTCTGCGCGGTGGCGCAATGGCGCGGGGAAGGAGCGAGGGCAGCCACGGGCACAGCGCATGCGCGGCAGCAGCCCGCCCTTTCTCTGTCTGGTGCAGCTGTTGCAAGAGGGCGAGTCCTGCGCGAGCTCGCAGTTCCAGGAATAAAGAGCGCCCTTTCCTTTTCCTGCACTTCTGCATGTGCGCGACTGCAGCAGCAGCGGGGCGAGCCTGCTCTGCTAAGAAGAATCCACAAGCGGAAAGGCTCCCAGCAGCAGCAGCAGCTTTTCATATGCGCCAAATACAGAGTTGAGCTGTGGAACTCCCTGCCACAAGAGGCGGCGCTGGCCATCACCCTGGAAGGGAATTAGAGAGATAAAGAGGAGGGGGCTAAGGCGAGAGAGGGCTCCTGGCCAAGAGGGCCCAGCAGCAGCAGCAGTGGCCAAGCAGATGTCCTGAGAGCCACCTGCTGCTCTCCTTCGGGGTAGACTGCCTCTTACAATGGATGTCCTAGTTGAATTTTATTCTTACGGTCACAGACCAGTTCCGGCTCACTTACAATATCAGGGAAATCATAAAACACAACAGGAATGCATTGAATTGCAATTGGGTACAACAGAGGCAATACAGTTAAAAATATATATTAAATCTTGATCACTAAAATATAACCTAAAATTGTCATTTAAAACCTTAATCATTTTGGTAGTTCCCTGAGTTTTATGGCAGTCGCACAGAATTTGGCCACCCAGAGCGTCATCTCAGGATCCTTGTCCTCTACCAGGACTTTTAGACATTGAAGTTCAGACCCATTTGGAGATTTTGGTATAACAGGAGTGATAAATACCGAGCGTATATCCCTGTAGAAACAGCAGACTCGTTCCACGTATGGTTTACCCTCGAATCTGCCCTGCAATAAGGCAGATGGCAGCACGTTGAATCTAGCAATGGTAAATGACCGTCTGTATTTGGGTATTTGTAATTTTGATGTCCTATTAACTGTGATCTGTGCATTGCAGGGGGTTGGGCTAGGTGACCCTCGGGTCCCTTCCAGCTCCACAAATCTATGCCATAGCCACCAGAGTAGGTGGGCATACGGCAGCCCTGCTGAAATCGAAGGCGGTTTTTAATCAAGTTGCACCCATCACTTAGCGGTTGCCTTAATTTCTCTCTGTCCTCCCGCTGCACCCGGGCACAGAGGCTTTGGGAGAATTGTGCCAGCGAGGGGTTGGTCTAGATGAGCCCCAGGGTGCCCCCGTCCGCCTCCGTCATATCGCCAATCCATTGATTAAGGAGGATCTTGTTTTTATTCTTCCAATTCATCCATATCAGTCTCTTGGCCACAATAAGAGCACGTGGGATCCACAATAAGGGCGCGTGGAATAATAATAATAATAATTTATTTGTACCCCGCCCATCTGGCTGGGTTTCCCCAGCCACTCTGGGCGGCTTCCAACAAAAATTAAAAGATTAAAAATACATTAAAATATCACACATTTAAAACTTCCCTGAACAGGGCAGGGCTGCCTTCAGGTGTCTTCTAAATGTCAGGTAGTTGTTTACCTCGGGCGCCACCACCAAGAAGGCCCTCTGCCTTGTTCCCTGTAGCTTTGCTTTGCAAGTTTACATCGCCTCTCACCAAGGTCCCTTATGGGGCTTCTCGGGAGAAAGTTGCTAGGAGGTTCGCACGGCAGGCGGCTTGGGAATTTCCCCAAGCACACTTCCTGCTTGTGACTCATTGAGTCTTTTATAACAGGCGCACACAAACAGGGCCTGACAAAGAGGGAAACTCCGAGAAGAGGACGGGGAAGTGAAAGCGAAACTCTGCCCCCCTCCCCGCCCTGAGCCCCCTGTGGTGGATTTCTATAGGGAAGTGGGCAGGGGATGGGGGTCAGAGCTTGCTGGAGCCAGGCAAGATCTCCTTTTGCTTGTCTGCAGTAATTCATGGAGGATAGAACCTCCAGCATCAGAGACAGTCTACCTCTGAATGTCAGTTGTTGGGGAACAAGGGCAGGTAGGGAGGGGGGGTTTCCTGTTTAGCTATGGTCCCTGGAGCTCCTTCATCCTTCTTCATTTTCCTGCGTGATGCTCCAGATCTCACACACACACCAATTCCTGCATTTGCAGGTGCTGAACTATATGACCCTTAGGTGACCCTTAAAACTCCCATGGTTCTTTTATCTCTTATTTATTTATCATTAAATTTGTGTGCCGCCCTTTGAGCATACATTTCAGGGCAGTTTGCAGCATAAAAATGTGACATTAAAAAACCCCACAAAATATATACCAATAAGAAGAAGAATGAAAGAATAACCCCCTCCCACAAGCACATGTGAAAGTTTATGGGATGTTAGCCAGCCCAATGCTTAGGTGGAAGAGGAACGCTTTCGCCTGGTACCCAAAGGTGTCTAATGAAAGTGCCAAGCGAACTTCCTTGGGGAGAGCATCCCACAAACGGGGAGCCACTGCAGAAAAGGCCCTGTTCTCGTGCCCATTTAGGGGGCACAGAAAAAGAGGGGACCAGATGAGCATTGCAGGGCCTGGGCTGGTTCATAGGGGAAGAGGCAGACTTTGAGGTGGGGCAGGGTATAATTATTAGTATTATTATTATTCACTGGGGAACAATTTTTTCCCATTTTCTGTTGCATGAGATTTTTCAATTGTTCTTATATGTTCTTTTCAATGTCATTTACAATGTTATACATGTCATGTTCAATGCTATATAAGTCACTTACACATTTATACTCATATTGTACTACTTTGGCTATGTGTTTAATAAAATATTGAATACTTGCATTGTGAAAAACAGATTATGGTGAAAAGCGAAAAATTGCAAAAAAAAATCCTAGAGCTTACAGAACAAAAACCAACTTCAGATATGAAATCAGCACGTTGAAATTAGGTTAGAACAACTGCAGGTGTCAATGCAACAAAAAATTGTTCTCCAGTGAAGAATTATTATCATCATCATCATCACCATCATCCTGAGCCATCCAAGGCCTTATAAGGCAAAACCACCACTTTGAATTGGTCCCAGAAACTAATTGGCAGCCAGTGCAGTTGGGTCGGGATCAGTGCGAAACGTTCAAACCGTTTTTCCCTGGTCAGCAAACTGGCCGCCAAATTCTGCACCGGCTGAACCGTCTTCGGAGGCGGCTCCTGGGTGATCTACGATTCACTGGAAGCTTTTAAACAGAGGCCAGACGGGCCATGCGTCGGGGATTTCTTAGCTGGGGTCCCTGCATTTGCAGGGGGTTGGACTGGATGACCCTCAGGGATCCCTGCGATTCTCTCTTCCCGCAGCCTAAGCAGCCCGTCTGCGCTCCAGAGCCGAAACCGGGCAGCCTCTCCCTGGCAACTGATGACGATGTAGCGCAGCGAAACCCCATTGGCTGCCTGGGGGAGGCATCCTCCCTCCCCGAAGCTGCTGCGAGTTGGGGGAACTCAGCTGTGGGGCTCGGAGATTTGCCGTGGGGCAGTGAGGACGATGGGTCCCGGGAGGTGCAACTGGGGTCTGGCGGCCCTGGCCTGGCTCTGGGGGGCAGCGGCGGCTGCAGCGGCCGAAGTGCAAGGTACAAAAATGCGTCTCCCTATTCCCTGCCTGCGTGGGGTGTGAAAACGAAGGTGTGGGGTTTTTTGGGGGGGTGGGGGGCTTTCAGGTTGTGTGCTTTTTCCCTAGCCCTGGCGAGTTCTTACGACCGGGCAGCGAGCCTCCCTTGGCAGCGTCCGTGTACTTGCTAACATTTGCCAGGCGGAAATTCAACCGGTGCAGCTATCTCCCTCTCCAAACTCTTTTCTGGGTGGTCTTCAGCCCCCCACCCAGAAGATGCCGTCTCCTCTGTGACTTTCAGGTGACCTTGGCTCGCTAGAGCTCAGGTGAAATGCCACCCCGTATTTATTTATTTATTTATTTTTAAATCCCTTCCGAGTTTCACTTTTAACTGGGGGGAAAAGACTTCCGAGCAGCCTGCTGGTGTGACTTGAACTCGGATCTGACACCCGTGTGCACACTCTCGACTCACAGGATTGGCGAGTTGGAAGGGACTATGAGGGTCATCTAGCCCAACCCCCTGTGAAGGCACAGTTGTTTACAGCGTTTTTCCAAATAATACTACTACTAATAATTTTTTATTTGTACCCCACCCTTCCCGGTTCAAAAAGCGGGCTCAGGGCGGCTAACAACCAATTCGAAACACTTAATTATAAAAGCAGCATAAAATACAGTATAAAAACATGAATAACAATAACAATAAAAAATGAATTAGCTAATCCCCAGGGCTAGATGGTTGAATTGGTCCTACTTGGGCCAGCGAGGAGACCAGGGGAGAATTAGCTGTGGGGTCCCAGAGCGGGTGATCTTCATAAAAGGGAAAGGGGAGGGAAGAAAAGGGAAATAAAAGATCAGACTGAATTCAAATTAAAGGCCAGGCGGAATAGCTCTGTCTTGCAGGCCCTGCAAAAGGAGGTTAAATCCTGCAGGGCCCTAGTCCCCTGGGACAGAGCATTCCACCAGGTCGGAGCCACCACTGAGAAGGCCCTGGCCCTGGTGGAGGATAATCTGACTTCCTTCGGGCCCAGGACCTCTCAACTATGTAAATAGTATTTTGGCACCTAGTTTCCCCCTCTCTCCCCCATCCCCTAATAATCCCAAACCCCCATAACTGAGGGGGCTGCAGAAGGGGGAGGGGCAAATGGTGTTCGGAGGGGGGGAATGTGCTTTAAAACCGCCTACTTGCATTGAGGAAGTTCCTTCCTTCCTTCCTCTCCCCGCTTGTAGCAGCACCGTCAGAACAGGACTCTGGCAGAACCACAGACTCGTAGAACGATAGATTTGGAAGGGGGTTCCCAGGGTCATCTAGTCCAACCCCAGCTCAATAACCCCTGTTTCACCCCACAAGCACTTTCTGACAGTAATTGCTGTTTGCAAGCAGAAGAAGCTTCCTCAGAAGGTAGAGGTTGGATGGCCCCAGGTATAATAATAATAATAATAATAATAATAATAATAATAATAATAAATTTTATTTATACCATGCCCTCCCCACCCAAGACCGGGCTCAGGGCGGCTAACACCAGGTATAAAAACAATGGATTAAAATACAACTTGAAAACGAGATTAAAATGCAACAATGCAGCCTCATTTCTGCAGAAACTCAAATCAAAAGTTCGTGCTTTCTTGCCATCCATCGCCGGCATAATATTACGAGCCAGGGAGGGTGAAGGGCAGAAGGCAGAGGGCAGGCAGCAGAAGACGGGCACATGGAGGGGTGCATGGAGGCACATCGCAGAATCAAAATAATTGTGGAGTTCGAGGGCCATCTAGTCCAATCCCGTGTCCCTGAGAACTCGAACCCGTGTCCCTGAGATTATGAGCCTCCTTTTCTACTGACTGAGCTATGATTTGGGGCGGCTTCTTATCTCCACCTCGATGGCGGCGGTCGACCAATCTCCCTCTTTTTCTTGTCCAGAGGATCCTGCCCACCTCTTTTCTGAGGTCTACGTGTGCCAGCAAGATTCCCTGCTCCCTGAGATGCTTCAAACGCTGGACAATGAGGAGCTCTTCTGGTTCAACTCCTCGGAGTCCGCCTGGCACCCCCGCCTCCCCGATTTCCAGCCGGGGGTGCCGACCCGGACCCCCCAAAGTCACATCCGGGTGCTGAACCAGCTCTGCAACGACGTGCTGAGCAACTTTTCGTACTATTTTGCAATTATGCCGGAAGCGAAAGGTGAGGGGGGTTTCTTTGCCTTGGGGGGACGGAGGGAGGGAGAGAGCCACCAGAAACTTCCTCCAGCGAGGAATTGTAGAATGTATGTTACAATAAAAAAAAAAAACTACGATAAAAATAATAATGAGTAAAATAAAAAAATACAAATAATAATGTAAGTAAAAGGACAGGGAGCCACCACTGAAAAGGCCACATTCTCAAGTTGCCACCCTCTGCCCCCCCCAGGTATTGCTCAGGTGAAGGTCTTCCCCCTGCAGCCGCTGCAGCTGGGCCAGCCCAACACCCTCGTCTGCTCAGTGACCAACCTCTTCCCTCCGGCGGCCGAGGTCACTTGGACGTACCAAGGTCAGCCCGTGACCCAGGGGGTCTCCACCCCTCCGGCAATCCCTGTGGAGGACCTGGAGTTTGAGCTCTTCTCCTATTTGGAGGTGACCCCCCAGGAAGGAGACATCTACAGCTGCAACGTCAAGAGTCCCCGCGACACCTTCAGCATCCAGACGTTCTGGGGTGAGGCCCTGCTCGCCCCCTCTCTCCCCACACCCTGCCCCGAATGACCCTGGTGCTCTCACACACCCACCCCCGACTGACCCTCTGTCCCCTCTCCCTCCCTCCTGCAGTCCCCCAAAATCCCGTCCCCTCGGAGCTCCTGGAGAACATCCTGTGTGGCCTGGCGTTTGGGCTTGGCGTCCTCTTTGCCATCGCCGGGGTGGTCCTGGTGGCAGTATCCTGCAAGCGCGACAGCACAGGTAGAGCTGGAGGAGGCCCCGGGCCCCTTGGGGAAGGAGGAGGCTGCAGGTCTGGGGCAGGTGGAACCAGAGGCTTGTAGGGTCGGAAGGGGTACCCCTGAGGTCATCCATCCCAACCCCCTGCAAGGTCGCGTGGTTCCCTTTTCATTCATCTGTTTCCTTGCTGGGCAAAACGTGTACGCCGCTTGACGTGAAATATGGCAACCATCAAAGATTCCTGCATTGCGGCGGGTTGGGCTAGATGACCTTTGGGGGTCCTTCCCTCCAGTTCTGTGATTCTACGACCTTTCTCTTTTCCAGAATGAAATCCCCAGTGTCGACCTGAAGGAGGGATTTGGAGGAGAAGGAGCATCACCTTTAAAGTCACCCCTCGCCCCCCCCCCACGGGAACTGCCCCCTCGGTGCCAGAATCTGTCTCTGTATGTGTGTGCCCATTTGCATTCAGTGAGCCGCGAACACCTGTCCGCCCTGCTTTGGTCACGTGTCTCCGTTGCCACTGGCTCCCGGCAGGGGTGGGAGAGAGGCCAGTCTGTGAACCCGGAGAGAAACGGCTGCCAGTCAGTGTGGGCAGTCCTGGGTGAGGCGGGTCAGTGATGTGAGTGAGCTTCTTCTGCTCCCGTTAAAGTTATTGCTGCTAGAGGAGCAGTGGGGTAAATGAGGGGGTGGAAGGAGCAGAGGAGCAGAGCCCAACCAGGTTTGGATGAAGCAGGGCTGGCTCAGATCCCACTTCTGACACCGCTGTCGCACCAACCCCACTTCTGACACCGCTGTCGCACCAACCCCACTTCTGACACCGCTGTCGCACCAACCCCACTTCTGACACCGCTGTCGCACCAACCCCACTTCTGACACCGCTGTCGCACCAACCCCACTTCTGGCACCGCTGTCGCACCAACCCCACTGCTAGCACTGGCACTGTTGCTGCAGGTTTGTCATGGCCTTCGGCTAGAACAAGAAACTTACATAGACTGAATATTGCTAGCCCCACAACCATCACTCACCCCACTGCTCACATCGCTAGCACCACCACTCCTGCTCCTCCCAGCTATGGGTCTTTCTCACCAGGAGAGGGGCACGGCTTGGCCCCAGATCTATTTTTTGTCCCATCAGGACCCAGCTTTTCCGCCGCTCCCAGGGGAATGAGAGACCTTCCTGGTCTGCCCCTGACCCTTTAACAGGACCTTCTTGTGGAGTACAGAGACCATCACCTGCTAATTGCTGCGGCAGGAGAGGACTGTACCACGCGATTCTTCACAATGGGCAGCTGGGCCCTGCAGCGCAATTTTTCTTCTGTGTGTGTGGCAGGGCTGAGCCCAGGCACTTGTGAAGCGATGGTGCCTCTGAGCATGTTGAGAGTGCTGTCCATTACAGCAAAGAAGTGCAGTTTGCCCCTTTTCAGCTTGCAGAAGGCAGCTGGGCAGAAGTAATCCCCAGAACCCCTCTCCCTTTTCTACGTTTTAGCATCATAGACTCATAGAAGGGACACCAGGGTCATCTAGCCCAACCCCCTGCAAGGCAAGAATATTTGGCCCAATGTGGGTTTCGAACCCATGACACTGAGATTAACAGCAACAATAATAATTTTTTATTTATACCCTGCCCTTACTGGTTCAGAAAACCGGGCTCAGGGCAGCTAGCAACAAATTTAAAACACTTAATTGATGCAACAACAAAAAACAGCATATAATACAGTATAATACGTGAATAACAATAAATTAAGAATTCAGAAATCAATTTAGGGGGGAAATCCATCCAATAAACATTAGATGATCCCCAGGGCTAGCTGGCTAAGTTAGTCGTTCTACCAACTGAGCTATCGGGGATGTGGAAGCACAGGAGATTTTTTTTTGGGGGGGAGCGTCACCACCGGTTGAATTTCTGCCCTTTCATACAGCAGCTATGGGGAAGGCTTGAATATTCCCCGGGACCTTGCAGGGTGGTTTTGCCGGGCAACATGATAAAAAGGCAGTGGGCATCTTCTTAGTTTTAAAAGGCGGGGGGAGACTGGGAGGCCCACGCAGGACTAAAGAGTCATTGCAACTTTTAAAAGAGGGAGAGCAGAGAGATGGAAGGACCAAAAAAAAAAAAGATGGGGGGAAGTTTGTTTTTTGGGGGATTGTTTTCGGATCTTACGGACGCTGCACCTGCAATTGTTCCTGCTCAGCGATGTGTCCCTTTCCTTTGCGTTCCTGACGCCGGGTGCCAGGTGGAATTATTGCCAGGGGTGCAAAAAATAAAATGGGGAAAAAAGAAAAAAAACCAGATTTTGGAACTATTCTTTCGCGTCCTTCCTGGCGTTGCAAGCGGGAATTGAGGCAGAAGAACCCGGGGCGGGGGAGGGGGGTGCCCTTGCGGGGGGGGCAGGGCCAGAAAGATGGGGAGTAGGTCCATGGATGTGACTTGTACAGGCAAAGAAGGCGCGTTATTGCCTGTCAGGTAGAATTCCTCACGTAGAGCGCGGAGCATAGAGCAGAGCTGGGGGCGGGGCTTGGTTAAGGGGGCGTGGCCGGGGGAAATCAGAGCGGGGGGGAGGGGCAGGCAGTTACAAAACACAGCTGTCAACTTTTTCCTTTTCTTGCAAGGAATCCTATTCGGAATAAGGGAATTTCCCTTTTAAAAAAGGGAAAAGTTGACAGCTATGTTACAAAATCCGAGGCGTTTTCTTTTTTAAAAAAATAATTTTTATTGAAGTTTTTCTGGGTTTTCCAAAGTACGTGCATTGTCTCTCTTTTTTCAGTACATGTCCTTTTTTTGACAAATTTGCAAGGGGCTGCAAGACGGTCTCCTCCCCTTCACTTTGATCTTCTTGCATGGGGGCGGGGGGGGCGCCTCTCCCGTCTCAAAAAAATAGCTCCACACACACCTGCGCTTTTTGTTCTTTGTTTTTTCCTGGCCCTGCTGTTCTCATGCAACAACATGACCAGGCTGGAAGATCTGGGAAAGCTTCACTTGTGGGGGTTTCTGTTTATTTTGCAAAAAAATTAAATGCCCTGATTCCAGCTTATTTAAAGAGTTCTGCTTTACAAGTTGTTTTTTTAAAAAAACAAAAATGAGTGACTTCATACTGTATTTGCAAGGAAGATCAATAAAATAAATTTCTTTTTTCTTTGTCTTTTTTTTTATTTATTTTCACATAATAAATTATCCCAACAATTATATTTTCCCCCATTTTCCCCCTCCCTCCCCCCTACGACTTCCCTCAGTTCCTCTTTCTGATTTATTAACACATATTGTTCTCTGCTAAGTAAAAATCTCTAAGTTATCTATCTATTATGTTAACAAATAAATTTGTCTATGTTTATTCGAAACCTGCCAAGGAGTCCTACTCATTTTGTCGTTCCTTTAAGTACTTTGTAAAAGGTTCCCACTCTTCTTTAAAGTCACAGTTGTCCTTGTCGCGTAGTTTGTGCATCAATTTTGCCAGTTCCGCTTGGTCCATCAATTTCTCTTGCCACTGTTCTTTTGTCAGGACTTCCTCATTCTTCCATCCTTGTGCTATTAGGACTCTTGCCGCCATTGTTGCGTACATAAATATGTTCTTTAATTTCCTTGGCAGGTCTTTCCCTACAATCCCTAACAGAAATGCTTCAGGCTTTTTTACAAATGTTAATTGGAACATTTTCTTCAACTCATTATAGATGGTACATAACACCAGTACAGATAGCAAGAATGTATAAAACCGGCTGAAATATATGTTGGAAATGTAAGGAAAAATAAGGGACTTTTTATCCTATGCGGTGGGATTGTAGAGAAATTAATAAAATGAATTTCAACAGGGGCAAATGTCAGGTTCTAGACTTAGGCAGGAAGAACCAACTGCACAAATAGAGGATGGGGACACCGGGAACGCGAGGGGGCATTCGGGGAGGGAGAAAAGGAAAGAGGGACAGAGACGAGTGTTGCCCCTGGCACCCCTCACCATCTTTCAAGGCACCCCTGGGGGCCACGGCACATGGGTTGAAAACATCTGCCTTTGGCGGTGTTGAGACTCGCCCCACCTTTTCCAATACAATATACAGTGGTACCTTGGCTTCAGGTTACATACGCTTCAGGTTACAGACTCCGCTAACCCAGAAATAGTGCTTCAGGTTAAGAACTTTGCTTCAGGGTGAGAACAGAAATCATGCTCTGGCGGCGCAGCAGCAGCAGGAGGCCCCATTAGCTAAAGTGGTGCTTCAGGTTAAGCACGGACCTCCGGAACGAATTAAGTACTTAACCCGAGGTACCACTGTATAATGAATTGAAAAAGGTTTTAAAATATAACTTTAATAAAAAGCCAGAGACATTTTTATTAGCTTTAATTGGAGCAGAAATACATAAAAGAGATGTAAATATGTTTATGTATGCCACACATAGCTGGCAACCGTCCCTTATTTGGCGGGAAACTCCCTTATCCCAGCACCATTTCCCACTGCTGTCCCAGACTGATGATGTCCCTTAAATTTCCTGGGTTTCGTGCTCGCCCGGCTGGGCGTCCTCCGCCTCGAGAGAGTGAGAGGGAGCACGCGCACGAGCTGCCGTGTCTCTGTCTCTCCCTTTCCCCCCTCGGGTGTGTTGTGAGGAGACGGGTGGCGGCGGGCGGGCAGGCAGCCCCTCTGTTGCGAGACCTCCGCCGCGCTGCCAGGGGAAGCCAGAGGCAGCGGCGGCTGAGGAGGCGGCTTGAGGGAGGAGAAAGAGGAGGGGATGGGGAGGGACGCAGAAGGGCAGCGCTTCAGCAGCCGTGGCGGCGCCGCAACCGCCTCATGCCAGGCTCACGGGCGGCGTGGGCAAGAGACTCTCTCCCTTCCTTCCCTCCCTCTCGGGCAGGAAAGGGCCGATGGAACTCCTCGCTCCAAGACGACGGCAGCCCCGACGTGCTGCTTAGCATCCCCTCCAACCAGTGCAGCATCTTAATGTAGTGATTTCCCCCTCTGCATCCCTTTCATAACTCTTTTATAAATCATTTGTCCATCCATAGTTCAAATTTTTACTACAAGTTTTCTGTCAATCCTACCAATGTATGTAACTCTTTGCAATAGCTTTTCAACTAAATTATAAGCTTTCCCCATTCTTTATTAAAGAGGTCCTCTTCCTGGTTTCTAATTCTGCCTGTAAGCTCTGCCATCTGGACGTCGTTCATCAGTTTTGTCTGCCCCTCTTCTTTGGTCGGAGTTGTAGACCCTTAGGATCATCTAGTCCAACCCTCTGCAAAACACAGTCAGGGGCAGCAAAAGCAGCCTGGCTCCATCAGGGCCGGATTTCTGTATCAGCTTAGCAAAATCCCCTATTTTGGCTGCTGGTCCCTTATTTTCGAGGCTGCTGGTCCCTTATTTTCAAATCTGTAAGTTGACAGCTATGATGCCACAAGGGCTGCAAGGATACTTCTGGCTCAAAAATGGAAACATCTGGAACTCCCAACATTGGAAAATTGGCAGGTTAAGATGGTGGAGGACGTAGACATGGCCAAGTTGACGATCGGTAATCAGCGTGATGTATGGAAGTGAGAGCTGGACCATAAAGAAGGCTGATCGACGAAGAATTGATGCTTTTGAATTCTGGTGCTGGAGGAGACTCTTGAGAGTCCCATGGACTGCAAGAAGATCAAACCTCTCCATTCTGAAGGAAATCAGCCCTGAGTGCTCACTGGAAGTACAGATCCTGAAGCTGAGGCTCCAATACTTTGGCCACCTCATGAGAAGAGAAGACTCCCTGGAAAAGACCGTTTGCAGGCTTGAACTGAAATGTTTTGCAATGTAAATATAAGGAACTGATTTAACAAGGTGAAATATTACAATAAGATAGAAGGTAAACATGTGATTATAGAAATGCGAAGAATATAGAAAGGTGTGTGGAAGTCAGAAAGAGGGAGGGAAGGAGGTCGATGCTCTTATAGAGTAATGTATTGAGTTATGGAATTATGTAACAAAATGTGATTATGATAAAAGTGGAAAATTTAATAAAAATCACTTTTTTAAAAAAAGAGACTCGCTTCCTGACGCTGCGCCGGCTCCTTTGCGGGGCGAAAGTGAAAGTGGACCCGAGCCAAAGCGCAGTGGGGGAGGGGAGGGAAAGAGGAAGCGGGAGGCGGAGGGGGAGGGGGCCTGATTCTATATCTGGCGGCGCCGGGCGGTTTCGGATCCCCTCTGGCTGGTGGTGGTTCTGCAAAATGCAAAAAGCAACGACCAAACAGGAGCTCTGACTCAAGCGACGGGGGACTGGGGGGCCGGGGGCCGGTTCTGGCCCGCTGTGCGTCCTCAGCTGAGATTCCTGCATCGCAGCGGGTTGGTCTGGATGACCCTCGGGGGTCCCTTCCAACTTCATAGTGGAGCGAATTTCTATGGGTTTTGGGGTTTTTTAGGACAGGGCGTGTGTGGAAACCTCCCACCTGCGGCCCTCCAAGCCTCGCTGCCCGGCCCTCGGGACTCTGCTCAGGACCACGCCCCCTCTCCCCAGACCACGCCCCTCGCCGGCCCTGCTTTGCACCCCGAGAAGCCGGGATGGGGGGCAGAGAGGGGTGCGCCAGGGAACTAGTCTGTGGCCCCAGGATAAAATGCAACCCTTGCTCTGCCCTTCAGAGACTTTCCTCCTGAAAAACCCCGACGGCTCCTCTCTGCTCGGCAACTGATGACGCGGCGGCGGGCGGCCTCCCCATTGGCTCCCCGCGGGACGGGGGATTTCTGGCTTCTCCCTTCCCCCAGTGTGGGGCTGAGGTTGGGGGGCAGAGGCGGTTCCCCTGGACGCGGCCAGAGCAGCAGTTGCAGCAGAGGAGATCCTTCTCTCCGAGGAATCCCCTCGAGGAGCTGGGATCCAGAGATAGCGACCCTCCTCTGGAGGAAGAAAGGGATCCCACTGCCCCCCCCACGCAAAAAAAAAAAAATTCCCCATAAACTACAGCGAAGGGATCCAGGAGAGCAGATCTCTCGCTGGGATCCGGGGGCCGGTCAGAGAGCGTAGAAACGAGACACGGGATCCCTTGCCAAGTGGATCCCTAGGAGCGCGGAGAGAGATCCAGAGCTTGCCAAGCGGATCCTTCTTCTTCCTCCTCCTCCTCCTCGCTCAGCGGAGTCAGGATGCGGCCTCTCGGGGCGGCTTTGGCCGGCCTCTGCCTGGCGCTGAGTTACCTGCCAACAGGTAAGGATGCGGGGGGGGGCGGAAAGAATCGAGAGATCCGGGGCTCGCTGGATGCGGAAGTTGCAGCCCGACCGACCTCGCAGGGTCGTTGTTGCGGGGGGGGGGGGCTGGAAGAGGGAGGGGAGACTCGGCCTTGAGAAAAAAGTGGGGTGCAAATAACCCCTCGCTCGATCCGTTAACCCTTTCCGCAGGGGCTTTCGTCGTCCACCTGCAGGAGGACTGCTTCCTCTCGGACGGGGGTCGCGCCCTCTGGCTCAACTGGACGGTGGCCTTCAACAAGATCCCCTTCATCTGCTTCGAGGGATCCAGCGGGAGCTTCGTGCCCTGCGGCCTGGGCGCCTACGACCCCTGGGACCAGCTGACCGCCTACTTCGCGGACCACCTGAACGCCGTCCTGGGGGCGCAGATGAAGGGGGAGGCCCAGCGCTGCCAGCGGCAGGTCCACTCGCTGTGGGGACCCTCGGCGCTCAGGAAGAGTGAGTGAGGGGCGCTGGGGCGGGGGGGGGGGAGGAGCAGCCCCAAACACCTGGGTTGCATCTGGAGGACGCCAGGTGGGGAAAGTGGCGTGGGAAGTGAAGGCAAGTGGGGTGGCAAGCGGGGTGGCATGTGGGGTGGCACGTGAAGGCAAGTGGGGTGGCAAGTGAAGGCAAGTGGGGTGGCACGTGAAGGCAAGTGGGGTGGCAAGTGAAGGCAAGTGGGGTGGCACGTGGGGTGGCACGTGAAGGCAAGTGGGGTGGCACATGGGGTGGCAAGTGAAGGCAAGTGGGGTGGCAAGTGAAGGCAAGTGGGGTGGCAAGTGAAGGCAAGTGGGGTGGCACATGGGGTGGCAAGTGAAGGCAAGTGGGGTGGCAAGTGAAGGCAAGTGGGGTGGCACGTGAAGGCAAGTGGGGTGGCACATGGGGTGGCAAGTGGGGTGGCACATGGGGTGGCAAGTGAAGGCAAGTGGGGTGGCACATGAAGGCAAGTGGGGTGGCAAGTGAAGGCAAGTGGGGTGGAAAGTGGGGTGGCATGTGAAGGCAAGTGACGTGGCAAGTGGGGTGGCAAGTGAAGGCAAGTGGGGTGGCAAGTGGGGTGGCACGTGAAGGCAAGTGGGGTGGCACATGGGGTGGCAAGTGAAGGCAAGTGGGGTGGCACATGAAGGCAAGTGGGGTGGCAAGTGAAGGCAAGTGGGGTGGCAAGTGGGGTGGCAAGTGAAGGCAAGTGGGGTGGCACATGAAGGCAAGTGGGGTGGCAAGTGGGGTGGCACGTGAAGGCAAGTGACGTGGCAAGTGGGGTGGCAAGTGAAGGCGTGATGTGGCAAGTGATGTGGCAAGTGGGGTGGCAAGTGAAGGCGTGATGTGGCAAGTGATGTGGCAAGTGGGGTGGCAAGTGAAGGCGTGATGTGGCAAGTGATGTGGCAAGTGGGGTGGCAAGTGATGGCAAGCTTATCCCACCAGGAGGCATGCAGCTGAGCCAACCCTCGAAAGTTCTAATGCGGATTCTGATTCTGCTCCCCCTCCTCCCCACAGCTCCCCCAAAGGCCCGGGTCTTCCCTGTCATCCCTCAGAACACCCCAGAGTCCATCATGTTGGCGTGTGTCGTGTGGGGCTTCTACCCCCAAGACGTGACCGTCACCTGGCTGTGGAACGGGGCCCCCCTGAAGAACGGGACAGGCCCGCCGGCAGTGCCCTCCAGCAACGGGGACTGGACCTACCAAACTCTGCTCACCCTCCCCGTGGACCCCCGGCAGGGAGGCACCTACACCTGCCAGGTGACCCACGTGAGCTTGAATGAAACCCTGACCAAGGACTGGGGTGAGTGACAGCGCCGGACGGGGCTGGGCTGCTTCACGCAGCACAGAGTTCAGCTATGGAACTCCCTGCCACCGACTTGGATGGCTTTGAAAGAGAATGGCAGCCTCCCACTGGATTCCCCAAATGCCTCTGTGCATGTGCAGAATGTCTCTTCGTCCCCCCCCCCTTCTAAGTGACCACAATGAGCCACCAACTAACTGGAGATCTGGAGGAAAAGTCCAGCTGCGATTCCTGCCTTGCAGGGAGCTGGCCTAGATGGCCTTTGGGGGTCCCTTCCAAGCCCACAAGCCTAGGATTCTATGATCTCGCTGAGCCTTGTCCGCACAGACTGGCAGCGCTGCCTCTCCTTCTGCACTCCAAGCAGGTGTCCTGCCACTGAGCCCAGGCCAGACCCTCTCTTCCCAAAAGGGGAAACATTTCGTCCTGCTCTTTCAGGGGCCTCGTTTATTTATTTCATTAAATTTATACGCCACTTTTTAGGGGGACGGGGTCGACTCCAAGCAGTTAGTAAGAATCATAGAATTGGAAGGGACCCCGAGGGTCATCTAGTCCAACCCCCAAGAATGTCAGCTGAAGCTTCCCTGCCAGATGGCCAACCAACCTCTGCTTTAAAAACCCAAAGAAGGAAAAAATAGAACAATAATTAAAAACTTTTAAATTTGTGATGAGTGATAAGCAGACTGAAACACCCACCCACATCTGCAGAATGCTTTTTAGCAGGCACCTAATATCAAGAGGCAGGGAGTCCCACAGGGTTCGGGAGCTGCCACACTGAAATACTGATTCCTTACATAGTCAGGACAGGTGTTAGGTGGCAGCCCCAGCCCCACAGATCCAAGTGGTTAAGAGGGTGGGTTGGTGGGGGGTCAGAAAACCTCCACCCCACAGGTGAGGAAGGCGACCCGCATTTAACAGTTCCCTGCCCTATCTGTCTCTCCCGCAGCGCCAGGCCTGGCTCTGGACCTCCGGTGGAAAGTGGGGGTCTCGGCAGCCATGCTGGGGGTCGGCATACTTCTCCTTGCCATGGGCACCGTCCTTTGGAAGAGGAGATTCCCCGAAGGTATGGGCCAGAGGAGAACATGAGCTGGGGGGATGAGGTTTTGCTTTTTGCCAGTTCCTTAAGATTTATGCACTGCTTTTTGCCGACTCCGTAAGATTTATACACTGATTTTTGCCGACTCCTTAAGATTTATACACTGATTTTTGCCGACTCCTTAAGATTTATACACTGATTTTTGCCGATTCCTTAAGATTTATACACTGCTTTTTGCCGATTCCTTAAGATTTATACACTGCTTTTTGCCGATTCCTTAAGATTTATACACCGCTTTTTGCCAAATCCTTAAGAGTTATCCACCGCTTTTTGCCGACTCCTTAAGATTTATAACCTGCTTTTTGCAGATTCCTTAAGATTTATACACTGAAACCTCTGAGCTCTCATCAGCTTGGGCCCCGTTGATGGGTGACCCCTCAGGTGGGCGGTTGGGTGGGGTTTTCCTCTGGGTGGGGGCCGTTCTTTTTGCTGACTCCCTCTTTCTCTCTCCACTTCCAGGCTACGCCCCCATTGATGGCAGCACCTACCCAAATGGTAAGAGTACCTTTGCTCCCTCCCTCCTGCTTAGTTAAACTATGGAACTACCTGCCACAAGAAGCCAACTTGGGCAGCCTTGCAATGGTCTTTGGCCTGATCCTGCAGGCTCTGCTCGTGTTCTTAGGACGACAAATTCTGGCTGAGCATGGGGGGTAATTTTTTAAGGGTTAGGGCAGTTGTTTGGAGGGGGGAGAGGGCAGGGGTCTCCCTTCCAGCAAAGATCCCACAGCCAGCCTTCAAGTCCCCCACCCTCCAGTTATTCCAAGGATCGGGTCCACTCGGGTCCCCCGCTTTCAGAGTCAGCAAAGTGAAAAGCCTCTGGGAAATCTCTCCTGCCCTCCGCTCCCTATTGCAGGGGTCTCCCTCCTCCTCATTGCGCCCCATACAACAACCCTGCGAGGTAGGGTAGGCAGAGAAAGAGATAGATTGTGGCCCCCCCAGGTCACCCTGTGAATTACACAGCCGAGTGGGGATTCCAACCCTGGTCTCTCGCAGGTCCTAACCTTCTCAACTTTGAATTTTATCGTTATTCATGTTTTTACACTGTATTTTATGCTGCTTTTCCAATTAAGTGCTTTAAATTTGTTGTTAGCTGCCCTCAGCCCGGTTTTTAAAACCGGGAAGGGCGGGGTATAAATAAGAAATTATTATTATTATTACACCACCCTGTCTCCCACACCAACCCTACCAGGGAGGACTATACAGCCAGATGTTATACCAGGGTGGTCCCCAGATGTGATAGGAGGGAGGGCTTGGCTTGGGACAGAGGCTGAACCACAAAGGGGGAGTCCCCAAACAGAAAAAAGCATTTACTCTCCCCCCCCCGCCATGATCTTAAAAACTCCAACACCCCCCCCCCTTTCCACAGGTCGCTAGCCTGACTCTGAAGACGCCTTTCTCCCCAAACTCCTTTGGCGGCGATTTCATCCTGGATCCGTTGGGGAGACCGCAAACTATCAAAAGCGAAGTCACCAACCCTGGACTTGCTGCTGCTTCAAAGACCCTCCAGGAATGCCCCCCCCCGAAGCCCCAAGGGGGCCTGTTGAGCCCAGCACCCTCCCCACACCCTGCCTCCTCCTCTGCTAATTTCTCTCACCCGTCTAAGTCGCTGCCTCCTCCTTTGCAGCAGCTGATTGGAACCACAGAACTGTGAGATGGGACCCCAGGAGGTTCTCTAGACCAACCCGCTGTAGTGCATTGTGCAAAGATGCCCCTCCTCTATTCCCCCTGGCTGTCATTGGTTACAATCAAGCTGAGACAGGGGGTTGGGCTAGATGACTGCTGGGGGTCCCAGCTGTACAATTCTTTGATTCTGTGGGAGAGGAACTCTTTTTAACCTACCCGTGGGGCTCCTTTTCTCCAGGTTTTTAAAGAGAGGTATACACATTTGTATATATGCTTTTATTAAGACTTTTCTTTAAAATAAAAACTAAGGAGAATGCTAAGGTCCTGGGTGCGGGTTCACCTTCCTGTGTGGGGGACAAGATTTTCCTGCAAAAGAGGAGTCTGCATTCAAACCATTTCTTATTTGCTTTTGCTAAAGCTGCGCTTCCTGCATTGCAGAGGGTTCGTCTAGATGGCCCCTGGGGGTCCCTTCCAACTCTGCCCTCGCAAAGCAAGCCCCTTTCTCCAAGCCCCTTTTTCCGCCTTCCTCTTCCTAACCTGCCTGCCGTCGTGCCTGCAGGCTTCATTTTTTAAAGGAGATTTGTTGACACAAAAATAAAGGGCAAAATGCCTTCGGACGCGCTTTGCGGTTTCTTTCTTTGGCTTTGGGGTCCTTGCCGCCCAGAGCTGCCCACTCTGCCAGCCGATTCTGACTCCAAAATTTCAGGCAGGTTTTGTGCTTTCGGCAGCCCAGCTTGGAGATGCCACCGTCAGGATTTGAACCCAGAACCTCCCGGTGCTCTAACCACTCAGCTGTGGAGGCCTCTCCCCCACCCTCAACCAACTGCATCTTGCTGCCTTTCCTAAGCAGAAGGGGTTTTTTAACAGGAGTCCCAGAGCCGTTTCCAGAACCAAACGGGCAGCTCAGCTTTTAAAATATTATTTTTTAGGGGGGAGAAATGTTCCTTTGCGGCTGCTAAGCTCACAAGCACTGAGTGTGTGTTGAGGTCTGTGATAGAGTTTGAACCAAGGCCCCCATTCTGCAGTGCAAGCAGGTGTCCTGCCCCTGAGCCACAGGGCTGCGTCCCTGCCGGACCCTTCGCCCTTCCAAGCAAGTGTCCAACACGGCTGCCTTTGCAGAGTTAAACTGCAATTTTCCACACCTTAACGCAGCATTTGGGGTGGGGACACACATGAAAAAAGGGGACCCGTCTCCTGTGTTGTGTTGTCATTGATCTGGCTATACCTCTCAGTTTGTGGCAGCAAAACACCCCGGTGTTTTTGGAGTAGTGAGCACGGGGGGGGGGGGAAATATCCAGTTCCTTGAGATCTAGCAACTTGAGATTTCCCAGAGTTTGCCAGAGGCCCGAGAGAGAGAAGGGGTGAGGAGGGCCGTTTGCTTAAAACCTCACACGGCAGGTACCTGCCGGATTACGAGGCAGGGCCAGGGGCTCCAACTGCCCAGTTAAGGCAAGGGCTTTCAAGGTTCCAGCCCCTTAAGGAACAGCTGCATATTCCTGCGTTACGCGGGGTTGGGCTAGATGACCTCTGCGGTTCCCTTCTGGGTCCACGATTCTATGACTGAGGTCGGAAGTAATGCCAGGCTCCTCTCTAACGGGTTAAATAAATTACATTTCATGTATTATTAGTGCCAGCTGGCATGGATGCTTTAGCTGATACTCCTGCATTGCACGGGGTTGGACTAGAGGACCTCTGGGGTTCCATTCCAGCCCTACAATTTTGTGACTGTGGGGTCTGCATGCCCACCCGGCCCGGCCCCATCTCCTAGTGTGTGTGTGTGTGTGTGTGTGTGTGTGTGTGTGAGAGAGAGAGAGAGAGAGAGAGAGAGGCTCCAGTCTTTCAAAGAGGCAAAAAAACTCCTTGATGAATTAAATTCCACAAAAGGGGGGGGGAGAGAAAACAGCTGTAAAAAGGCCAGAGAGAAACATCTGGTCCAAGCAGCAGCAGCAGCAGCAGCACCCCCCCCTTTGCCCCCCACCATTGCAAGGCGCCCCCCCATCATCCCTGCACAGGGAGGGGGCACCCATCCTTTGAGAGGTGCCATCGCGTTCGCCCACCCCCCAGCCTTCTTTGGGGGGGGGCATCAGTCCTTTCTGGGTGGGGGGGCTAAGTGTGCCGGAAGCGGTGGAGTGGGGGGCAGTTTCAGCCAGTTGGGCACCCCCCACCCCTTGCAAAGCGCTTTCGTCTTCCTCCTCCTCCTCGTCTGAGTCCCCGTGGCGGTGGGGGGGGGGCATGCCGGTGCCCCCCTCTCTTCCTGTTAGCCCAACAGTCTTGGGGGGGGGGTCCTCGGCCCTCATTTCTGCTCCTTGGTTGGGGCATAGTACAACTCCAGGGGCTTGCTCAGTTTCCAGTACTTCTCGTTCACCAGCTCCAGCGTGACGGATCCGTTCAGGGTCTGCGGGAAAAAGGAGAGGCGGCGGCGTTGGGAGTGCAGAAGTAAGAGAAGCCCCCCCCTTCTGCCCCCTTTCACCACAGACGGGCAGGGGGGCTATCAGCACAGCTGTCAACGTTTCCCTTTTTTTAAGGGAAATTCCCTTATTCCCAATAGGATTCCTCGCAAGGAAAGGGAAAAGCGGACTGCTGTGGCTATCAGCTTGCAGTGAGGCAGACCATTTCCCCGCAGAAACGTTCATTTTTATTTTGTTTATTAAATCTGCATGCCGCCCTGTGCATGCAGATATCGGGGGAGAGGGGGTTTCGCAGCATAATGAGATTGGCGAAATGTAATTATCATGGGCAAGACGGAGAGATGTAAAACATGGATTATGGGATAATATGCAGTTGGAAAGGTTGAGAAAAGGACCCAGGGAGTTCAGAGAAATCTCTAAATATGGATATGCGTTTTGTAACGTTATAATTCTGCAAATAAAAATTATTTCCCCACCACCACCAAAAAAATAGATTGGCAAAATATGAGATTCCCCCATCTGCACTGGCAACCTGCCGGCAGCGGAACAGAAACCTGGAGCTTCTCGTATATATATCTCATATGAAACAAATGAAAACCGAACTACTAATAAATAATAAATAATAAAAATAAAAATAATAAATGGAGTGAAAGAGGAGAGAAAGACAAAAAGAATAAAAAGGAAAAAGATAGAAATAAAATAAAATAAAATAAAATTAAGGAAGCCTACAGCTTCCTTTTCATTTTTGTCTTTTAACCCCATTACTTTTTACACTTTTTGTGGGCCAGGGACAACTCGGTGGGTAGAGCAAGAGACTCCCAATCTCAGGGTTCTGGGTTCGAGTGCCGGGTTGGGCAAATGGCAGCAGGTTGGACCAGCTGACCCGTGACGGTGCAAACAATCCTTGCAGCCCCCGTTTATTTTAAGGCTCAGACGGAGCCGTCCTCCTGTCGTGGGTTTGAACAACGTGCCATTTTATCTTTACCCCTGCAAACAGCTTAGAAGCCCTTTCAGCAAGCAAACGGTATACGGATTAACCCTTAAATATATTTCTATGCTCTTATTGCATCGTATCAAATAAAGTAGCCTGTCTAGGAGAAGGAAAACCCTGGTCCTGGGACCGCCCCCCCCAAAAAGCTCCTCCCCCAGGGAAGCTCAACCAGCCCAGCCAGGCAGCAACCAGTTCCATCTCAGGGTCTCAAACCCAGAACCCCTCTACCTCCTCTCGGCTTGCGGGGTGCGACACCCTTCATCCCTTGGGGGTGGGGGGTGGGGAGACCCTCCTCCTCAATGTCCTGCACCCCCCTGCCTGTTACCGTGAAGGCCCCCCCGGCTGTGGTGATGTAGATGGTGTACTGCTTCTCGCTGACGTCCTCCAGGGCGGGGGCTTCGGACCCGGCCCCCGGTGCCTCTTCCAGGGCGATGCGCAGGGCCAGGTATTTGGAGAGGTGGTCCACCGTGGCGTTGGCCGTGGTCTTGACGTACCTGGCGGGGAGGGGGAGGCAGAGTTAGGGGTGCGGGGAGGAAGTTGTGGGGTCGAGGGGGGGTCTTAGGACTCGGCGGTGGGATCCCCTTCCTTGGAGATGCTGGAACGAGAGGCTGGGCTGAGGGTTGGATTGGATGATGATGATGATGATGATGACAATAATGATAATGATAATGATAATAATATATTATTTATACCCTGCCCATCTGGCTGGGCTTCCCCAGCCACTCTGGGCGGCTTCCAACAAAATATTAAAATACATCAAACATTAAAAGCTTCCCTAAACAGGGCTGCCTGTAATAATAGTAATAATAATAATAATAATAATAATAATAATAATAATAATATATTATTTATACCTGTTGCAGGAATTTATGTATAAGTTGGGGGGGTTTCCCCTCCAGCAGATATCCTGCACATGCAGCCCACTACCAAAATCAGCACAATCACTTTTGTGACTTTTGTGATTTGTCCCCACAAAACACTTCATCACAGTTTCTTCCTATCTATTCAAAGGGACTTTGCTGCACAAATGTAAGAATGTACCAAATGTAAGAATTCGCTGATCAATGCATTTATGTACTGGCTCACTGGGAAAACTTCAGAAATCCATATAGACATGTGAGATCAGCTGCTCAGCAGCCCCTCTGCCTGAGGGATAATTCCTGGCATCCTGATACCTGAGTGCCAGAGAGGTAGCCATTCCAGAAATAACAAACCCAGATGAAGACAAATAATTATTAACTTGGCTGGGAAACAGAGAAATGTAAATATCTCTTTTGTTTCACTTGATGGGTGTTTGGTGGAGGGCAAGGGGCAGGGTCCAGGATGCTCAGATTACTGCCACCAGACCTCCCCTTTCATGATGTAACCGTGATGTAGTTTGGGGAGGTGTAACATAGGGATTAACGTAAAGGGACCCCTGACCATTAGGTCCAGTTGTGACCGACTCTGGGGTTGCGGAGCTCATCTCGCTTTATTGGCCGAGGGAGCCGGTGTACAGCTTCCAGGTCATGTGGCCAGCATGACTAAGCCGCTTCTGGCGAACCAGAGCAGCGCACGGAAACGCCGCTTACCTTCCCGCCGGAGTGCTTGCACTTTGACGTGCTTTCAAACTGCTAGGTTGGCAGGAGCAGGGACCGAGCAATGGGAGCTCACCCCATCGTGGGGATTCGAACCGCCGACCTTCTGATCGGCAAGTCCTAGGCTGTCTGGTTTAACCCACTGCACCACCCGCATCCCCCTAAACATGGGGGTTAACAGCTAATAAAAGTTTGGGTGCTCTTTTGTTCGGGGCTTCCATCTTGTTCCACCTGGTGGCAGGTGGGAGTCCTGTCGCAACAGTCTTCCGTAAAGACCAAGCCGACTGGCTGCTGTTTTGCTCTGGTCTTCCTGGCTGGTGTCCTTGTTTTATTTCTCTGTTAACATACCCCACTCATCTGGCTGGGCTTCCCCAGCCACCGGGATAACCGCCGGGGGACCCTTCCAGCCCAACGACCCCCCGGCAACCTTCCCCAGCGCCTGAGGTGGCTTCCCACTGGGGTGGGTGTGCTTGCGAGCCCCCCTGGACGGGTCGGGAGGCTTCCCGCTGCCCGCTGCTCACCTGGTCTGGGCGTAGGCTCCCTTCTCCATCAGGACGGGGTGGGGCCGGAAGACCAGCTCGATCTCGCTGCTGCCGGACTCGGCCCCTGGCTCGGGGCTCCGGCGGCCCCCCTCGTGCGAGGTCTCCGGCTCGGCGCACGACTCGTCCGAGGCCCGGGAGCGCTTGCAGCTCGGCCCGGCCTCGATCTGGCTGGGGGCCGAGGCGTTGCTGAGGTGGGAGCGGCTGTCGCAGTTGTCCTCCGCCCCGCTGAAGGTGGTGTTGTCTGACTCTTGGGGGTGCTTCCGGGCGCGCTGCCCCCTGGAGGCGGGAGGAAAGAGGCGGGAGCGTCACACACCAACCAAATAAAACTAGCAAAAGCTCCGGCGGAACTTCCTGCCTCATGATTCCATTGTACAGTTATGGTTATGTTCGTTTCTATCCTGCCTCTTTCTCTGGCAGGGACTCAGGGCAGCTCAAACCTGAAGCAGAAAGAGCTAAAAAACCATTGGGGTGGGAGAGCAGCCGTTAAAAAACAATTAAGCATTAAAAGGATAAATATATGGTCTATTACAGGACACAGGTTTATAGAATTCCCCAAAGCCGGTTGGAAGAAGAAAGTGTGGCAAAAGGACAGTAAGGAAAGCCGGTCTGATTTCTCTTGCATGTTATTAATCTTGCATTATTGTTAATTATATTAATAATATCACCACATGTCAAAGAGAACAACTACCAGACTTTTAGAAGACATCTGAAGGCAGCCCTGTTTAGGAAAGCTTTTAATGTTTCATGCATTACGGTATTTTAATATTTTGTTGGAAGCCGCCCAGAGTGAATGAATGAATGAATAAATCTACTCCAACCCCCTATAAAGTAGGGATCTCAACACACAGCCCACCCCAATCCAATTAGAAACCAAACTGGACCCTGTTTAGCTTTCCAAATGTGCCAGTAGATTTTGTAAAAGCAGACTGAATAATAATAATAATAATAATAACCTGCGCATCTGGCTGGGTTTCCCCAGCCACTCTGGGTGGCTTTCAAGAAAACACTAAAATACAATAAGCTATTAAACATTAAAAGCTTCCCTAAACAGGGCTGCCTTCAGATGTCTTCTAAAAGTCTGGTAGTTGTTGTTCTCTTTGACATCTGGTGGGAGGCGTTCCACAGGGTGGGCGCCACCACCGAGAAGGCCTTCTGCCTGGTTCCCTGTAACTTGGCTTCTCTCAATGAGGGAACCGCCAGAAGGTCCTCAGCGCTGGACCTCAGTGTCTGGGCAGAACGATGGGGGTGGAGACGCTCCTTCAGGTATACAGGACCAAGGCCGTTTAGGGCTTTAAAGGTCAACACCAACACTTTGAATTGTGCTCGGAAACGTACTGGGAGCCAATGTAAGTCTTTCAAGACCGGTGTTATATGGTCCCGGCGGCCTCTCCCAGTCACCAGTCTAGCTGCCGCATTCTGGATTAATTGCAGTTTCCGGGTCACCTTCAAAGGTAGCCCCACGTAGAGCACATTGCAGTAGTCCAAGCGGGAGATAACTAGAGCATGCACCACTCTGGTGAGACAGTCTGTGGGCAGATAGGGTCTCATCCTGCATACCAGATGGAGCTGGTAAACAGCTGCCCTGGACACAGATTTGACCTGTGCCTCCATGGACAGCTGTGAGTCCAAAATGACTCCCAGGCTGCGCACCTGGTCCTTCAGGGGCACAGTTACCCCATTTAGGACCAGGGAGGCCCCCACACCTGCCTGCTCCCTGTCCCCCCAAAAACAGTCCTTCTGTCTTGTCAGGATTCAATCTCAATCTGTTAGCCGCCATCCATCCTCCAACCGCCTCCAGACATGTGGTCCCAAATAGCAAGGTTGCGCTGGGAAGACCCAGAGGAGATCCGAAAGGGATCTGGCTGCGAATCTCGAGAGGAGGTGTATAATAATAATAATAGATTTTATTTATATCCCGCCCTCCCCAGCTGAAGCCGGGCTCAGGGCGGCTCTCGGGGTCAGGGCCGGAGACCCCCCCCCAGCCTGAGCCCCCATACCTGTTCATGGCCTGCATCTTGAGCCCCTCCTCCATGCTGCTGCGCAGGGCCTGCTGGTTGTGCAAGCGGTTGAGCTTGGCCAGGACGCGGTCTTGGTGGGCCTCATACTCGTCCCGGCTGGGGTAGATCTTGGAGATGAGGGCGTCAAAGTTCGGGTCGGGGCGCAGGGAGCGCTTGGAGACCAGCTTCTTGCGGCAGGTGGGGCACTCCTTGTTCCTGCGGCGGAGGAAACCGGGAAACCAAAATCAAGGTGCGGGCGGAGCGTGAGGAAGCAGCAGGAAAGGGTCGCGGGGCTGCAGCGCTTGGAACTCCTTGCTTTAGAGAGGGCAGGACTCGAACCCGTGGCTTCGAGTTACAAGAAAGGGAATTTCTTTTCTTTTCTTTTTTTCCTTTCTCCTTCTGTGTTGGAACTCCTATTCGGGGACTTCCCTGGCTTTTTTCTGGCCCATGTAGGACCAGTTTGGTTTTTACCCCCAAAAAAGTTTTTGATTGAGTTCTACCGAAATGAGGCTGCATTTTAATGTTTTAATGTTGTATTTTAATTTTGTTTTTTAAGCTGTATTCTAATCAATCGTTTTTATATTTGGTGTTAGCCACCTTGAGCCCGGTCTTGGCTGGGGAGGGTGGGGTATAAATATATTATTATTATTATTATTATTATTACGCAACATCAGGAAAAAACTTTCTGGTGGTAAGAGCTGCTGCTTCCCATTGCTTCATGCCGCATGAGTGAGATGAATAAACACCCAGCAATAAAAGATAATGGGAGAGGATTTACCCCAGCAAATTATTTGTCAAAATTACAAATACCCAAATTTAGACGGTCATTTACCCTTGCTAGATTCAACGTGCTGCCATCTGCCTTATTGCAGGGCAGATTCAAGGGTAAACCATAATACGCGGAACGAGTCTGCCCCTGCGGCTTGATGGAGGTAGAAACCCTCATGCCTTGTTTCGCTGCCATTTCTACAGGGATATACGCTCAGTATTTATGCAAAAATCTCCAAATGAATCCAAACTTCAACGTCTAAAATACCTGGTAGGGGACAAGGATCCTGAGATCAAGTTAAGGGTGGCCAAATTCTGAGCGATTGCCATAAAACTTGGGGAACAAGCTGTGCTATCATAATAATTAAGGCCTTAAATAGTAATTTTCAGTTATATTAAGTGATTAAGTTTTAATTTACAGTGGACACTCGGGTTGCGATTTGTGCGCGACCACCGAAACCTGGAAGTAACCTGTTCCGGTACTTCCGGGTTTTGGCAGTCTGCAACCAGAGAAAACACAACCTGAAGTGTCTGTAACCCGAGGTATGACTGTATATATTTTTTAACTGTTGCTTCAAGAGAAATGCAATGGTCAGTCATAATAATAATGATAAATTTTATTTATACCCCGCCCTCCCTGGCGAGAGCCGGGCTCAGGGTGGCTAACACCAATAAAATCACAGTAAAAACATAATAGGGTGAAAAGAGGGGAGGGGAGGAAAAGGGGGGAAAACCCCAATTTAAAATACAGGTTAAAAGGCAATTTAAAATGCAGCCTCCTTTTAAAGTAGCTGATAAATCAAGACCATAAGGGGAGGGAAACATAAGGGTCAGACTGAGTCCAAACCAAAGGCCAGGCGGAACAGCTCTGTCTTGCAGGCCCTGCGGAAAGATGTCAAGTCCCGCAGGACCCTAGTCTCTTGGGACAGAGCGTTCCACCAAGTCGGGGCCAGTGATGAATAGGCCCTGGCCTTAGTTGAGACCAAGCTAACCACCTTACAGATTGGGACCTCCAAAATGTTGTCATTTGTGGACCTTAACGTCCTCCGCAGGGCATACCAGGAGAGGCGGTCCCGTAGGTATGTGGGTCCTAGGCTGTACAGTGGTGCCTCGCAAGACGAAATTAATCCGTTCCGCGAGTGTCTTCATCTAGTGGTTTTTTCGTCTTGCGAAGCATCCCTATTAGCGGCTTAGCGGATTAGCGCTATTAGCGGTTTAGCGGCTATTAAAGGCTTATCGGCTTAGCGGATTAGCTGCTAAAAGGCTATTAGCGGCTTAGAAAAAGGGGGGGGGAGCGAAAAAAAATCTCAAGACTCGCAAGACATTTTTGTCTTGCGAAGCAAGCCCATAGGGAAATTCGTCCTGCGAAGCAACTCAAAAACGGAAAACCCTTTCGTCTAGCGGGTTTTCCGTCTTGCGAGGCATTCGTCTTGCGGGGCACCACTGTATAGGGATCATGGATTTCGGACCAGGTATCCATTTGTAGTCGGGCCAAATTCGCCACTAGCCCCGGACAGCTTGGGACCAGCTCACTTGCGGGAACTCCGGATGGGCCTTTCTGGGACCTGCCTCTCTGCCGCCCCCCTGAATGCCACCCCCCGGGCCCCACGCACCCGCTCCGCAGGGCCGTCACGATGCAGTCGGAGCAGAATCGGTGCAGGCACTCCTTGGTGGTCATGGTGTGCTTGAGCATGTCCAGGCAGATGGGGCACATCAGCTCGCTGTGGAGGCTTCGAGGGGAGACGGCAATCTCCGTCCCATCCATTACGGCCTCCTGAAAAAGAGAGAGCTTCCTTGCTGAGCTTCCAGGGAGCTAAATGGGAGCGTGGCCGGCCTTGCAGCGGGTTGAGCTAGATGACCGCTGGGGTCCCCCTCCCAGCTACAATTCTTTGGCCGCCTGTCAGCGACGCTTCAGCTGAGATTCCAAATCTACGATTCTGTGATTCCAGAAGCCCACCGGCAACCACCCCAGTTTTTTTGCTGGAAAAGCTTGCGAATCTATTATTATGAATCTATTCATGCCAAAGCATTTATGAACTGCTTGATTTAATGCTTCCAAAATCTCCAGGCAGCAGACAGCATAGAAACGATCAGCACGAGCCCAAAAATGCAACAGAGAATGAGTAAAAAAACCAAAGCGGCAGTGCGGAGAGAAATAAATATAAACAAAGGATTTGGACAAGTCAGAGAGACTTATCGGTTTCCTACACACAAACGCCCAGGACAGCGTACAACTTATTAAATAGTGCAGAAACTCTTAAAGGTAAGAAAGAATAAAACTTCTTAGCAGGAAGCACATTAGTGCAAGGTGCCCTGTGAATTGTGTTTATTCCTCTAGCAAAGTACAAATAAATACCTAGAAGAAAACAAACGGAAGGCAATGTTTAAATTTTTTTACAAAACCTCCTACCGCCACAGCTACCTAATTTGTGATCCCCCTAAATCTGGAACCTGGAGAGGGACTTAGAAGATCTTCCCACTAGACCCGGATATTTGAGGGGTGGGGAAGGTCAAGAGAAAGGGGGCTCTTTCAAGGTCCCTCGTGGCCCCTGCCCCAAACCCAGCCCCCCCCCCCGGCATCAGGCCTTCTCCTCTTCCTCCTCCTCACCTGCGGCGTCCGGTGAAGTTCGTACAGGCTGAGCTCCCAGGTCTTGCTGGCACTCTGCACGTTGGCCGGCGTCGCCATGGCGGGCTGCGGGTTCGAGGCAGGAAAGAGAAGCGCAGTTTAAATTCTCAGTGACTTCTCGGGTCGGAAGGGGCCCCGAGGGTCATCCAATCCAACCCCGGCACCGCGAGTGCCCAGCCCCGTCCGTTCTTCCAGGGGCCAACCGGGTGCCCCAAACAGGAAGAAGTTGAAGGGAGCACCAGGGCACAGGGCTAGGAATGTACCAAGCCAGGCACAGGGGGGGACTGCCAGTCTGGCAGCCCCTCTGGGTTTCTTTGGACTCGTCCAAACACGGGGAGGGGGGTTGCTCCCACAATATTGATATTTTTTAAACTGGCGATGCAAGCGGGGTTTTTTTTGTGTGCAAAGCAGCATTCTCCAGTCGCAGACCACAAAGGGGCTTACCCCTAACCCCTTGGTGCTCTGTACATGCTCAGAGGCACTGTTCCTCCTCGTTTATAAAGGAGTTTTAATCTCTTGCTACTCCCACTTTTTGAAAGTCTCAGATTAGCGCTGCTCATTCTTCTGTTTGACAGATCTCAGAGCTGTGGGTTCGAGTCCCACGTCGGACAATAACCCCCCCCTGCGTTACAGGGGGTTGGACTAGATGACCCTCAGGATCCCTTCCAGCTATACCGTTCCATGATTCTGGGATGTTGTTATTAATTTCTGCGCAAACCATTCTGAGGTTGCTGCCGCCGCCGTTCTGTCTACAGATCAAGCGGCAACGAACTCTTATGATACGTCTGGATATAAAAGATAAGCGCGCGCCCTCGGACTCTGCACGTGCTCAGGGGTAACCCCACCCGCCTCCCTCTTCCGTCAAACTTCACGAAGCGGAGGAACGGGACTGGGGGCGGGGTTCCGCGGGAAGATTCGGAGCTGCACTCTGCACGTGCTCAGAGACACCCCCCAGTCCTTTGCCAAAGGGGGGGGGGACACACAAACCAGCCCCGAATCGGAGCAGCGTTGCAGCCCAGGGGCTGCGGGGCTGGAGGAGGGCGCGCTTGGCTCTCCTTTGGGGGCAGGACGGGGGCGCCCCCAAGACCCCTCCGCCCCCGGCCCCAGGGAGGGGCTCCGGGGCTCCCTCTGCCCCCCCACTCCGGGAGGGGGATCCCCCTACCTGCTGGGATCCCCGGGATCCCCGGAGGCGCCTCTCCGTCTCCTTCTCCGTCTTCCTCCTCCTCCTTCTCCTCCTCCGGAGGCGGGAGAGGGTGGGAACCTCCGAGGTCGCGTCACTTCCTCTCTCCGCCCCCGCGCCGACGTCACAGAGCACGAAAGAGAGAAGGGGGTCTCCCCACCCCCCGCCCCGCCTCCCCCGCCCGCCCGCCCGCGCGCGGGGCAGGCAGGCAGGCAGGCAGGCAGGCGGCTGCTCGTCCGGTGAAGCCCGGGAGCTGCACCGGTGGGGTGGCTGGCTGGCTGGCTGGCGGCGGAAAGGGGCCAGAAGAGAGGAAGGAGGGCACACACCCCGCCCCCCACTTTAGTGGGGCGGACCCCCACCCCCAAGACAGCTTCCCCGGGTGGACAGCAGCCTGCGCCGGTGATGGATCCGTCCCGGGTCACTTGGGGCAGATTTAAAGCGACGCTTTTCATTGAATCGCAGAATTGTGGAGTTGCGTGGGACCCCCAGGGGTCATCCATCCCAACCCCCGCGACCCGATCTCCCCCTGCCTCCTCCTCCTGCTTCTTTTTCCGCTCGATTTGTGACTCAGCCTCCGAGCGGCTCGCCGGAAATATTTACATGACCGGCGAAAAGGATGGAGAAGCCTTGAGCATAATCAAAAGCAGAAGAAATGTGCTTTGACTTACTTATTTTTACTTAATTACTTATGTGCTTGCGATTTATTTAGGAAAACCCAGAAACCGCTTGACTGCGGAAAACCTCAAAGCGGCTTACAGGAAAAGACCCTAAGATTATCAATTTTAAAATACGTATTATTTATTGGAAAAATAAAAAGCACGTAATGACAGCCTTGCACAGAGTCAGATCAGACACAAAAAAGAAGAAAATTGATTATCAATAAGGTTAATGAGATGATCAACGAAGTTAATCAACTGTGACAACTTGGCATTTTTGAAAAGTTGAAATAACAGTCGGCCAAAAACAGATTTATTTGGAGTGGGGGCGAGTTATCGGGTTGTCCCTGTTTTTATTTTGATTATGTAATCTGTGTGGGTTTTGGGGGTTTTTTTGGGTAATTTTATCTTCTGAACCGCCCTGATACCTGCAGGTACCAGTAACAAACTTGGTCTCTAAGGTGCTACTGGAAAGAATTTTTTTTTTTAATTTTGTTTCGACTACGGCTGACCAACACGGCTACCTAGCTGTAACTAATAATAATAATAATAAACATGCCTACTTCCTAAATATCTGGGCAGGCTTGCCTGAAGGGAATCGTTTGGACAAGGAACCCTGTTCAGGGAAGTTTTTGATGTGTGACCCAGCCAGATGGGAGGGTCAGACAGATGGGAGGGGTACGAATAAATTATTATTATTATTATTATTATTATTATTATTATTATTATTATTATTATAAGGATCCTTGCCGGGGGCTGGACTGGATGACCTCAGGCGCCCAGGAGTCCATGGGGCTCCCCGCATCCCCACTGTTATTGTCACAGCAACCCTGCCAGGTAGGCTGCGCTGAGCGGTTGCCCTGAAGTCACACACCCAGCGAGCTTCATGGGAAGATTTGAACCCAGGCCTGAGGGGGGGAGAGGGGGAGGGAAATATGGGGAGGTCAAACTGGGCTGGGGGGGTTACCTTGACAACACCCCCCTCCCCAAATAAGTGTCCGAAATCTTCTGGAGACTTCCGTCTGATGCGAAATCATCTTGTTCCTTTCTTTCGGCTAAATAAGAGACTACTTCTTCTTCTTCTTCTTCTTCTTCTTCTTCTTCTTCTTCTTCTTCTTCTTCTTCTTCTTCTTCTTCTTCTTCTTCTTCTTCTTCTTCTTCTTCTTCTTCTTCTTCTTCCTTTATTCCAAAACCGAAAACATTCGTTTTGTAACATAAGCCTATTACATAGCTGACTAGATTTAAATATACCTAATTGCTATAGACTTCCCTTTGCTATATATAAATGCAACGCTATTAGCAACATATTATTAGACATTTTTCTAAATTCCCCACTCCCCTTCACCCATGTGTGATCTCAATATATTTTTTTAACTTCTTCCATCTTGTTGTTGTGTTGCTGTAGTTTAATAATTATTCAGTTGATTCTTTCATGATTTCCTTGCTAACCCCGGAAGGTTTCACACATTATCTATTAATATTCCAGTTCCGGAACATCCCGGAGACTTGTGGCATCCGAAAGCTCGCAGATTTGTGTGCGTCTCTCATTCTGATGGAACCGGATAACGGCTGGGGGGGGGGGTCCCATTTTGGAGGAGGGGGAGGCGAGAGCTGGGCTTGTGGGCTGCTCCTTCTTTCCCCCAGTTCTGGCGCCTGGTTGCCCTCTGTGAAACGCTGGGGTGATCACAGACTACAGTTCCCATCATCGCTGGCGCCGGTTGTCGGGAGTTGTAGTCCAGCAGGCCTTGGTTAAACGCAGCCGGGGTTTGGGGAGATTTGGCCGGGTCAATCTGAACACAAGCCCCGCGGCGTCCTGTTTGAAACCTTCACCCCACGAATCTTGGGAACTGTAGTTCTGCCATTCTCAGCGCCCTTAATGAACTACGGTTCCCAGGATCCTGGGGTGGGTGCGTGGCGCAGGCGTGGGCCGGCCTTTGTCTCTCTCTCTGGCTGAAGAAGAGACCTGTGGCACCCGGAGGCTTGCCCATTTCCGTGCGCCTTATTCCGCGGCAAGAACGGAAACCGCCTGCGGCAAATCCTCGCTTCCAGAAAGAGCGCAAGTGGCGGGTTGTGGGGAGGAAGACAGACAGGCGACACCCCCCCCCCCACCGACCCCAGAGAAAGATCTGTGGGGAAGGAAGCGCAGCCCCAGAGAGGGGAGGGTCTGACAGGCTTGGCAGGGCGTCTTTGGCCAACTCTGACAGCTAGTTTGAAAGGGGCCGGGGGGGGCGGGGAGACCACCCAAGCTCTGCCTGCCCCATTGTCCCCACTGAAAGGGGCCTGGGCAGAGATTATAGGGGGCTGGAAGGGGGGGTCCGCTGCCTTGTGCGGCTCCTCCAGCAGCCGCAGTCCCACCCCTCCCCCAAGGTCCCAGCCCCGTCTCTGCTCAGGGGGGCGCAGAGTTGGCAAACCCCTCTTTGGGACGGCATTTTTGAAAAGGGCTTCGCTCCCCCTCCCCGCTGTGGCTCTGCCTGGTGGGGGCTCCTCAGGCCTGCGGGGAAAGAACTCTGTGCATGCTCAGAGGCCGTCCGTTGCTTCCCCATCTTGAACGCTCTCGGGCCCAAAGCAAGTTTGACGCGGGGGTAAACACGAGTTAGGACAACTTAGGGGAGTCCCCTAAATTTTGGAGGCCATCGCCGCTTGGGTTCCGCAATAATCGCACTCATTCTAAATCATAATTTTCTTCTCCTCCTATAAGACCGGGTTCCTCCAGTCCCTTTGAGCGGTTCATAGCTAGCGCCCCCCACCCTAAAGAGAGAGGGAGAGAGAGACTGCATGTTTGTTTGCTTCTGTAATCCTTTTATTTTTATTAACATTTTCGGAAACATCGTTTTGCACATTCCGCTCAGTAAAATAACACCACAACCAAACCAAGAGAGGTAGCGATTGCTTGCACGTTTATTCAAAATCCAGTTAAAACTGTTAATCCAACTAAAGGACAGTCTCTAGACCAGCAACGCTGCCTCCCCCGCCCGACCTTCAGCTTGCAAAACCGGCATGCTCTGCCACTGAGACCCGCGCAACTCAGTGGGCTGGGATGGATGCCCTCGCGGGGTCCCCCTCCAGCTCTGCGATTCTGTCCTTCCATGACCTTGGCAGCTGGTCGGCATCAAACCTCCGGCTCGCGATGTCCAGACTCAACTCTCAGGCGGAGAGACAAGAATTGCGTTTGGACAATCACGGCCCGGGGCTCAGGAGCGGGGGCGGGGGCGGGGGGTCACTGGAGTTTCTGGTGGGGCAGCAGAGGGGAAGGGGGCGAGGTCCTGGGAGAGGAAAGGAGGTGGGGAGGCGCCCCTTTTTCTGGAGGCATTTAAAGGAAGGGACTGCAGGACAGACAGGAGCCATTGGGGGCGCTGTGGCTGCATCTTGCACTGAGCGCGGGCGGGGCTAGGATGGATGACCTCTGGGGAACTTGGCAAACTTTTTTGCTCTGAGATTCCTGCATCGGGCTAGATGATTCTTGGGGTCCCTTGCAAATCGACAGCTCTGCAATTCCCTTTTTTAAACTTAGAATATGACGAGTATTCAGCAATGCATAAATACCTGGAATAAATAGTCCTACAGATATAGGGTGGTATAATAATAATAAATACAAGGAAATAAATAATGCACTTCACATCTGTGCTTCTCCTGCAGGGTTTTTGGGACAGCGGCAGGGGTATTTGTCAGCGGGCAGGACAGCAAAGTTCTTCCTTCTCAACCCATTTCCTTTTGGGTCACCAACTGTTAGGGATTATTTCTAGGGGGCTGGACTAGATGACCGCTTGGAGCCTCTCCCAATTCTATGATTCGACGATTCTCTGGTTCTGCCTCTGAGTTGGCCTTGGCTGCCCCTCTTCCACACCCTACATTTAAAGGCACCTTCTCACCCACCCAAAGATCCCTGGGAACTGCAGTTTGATGCGGGTGCTGGGAGTTATAGTTGCGCGAGCGATGAACTACAGTTCCCAGGCTTCTCCGAGGGGCAGCTGCGTGCTCCAAAAGTGCCCTGTGGATGGACACAAGGTGATTCAGAAGGACGCTTCACAGTTCTGCCTCGGTGCTGGATGTTTCTGATGAGGCTCTTACCACACCCAGGGTGTGTGGCATAGTGGTTAGAGTGTTGGGCTGGGACCAGGGTTCGAATCCCCTTTGGCCATGAAGCTGTCTGGGGATGACCTTGGGGGCCAGTCAGCCTATAGCCCGTGTCGCAGGGTTGGCGCAAGGATAACGGGAGGAGCAGGAGGACAATGGAGTCGGCCTTGAGCGGCTCTGCAAAGATGTCAGCCCAGATGGTGCTGCAGCTGCAGACAAGGCAAAGGCCGCACCAGGGATGCCATTTGAAAAGGGACATTTTGATTGGCCTGCCTTGTGCGCATGGGGAGCTTTTAATGTTTGATGGCTGGGGAAACCCAGCCGGATGGGCAGGGTATAAATAAATTGTTGTTGTTGTTGTTATATTTTGTTATAAGCCTCCCAGAGTTGCTGGGGAAGCCCAGTCAGATAGGTAGGGTATAAATAATAAATTATTATTATATAAATTATTATTATTATGGGGGTGTCTCGTCCATACGTGCCCCCCCCCCGACCCAGACCCACTGGGGAGAAACTCAGCTCAAGGAACTGGGGGGGGGGGATATTTTAAAGACTATATGAAGAGCTATATTGGACCTAAAGATTGAATTCCGGGTCCCTGGGAGGGAAGTTTGGGAAAACGCCATTTAGCAAGGTGTGGGGGAAAGCTGGATAATAATGACAGCTAGGAGCTGTTCTGGACAATTTGAGTCTTTTGAATCATTGTTATATGCATATGCGGCAGAGAAGAGGAAGATGCTCTTTGGGGCCTATTTTTCGTTCTTTTGGGATTTTTAATTTTTGAGAAGCCTCTCTTCATTTTATTCACATCATAGCGTCATAGGACCCCAGAACTGTAGAGCTGGAAGGCAACCCCAAGGTACAAACCCCAGCAGGTAGGAATGTTTTGTTTTCTGAAGACTTATACTCTGTTTGGGATAAAAAGACGCAGAAGAAGAAGAGTTGGGTGGAAAGAGGAAGGACCCCTGGGAGAGAGGCCAGCCGGCCAGAGGGGCCTTTCTCAGGTGGTGGGTGGGTTTAAAATTAGGATATAATGGCAGCAGAGGGCTATCCACATATAATGCTGTAATTTATCATCATGATCATCATTACTGCTACTACTAATGCATAATAATAATTTATCATTTCCTAGAACTCTGCTGTTCTATTTCCTTTCTTTTATTTTTCTCTCCCTCCCTCTTTCCTTTTCCTCTTACATCTTTTTCTTCCTTTTTCCTTCTATTGTCTCTTCTAATTATTTCTCTTTAGACACAGTGTTACACATTGAAAAATGTTAACACTATATAGATAGATATATTTAGATATATAAATATAGATATATAATTGTATATTATAGATAATTGTATATAATATAATATAATATAATATAATATAATATAATTGTATATACCAGTAATATTATATATATATATATATATATATATATATATATATACACACACAGTGGTACCTCGGGTTAAGTACTGAATTCGTTCTGGTAGTATGTACTTAACCTGAAACTGTTCTTAACCTGAACCACCACTTTAGCTAATGGGGCCTCCTGCTGCCGCCCGCCGCTGGAGCACAGTTTCTGTTCTCATCCTGAAGCAAAGTTCTTAGCCCGAAGTACTATTTCTGGGTTAGCGGAGTCTGTACCCTGAAGCGTATGTAACCCGAGGTACCACTGTATTGAAGATTCTCTTGATTTACAAAAGTGTGTGCAATGTCTCTCTCTCTTGTATTCCCCCCTCCATGTAACATTTTTACAAATCAGTTTCATTCGTTGAGACATTAGGAAGAAAAGGGATATATATATATATATATTAAAAAAAACAAACAAAAAGGGAAAGGGAAATGTAATCCAGGCAGCCTCTGGGAGTCTGGTGGGTGTCTTGCCAATGCAGCCCCCACCACACACGCACCATCCCTGAGACAAGTGAGCCTAGTGGTGGACGCGTTAGCTGAAATTCAGGGGGTTGGACTAGATGACCCGCAGGGTCCCATCTGACTGTACGATTCTATGATTCCATTATTCCATGCGGCCCTTGCTCTGGGCTCCGTAGGAGGAAGGGAGGGATATAAACTGGGTAATCAGGTAAAACAAGGAAGTTTTTAATCTGGAAAAGCAGGGTATTTCTAAATGGAAATCTATAGACAGAGTGTGAGAAGTAAATGGATCCGCTTTGGTCTCAGGAAATCCCATCCGCAGAGGCTGCTCTGAGGGCTGAACTTTGACCTCCCTCTCAAATGGGAAATCCCATTAATTCAATCTGCCCCTGGGAAGGGAGCAAGGGTTTATATATTTATCCGTTTGTTGCATTTATTGCATATCCCAACATTTTCTCCGCAAGGAGCTCAAGATGGTTCACGTAGAATTGTGGAGAAATAGAGTTGGCGGGGACCCCTGGCGGTCATCCAGACCAACCCCCTTCAGTGCAGGAATCTCGGCTAAAGCATCGGGAACAGAGGGCCATCCAAACTCTACTTAAAAACCTCCAAGGAAGGAGAGTCCATCACCGCCTTAGTCAAGCAGCTCTTACCCTCAGAAAGTTCTGGGTTCCAGTCCTGTTTCTCCCCACCTCTTCCTCCCCTCCGCACCGCAGCTCTGCGCGGAGGCAGCGACTGGTCCTCAAAGGTCACTTGGGGGGATCTAGAATCACGGAATCCTGAACGCTGGAAGATTCAGGACGGATAAAATAATTCCCTTCTTCCCGTGGAACTCTGGAACTCTCTGCCACAAGAGTCAGGGATGAGACCCACCGCCGTCGTAAGACTCTGGAACTTCCTACTCCTAGTTGTGGCGGTGGTTTGGGGGGGCTGTGCAATCCCGCCCCCCCCCCCCAGCGAGGTGCGTGAGTCCTGTGCAGCCTCCCAGTTCATGGGCAGTCTGACTCTGAGTCTCAGCTACTGAGGCGCAACGCCAGGGATGGGCGCGGACTGAGTGCGCCCCCTCCTCGCGCATCTGGCTAGCCTTCCCCGCCCCCCCACCCCCGATCTAAGGGGTTCCTACTTTTGCTGCGGGGGCTCACACTTTCCCTGCGGCCTGGGGTTCCCCCACGCGGCGGGGATAGGACTCCCCGCTTCCTGCGCAAGCCGCCCCCTCAAAAAACCGGTTACGCACCGGATGGATCCGACTTTGCCTGGAAGATCGATCAAACCGGGAGGGAGACCCTGCTGGAAATGAAAGGCCGGTTCAGTGAATAAACTTCCTTTCTCCAAAGAATTGGTTAAAAGGGAAAGTGTGGGGGAAATAAAAATAAAAATGGGGTTTTTCTTGAATGCAAAGCATCCCAACCCCATTTCTCCTCGGGTCTTGGTAAAATCAGAAATCCTCTCGCTGGTGGGAGCTGTTTTTTTTTGGGGGGGGTTTCTCCTTCCCCACCCCCCCTACGCACAGGGTGGGCTGGATGACCCTCGGACCCCTTTCCGACTCTATGGCTTTCTCGGGTGAAAACCCTCTCAAAGCTCATGGAGGGAGGTGAGGGGTCCCCCACTTCACACCCAATTTTAGGGAACCCCCCATAAAAACCTCCTTGGGACATTTGGCTGGCGAGGGGCTTTAAACGCCCCCTCTATCCCCCTTCCCGCCTCTCCGATGCAAGAAGAGACCGCCTTTATCGGGGGTGTGCAAATTGGGGAGGGGGCATCTTGCAAAGGGGGTTCCCAGCCCCCCCCCCCGATCTAGGCAGCCTCGAGATCGCTGCTTCCTCGCCATTAGCGCCAGAAAGAGGGAGCGGGGCTATTTATTTAGAGACGCGGCGATAGATGGAAAAACCCGGGAGTTCCAATAAGGTCACTTTTCATTTAATTATCAATCGACGAATCGACGAATTGATTGAATAATCGTTCATTAATTATTAGTTATCAGCTAGCTATTAATTTTTTTAAACACCGGGAGTTCTAATACGTCCGCTGTTCATTTAATTATCAATCAATCGATTGATTGATTAATCGTTAATTAATTATGAGCAGGCTATAATTTTTCCAATTCATTTTCAATCATTAAATTGATTCTGTAATCGTTAGTTCATTATTAGTTAATGAACTAGCTATTAATTGTTTTAAAATATCGCTAATCACCCGCCCTTCGCCGGCAGCTCCCAGGGCGGGCTACAACCATTGGGAATTTAATCCCGTTAGAAACCAGATTCCCCTCAGAGGAACGGGGTGGTCTCTCTCTCTCTGTGTCCCCCCCGCACCCCGAAATGCAAGAGCCCCCCCGCTCCACTCACCCCAATCCATCCTTCCTTCCTTCCCTCGGTCCAGGCGCTTCTATTCCTCGCCCTCCGTCTCCTTCTTCCATCTCTTTCTGATGCTTCGGAGGGGCTGCTGCGTCACTCCAGGGGGGTCTCCCTGCCCTCCCGCCCCCAGGACAGACTTGTGGGGGGGACTGGTCCGGTGTCCCAGATGGCGCTCGGGGTCCAGCCTCCCTCCCTCCCCCCCTCCCCACCGCCCGGTCCCATCTGGCGCCATCTCTGAAGTCTCGGAAACTCCTGAGAAAGCAAAGCGCACCCCAACTCTGTCTCTCCTCTCCCCCCAACCTCGTGGGCCCCGATCCTCTGGGGTCCCTCTGCTGAGGATGCCTTCCTCCCACATTCCCGTCGCCCCCCAACCCGCGCTTGGCCCCACCAGGGACCCCAATCCTGCCCCACAACCGTCCCCTAAACTCACCCTAACTTTTCCCTTCTCGCTGGGCAGGAGTTATTCTAGGCAACCCCGAAGCGAGATTTTGGGGTGAGGCGGGACCTACTCACAGCCCTGCCCCATTTCTGCGCCCCCAGTTCCTCCTCTCGGGGGTCCCGCTGCCCGGCCCAGCCGCCTGCCCGGCTCCCCGGCCCCCTCGGCCGGCCTTTGGGGGGCGAAGCGTTCCGGCCTCGCCCTCTCCCTGTCTGTGCAGCTGGACCCACAATAGGCCCCAGTTATGTGGGGTGGGGGAAGAGAGAGAAGGAGGTTGAATAGGGGGCGGCCGCCTCAATGGGGGAAAGCCCCCTCCCCTCCCTCCATGTGCAGGGTAGGAAAAAAGGGGGGTGGGCTGGAGAGCCACCCAGGGCGATGGGGGTCACCGTGGCCAGGATGGGGGGCGGATGCTGTTGCCACGGAGACGCCCAAGGATGCCAAGGAAAGGCCTTGGTGGGGGGCAGGAGGGCGAGGAAGGCCGAGGACCCCCCAGCGGGTCAGGGAGCACCCAGCCCGCGTTGCAGCTGGGGGTGGGGGGTCGGGTGGGTGTGGGGCGGGGGTCCCTGGCGGCCTCTGGTCTCTCCATCCTCGCCTGCGCTCCCCCGCCCCATTCCGTTGCCCGGGGTGATGCGCCATTCAATGGGAGGTAGCAGGGCGCCGGAGGCTTGAAGCAGAGGCCGGAGAATAGGGGCTGGGCTGGGCTGGGGGGGTGGAGAGTGAGACCCCCGGCTAATCCCCCTCCCTCCTGCCTCCCCCTCTCCCCTTAACCCTAATCCCCCCTCCTCCTCCATCCCCAATTCAATTCAGGCGACAGAAGAAAGCGGTTGTCTCTCTCGCACACAGGCCCGTCTTAGGGGGAGAGAATATGGGGAGTGGGGGGGGGGGAAGAAGCCCACTCCCCACCTCGGCCTCAAAGGGAATGAAGAACCAAGCCCGTGGGGTGCGGGAGCCGCAGAAAGTGGCCTTCGGACCCTCTCCCAGATACCACATCGGTTTTTGCGATGGGCAAAAACCAGGGCATGCTCTCACCGGGGTGGGGGCAAGATCTCTCCCCCTCCCCGCGCCTCTGAACAGCTCTTCCCTCAGCGAGGCTTGCTAGGAACCGGCGTCACGCAACACACACAAAGTTTTCGGGAAAAGTTCCCACCAAAAAGGCTTTTGCGCCTTGGGCAGAATCACGGAAACTGTAGCGCTGGAAAAGGGGCCCGCGGGTCATCCATCCCAACCCGCCGCAAGGCAGCGGAAGAATCGCCCCCACAGCAGCGATTCCTGCCTTGGACCACTAGATGAAGGTGGTTTTTTCCCCCAGGAAGGAAATAAAATGGCCCAGGAGGAATGGCCCATTCATTCAAGGTTCTTGCGTAACGTCCTTTCCTCCCCTAAATTATAAATATTCCACAGAGGAGAGATTCGCACGCAGAAAGAAGCGTCAGGGAAGACCCCCGCCCCCTGCAAACCCTTTTCCGATGGGGGGTCAGCGGAGGAGCTTTGCTGCCCGGCAAGATCAAATCGCTTTGGACAGAGGAGGGGGGGGGAGGTTGTGAATATGCCCCCTCCCACCTTTCCCACTCCTCTGGCTGAGTCAGGAAGAGCATCTGAATAATTCCAGTTGCTGGGGGGGGGGGGTGTCTCGGGGGGGGGGCGACTCTTGCTGCCGCTGCTTCTCGGGTGATGTTGGGACCCCCCCTCTGGCCTGATCCTGTTGCGGCTGCGGGGGGGGGGGGGTGCAATTCCGACCTCTGCAAAACGCATCTCTGCGTCTCCGCAGAAGGAATTCGCGCGCAGGATCAAGCAACGTTGAGACCCCCCCCCAAAAAAACCCCTTCCATTCCTGAAAGACTCAAACGCGTTTCGCTAGCTCCAGACATAGCAGCCAACTCCGAGGGGCTGAAGTCCCTTTGCTCGCCCCCCAAGGAAATATTTTAAGGGGCTGGCAACCCAGAAAAAGTAGATAGGATTTGCCATTGAAATAGCGCGCGTCATGGGATGGATTACGCAGGGCGTCGCTTATTCCGCTCCCCCTCCAACCCAACAATATTTTATTCAAGTTGGCACCCCTGGCTCCAGATCAGCACCCCTGGCAGGGAGCTCTGCAAACTGACAGAGCAGAATCATAGAATGGCAGGGTTATTGGGGGACCCCTGAGGGTGGTCTAGTCTGACCCCCTGCAATGCAGGGATCTGGGCTCAAGCATCGATGGCAGAGGGCCGCCCAAGCTCTTCAAAACCTCCGAGGAAGGAGAGTTTGGTGCAACAGCATCTTATGCATTAAATTTATTTTTATTCCATTTATTCATTTATTTATTATTAATGTTGCAACACATATATGAAATCTTTACATAATGATACATATACGTTATATTCTTATGTATTAAATTGATATACCGCCCTTTGTCCAAAGATCTCAGGAAGGTTTGAAAGATAAAAATTCAGGATAAAAGCGCAAAATAAACACGAGGAAAATTGAAACAATAACACATATCTCAAAGGCTGTAGAATATTCAAAGTATTGGTTTGGAAACACCCCCCAAAAAAGGAAAAATATGTACAGTATTAACTTTTGTTTTGTTCTCCATAAAACCTAGTGAAATTTATTCAGAATAAAAAAATAACAGAATATTAATCAGCCCAAGGTGCAGTTCTGGTTGCCCCATCTTCAGAAGGATATTGTAGAGCTGGAAAAAGTGTTTGGAAAAGAGTGACTTCCCTTTGAAGAATAAATGTTTTTTGGGGGGCGGCTTTTTAGCTTAAGAGAAAAGGCAAGGAAACAGGAGACACGATAGAATTTTGTGAAACTGTGCATGGCAAGGAGAAGGCAGACAGAGATGTTCTCCCTCTTTCGTAACACTCGAACTCGGGCCCATCCCATGAAGATTCGGGACAGATGAAAAGGAAGGACTTGCTTTTAAACTTTGGAACTCCCTGCCACAAGAGGCAGTGAAGAGGATGAGACAAATTCAGGGAGGAAGATGGCTGCTAGGCAGGATGGTTCGGCCCTGAATCCCAGCTGCCGGACCCCATAGGAGGGGAGAGGGGTCGCGTTCGAATCCCGCTTGCGGTTTTTTCTAGAACCTCCAAGTCCAGAGGCAGTCTACCGGAAGTCCTTTGGGACTCCCCAAAGAAGGCACTTCCTAGTTCCTCTGCGCATGGGTGTTTCATGCGCACCTCTGGTGGGGGTTTGTGGGCCAGAAACTGCATTGAAAAAGGTTTCCCAGGCATGAGAAGGGTCTGCTGGGTCTCCTCCCCATTGTCCGCTGACCCTTCCTTCCCTGGACAGGGTGGGAAGGCCCAGCAGGGCCGCTTTTGGGTCAGGGGGTGCAGACAGGGGCCCCCAACCCGCTCAGCGGCTAATCCTCTTTCTCCCCCAGAGGAATCAGGGCCGCCTTCCCAGAACACCCCAATAATCCCTTGGGCAAACATTCATTAGTGCAGGCTCACAACTGGGCAGCCACCCATATCCCTCCCCCCCACTCCGGGATTAGCAGGCAAAAGGGGACCCAGGCGTCCGGGATCACAACTGCACCCCCCGCTGCCTACGAGAAGGGCAAACCCGGACGTTAAAAGAGGATCATTGCAGCCGCTGTAGGAAAGGCACTCTGCACATGATAAAGGCACACTAGTCCCTCAGGTTCTAAAGTTGAGCCTGGGTGCTTTGAGACGAAGGGCTGCTTACATTTTGGGGGGGGTGTTGTGTTGTGAGACCCCAACGGCTCACGTGGTACAGATCGTGCTGGACGGGACCACTCCAGGCTGGGGGAGGTGAGTGTGTGTGTTTGTGGGTGTGCGATTTCCTGGGGCGCTTCTTACACAAACGCAAGCCTCCATGAAGCTGGGTGACCGGGCCAGTCCTTGCAGGGTTGGGGTGAGGATTAAATTGGGGGGCATGCGCCACAGGATAACCAGATATACCCCCCCTGAGCTGATAAACGCAATAAATGTATAAGAAAACTGAGCAGACTCAGCATATTTATTGTCACAGAATCAGACCATCATATTATGGAAGACGTTTTCGTGGATGTAAGATCATATCTGCTGCAAGAAGAGTCACCCCCAGGGATATTTCCTGGGTGGGTGGGGGGACAACTTGGCAGAATACATGGGAGAGAGTCGATTGTAAAACGACTCTTATATATCTTGTTCCCATTCACATATATTTGAGGCTATGTAACCCTGCCGGTGTTTGTTCAGGGTGATAAAGTGTCTCTTCCCGCAGTCCTCAAGCAACAATTTCTGCATTTCCCTTAATTTTCCCTATTTCAAGGTGGCTCACAGCATTAAAGCGTTTCTCAGAGAGGTACTTTGATCGCCTGAGCATTTGTAGAAGCCGTTGATTTAACTGAGCGATATATATATCCCAAAACAAGGCACAGAAATCCTTGGAGTGGAAGTCTGGGGTCTCCGTCTGGCGAGATCTTAGCCTCGCTCCTTGTGCAAAAGACCCCCCCTCTCTTCTGGGGGGAGGTCCCCCTGCCTCTAAGCCCCCTCCCCAAATCTTGCATTCAAAGATGTTAGCTGGGAGCTTCTCCAAGACAGGGCCGTCTCCGCAGTGAAGGAGGAACCTGCCCCCCAAGTCCTTCCTTTGAAAATGGGGGGGCATCAGGGAGTGTGGTTTCCTTGTGGGTGGGGGGCGGGTTTCTCCAGAGGCAGGAAAAGGAATCAGATGAAAAGACCCCCTGGAGGAAGAGAAAGAAAAGGGGTCAGCGGCTGACCCTGTGGAGATGGTTGGAAGCTGCCCAGGGTAACCCATTCAGATAAGCAGGGTATTAAAAAATAAAATAAAATATAATAATAATATTTCACTTAATTTTGTTCCATAACCTTTACACGCATTCGCAGAGGGGATAAAACAATCAAACTCTCTGCAAAAACGTTCAGATGATAAAAACCATGAGCTACAAAGGGACATCCAAACATGCACCAGCTATTCTACATGTCTGACGGGAGAATTTATCTCATGAAATTTATACAGGGTGGGAAACAGCTATGCAAACTCTTTAAAGAACAAACATTCTGTGTTTTTTCCTTTGGGTGGGTAGGGTTGTCTAAAATGGAAATGTTTTCTGCGGGCGCTGGAAGGAGTGCGGCGAAGGCGCCTGGCCTTTCAAGTGGCAGGGAGTTCCGAAGTCCACGTGGAAAGATCCAAGTTATCACAAATACGGGAGACCTTTTGGGGTCCCTTCTCACTGCTCCCCACCACCAGCGCCGGCATCCAAGGGGAGCCCCCCACCCCAAAGGGTCCCCAAATCAACCCCCCTTCACCCCACTTACCGGTCACCTCCAGGCTGGCGCCGGTGATGTAGCGGCTGTCGTCGGAGGCCAGGAAAGCACAAACCTCGGCAACATCTGGCGGGAGATGGAGGAGACAGTGAAGCCCCCTCCCCCCAACGCCTGCAGCCCCCCAGACGCCGCCAGCCCCCTCCCAGGTAAAGAAACCTGCCCCTTTCTCTTCCGCAGCCTCAGAGATTTAGGCCAGTGAAGCCAGTCTTGTCGGCACTGGCCGGAAGCAACGACGGGTCTTTCCCCAGCTGCTGGTGAGGCCGGAGCCAGGGACCTTCTCATAGCATTATTATTATTATTTCCTGTACAATCTCTACAGCATTGTACAGCTGGAAAGGGTCCCCCTGAGGTCATCCAGCCCAACCCCCTGCAAGGTAGGAATTGCGGCAAAGCTACATTCCTCCCCCAAACTCCCTTAGGCTATATTATTGGTATAGAAATATTGGGAATTGTGTGTAGGAAGGAGGAAATATCTAAATTAATGGCTCTTATTATCCCGAGTAGCACCGAGTTAGAAACAAAAGAGGAATGCAGATGGGTAAAATTGATGGCAACTGCAGCCAGACAGGTTATAGTGAGTAATTGGAAAAATGCAGAAGAGGAAGGGGTGAACCAATGGAGGAAAAAACTGAATAATATTGTAATTTTAGAATACAGTATCTAACTGTGAAGATACATAAAACGAAAGGGCTTAAGGTCAGTGAGAAAGAGGAGGATTGGTTTGAGAAGGTATTGAATTATTTGGGTAGGTCTGAGCAATTTGGGGCAATTAAAATGTTAAAAGTTAAATAAACCTTGTGGAGGGAGGAGTGTCAAGGTATATAGAATTGTACATATGGTTGATTTGAATATGTTATTATTGATTATGTATACCCAATATATCAGCTGCCCGAGGGGTTTCCACTGTTTGTGTTTTGTGTTGTGTTGGTAAAAAAAAATTTAAAAAGAAAAGAAAACCTCTTCTTCTTCTTCTTATTATTATTATTCCCCACATTAGGGGGCAGGGCCATAGCTCAAGGGGAAAAATATTATTATTATTAATTAAACTTGCATCCTGTACTGCCCTTCATGTGGTTCACAACATAAAAACACAGTAAGAAATCCCTGACAGGCAGCAGCTGAGAGGCATCGCTAAAACCCCCCAGATATTTTTCGCATTTTTCGGTTGGGGTCCCTTCCAACAACACGATTCCTGCGTTCTATGACGTCTGGGCACTCCCCGCCCAGCGGGAGGAGGGAGGGCGCTCTGCAGGCGCTCAGAGGCACCCTCCCCTCCCTTCAAAGGAAGCGCAAATCTACTGCTGGACTGTGTCACCTGACCTTCGGGCTCCCCGAGGCGTCCCAGTGGCACCATGGCGGCAAACTGGGGAGAAGAAGGGACAGGGGTCAGGGAGGGATCGGGGCGGGTGCCAGCCGGGGTGGGGCCTGACCTCAGCCCCCCCAAAACACCCACCTTGTCCAGCACTTTCTGGGGGACCTTGTCTGTCATGGGGGAGCGGATGAACCCTGGCAGAACCGTGTTGCAGCGGATCCCGTACCTGCAGAGCGACAAGCAGAGGAAGCACCGCCTAGTGGTTAGACCCGGGACAGGGCAGGGTTCAAATCCTCAACGCTCGCTGGCTGCGGACTATTCGGCGCAGACGATCTCGCAGGGTCGTCGTGGGGGTGGAATGAGGAGGGGCTGCCCATTCCTGCAACGCAGGAACCCCCAGAGGACGGCTGCCCAGGGAAGGAGGGCAGGCGGATGGGGGCTCCTTCCCTCCCCCCAGCTCTTCCTCTGCCCCCCAGCCTGCCTTACCTGGCCAGCTCCTTTGCTGCCGTCTTGGAGAGGGCCTCTACCCCAGCCTTGGAGGCTGAATAGTTCACCTGTCCCAGATTCCCCACCTGAGCAGGAAGAAGAGAAGAAGGGGGGAGGCACAGGGACTGAATTATCAATCAATCAATCAATCAATCAATCAATCAATCTTTATTACGGTCCAGAGACCCAACAAATCATTACAAAGCAATGCACAGTTCAGACAGCCTACCTCCAGGTTAAACAAGCATTTTGTTCAGAATATAGGGATCATTGGTTCTTGCAACCACTGATAAAAACTTCGCCACTGCTAATGTTCTAGCATTTGTCCGGTCTTCCAATAGGAACCTGACATAGTGAGCCTCTGATTTTCCCGGGAAAGGTACCAGCAAAGGTAATATCAGTTCAGCCCTGGCTTGCTCATATTTCGCACAGTGCAGCAAAATATGTTTTATGGAATCGATGTCTTGAGCACACGAGCAAAGTCTGTCCTGGTAGGGAACTCCTCTCAACCTACCATCCAGCACTGCAGAAGGAAAGACGTTTAGTCTGGCTTTGGTGAAAAGCCTTCGATAGTTTGGTACTGTCAGGTTTTTAATGTAAGGTGTTAACTTAAAGACATACCCATATTGTACTCCTACTGCCAGAGGACTACAGGCTGCGTGTGATCGAGATCGCAAGTCACTGTGTGCATTATCCCATAATCTTTGCTTTAACATCTTTTGGGCGCCTTCATACAGTTGGGGGGGAGACAGACCAATAGAAGGGGCTTTTCTATCCATGGTTTTCTGCCATTTGCTGACAAACTCCTCATTGGTCAGGTGTTGGTACAAACCCTTCCCTAGATCAAACACTGGAATCCTGAGCCAATGTTTCAGGGAAGTTGAAATTGGGCATTCGCCAGCTTCCCACAGAAGTATGGAGTTGGGGACACAGCTGGGTACTCGCAGCAGAGATCGTAGAAATTTTGCCTGAAAGCCACCTAGCTTAGGCAGGTCCCCATCAGGCCAGACACTTGCAGCGTACAGGAGTTGGGAAATGGATTTTGCATTGAATTAATGGCAGTGGGAGGCAGAGGGCAAGGAGGTCATTAGGAGGGGGGGGTCACTGCACCTTGCCCACGATGCTCCCCAGGTTGATGATGGAGCCCCCCGAAGCCCCGCTTGCCACCAGCGCCTTCGCCACGGCCTGCGTCACCAGGAAGGTCCCCTGCAGAGAAGGAAGAGACTGAGCAGGACGGGGTTGGGATGGATGACCACTGGGTTCCTTTATGAGCCTATAAGCAAGGCGATCAAGGGCCTGGAAACCAAGGGAGGGGCCTCCCGGGGACGCCTCCCTTGCCGGCCAAGTACCTTGAGGTTGACCCTGAGGACGGCATCAAAGGCCTCCTCCGTCTGCTTCAGCAGGAACTCGTCCATGGTGATGCCGGCGCAGTTGACGCAGACGTTGGCCGGGCGGGAGAAGCGGGCCTGGAGGCCAGAGGGAGGAAATCAGCACCAAAACCTCCGCCGCGACCCCAGGAGGTAAAAAGGATTCGGGCCTCAACATCGCAACAGAGGGGGTTGGGATGGATGACCCCCCGGGGTCCCTCCTGACCCTGCAATTCCATGGTAAGCTCCCTGAAGGACCTTAGGCTGGCCTACCTAACAGGGCTCTGGTGAGGAGGGAACGGGAGCGGAGGAGAATGAAGGCAGGATACGAAGGCAGCCAATAAACGCACAGGGTGCCGAGGACGAATGCTGACTCAGGGCAAGGCTTGGCAGAGTTAGAGCCAGGGGACTGCAGAGCAGGGACCCCCAGGGCTCATCTAGTCCACCCCCCCCGCGGATGCCCACCTGGATCTGGGCCACGAGGTCGGCCACGCTCTTGGCGCACCCCACGTCGACGCGCAGGGCCTGGTGGTCGCCCGCCTGGAGCCCCTGAAGCGTCTGGGCTGCACCGGCCTCATCGCAGTCCGCTATGGCCACTTGGGCCCCTTCGCGGGCAAAGCGGGCGCAGATGGCACGGCCGATGCCGCTGCCGCCCCCTGAGGAAGAAGGAAGAGGAGCCTGCGTCACCCTCCCCGGACGGGCTTCTTCCCCAGCAGCCCCTCTGCCTTTAACTGCTCCACGTCAGGCGGAAATGGAACGGGTGCAGTTCTTTTAAATAAAAAAGTTACATTCAGGGCTTGTCACCGCCAAACGGCTTGAGCTGACGGCTGAAAGTTCAGGGCTCCTGGGAGGACCCGAGGGGCGGAAATCCAACAGGTAGAGCCACCCCCTTTGCTCTCCCTCATCAACCGTGCTTGTGGGGCTGGGGCCTGGAAGCTGGACCGTGGGAGCAGGTCACTCCTGGCAGGTTGTTGTGGGTAGATGGAGGGGGCGGAGAGAAAGGCAGCCAAGGCATGAGCTCGACCTGTTGAACTGATGGCTGAAATACGCTGCCTTTCCCCATTGGCAGACCCCATCCCCAAAGACCCCCCTCCCGCTGCCCCTGTTGAACTCCTGCCTGCCTCCCCCCCCCAGGAGAAGGGACCTGTCACCAGGGCCAGGGTCCCTCGCAGCCGCAGGTGGGCGGCCATCGCTCTGTGGGGGAAGGACCGGAAGTGAGGCTCCGTGGGGGGAGGAAGCTCCGCCCCCGCACCGGAAGTTCAGGCGTGGAGGCCCTTCTGGGCCGCCATCTCTATTGCCGCAGTCCTCCAGGGTGGAGGGAGCCCGGACTCCTGGGTCCTTGGGGAGGGTCAGCGGGTGTGTGTGTTTCCCCCGCTCCATCCTTTGCAGCAGCAGGAGAGGAGGCGATCCAACAGGTGCTGCTCGTGCAGGGCTGTACCTGTTGAATTTCCACCCAGGCGCTTATTTTTTTAAAAGACATATTTAATAATACGTTTTGTATGTACTGTCAGAGGCCCACAGTGGCCGGGGAAAGCCAGTCAGACGGGCAGGATATAAATAGTAAAAATCATTATTATTAAGTAGTGGGTGGACGACACTTCCAGTTGCAGGAGACTTGGCCCGCGTCTTTGGCAAGCTTTACCAGGAGTGTGTGTCCCTTCCTCCACCTTTTAACAGGCATTCAGCATTCACACCCGCCCCTGTTGAATTTCTGCCTTCCGAGTGGCCATCTCAAGCCCACCCCAGCTCCAGAGGCTTCCTCTCTCGTCAGACAGGGATGCAATTAGGCTGGGTTTTCTGGGCTCCTTCAGATCTGAGCTTTGGGCGGTTTGAGCGACAACAGAAACAGCTGCGATATAGACAACTGAGACAGGCCGTTGCTCCATCCATTGCTGCAGCACTGGCTCTGCACCGCAAGGACTAGCGGCCTGAGATCTCTGCCCAGCCCTGCCATTGGGGATTGAACCTGGGCCCTTCCACATGCCAGGCAGCTGCTCCCCCAGCGCTGAGCCAGTGAGAGACACTTGCCAAGCTAAGCTGGGACTGGGATGGTTTCAAACTGGATGGGGGACAGAGGGAAAAGGGGGTTGGGCTAGATGACCCTGGGACCCTTCCAACTTGACCATTCTGACGCCAGAGCTAGGAGGGCCCTGGGGTGTCGGACTTGCAGTTCCTATCTGGAAATGCCGGCAGAAATCAAACCTGTGACCTGGCAAAGCAGATAATGGACTGCCAAATGATGACTGTTCCAGTCTCTTGTGTCTTTCTTGGGCATACAAGACACCCCACCTGCTTATTGGTCAGTCAGCCCCCAACTTTTGGGAAAGGGTCATCATGCTCAGTGGTTAGGTGCTTGGCGTCATTCCTTGCTTAAGGTAAAGGTAAAGGGACTCCTGACCATTAGGTCCAGTCGTGACCGACTCTGGGGTTGCGGCGCTCATCTCGCTCTATTGGCCGAGGGAGCCGGCGTGCAGCTTCCGGGTCATGTGGCCAGCATGACTAAGCCGCTTCTGGCGAACCAGAGCAGTGCACGGAAACGCCGTTTACCTTCCCGCCGGAGCGGTACCTATTTATCTACTTGCACTTTGACGTGCTTTGGAACTGCTAGGTTGGCAGGAGCAGGGACTGAGCAACGGGAACTCACCCCGTCGCGGGGATTCGAACCGACAACCTTCTGATTGGCAAGTTCTAGGCTCTGTGGTTTAACCCATAGCGCCACCCGTGTCCCTTGCTTACCTCCCCCAAAATATTCCTTTACCTCTGTTTACTCTGCTGCCAAGGTGGGATCCTGCTTCCCCCCCTAAAAAGGGCATTTTGATTTTTTAAAATAAAATCCCAGCTCGACGACTCCCTGGTCACGAAGTTCAGGCGCTGGCGAGGAATCACAGGGTGGTAGGAATGGGAGGGACCCGGTAGGTCATCTACCCCAACCCGCTGCAAAGCAGGAAAGCAATCATGTTCTGTCGGCCTGAGCAAGATTAGCTCAGAGCAGGATGATGGGAGTTGTAGTTCCCAGCGCCTGGGTGTTTCAAGGAGGGCGGCCAAGGCTGACCCAGTGGCCTTGGGGAACCTCCATCGCCCCCTGATGACCAAGTGCAGGAACTATACACAAAGCCTTTTCCCTTTTTTCCCAGGGCAGAAGTAAGTTTTAATTGCAGGCGCCACTATTCCTGTCCTTTACACATTTCTCCCTGGTACAACCGTCGCCCCAAAGTAAGACCCCTCCACCCTACAAAAGAAATTGCAAAAAAAAGAGAGAAAAGAAATATATATATATATATGACGTGTACACGGAAAGTCCGTTCCTAAACCCCCACACCTTTTCCTCGGAGTATAAATCAGGATTTCTGCCCCGGCTTCGGCCGCGAGAACAGACTTCCAGGAGTCGTATTTTACAGTAGCAGAAACGCTTTTCTAAAGATCCCCTTGGAAAATTCTCCTATGGGGCGCAGTTTGGTTCCCTTTTGGGGGGCAGGGGGGTCCCCACTGTGACGCCCTCAGCTCCCCCCTTCAGAGCTGCGCCGAATTATTCCATTATTGGCTGCCAGCAACTATGCTCCTCCGGCAAAAAAAGCATGATTTCTCCTGACCCCCAACCTCCCCAAATCATGGCTCCCCCATATCCCACACCCTGGTCCTCCAAGTTCCTGGTCCTTGCTTCCGAGCCCCCAACCCCAACAATTCGGGGCCAAGAGGACGGACACGCAAACACACACACACACGAGAACCCTAAAATTCTCTTCCTACCCCCCACCCTGTGCCCTATAGAAAAGGGCATTTTGCTATCTCCAACTGGAGCAGAAGAGCTGGTCCCAGACTGGTCGTTTTCTCCACTTCCTCTTCCTGCAGCACCAACACAGCGCCTCCTGGAGGATGGGAGGTGCGCTGCAGCGGCTGAAATGTCTGGACCCCAGATGGAGCTGGAGAGGGAGTGGGGGGCCGGGCTGTCCGTTTCTCCTTGGTCCCGCCTCCGCTGCCCCAAACGGGCGCCTGGCCCCCTCCCCGTCCTCCCCCCTCCGCTCTACTCGTACTGGGCGATGAAGACCATCATGGCAACTCCGCCGACCAGTCCCAGCACCTCCAGCAGCGACTGCACCGGCCCCGAGTCCTGCAGCAGCTCGGGGATGACCGAGACGGTGGCCACGTAGATGAAGCCGCCGGCCGTGAAGGGCAGGATCCAGGCCGTGGCTGCCTCGCCCACGCCTTCCGCCAGCAGCGAGCAGACCGTGCCCGCCAGGGCGCCCAGCGCCGTCACCAGCTGAAGCTTCATCGCCTGGCAGAGGGGAGAAAAGGAGGACAGTCTCACCCAAGGCTCCTCTTGCCCAGCTCCCCGTGCTCAGAGGTAGACTGCCCCTCTCTAAGGAGGCTCAACCTCTCTACCTCTCTTTCAAATCAGAACCAGTGAAGGCGGTGAAGGTCCTGTGTGAGCGCCTGGAGGCGGTTGGAGGATGGATGGCGGCTAACAGATTGAGGTTGAATCCTGACAAGACAGAAGGACTGTTTTTGGGGGGACAGGGGGCGGGCGGGTGTGGGGAGCTCTCTGGTCCTGAATGGGGTCACTGTGCCCCTGAAGGACCAGGTGCGCAGCCTGGGAGTCATTCTGGACTCACAGCTGTCCATGGAGGCGCAGGTCAATTCTGTGTCCAAGGCAGCTGTCTCCCAGATCCATCTGGTACGCAGGATGAGACCCTACCTGCCCGCAGACTGTCTGGCCAGAGTGGTGCATGCTCTGGTTATCTCCCGCTTGGACTACTGCAATGCGCTCTCCGTGGGGCTACCTTTGAAGGTGACCCGGAAACTACAACTAATCCAGAATGCGGCAGCTGGACTGGTGACTGGGAGTGATCATTTTGGACTCACAGCTGTCCATGGAGGCGCAGGTCAATTCTGTGTCCAAGGCAGCTGTCTACCAGCTCCATAGGGTCTCAGCTTGCATACCAGCTCCATCTGCCCAGCGCTGAGGGATTTCTGGCGGTTCCCTCACTGCGAGAAGCCAAGTTACAGGGAACCAGGCAGAGGACCTTCTTGGTAGTGACGCCTGCCCTGTGGAACGCCCTCCCACCGGATGTCAAAGAGAACAACAACTACCAGACTTTTAGAAGACATCTGAAGGCAGCCCTGTTTAGGGAGGCTTTTAATGTTTGTATTTTAATATTTTGTTGGAAGTCACCCAGAGTGGCTGGGGAAGCGCAGCCAGGTGGGCGGGGTATAAATAAATAAATTACTATTATTATTATTATTATTATTGTATTTTGACCCGTCCCTGCCAGGGAGATCCATTACCTTCTTCTTGCTGCAGCCGGACTGGACGAGGATTGCGAAGTCGCCCACCTCGTGGGGCACCTCGTGGAGCAGGACCGTCAGGGTGGTGACGGCCCCGACCGTGCCCCCCGCCAGGAAGGACGCCCCCAGCGCCAGCCCGTCCGTGAAGTTGTGGGCAAAGTCAGCAGCCAGGTTCAGGTAGCCAGACACACGCATGGCTGGGGAGAAGAGAAAGTGAGTGGGGGGCTGTGTCCCTGGATCCCACATTTTAGAAAATCCCAATCGCACCCCCCCAAAAAAATCCAGGGCTCGCCCAAATGCACCACCTCACCAGAGTCGGGGGGCTTCTGCTTCCCCTGGGAGGGGGCTGTGGTTTTCTCCGACGTCTTTCCCCGCAAAGGCTCTTTCTCTGCCTCGTCGTCGCTGCTTTTGGCTTTGGCAACTGGGGAGTAAGAAAGGAAAGTTTTAGGGGGGGCAGGAAGACACTCCCTGCCCCCCCAACAGATAAAGCCACGGCAACAAGTTTATCTCCCCCCACCTCAATTAATCTTTATTAATTTCATGCAATGAATCACAGCTGCAACTCTCCGTTGATAACGTAGATAAACAAAGTAGAACAGAAAAGCTGGAAATACGGTAAATTGTTCCCATATTGAAACTTCCCTCCTCCTCAACCTGTTTCTATACCGACTGCATATTAAACATAATCTATTTTACAATTATCCAACGCATCCAAGGATTAGGACATGTTGCAGGAATCATTCAAAGCCTGCCAACGATTTTACATGTTTACCATGATCTTTTAGATATTTACAGTGATCTTTTAGATATAATTGTCCCATTCTCTGTAGAATTTTTGATCTACTGTACATGGTTCCATCTCGGCATATTCTAACAGTTTCGTCTGCCCTTCCAATTTTGTCAGTATCTTCTCTCCTTTCCAACAATGGGCTAACAACAATTCTCGCTGCCATACATAAATAATCTCCTTAAATCTTTCGGTATCTCCACGCCCATAATCCCCAGGAGAAAGGCTGCCGGTTTTTGGGGAAAGGTTAATTAAAACGGGTTTTTTTTAGCTCGTTGTAGATCATTTCCCCAAATTCCTTCATCCTTTTGCAAGTTTATCTTGCCCGCCGCCCCGAGATCTTTGGCCAAAGGGCTGTGTATAAATTGAACGAAGAACCGAATAAACGAGGAACTTGAGCAGGGGGCAGATTTGGCCGCGGGGCTTTGGCCGCACCCACCGTGGCTGTGTCCGTGGTGTCCGTGGCCTCCTTTGACGTGCCGGACGAACTTCTCCACCACCAGGAAGGCCACGATACCCCCCAGGACCCAGAGGCCCACTGACATCATGTGCTGGTGCTCAGAACCTGGAAGGAGGCCGGGGGTGGGGGAGATGAGCAGAGGATGATGAGAAAGAAGAGACTGCAGAAGGATCAGGCCCTTGCCCCTGGTGGTTTCCATTTTAATAATAATGACAATAATTGTATTACTTATATCCCACCCATCTGAATGGGCTGCCCCAGCCGCTCTGGGCAGCTTACAGCAAAATTTTTATAAAAACACCATGAAAGCTCAAACCTTAAAAACCTCCATAAATAGTGCTGCCTTCAAACTTCTTTGAAAAGTATTTTTTCCCTTTTCTCTTGGTTTGTTTCTGATCTCTCTTCTCCAGTTTTTATTACATCTTATGTTGAAAGGTGTAAATAACTTCACAACCTTTGGAAGACATCCGAAGGCAGCCCTGGATAGGGAGGTTTTTAATGTTTCTTATGTTTATGTTCTTATATGTACTGGAAGCTGCCCAGAGTGGCTGGGGAAACCAGGCCAGGTGGGTGGGGTAGAAATAATTATTTAATGATTGTTGTTACTGATACACAGCAATAAAAATACAGTTGAAAAGGAAAGTTGATTTCATGGATATCTACTGGGAGGGCGTTCCACAGGGCAGGCGCCACCACCGAGAAGGCCCTCTGCTTGCTTCCCTGTAACCTTGCTTCTCGCAGGGAGGGAACTGCCAGAAGGCCCTCGGCGCTGGACCTCAGCGTCAGGGCTGAAGCATGAGGGTGGAGACGCTCCTTCAGATATACTGGCTGTTTAGGGCTTGAAAGGTCAGCACCAACACTTTGAATTGTGCTTGGAAACCTACTCGGAGCCAATGTAGGTTTTTCAAGACCAGTGTTATGTGGTCTCAGAGGCTGCTCCCAGTCACCTGTCCAGCTGCTGCATTCTGGATTAGTTGTAGTTTCTGGGTCACCTTCAAAGGTAGCCCCACATAGAGCACATTGCAGTAGTCCAAGCGGGAGATAACCAGAGCATGCACCACTCTGGCAAGACAGTCTGTGGGCAGATAGGATCTCAGCCTGCGCACCAGATGGAGCTGGTAAACAGCTGCCCTGGACACAGAATTGACCTGCGCCTCCATGGACAGCTGTGAGTCCAAAATGACTCCCAGGCTGCGCACCTGGTCCTTCAGGGGCACAGATACCCCATTCAGGACCAGGGAGTCCTCCACCCCCACCTGCCCTGTCCCCCAAGAACAGTACATCTGTCTTGTCAGCATTCAACCTCAATCTATTGACCACCATCCATCCTTTAAATTGTAAGACTGCCTTGTTTCAATTGAGCTCAGGTGGCACGTTTTCAACCAAGAGTGGAGTGCAAATTGTCCAGGTAAACTACTAAACTACCTGCAGAGATAGCGCAAGATAGTGCACACCCCGGAAATGATCTTTTTCAGCTTCTGCCTTCTGGAAGAAGGTAAAGGGTTATAAAGACTAGGACTAGGAGAAACAGTTTCTATCCAAATGCAATTTTGGTAGCGTAAGGTAGTCTCTATGGGAATATATTGTATTTAACTATGGGGTATCAGAGTTTTTAGGGGGCTAACCAGGCTGGGATAGCAGGCTTGTCAGTTTTTGAATGTCTGATGTAGATTTTTTTCAATTTCGTTGTTCTGTATGGGACAATGACAATAAAGATTATTTTATCGTATCATAAATGAATAAATGTTTGCTCTCTCCTGCAATGACTCAGCCTTTCTCCACCTGAGCTCCCCAGATGTCATTGGGCTACAACACCCATCATCCATTGCCGCTGCTTTGGGCTCCCTAGGGCTGCTGGGAATTGTAGTGCAAAAAGCTCCCCCCCCCCAGCGCCCAGTTCTTACCCTGGTGAGAATGCCCGTGGGATTCCGGCTTCACGTGGCTGTGTCCTGCGCCTTCCCCATGGTGGGAGTGCGGCTCTGGAAGGGAGAAGGAACAGGTGAGTAAAAGGGACCTCTGAGGGCCATGTAGTCCAACCCCCCGGAATCGCAGCTCACTCGGATGAGAGGAGGGGAGGGAAGAGGCTATCCAGCCCAAAGGAGAGGCAGGGCGGAGGGGGCAGGACCAGGGGGCTGCCCTTCAACTCACCCAGCGCGTGAGGGATGAGGTGCAGGAAGGCGTCTCCCAGAAGCCCCCCCGAGGCGAAGCTGAGCAGCAGTTTGAGGAGGGCTTGGTGCTGGGAGGTGTTGGACTCCACTGGGATGAGGAAGAGGATGAAGTACGGGGCAGCGCTGATGAGGAGAGTGGCGCCAATGGCCTACGGGTGGGGGGAGAGAAAGAGAGGGTCACCCCACAGCCAGCAGGGGCCCCTTGGCCCAACCCCAGAGAGAGTTCCTGAGCCATCCAGCCCAGGCCGCTGCAATGCGGGGGCCCCTCTTTTGCAGACTGAAAACAGATAATAATGATATTAAATTTTATTTATACCCCGCCCTCCCCAGCCAAGACCGGGCTCAGGGCGGCTAACACCCAATATAAAAACAAATGATTGAAATACAACTTAAAAAACAAGATTAAAATACAACACTAAAACATTAAAATGCAACCTCATTTCAGTGGAAATTTTTTTGGGATGAAAACATCAGGTCTTCACCAAGGCTGACTATCCAGACTGGTCCTACGTGGGCCAGAAGAAAGCCAGGGAAGTCCCCAAATAAGAGTTCCATCACAGAAGAAGAAAGGAAAAAAGAAAGAGAGGGAGGGAATCAAATTGGCTCCAAGCCAAAGGCCAGGCAGAACAACTGTCTTACAGGCCCTGCGGAAAGAAATCAGATCCCACAGGGCCCTGGTCTCATGAGACAGAGCGTTCCACCAGTGTTGGAGCCCGTGTTGAGAAGGCCCTGGCTCTGCTTGAGGCTAGTCTGACTTCCTTAGGTCCCGGGACCACTAGGGTGTTGTTATTTATGGACCTTAAGGTCCTCTATGGGGCAGACCGGGAGATAATGTTGGATAATAAAAAATGGGCAAAAGGGATGGTATGGAATTCACCATCAACACGATGGTGGCTCTCTGTACGGCCGCCTTGCTAAAGGCACTTATGAGGAAAGAAACCCCACTGGATATGTGGAACTTGCTTCCAAGGCAACACGGAGAGGAAAGTGCTGCCAGCCTCTCCCGCCCCCAGAAAGAGCAAAAGACCCCCGTCCCACCCAGAGCCCGGGGAAAGGGATCCAGGAAGACCCTTTGTCCCCTATGGCTGGAAACCACTCACGTAAGTCCACAACTGCAGCGGCTCCAACTTCTCCCTCCTCGGCAGAGGTTTCTCGTTCCCAGGGGAGGATTGGGCCCTGCTGGGGCCGTCAGCAGGAGACTCGTGCGAGTTGCTGTGGTGGAGAGGACCGTCGTGGAAATGGCCATGACCATGGTGGTGGCCCTCATGCCCATGGCTGTGTCCGTGGTGAAAATCCTCGTGCGAGTGCCCATGGTGCAAGCCTTCATGCGAGTGGCCCCCGTGCGAGTGGCTGTGTCCGTGGTGGTCCTCGTGAGCGTGGCCGTGCCAGATACCCTTGTGCGTGTGCCCGTGGCCATCATCGTGGCCGTGCCAGATATCCTCGTGCGTGTGGCCGTCGTCATGTGCGTGGCCATGCCAGATATCCTCGTGCGTGTGGCCATGGCCGTGAGCGTGGCTGTGGCCGTGGTGGAAGTCCTCGTGAGCTTGGCCGTGAAAGCCCTCGTGCTGCGCGGAGGCGCCCCACAGCAGCGCCAAGCAGAGCACCACGGCGGTGGCAACGTCTGGGGGCTGGGGGCTCGCGAACAACCTGCTAGCAGCCATGGCGCCGGATCTGTGGGGAGAAGGAAGGTCAAGGGCTGCACAACCACACCAGCCTTCGAAATTAGCCAGGTGCCAGGCGCATTTTGCCCCTGGCTTTCGACCGCCGGCAACCCTCTGAAGATGCCTGGGTGCCAGGATGCTACCTAACATATCCAGCATTTGGGGATTCTTGGATCTGGTCTGTTTTCACCCACTCAGACCTCATCCTGTAGAATTCTATCCATTATACTTTATCTGCACAATCGGAATGGATTTCTGGAACCAAATGGCTTTTTCTGTGCAGCCCGAGTGGGAGGAGCGAAGGACGTCATAGCTAATTGTTGTCGCTCGTCTTCTCTTACCATCCTCCTCCCCCCCCCCCCACTCATTGCTGGGAATAATATTCCTATGTTGTGAACGATTTGTGTAACCATTCAGAAAAAGAGGACAAAATTGACTGTCCCTGGATTGAGAGACTTTCCTCCTCTAAGTTCTCAAAGATCTTCAGGTTGTCGTCTAAACTAGCCAGATATTTAACTGAGATTCAATCACAGTTCGTCATTTGAAAAACAAGAGTTTAGAGCCGCCTTGCCCCCAAAAGGGCAACTAGACTTTCTGTTTGGGCAGCTTGTTTTAAGGAAGACACTGACCCACACGGGGGGGGGGGGGGCTCAAGCAGCCGGTCTACTCGCATCTCTCCGCCCCCCATGTCAAAAACCCAGATCTTTTCAAGATGCTTTGCAGGATCAGACCCAGGCGCAGGAGAGCCTGCGAAGGATGCTTGTCCCGCAGCCATGCCCTGGCTTGGGACCCTCAGCCCAGCCCCTCTTTCCTGCCCCCCAGGGAGGGGGCGGCTGCCTTTTCCGCCCCAGGGCTGGCTTTTCAGGAAGGAAGGAGAGGGGGAAACACGTGTTGGGAGAAGACGGAGGGGGCAGCAAAGAAAAGGGACCCCCAAGCGCAGGGAGACTGGGGGAGGGGTGGTCCTCGTTCAGGGAGGGGAGGGAGAGGCTGCGAGCGGGGAGGGACCCCAGGGGGCATCTAGTCCACCCCCTCGCGAGGAAGGGGGCAGCAAGCGGGGTCCACGGAGGGGTGGGGTCCCTCTGCAGACACGGAGGCTGCCCCACTCGCCCCCAAACGGGGGGGGCTTCCCAGAGGGACCCCCACCCATCCCAGGCTCCCCACCCCCTATGGGCCACGAGGAAACCCCCCCCCGGTAATCCCTCCCGCCCCCCCCCCCGCGAGCAGGATTCTCACCCGGCTCTCTCCGGATCCGCTATCTCCTGCCTGAAGCCTGACGTGGCAGCAGAGCCCCGCCCACCAAGCCCCAAACATCGCGGGAACTCCACCCTCCCTCCATTGAAAAAAAGTGGTAATAATCCCCCCCTTTGCCCATCCCTGTGATGGCGCCCACGGAGCGTTTCTGCCCGCGACAAAAATGGCGGCCGCGCACCTTCTTTCTTTCCTCCCTCCCGCGATAACTGGAGGGACGGGGGAAATGGCGGCCGCCGGTGGCGACCGACCCTGCCCTCAACAAAGATGGCGACCGCTTGGGGGTTGAGGGCCGTTTCCGCGGACGAGCGGCGCCATGATTGTTAAGGGCAGAGTGAGGCGTCGCTTCAATTAGATTATTATATACGTGCCTGTATTTATAATGCTATATACGTATTATATTACACTTTTGCATGCACATATATTATATATCTATATATATATAGGTAAATAGATAGATAGATAGATATATGAGTGCATTATATAATATGCATACATGATAATATGATATAATTCATATGTTTCTATAGGATATATGATGAGATTGTATTATAATGCGAGAGGCCCCGCCCCTTCTCCCCTCCCGCCCCGCCCCCTTTCGGTGAGCGCCCGGGGCCCGCGGCGCCTGCCGGGAAACGCCTCGCATCCGGGAGGCCCCGGTGCATTGTGGGAGGCTGGCCCGGCGCCTGTCGGGCGGGCGGAGCGCGGCCCCCCTCTCTCTCCCCCCCCTCGCGCGGTGGCTGCCGGGTAACCCCTCTCCCTCGTCCAATCGGCGGCCCGCTCTCCTGGCCCCGCGCGGTGCCTGCTGGGAGTCTGGCCCTGTCCCCGAGGCCCCTTCGCCCGGGAGGAGGAGGAAGAGGCGGCGGCGGCGGCCCCGCGGTGCATGGTGGGTGAGGAGGCGGCGGCGGGCGGGCAGCGCCCGGCGGAGAGGCCCAGCGGAGGCCGAGGCAGGGGCGGCGGGGCGCCTGGGCCTGCGCGCCAGGGGCATTGTGGGTAGGCCCAGGGAGGAGGGGGGAGGCCGCGTCGGCGTCGGGACCAGGCCCGGAGCCCCTGGCGGCGGTGGGGTCGGGGTCGCGGCCTCCCTCGGGATCCGCCCGCGGAGCAGCCATGGCAGACCCGGGACGGGCCGGAGCAGGTAAAGGGGGCCCCGCCCCTCCCCACCCACGGACACGTGATCAGCCCCCCAAAACAGAAGGGGGTCCTCTCGCCCCCCCCACTTCGCACCCCGAAAGGAGATTAGGGACGGGGGGCCTCTGCCTGGTGGTGCGTCGGGAGGGATGCTGGGATTTGGGGCGCCGTGTTCGCGTGTGCAGAGAATAATAAGGGTTTGCTTTGATTCTGTTTTCCCTTCTGTATTATTGTGCACTTTGCCTTTCCGTTGTTTGCCTGTGATCTCCGGGTGAAGCGCGAGATTTAATTAATAACGACAATGATTTGGGAAGTCCTGCTGCTGCTGCTTCTGGCAATAATAATAATAATAATAATAATAATAATAATTTATTATTTATACCCCACCCATCTGGCTGGGTTTGCCCAGCCACTCTGGGCAGCTTCCAACAGAATATTAAAATACAATAACCTATTAACATTAAAAGCTTCCCTAAACAGGGCTGCCTTCAGATATCTTCTAAGACTCCCGCCCTGTCTGCACAAGGGTTGCAACTAAGAGAAGCAGCAGCAGCATTAGGCAGAGACCCAAGCGGTGCAGTTTTCCTCCTCCTCCTCCTCCTCGCTTCCCTGGCTTAAAAACAAGAATCCTAGAATTGCAGCCTTGGAAGGGACCCAGAGGATCATCTAGCCCAACCCCCTGCGAGTGGGATTAGGGAAGCTCTCTCAGAGCAGCCCCCTCGCCTTGCCCCTCCTTTTGGGCTGCAGAAGATGCTGGAGGAGCAGGATTTGGCCATGGTGGGCCTCTGCTCTGCACCCCTTGAGCTCTCCCAGGCAGTTAGATGTTGCACCAACATAGACGCACAGGGGCCCTGAGGCAAGATTTAACTGCAGCCCAAGGTCCTTTCTGCCACCAGAGAAGCAACAAAACCCAAACTGAGATTGTGAGGGGAGGGGTGTATATGTACAAGGTGGGGGGAGAGTTCAGTCTCCCTAACACCAGTGTTAGAAGCTCAGGTGTATAAGGTGATCACCCAAATGGCACTTTTAAACTTAGGTTTTGGTTGCCACACAAGGGATTGTCTAGGCGCTATTTCCCCCCCCCCCCCATGAAATGTATTATCTTTCATTTCATTTCTATATCAGTTTATATTTTAAAGTATTCTAGGAAGACAGTGGGGTGTAGTTACCACATTTATATCACACTCTTTTCTCCACGGAGTACATTGGTACACCCTCCCTTCTCAGTTATTCCCTACAACGACCCTGCGAGGTAGGAGAAGAGGCTGTGACTTGCCCAAGTTCACTCCGTGAGCCAGGCCCTCACCTGACACTCTCACCGTTACCCCCCACTGGCTTCCTAGAGTCCTTCTGCCGTGGGGCAGCTATATAAATTAAGTAGGTAAATAAATATGAAAAAAGCCAAATGTCACTTAGCGAAGGATCTGAAATATTTCCCTTGGAAGATTGAATTAGTTTTATCCTGGATGTTTTTGTTTGATGCGTGAATGTGCTGCAAGCCGCCTTTGAGATTTGTTCTTTTGAATGTAAATAAATGAAATGAACAATAAAAACAACAAACCTCGTTGGGAAAAAATAAAAGGTGCCTGGACATTCCATTGTGACAACCATAACCTAGGTTTAAGGTGCCATTTGGCAATTAGATTATATATCTGTGAGTTGTGAACATTGTGATACAATACTGATTGCTGTAAACCTCAGGAGGGGAGAGGCGCTTGCTGGTTGCTGGTTCCCCATTGGGGCATTTGATCAGCCACTGTGAGAACAGGGGGCTGGGCAAGATAGATGGGCCCCCTTTGGCCTGGTCTAGCAGCCAGGCTCTGCTGATGTCCTTCTGGTCTGAGTGGTCTCCAGAGACGGTCCCAGTGGCTGCTCTGCCCGGCCAGACCCCATTTCCCCATCTCAGGACCTGGGCTGCCTCAAAGCAGCCCAGCCCCATTTCCTTCCGCCCATGCTCCCCAAAGCATGGAGGGCTTTCAAAAGAGGAATGCACACCTTGCTCTGAATAACTTTGTGCCGATCCCTGTGAGGGGCGGGAGATCCTGGGCCCCCTGGAACTCACCACCACAGGACGCTTGGAGACTGTCTGCTGCGCAGGTGGCTCCTGGCAGAAGGGCTGGGGTTTGTGTGCTCTTCTGCCAGGAGCAAGAAGGGCTTTGCAGCTGTTTCGCCCTGGCAGTCCAAGTAATCAAAAGGCTGCTGTTTGCCCCCGATGGGGCCCTTTAACTGGGGCTTGCAGGCAGCACACTCACAAGATAGTTTTCCGGGCTTCTTCAGTGGTCTGATCTCAAAGTCTTGATACGTATATTGATATTCACTGATAATAATTCAAATCAAATCTTATTAGAAATAGCTTGATGCACTTCTAAATGATTAATTAAATCAAAAATACATATTCATTATACATAAAATCAAATTTCTGTAGTACAGAAGAGCGGCCTGTCTCTATCTACAACTCTACTAGCATCTCGGTATTGTGAACTTACCTTTTGTTGGTATCTTCATGAACTTATCTAAAAAACTGAGTTAAGCATTTGAAAAATCTATTGAAACCTGACATTACAGGTTCATTTTAGGCTGGGTAGTTCGCAAGTCTTTGTGGCTCTGTGTAATGTTTTGTATTTTTCTCAGAAGGTTGATAAAGTATGTTTAATTCTTGTTCTGTGTATATTACCCGCCAACGTGTTGCGTGAGTCGTACTCCTGGGAACAAGAAGGGGGCAGAGTCCGGGGCAGACGGGCCCTGCCGCGGGGAGGAAGCTGCGTGGGGGTGCGGAAGTCGTGTGGGAACGATCCCAGAGTCGCAGCTTGTTTTGAAGGAAGGAGGAAGTGGCAGTTGCTCAATCCACCAGCTCCCTCTCCTCTTCCACTGAGCCTCTGCGGTTACTCAGAGCAGGCCACGTGAAGAAGCATAGAACAATAGAAGTGTGGCGTGGGAGGGGACCCTGGGGTGTCATTTAGTCCAACCTGCCGCAGTGCAGGAGTCTTGTGCCACACGTGGGGGCTTTTATCCCCGCAGGATTTGCTCACCTCTCGCTTGATGGTTGGGAAGCTGTTCGTGAAGAGAGTAGAGCATAAGAATGTAAGAGGAGTCTGCTGCAGGATCAGGCCAAGGGGGGCGTTGAGAATCTAGGAATCAAGATAGGCTGCCTCTGGGACTGGAGGTTCCATAAAAAGAATCAGACTGTTCTAAACCTCCCAGCATTTGGCTTCCTTGGCTCTCTCTGAGCTCCAGCTTCTGACTGCACACTGGAGGGAGGGAGAGAAGGCGCCTGGACGCCGGTCTCCTGGGTTCCTTCCCCACCAGAGGCGGGCGGCCAGGAAGCCCTTGAGTCTCGTGGCGCCTCTTGCAGGGTTGCAAAATATCCGGAGTGATCAGTTCTGGGGAAATGCCGGAAGGGGTGGAGGCTGCGGGGGCTCATTTCAGACTTGGGTCTCTCTCTGGTGTGTGTCTTCACGAGCACAGAGGGGTGAGAGTCACCTTTAACGCTCTCTCCCCCCTCCTTCCAGGCTGCCGGAGTCCGGATAGCTCTTCTCTCAGTTCTTCCCCACCGCTGCGAGGCACCGGAGCATCCCCTCTGCCAGAGCCCTCGGCTCCCCTGCACCCTTCCATGATCGGTTCCGCCATGACCACCTCCATCAGCGGCCTGGGCTCTCCCTTCCCTGTCATCAGCTCCTCCATGGGGTCCCCGGGACTCCCAGCGACACCCTCCATCGGCTACGGACCTGTCAGCAGCCCTCAGGTAAGACTGCTCACCACCACCGCCCTCCGGGAGCTGGGTGAAGGGGAGCGAACGGGCTGGAAGCCAAGATCTGTGCCTTCCGCGCCATGATGGGCTCCCAGTACATTTCTGAGCACAATCCAAAGCGTTGGTGCTGACTTTTGGGACCCTAAACGGCCTTGGTCCTGTATACCTGAAGGAGCGTCTCCACCCCCATCATTCTGCCTGGACACTGAGGTCCAGCGCCGAGAGCCTTCTGGCGGTTCGCTCACTGCGAGAAGCCAAGTTTCAGGGAACCAGGCAGAGGGCCTTCTCGGTAGTGGCACCTGCCCTGTGGAACGCCCTCTCACCAGATGTCAAAGAGATAAACAACTACCTGACATTTAGAAGAAATCTGAAGGCAGCCTTGTTTAGGGAAGCTTTTAATGTTTGATGCATTATTGTATTTTAATATTCTGTTGGAAGCCGCCCAGAGTGGCTGGGGAAACCCAGCCAGATGGGCGGGGTATAAATAATAAATTATTATTAGTAGTAGTAGTAGTAGTATTACTACTACTATTATTATTATGAGGCAGATGTGGTTGGGCATGGGGTGGGTCTGTCTGCGTAAGTTGTTCAGGTCAGGCCTTATAAACCTCCTGGGACCCAACTCTGAGGTCTTCCTTCGTGTTCCTCTTCCATGAGAGGTCCAGGTGGCAGCCACACAAGAACGGGCCTTTTCTGCAGTGGCCCCTTGTTTGCGGGATACTCTTCCCAGGGAAGTTCAGCTGATGCCTTCATTAGACACCTTCAGGCACCAGGCAAAAATGTTTCATTTTTCACCAGGCCTTTGGCTGATTGACATCCTTTGCCCTTTTAAAAGCGATTGTTTTTATTATTATTTGTGTGTTTTTTATATTGCAATTGTATGTTGTGGGCTTCCCTGAGAGCTACAGATGGAGCGCAGTATACAAATTCTAATGGAAAATAAATAAACGGAAGAACAAGTAAATAAACTTGGCGACCACTTAGTCCCCGGGCCCAAGTCAAAGTGCTGTTTTTGACCTACAAAGCATTGCTGCTGTTGTTATAATATTTATTTATACCCTCCCTTTTTCCCCATGGAGGAGCTTACGGATAAAGTAGGAACAGCTAACAGCCTAGGAAAAAGGAAAACTGGCATAAAAAATGTTAATAGAATTAAATGCAGGCAGATGGATAGGCAGGAGGATGGTAGTCTGAGAACAGGGCCTCTTCAGTGGTGGCTTCCCATTTGCAGAACACTCCTCCCAGGGAGGCTCACCTGGCAGTTTCGTTACACGTTTTCAGGCTCCCGGGGGGACGGACATTCCTCTCCAACCAGGCCTTTGGCTTTTATTTTTGTATTTTGCATTGTATCACCCCCCCAAAAAAAATCAAATGTATGCATGTGCTGTGGGGTTGTAGCCATGGCAGAAAATGCAACCAAGGAATTTAATATGTCAGTAATAAAATGAAAAAATATTTCATTTCCTCTCGTTCATATACCCTGCGTGATTGTAAAAAAAACCCCCACAAAAAACCCCAACTGAGCCTCAAAGCGACTTACAGAAAGACGTAACAACAAAATTCTCGCTAAGAGAAATTGACAGCAATACTTTCAGACTGTCAATAAACTAGAACAAGTTACAGGGAACTAGGCAGAGGGCCTTCTTGGTAGTGGCACCCGCCCTGTGGAACGCCCTCCCACCAGATGTCAAAGAGAACAACTACCAGACTTTTAGAAGACATATGAAGGCAGCCCTGTTTAGGGAAGCTTTTAATGTTTAATATTTTAGTGTTCTGTTGGAAGCCGCCCAGAGTGGCTTGGGAAACCCAGCCAGATGGGCGGGGTATAAATAATAAACTATTACTATTAATTATTATAGACTAAGAACTAAGGCGCATGGGGGGGGCGATTCGGCGGGTAATGAGACCTAAGTTGTTCAGCGCTTTACATCCCGATTGCTGCTCCTTGAGTGAACGGTCAGGCCAGTCTAAATGCCGCACGACTGAGCGCCCTCTCTGGCCCTTCCGCAGATCAACTCCACAGTCAACCTGTCCGGACTCCACTCGGTCAGCAGCTCGGACGACGTGAAGCCCCCGCTGGGCATGCGGGTGGTGGCCGGCCACCCCCACGGAGCCATCATGCCCGGGAAGAGGCTCTGCGCCATCTGTGGCGACCGGTCGTCAGGTGTGCGTGCGGACCTCGCGGGAGCCCCAGTCGGCGGAGTCGGTGTCTCCGGGGGGGGCGGGCGCTTGGGGCAGGGCGGTCAGTCAGTTCTGGCGTGGGTGGGGCAGGGCTCGAGGCAGCTGGGTAGCGGGGGAGAAGTCTCTAGCTTGTTTGGACGGGGAAGCCGGAGAGTCGAGAGAGGGAGCAGGAACAGCCCCTGCATTCCCATATTATTATTATTACAGTGGTGCCTCGCAAGACGAAATTAATTCGTTCTGCGAGTTTTTTCGTCTTGCGAATTTTTCGTCTTGCGAAGCACGGTTTCCCATAGGAATGCATTGAACGGTTTTAAGAAAAAGGACGTTTTCGTTTTTCGTCTTGCGAAGCAAGCCCATAGGGAAATTCGTCTTGCGAAGCAACTCAAAAAACGAAAAACTCTTTCGTCTTGCGAGGCATTTGTCTTGCGAGGCATTTGTCTTGCGAGGTACCACTGTAATAATAATAATAGGTGGGTGTTTAAATAATGTCTTATGATTATTAGTGGGATTTAAATAATGTTGTGACATTATCATCATAGCTGCTTTTAGGGCTAGCAAAAGGATAATAATAATAATGCAAAGATGCCTTAGTGGTTGGGGTGGCAAGCAAGGGGCGGGTCCCTCTGTGTCCCCATAGTCATGGAGGGAGATATTTTGTCACTGGGCTCTGCACAGAGACTGGATCCGGGTGAGGTCCTGCCAGAGGAAGACAAGCAGGGTTGGGCGTATTCTGGCCCTGCTGCCTCGTGTGGGATTCCCGATCTCCAAACTGGGCTAAGCTGTTTTTTTAGGGGGGCCAATACAGTCTTAGGGACGCAGGTGGCGCTGTGTGTTAAACCACAGAGCCTAGGACTTGCTGATCAGAAGGTCGGCGGTTTGAATCCCCGCGACGGGGTGAGCTCCCGTTGCTCGGTCCCTGCTCCTGCCAACCTAGCAGTTCGAAAGCACGCCAAAGTGCAAGTAGATAAATAGGTACCGCTCCGGCGGGAAGGTAAACGGTGTTTCCGTGCACTGCTCTGGTTCGCCAGAAGCGGCTTAGTCATGCTGGCCACATGACCCGGAAGCTGTACGCTGGCTCCCTCGGCCAGTAAAGCAAGATGAGCAGCGCAACCCCAGAGTCGGCCACGACTGGACCTAATGGTCAGGGGTCCCTTTACCTTTAATACAGTCTTGGATTCGTGGCGCATTTAAGGAAGAAGGAAGGGTTGGCCAAGGGCTGCCGGGGGGGGGGTGATGCTTTGGGAAATGGGGGGATAAGGTTGGGGAGATTTTGAGGCCAAGGAAATTCCCGCGTTTTAGGGCAAGGGCCTGCGTGCCTCCCCCTGGTATCCAGTTCTGTCACCCTGCAAAATGGGTTGAGCCTGGGTTCTGGCTTGGGTGGGGAGGTGAAGGGCGTTGGAGGTGCCCTGGGGGTGGGGAGGGTGGGTGGGTGGGCGAGGAGCTGGCCCTTCCTCCTCCTCCTCCTCCACCCCCCGCCCGGCCCCCTTGCTGCCCCCGCTCACCCCGTCCGTCCGGCGCCCTCCCTCCAGGGAAGCACTACGGGGTCTACAGCTGCGAGGGCTGCAAAGGTTTCTTCAAGCGGACCATCCGGAAGGACCTCAGCTACACCTGCCGCGACAACAAGGACTGCATCGTGGACAAGCGCCAGCGCAACCGCTGCCAGTACTGCCGCTACCAGAAATGCCTGGCCACCGGCATGAAGCGCGAAGGTAGCGGGAGGGAGGGAGGGGGCGGCAGGGGGGGCTGCAGCAGGGGGAGGGGCCTCCCAGGGACAGGCAGGCAGGGGGGCTGCAGGGGGCGGGGAGAGAGTCAGGGCCGCAGGGAGGGAGTCGGCTCCCTCGTATATTCGTGGAGTGGGAAAGGGACCCCAGGGGACCATCTAGACCAACCCCCGCCTTGCCGGAATCACAGCTTGAAAGACGGCCACCCAGTCTCTGCTTAAAAACCTCCCATATCCCAAGAGAGGCAGTATAACAGCTCCTTTTCTCCGAATAGTCTTCCTGGCGTTTAGTCAGAATCTCCTTGAAGCCACGGGTTCGAGTCCTCCCCTCCAGAGCAGGAGAAAACAAGCATGCTCCCTCCTTCATGGGACAGCCCTTCAGATATTTGAAGAAGGCTCTCCTGTCTCCTCTCCAGCTCCTCTTTCCCAGGCTAAACATCCCCAGCTCCTTCAACCCTTCCTCATTAGGCTTAGTTTTTAGATCCTTGATCCTTGCTTAGGGAAGCTTTTAATGTTTGATGCATTACTGAATTTTAATATTTTGTTGGAAGCCGCCCAGAGTGGCTGGGGAAGCCCAGCCAGATGGGCGGGGTATAAATAATAAATTATTATTATTTTTATTATATTATTATCCTCTTGGTCACCCTCCTCTGCACACCTTCCAGCTTGTCAACATCCTTCTTAAATTGTGGTGCTCAGAATTGGACACAGTATTCCAGGTGTGGTTTGAGTAAGGCAGGGTAGAGTGGGACTCTCACTTCCCTTGATCTGGACGCTAGACTTGATGCAGCCTAGAATCGCATCAGCTTTTTTCGCTGCTGCATCACCCTGTGGACTCAAGTTCAGCTTGTGGTCCACCAAGACCCCTGGATCCTCCTCACTAGTCAGCCAGGTGTTCCCCATCCTCTATTTGTGCATCTGCTTCTCCCTTCCTAAGTGCAGAGCCTGACGTTTGTCCCTGTTGAAATTCATTCTGTTAGCCTGGGCCCAATTCTCCAATCTGTTAAGGTCATTTTGAATCCCGATTCTGTCCTCTGCGGCTTTAGCTGCCCCCTCACGTCTTTAACTGGGATGCCCAGAACTGGACACGGGACTGGCCAAAAGTGCCGCGCCCATTCCTGGCTGGCTCAGCGCCACTCTCTCATGAGTTGACTCTTCTGCCGTGTTGTTTTAGCTGTGATTCTGGCATTGCGGAGGGTTGGGCTCGATGGCCCTCGGGGTCCCTTCCTGTTCTGCGATCGGCGCCTGCCAGAACGTAGCGCTTGCTGACGACTCTTAGCCAGAGGGTAGCTTCCTTGAGCGAGGGCTTGTGCAGTGAATGGGCTGCCCACTCTCCTTTCTCTCACTGCTCCTACTCCTGTCTCGCGCCGGCGGGCGACTGCTTTGACTGCAGAAGGTGAAGGAGAAGGAGGGCAGGTGTGGGAGCCCCCAGGGAGCTGCAGCCACCGTCTGAGGCAGCGCTGGGCTCCATGGCATAGCGGGATAGCGCAGAGCCCTTCTTCTGAGGTAGCTGGGGAGAGAGCCTTCCGTCCCTCAAAACAGCGTCATCCAAATTTGGTTGGGCTCGAACTCTTGGCCAGTGCAACCCAGAGGTTGACGGGAGCCGTGGAACCAAACCCCCGCAGGGTACCGGGGCGGGGGGGGGACTGGGGGGGGGAGAGCGGTCCAGGTAGTCCAGGGGTAGCAGTTCCAACGGCCCAGTGGCGGCAGCGGTTGATCTCTGTGTTCGTCCTCCACCCCTTCCCCCTCGGCAGGGACCCCCGCCCGTGCTCCCTTTGGGTTCAGGGGGAGCAGTGGCGGGGGTCGCGTTGCCTCGCCCCACCAGGCCTCCTCGGTGGTGGCACCTCCCCAGCTTCCTGTCCCGCCTACTCAGAATCCCCCCCTCTCTCTCAGCCGACGGGTTTGACCCAGAGGCAGAGAGAGAGAGAGGGATGAAGTTTGTGCTTGGGGTGATTCCTCGACTTTTCCCTCTCCCTTCTCTCTCTGCTTTCCTGGGGGGGGGGGGTTTGGGACCTGCCCTCGTCTCATCCCTCACCCCCGCCTCTCTCTCTCTCTCTCTCCCCCCCCCCGCTCTCCCGGGGTCCCCCACAGCGGTGCAGGAGGAGCGCCAGCGTGGGAAGGACAAGGACGGGGAGGGGGACCTGGCCGGGGGCGGGGCCAACGAGGACATGCCGGTGGAGAAGATCCTGGAGGCGGAGCTGGCTGTGGAGCAGAAGTCCGATCAGGGGGTCGAGGGAAGCGGCGCCACGGGGGGCAGCTCGGTGAGTGGGGGTGGTGGTGCTGCGGGATCAGAACGCTCGCCCCGGACGTTTGACGTCAACGAGGTAAATACCCGCCGGGGGGAGAGGGAAATGAGGCGCGGTGGGGGGCAGGGGGGGCGGCTCGCTGCCTCTGCTGTGTGGGCGGGAGGCGGCTGCGGTGCCCCAGGGCGGTGGAGGGCAGCTGGTTGGCAGGGTGTCGTTCAGCTGCGGAACTCCTTGCCGCAGCGGGAGAGGGTTGCCTGCCACCAGATTTGGGTTCCCTTTGGAGGGGCCCCCAAAGGCCACGCTCGGCCTCCACCGTCAGCGGCAGCAGATGCGCCCGGAACCCGTCTGCTGGAAGCCGCGGGAGAACGCCGGTCTTGGGTTCGAGTGCTGCTTTCAGGCCGGCCTCTGAGCTCTTGTGATGAAGGGCTGCGTTTAATCACAGCAATAGGGTGCTGGACTAGGTGGGCTGGAAGGGTATGGAGGGGCGCCCAGCTGGGTTGGGGAGTGGGTGTGAGGGGCCGAGCAGGGGTGGGTCGGGGGTCCCGGTCTCTTGCACAGCAGGGGTGTCTTTTGGGGGGGGGAGTGGTGTTTCTCCTGACGGAAACCTGCCCACCCACCGTCCCGGCCTCTTCCCTCTCTCTGCCCCTGCAGCCCAACGACCCCGTCACCAACATCTGCCAGGCGGCCGACAAGCAGCTCTTCACCCTGGTGGAGTGGGCCAAGCGCATCCCCCACTTCTCCGAGCTGCCCCTCGACGACCAGGTCATCCTGCTGCGGGCGGGTGAGTGGGGGACCCTCTGCGTACGCCCCTGCCAAATACCACGGCATTTGATCCAAATAGAGTCCTGGGTGAAGGCGAATTGCATTCCTGTTCTTCCCCTTCATCCCTTTCGGTCTCTCTTGCCACCATTAGGGCAGTGTTTTTCAAACTTTTCCCAACCTAGTTTCCTTCCTGTTGCCCCCCCCCATCCTACCATATTATTATTATTATTATTATTATTATTATTATTAATTCATACCCCGCCCATCTGGCTGGGCTTCCCCAGCCACTCTGGGCGGCTTCCAACAAAGATTAAAAACACATTAAAATGTCACACATTAAAAACTTCCCTAAAAAGGGGTGCCTTCAGATGTCAAACGTCAGGTAATAATAATAATAATAAATTTTATTTATACCCCACCCTCCCCAGCCAAGACTGGGCTCAGGGCAGCTAACAACCAATAATAAAAACAAGTTGATTGAAATACAACTTTATAAACAAGATTGAAATACAACACGAAAGCATTAAAATGCAGGCTCGTCACAGGAGGAGAAAGGAAAAAAGGTAGTTGTTTGACATCTGGTGGGAGGGCGTTCCACGGGGCGGGTGCCGCAACCAAAAAGGCCCTCTGCCTGGTTCCTTGTAGCTTTGCTTCTTGCAGTGAGGGAACCGCCAGAAGGTGGGAGCCTTTGTAAACAGTACATGTTTTATTTTTAATTTTTATTATTGTATAATTTCTATAATTTCACCTGTGGCCCCTTTGGAATATACTGGTGGTCCTGTGGCCCCTGGTTGATAAATGCTGCATATTAGGGAACAGAGAATCCCTTTTTTCTGTCCCACGTTGTCCGTTTCCATACAATGGGTATACAGTGGAACCTCGGTTGTCGAACACTTTGGAAGTCGAACTTTTTGACTTTTAAGCGCCCACAACCCAGAAGTGAACGCTTCCATTTTCGAACAGCTTCCAAGGCGTGATTCTCCATTTTTTCAATTGATTTTGCCGACCGGCATTTGCGCCTCGGTTGTCAAACTTTTCAGAAGTCGGAACAGTTTTCCGGAACGGAGTACGTTCAGCAACCGAGGTTCCACTGTGTAGCTCGAAAGAATATTGAAAATCTTTTTCCGTCTTGTTGATATATTCCAGCACTTTCTCCCCAAACTTACTAAGTGTGGGGCACAGTAAAAGCATCTATTTCCAACAAGCCCTGTCCGTATTACGTCTCCAGCAAAGAGCTGCGTTAGATGGGGAGTCCAGTAGATTCTAAATTGTATTTTCTGTTGTGTTAAGCCTCAACTTATGGCCTTCTGGAACTCCCTCCCACTGGAGACGGGGATGGCCGCCATCTTGGAATGCTTCGAATTAGGCCAGGGGTATCCAACTCCCAAGAGACTTCGATCTACTCCCAGGAAAAAAGGCAGTGATCTACCCATTATTTTGGAGGGAGTTCAGAGTTGTCAAGCTTCTTGGAGCAGGTCAAAGTTGTTGACCTTTTCTTAGGGGGCAGCTTCCCAAAGTTATTGACTTTTTTTGGGGGGGTCCCAAAGCTGTTGAGGGTTTTTTTAACAGTAAGTGTGAAGAATTGCAATAAATCGCCGCTAACAGGCGAACACAGCACTACAGAAGAGAAGAAAGGAACGCCCACTAAACGCGACTCTGGGAAAGAGCGAGGGAGCGGAGACATGATTCTAAACAACGCGAGCGATAAGGATCCCATGATCAACCACGGTCACCTGGGGATCGACCTGTCGATCGCAGTCAACCGGTTAGACACCCCTGAATTAGGCGAATCCCCCACCCTTCCTGGCTTTTTTTCTGGCCCACGTAGGACCCGTCTGGATAGTTAGCCTTGGTGAAGAGTTGACGTTTTCATCCCCCCAAAAATGTTTTTGAATTGATTTTCCCTTGAAATGAGGCTGCATTTTAATGCATTTCAACGTTTTAATGCTGTATTTGAATCTTGTTTTTATCTGTTGTTAGCCGCCCCAAGCCTGGTATTGGCTGGGGAGGGCAGGGTATAAATAAAAATTATTATCATTATCATTATTATCATTATTACTAACACCCCTTCCTTTCTCTCTCCAGGCTGGAACGAGCTGCTCATTGCCTCCTTCTCCCACCGCTCAATTTCCGTGAAAGACGGCATCCTTCTGGCCACCGGCCTCCACGTGCATCGCAACAGCGCCCACAGCGCCGGCGTGGGAGCCATCTTTGACAGGTGCCCGCCCAGGCGGGAGGGGGTGGCGGCCGCCCTCGATGGGGATGGGGAGGTGGGGCTTTTCCCTTCTGCTGCTGCTGACCCCCCCTGCCCTCCCTCCGTCCCGCCAGGGTCCTGACAGAGCTGGTGTCCAAAATGCGAGACATGCGCATGGACAAGACGGAGCTGGGCTGCCTGAGGGCCATCATCCTCTTCAATCCAGGTGAGCGGCACAGGAGGGTCCTGGGGCAGCAGGGGAGGGGGGTGCGCGGCCCCCTTCCTTCCCCTCGTCCTGGGGGGGGAGGGTTGCAAGAGGCCTGCGTCCAGGGAGGGTCTTGATTCCCTCTCCTTTCCTGAGCGCCTCCGTCTCCCTCTCCGGCAGATGCGAAGGGTCTCTCCAACCCCGGAGAGGTGGAGCTGTTGCGGGAGAAGGTCTACGCCTCCCTGGAGTCCTACTGCAAACAGAAGTATCCTGAGCAACAGGGCAGGTACGGGCAGGCGGGGATTTGGGGTGAGGGGCTGCGCTGAGAAGGCCCCGCAGACAGCGCCTGTGACAAAGTTCCCCGGGATATTTATTATTCGGTTTTCACATCAAATTTTGCAATCACATACCCAATACATAGGGACGCAGGTGGAGCTGTGCTCTAAACCACAGAGCCTAGGGCTTGCCAGTCGGAAGGTTGGCGGTTCGAATCCCCGCGATGGGGTGAGCTCCCGTTGCTCGGTCCCTGCTCCTGCCAACCTAGCAGTTCGAAAGCACGTCAAAGTGCAAGTAGATCAATAGGTACCGCTCCGGCGGGAAGGTAAACGGCATTTCTGTGCGCTGCTCTGGTTCGCCAGAAGCGGCTTAGTCCTGCTGGCCACATGACCTGGAAGCTGTATGCCGGCTCCCTCGGCCAATAAAGCAAGATGAGCGCCGCAACCCCAGAGTCATCCGCGACTGGACCTAATGGTCAGGGGTCCCTTTACCTTTACCCAATACATAAAAACAAGATTCCAGGGAATCTTCTGGGCTTCCATCCTCTGCTTTATGGGTCCTGTTGTTAATCATTTCCTCCTGCATCTTTTATTATAATCCAAATATTCTGGCGTGCTCTGGTCCATGGGGTCATGAAGAGTCGGACACGACTAAACAACTAAACAACAACAAATATTTTACATCCCCATTATGTCCAAAGTTCACCCTTATGCCGCAAGTGTTATTCCAGTCCCACTAACAGTTTTAACTGTTTACAATGGTTTTTGAGATAAATTATAAAGAGCAGTGCATGGAAACGCCGTTTACCTTCCCGCCGGAGCGGTACCTATTTATCTACTTGCACTTTGACGTGCTTTCAAACTGCTAGGTGGGCAGGTATTTACTGGGAGTTAAATACCAACAGTACATCATTTTCACATACCCTCCATGTCCACCACACATGATAAAAGTTGCCTTCTTTTTCCCCTACATTTCCAACATACATTTGACCCTGTTTTATGCATTTTTGCTAATTTACCGGGAGTTAAATACCAGCGGCACATCATTTTCACATAGTTTTCTTTCAGCGTGTAACATGCTGTAAATTTTAAATCCCAGTTCCATAACTTCTCTCCCCTGGGATATTCTCGCTCCCCTCCCGTGGAAAGGTCCAGAAACTGGCCTTTGCGGAGGGCAGGGCGGCCGCCGAGGGAGGCTCCCCTTGCGTCCTGTGGCAGGGAGTTCCGCCGTTGCCAGCCGGGGACTTTGACGCCTCTCCCCGCTTGTTCCAGGTTTGCCAAGCTGCTGCTGCGTCTTCCTGCGCTGCGATCCATCGGGCTGAAGTGCCTGGAGCACCTCTTCTTCTTCAAGCTGATTGGGGACACCCCCATCGACACCTTCCTCATGGAGATGCTGGAAGCCCCCCACCAGATGTCCTGACCGCCCTCCTCTTCCTCCTCCTCCCCCCAAGCCACTCCTGCCGACAGAAAGAAAGGGGGCGCTTTTTGTGGGGATTGCGGCAGGGGCTGGACTGGGTGCCCCTCACTCGCCTCTCTCTTCGCCACGACAACGGCCATCCCATCAGCTGCCTCTCTCCCCCCCCCCGACACGTCTGCCCCACACACCCCACACCGCCTCCAGAAGAGCCCCCAAGTGAGGTGACGTTGGCTTCCTCCACGGAAGGAGTTTTAGGGGTTTGGGACACGGGAGGGGTCGCTTTCTGGCCAGATCTCCCTGACACACTCCAGGGCTGTTGGGGGGCAGTTTACCTTTGGGGGAGCACCTCCTTGCCCCTCCCCCGCCGGGGTTTTTAAAGGCACGGTACTGTGTTTGGAAGGCAGCCCTCTCTTGGCCGTGGGTCTCCTGCGCAGCCCCCCCTGCCCACCTCTGAGCTTTGCAGGCTTTGGGGGTGAGGTCTTCCCTCTGCCCCACGGAGACAAACAGTGCTTGTGAGGGGCCAGGCTGGGGGCTTTTGGGGTGCAGCTCCCGACCCCAAAGAGGATTCCTGCGACAGACTTTATTTTAGAGAATGTGGGGAGGGGCCCTGTAACCTCCCGCCGACAGCCCCCTCACCCCAAAGTAGGGGGACTTTTTTTAAAAAAAAGAAAAAATGGTTTCTAAGGTATTTGGGGAACGCTAAGCTTGCAGGGGGAAGGGGTCGAGTTTTTACCTCAATAATGGTTATCAGAAAATACGGTTTCCTAGATTCTTGTCCCTCCCACCCCACCCCCCAGGTAGAGGCCTAAGCAAACCCCCTTTCCCGCTCCTCTCCTTCTCCCCCCACCCCCCCAAATATTTCTGGTTTAGCACTTTGGACGTGGCCCTGTTCCTCATCTATGCAAGGAGGTGTGGAGATTGGGGAGGGAGGGTGGGACAAAAGAGAGCCCCCCCCATGCATGTGTTTCTATGCCAGGAACCCCCCCCCCAAAAAAAAAACCCCCAAGGTTGAGGATGTTCCCATTTGGCCGCCTCCCCAAGAATGTCATGGACAACCTAGTCAGATGGATGGTATAGAAATAATAAAATTATGATTATTATTGGGGGGCAGAGCTGGGTTGATGCGGTTCATGTGGCCTCCCCACCCAGGCATCTGACCTCAAGGTCGGTGGGGAGGAACCCAGTGCTCCCCCCCCCCATATCCCTTTGGGTCTTTACTCCTCTATTCTCCTTGGGGTGTCCTGGTCAGGGGGGGCTGGCGGTGACCCACATGCATGGCTCTGCTCTCTATTTGGCCTCCCCCCCCCCCCTCAGCATGCCCATATTCATTCGCTGCTCCCCCCCCCCATTAATTTTATTTCTGTTATTAAACTCACACCCCCCAACTTGAATCTCTGCTTCTGGAACATGTTGATTTTAATAAAAGCTGCTCTTTCCGGAGGGGGGGTTCCCTCTCCCCCCTCTCCATGTGTGTGTGTGCTCTCCACTAATTTATCAGTCTCTCTCCCCCCCCCCCGACTCTGGCGTAGGAGCAACAAAACTGCTCCCCAGACCCTTTCTATGGGATTGCAGCAGAGTCTCTGAGCGCGCACAGAGGGCCTGCAAACATGCATGAAAGAGGCAGGGGGCTTGGGAACGGGAGGGGCTCCCCCCCTGTGCATCACGGGCTTCCCAGAAACATCCTGGGGGGGGGGGCTGTGGGGCCCGCAGTGGCTCGCAGACCCACCCTATATAATGCCTGTGGGGGTCCGAACCTGAGGTGGCAGACCAGTAGTGAGGCCTCAGTAAAGGAGTTGACCCTCTGGGTGGGGGCCAAACGCCCCTCCATGCAAGGGAACCTGAGGAAGAGGCTTGGAAATACATCTGCCCATCTAATAAGGCCATTCTCCAAATCTGTGGGGCAGCCTCATTTGGAATCCTGTGCCGGTTCCGGTTGCCTCACTTCAGGGAGGATATTGCAGGGTGGGGCAAGGGCAACTGAAATGACCGAGGGGGTAGAGACCCCCCTCCCCTTATGAAGAAAGGAGGCAGAGTTTCTAGTTTAGCAAAAAGGCAAGAGCTGACGTGGTCATAGTTGATTGGCATCTGTCTCTCAATGGAGGGCGACTTCGTGGGTGAAGTCAAAGGGTTGGCAGGTTGCAGTCCCTGCTGCTGTCGCTGCTGTAGTAGACCAAGAAAAAAGCACACCAAGAACTCTGGCCAATATAAAATTCAGTAGTGGGAGTGGTCCCTACTCGCACAGCAATAGTCAATCTACCCACACATATTACCCCTTAAAAACTTACACGACCCCTTAAAAATTAGCTGATGAAGGTGAATACATTGAAACAAGGCCCTGTCCTGGTTTCTGATCCATAATTGACTTCTGCTCAATGATTGAAACTAAGACCTTCACATCAAATCTGACTATGGACTAACATTAACTTATCTCTACTCATAAACTCTTATCTCTGATTCTGTAGCGAATTATTGTGTTATACATATCCTTATGAGTTTGAGTTTGTAATCTCTGTTGAAGTTTATAAACTCTATTTGAGTTTGTAATCCTTGTCAGAATACAGTGGTACCTCAGATTAAGTACTTAATCCGTTCCAGAGGTCCGTTCTTAACCTGAAACTGTTCTTAACCTGAACCACCACTTTAGCTAATGGGGCCTCCTGCTGCTGCTGCGCCGCCGGAGCACGATTTTTGTTCTCATCCTGAAGCAAAGTTCTTAACCTGAAGCACTATTTCTGGGTTAGCGGAGTCTGTAACCTGAAGCGTATGGAACCTGAGGTACATACTTTTGAATGGATTAGTTTTTGTTACAATTGACTATTGCTGTGCGAGTAGGGACCACTCCCACTACTGAAATTTATATGGCCAGAGAGCTTGGTGTGCTTTTTTCTTGGTATATTTAATAACAAGAGCTGCTGTTGTAGAGACAGAGATGGGAGAGACATGTTTTGTTGCAGCCAGGGCAGACGAAGGCGTCCGGCTGTGCAGAAGCAACCAGGGCATTCCTCGTAATTTTAGGTTGTGAACCGCCCTGAAATCTATGGGCATATGGCGGTAAACAAATTCAATTAATATTCATCATCAACTCTGCTCCTCCCAGCGGCCATTCCTCCTCTGGTCACTCCTACGGACCCACAACCTGACCGTGGTGGTCGGCAAGGGATTGCCAACCTTCACGTCCCTATTGCAGACCTCTTTGTAAGGCAGAGTGGCAGTATAAGAGGGCAGCCCCTGTGCTGGAGATCATTAGGAAAGAGATTGCAGAGCACGGGACTCTTAATCCCAGGGTTGCAGGTTTGAATCCCATGTCGGTGGGGGGAATTGCAGGCAGCTGGACTAACTTGCCCTCGTGGTCCCGACTCTAATTCCAAATCTGCCAATATCCTAATGCTGTTCTATAAATCTGCGGTGCAGCTGCCATTGGAGTCCTGTGTCCTCTTCTGGTCTCCTTGCCTAAAAAGGATGTTGTAGAGCTGGGAAAAGTTCAGGAAAGGGCTGCCCTGGGGTGAAGGAGTGGCTCCTCTTGGAAGGAAGGCTGCAGGGCTGGGGACTTCCAAGGAAGAAGAATGCTGGACGATTCAGATGAAATAAAGCCCTTCATGCAGCACATGGAACTCCCTGCCACAGGAGACGAGGATTGCCACCAATAGGAACTGCTTTGATAGAGATTAGGCAAATTCGGTTTCTGGAAGTCGCAGGAGGGGAGAAGCGTCTTGTGCCTGAATCCTCCTGGGGGGGGGCTTCACCTGAGGGCATCTGCTCAGCCCCTCCCAGAGTCCCTCTGGCCTGAGCCCCTTCCCGTCTTAACGCAAGTCCAGCACAGTCTGGCTTTCTCGGTGCAGTCTCCTCCGCCGCCACTGGGGGGCAGCCGTGCCCCGTGAGCTGAGCTGCGTGTGAGGGTTTTTTGGGTGGGGGGCGGCGTTGTCGGGTCTCCCACCTGCCACCCTCATTTCCTCTCCCCACCCTGCAAAGGAGGGTATTCTAGGTGACGCCGCCTCCGTGTCACCAGATCGCCTCCCCCCGCAAGATTCCTGTCCCATTCCCGGCTCCTAAACACCACCTGGAGTTTCTTCCTCTTGGCGTCCACTGGGGGGGGGGCTTGCTTCTCTCCCCTCCTGTCCTTTATTTGGCTCCCCCCGCCGCCGCTGGAAAAAAAAGAGGGATGGGAAGCACTGGTTACTTTTTCTTCATGCGTTGCAGGGGTTTGGGCTAGTTCCTCTCTTCTTCATCATCATCATCGCCCTCCTTCAGTCTATGGGGCACGCGCCTCCTGCCCCACTACTCTATAACTTCTTCCTGTGTGCCCCACACCTCCCCACATCCCTTGGCTGGGGCGCAACAGGTTCGGAAGAATGTGGCTCGTCTGCGCGGAGCAGCACCCGGACTGCTTCCTCTGAGCGCACGCAGAGCGCCGCAGCATCTTGCTGCCCAGTTCCCCGCGGCCTGCCTCCCGCAAATTTCAGACACGGGGGGGGGGGCAGGATGAAGGGTTTCCATTTCCAGGGACAGGCACCTCTTTCCCAACCCCAAAATTACGTCTCCCAGTTGGAAGGGAAAGTTGCTTTTTCTTTTGCAGAACAGCCTTTCTCTCTCCCCCCCCCGAAATTCCTGGCATATTTCTAAACCTCCCAAGGATGGATACGGCTCCTCCCGCCTCGCCAAAACAGACCTCGACAGGAAGCATCCCGCCTAAATCCGCAGGACCCCCACCTTTAAAAAAAATAAAATGCAAAATGGTCTTTTGGTGGCTTCCCTTGGCGCAATTCCTCTCCCTCCCCGCAGCTTGGAATCGTGGCCTGGGCTGACCCCCCGCCCCCCCCGGGCTCCATCCTGGCTCATGAATGGCGCTCAGTCCCTCCCCGAGCTGCTGTTTTCACAGGCCGGCCTGCCAACCGCCGCCCGCCAGGAGGGGGCACAAAGCCCGGCTTGTTCCACCCCATCAATGGGGGCCTGGTCCTGCCCCCTCTCACCTGGCGGGCCCGGCAGGCCACGCAGACCCTGGCAGGAGGGGGTGGGAGGCGGGGAGAAGAGCGAGGGGGCGCCGGAGGGTGCAGAGTGACCCCCACCTTCCTTTGAAATCCCCCCACCCAGGAAAAAATATATAGAAATATATTTGCTCTAAGGAGGGAAACACCGTTCAAAGCGCAACCACGCAGCAGCAGCTGCTCAGTGGGGGGGAGGAGGAAATGGAAGCCCCCCCATATCCTTATCTCCCCCCACTCACCATTCCCAAAAGACGTTCGGGGGCGCAGCAAATGCCTTGCGCCCCTTCTGAAATGGGAGCTTCCATCCAAAATATACACGCGCACCTCTGAACGCGCGCAGAGCGTGTCCCTGCATTTGCTGGGCCGCTGGCTGGCTTTGGGGATGGAAATTAAAAGACGCCTGCTTCTTGGGAGAAGAGCAATGACAAACCTGGACAGCATCGTAAAAAGCGGAGACATCGCCTTGCCGACAATGGTCTGTATCGTTAAAGCTACGGTTTTCCCAGTAGTCATGTATGGAAGTGAGAGCTGGACCATCAAGAAGGCTGATCACTAAAGGATGGATGCTTTTGAATTCTGGTGCTGGAAGAGACTCTTGAGAGTCCCATGGACTGCAAAAAGATTAAACCTCTCCATTCTGAAGGAAATCAGCCCTGAGTGCTTCCTGGAAGGACAGATCCTGAAGCTGAGGCTCCAATACTTTGGCCACCTCATGAGAAGAAAAGACTCCCTAGAAAAGACCCTCATGTTGGGAAAGATTGAGGGCACAAGGAGAAGGGGACGACAGAGGACTAGATGGTTGGACAGTGTTCTCAAAGCTACTAACATGAGTGACCAAACTGCGGGAGGCAGTGGAAGACAGGAGTGCCTGGCGTGTTCTGGTCCAGGGGGTCACGAAGAGTCGGACACAACTAAATGACTAAACAACAACAACGAGGATGGATAATATATATACGCGCGCGCGCAACCGGGCTTAGTCTCTGCCCTCTGAGTATGTGCAGAGTGTGCCCATGCATTTAGGAGACCCTGGTCCCATTTAGGATCGAGCTTCCAGCCCTGATATATATATATACGCGCGCGCGCAATCTGGCTCTGAACATGTGCAGAGCGTGTCGACACAACGGGGGGGGGGGACCGGCTGGCTTGGACAGAGTTTTGCTCTTTTAAAAATGTAGATATCAGACCCTCATCCCGTCTGCGGGGAGTGTCAGCGGCTCTCCTGGACATCTTCCCCGTATGCAAAAAATTTCTCTTTTTCAGGCGCTCCTCCGCTGAGTCCCACTTGGCTCCGGGCTGCTCTGCGGCCTCTCGCTCCCACCCCGCCCGCTGCCAGGAATAGCCCGGGCGCTTGGCCGCCTCCCGAGAGGACATTCCTGGCCTCGCCATCCTGGGGGACTCCACCCCAGAGGCATAAAGTGGGAGGGGGGCAGGGATACCGAAGTGTCCTGGCTCTTGCAGATGCGTCTAAGGCTCCTCTTCCAGCCAGCCACCTTCGTGGCCCTCGCTGCCTCTTGTGGCGGGGAGTTCCGCAGTTTCTATGTGCCAAGGCAGCCCCTCTTCCTTCCCATGGACGTATTAGGCGCTTGTTGCATTCCTGTCCCGCCGCCCTCGTTCAAGCCCCACAGCGACCCTGAGAGGTTGGGCAGGTCCCTTGGTCACCCAGGGGGGTTCCTGGTCTCCAAGTGCAAACTGGAACCCCTGGCCTCTAACCAATGCACCACACTGCCTCTCGAGGTGGCAGAGGAGGAGGAGGAAGTGGCTATTGGATAGGGTAGCTCAGCTCTGCCTCCTGGGCGCTCAATGCTTCTGAATCTCGGCTGCTGGAAACCCCAGGAGGAGACGGGGGTCTTGGGTTCGAATCCTCCTCGAGGGTTTCCCTTGGGGGGGGGCTCTGGTTGGCCACTGTAAGAACAGGAGGTCAGCAACCTTTTTCAGCCGTCCCTCAGGCCATGTGGGGGCTGGACTATATGGGGGGGACGGACGAATGAATTCCTATGCCCCACAAATGCATTTTAAATAAAAGCACACATTCTACTCATGTAAAAACACCAGGCAGGCCCCACAAATAACCTAGAGATGCATTTTAAATAAAAGCACACATTCTACTTATGTAAAAACACACTGATTCCCGGACCGTCCGTGGGCCGGATTGAGAAGGCGATTGGGCTGCCTACCCCTGACATAGATCGTCAGGGTGGAGTGGGAATTCGAACCCTGCTCTCCCGAGTCCTTATCAGGCACTCTAACCATTGTGCCACACTACCTCTCACGTAATAATAATAATTTATTATTTATACCCTGCCCATCTGGTGGGGTTTCCCAAGCCACTCCCAACCGAATATTAAAAACAACACAGCATCAGACATTAAAAACTTCCCTAAAAGCTGGGAATGTGGGCTTGGGAGAGCACAGTTGGCAAGGTCATGGTGCTGATAATGCCAAGGTTGTGGGTTCAATTCCTGACTTTCAGGGGGTTGGACTAGATGAGCCAGTGTGGTGTAGTGGTTAAGAGCGATGGACTCGTAATCTGGGGTTCGCTTCCCTGCTCCTCCACATGCAGCTGCTGGGTGACCTTGGGCCAGTCACACTTCTTTGAAGTCTCTCAGCCCCACTCACCTCACAGAGTGTTTGTTGTGGGGGAGGAAGGGAAAGGAGAATGTCAGCCGCTTTGAGACTCCTGAAGGGGAGTGAAAGGCGGGATATCAAATCCAAACTCTTCTTCTTCTTCTTCTTCCAACTCTATTAATTTATTGAATTTATATACCGCCCTATACCCGCAGGTCTCTGGGCAGTTTACAGAATAAAATCAAAATATAAAAACCACAAAATCCATAATCAAAATTTTAAAAACCCCACATTTTAATAGGGCACTGCAATTCTGTGTGAACCGAAGTCACAGAACTGAAGCTGCCTTCTCCTTGCCAAAGGAACTCCGGCTGACTCTAGCACTGGGCAAACGGGGGCCCTGCTTTTCTCTGGCCAGTTCCCTCGCTCTGGGCAGCTGTGGGGTGGGTGGGGTGCCTGCCCTCTGCCCCTCTCCACCACAGCCCCATCCCAAGCTGGCCAGCCCCACAACCAGGCCTTGGGCTGCTTTGAACAGTGATCGGGTTCCCCTCCCCTCTGCATCTGCAGCTCAGAGCTACCCAGGGAGAGAAAATAGGTGGGCCCATATGACAGATATAGATCGACGTCTCGTGGCCGGATCCAGGCAGCGCTCCAGGGCTGCAATTAGGGCCAGGCCAGGGTGGGAATTGCAGGCTGGCTGGCCAGGAGGGAAGGAGCGAAGGGGCCGCGAAACGGCAAAGGCAAGTCACTGTCTACAAGTGCGCAGAGATGCGCTTTGGAATTGAGGTTGAATCCTGACCAGACAGATGTACTGTTTTGGGGGGACAGGGGGTGGGTGGGGGTGAGGGACTCCCTGGTCCTGAATGGGGTACCTGTGCCCCTGAAGGACCAGGTGTGCAGCCTGGGAGTCATTTTGGGCTCACAGCTGTCCATGGAGGCGCAGGTCAGTTCTGGGTCCAGTCATACAGTCATACCTCATGTTACATTTGCTTCAGGTTGAGCATTTTCGGGTTGCGTCCCATGGCAACCCAGAAGTACCGGAAAGGGTTACTTCTGGGTTTCACCGCTCTCTCATGCATAGACGCGCAAAATGACGTCATGCGCAGAAGCGGCGAATCGTGACCCGCGCAAGTGCAGACATGGGTTGTGTTCTGCTCATGTTTGCGAACAGAACGGATCCCATTCGCAACCAGAGGTACCACTGTATATTGGATATGTGATTGTGAAACATTGATTTGAAAACCAAATAAACAAAGCATATATATATATAAAGGTAAGGGACCCCTGACCATTAGGTCCAGTCGTGACCGACTCTGGGTTTGTGGTGGTCATCTCGCTTTACTGGCCAAGGGAGCCGGCGTACAGCTTCCGGGTCATGTGGCCAGCATGACTAAGCCACTTCTGGCGAACCAGAGCAGCGCATGGAAACGCCATTTACCTTCCCGCCGGAGTGGTACCAATTTATCTACTTGCACTTTGACGTGCTTTTGAACTGCTAGGTTGGCAGGAGCAGGGACCGAGCAAAGGGAGCTCACCCCGTCGCGGGGATTCGAACCGCCGGCCTTCTAATCGGCAAGTCCTAGGCTCTGTGGTTTAACCCACAGCGCCACCCGCGTCCCTTATATATATCTATACACACACACACAAATATATATACACATAAAGGGTGTTGTAGAAATTCAGTCAATGAAACAAAATACCCCTGGGCCTCTCTTGCACGCGGTCAGAGATGGGCTCCGGGACCCGATATGCAGAACCAGATTGACTTGCCACCATGCGGAGTCCTCAGGGCCCAACCGCCCCCCAATGTGCCCCATTGGCACCTCCTTTCTGTTCTTCGCATCCCACACGCTGCCCCCTCCCAGCTGAGCTGCTCCTTGCGCTTCCCGCAGAGAGAGGAGGCCGAGAGGCTAATTACAGGGACCCTGATTATAGTGCCATTTTTAGGAGCTGGCCAGGGAAGCCACTGCGAGGGAGCCACGCCCAGCCTGCCCAGAGATGGCTTCCCTGGGCAAAAGCGGTGGTCAAGGGCAGGGCAGGACTCCTGTGCCAGTCACCGTGGAACCCAGGCGCTCCTGCCTGGCAGATGTGGCGGTGTGACCGAGTTGGGCAAGGAGAAGGCCCTGGGAGACCACCCACCCCACATTCCCTGAGACCCATAGGCTCACTTGGGGGAATACGGCCCCTGGCACTGCGTGGAGCGGTGGTTCCCAAAGGGGCACCTCCTGCTCTGTGGCAGGCCCTTCGTGAAGAATCATACAATGGTTGGAGTTGGGACCCCCCAAAGGTCATCTAGTCAAACCCCTTGCAACGCAGGAATCGCCACTAAAGTACCCATGACAGATTTAGGAAAGATTTAGAAAACTTATTGATTAGAGTGTTTGTGTGACCTTGTATGGGAAAAATACGGAATAACAGATACAACCTTGCTTAAAATGTATATAGGAAGTGCAGTGTAAGCCATGGAAGTCAATCAATGAAGTTTTATTATTATGTTTGTATTGAGATATTTGTAGAATAAACTTGGAAGAAATTCTTCCAACTTTTCTTCCTCTTTTCTCTTTATTTCCCCCCTTTTCTTCTTCTTTTCTCTTTTGTTCCTTTTTTCATACATATGTGCTCATTTGAAATAGGTATGTATGTATTTGCAATATTTTGCTTATATTTTGTAACAATTATGTTTTTTAAAAAATAAAGTATCCATGACAGACGGCTGCCCAATTTCTGCTTAAGAACCTCCAAGGGTGGTAGAGCTCTTGCCACAGTGGAACAGCTCTTGCCACTAGAAAGTTCTTCCTGAAGTTCAGTCAGAGATATATAAATATATCTATATCTCCAGGTGAGAGGAGAGTCTTCTTCCCATCTCTCGAGGGCTGCCCCAGGGAAGACGGAGCAAGCTGGTTTCCTCCTGCTCTGGAGGGTAGGACTCGAACCCGTGGCTTCAAGGGCCAAGAAGAGAGATTCCAATTCAACATCAGAAAGAACTTTCTGACAGGAAGAGCTTTTGGATAGTGGGACAGTCTCCCTCCAGAGGTGGGTTTTAAGTAGAGGTTGGGTGGATGTCTGTCAGAGATCCTTTGTGAGATTCCTGCATCACAGGGGGTTGGACTAGATTACCCTGGGACCCCTTCCAATTCTATGATTCCATTTTGTGCTTTGCTTGTTGTTGTTTAGTCGTTTAGTCGTATCCGACTCTTCGTGACCCCCTGGACCAGAGCACGCCAGGCTCTCCTGTCTTCCACTGCCTCCTGCAGTTTGGTCAGACTCATGCTGGTAGCTTCGAGAACACTGTCCAACCATCTCGTCCTCTGTCGTCCCCTTCTCCTTGTGCCCTCCATCTTTCCCAACATCAGGGTCTTTTCCAGGGAGTCTTCTCTTCTCATGAGGCGGCCAAAGTCTTGGAGCCTCAGCTTCACGATCTGTCCTTCCAGTGAGCACTCAGGGCTGATTTCCTTAAGAATGGATAGGTTTGATCTTCTTGCAGTCCATGGGACTCTCAAGAGTCTCCTCCAGCACCAGAATTCAAAAGCATTGATTCTTTGGCGATCAGCCTTCTTTATGGTCCAGCTCTCGCTTCCATACATCAGTACTGGGAAAACCAGAGCTTGAACTATACGGACCTTTGTCAGCAAGGTGATGTCTCTGCTTTTTAAGATGCTGTCTGATTATTACAAATGTAATAAATAGCAAATAAAATAAAAGCCCATCCCAGACTCTCGAGGGAGCCTAAATGAAGCCGGAGAGAAAAAGCATAGAATTGTCAAGTTGGGAGGGACCCCCAGGAACTAACAGCTCAGAGTCAGAGAGCCTGGAGGTTGCCCAACTCCAGCTCTTTCGGACTACAACTCCCATCAGGCACTGCCCTTCTGGGGGCTGATGGGAGTTGTAGTCCAAAAACGCCTGGAAGGGGCTGCCAGGTCGACAGTCCTGCCTGGACACCCAGGCCGGCTGCAAGTGAGAGTCCAGAGGCCGCAGAGGGAAGCAACTGTGCCCACAAGGGAGGAGGTCCTGTGTTCGAATCCCAGCAGCTCCAGGAAAAGGATCTCAGGAGGTTGGGGCTGGGAGGCGACCTCACTCTGCCCGGGGCCCCGAGGGAATGTTGCTGGTCTGTAGAGAAAGACAGGAGCCAGCGGGTGTGAGGCATGAGCAATAAGGGCACCCCGGGGCATGTGCAGAGTGCTTTCTCCAAAGCAATGACACACACAAAGACACAAGCACGCATATGAACGTATCAAGTATGTGCACAATAAAGGTAAAGGAATGACGCGCAAAGTTATTTTAAACCATGTTTAATGATAAACCCAGCCGACCAGAGAACCTTCCTACCAGAGGAGGCGTTTGAAGCTGGCAAGATAGACGGGGAGGGGAGGGGGCGTCACGACAGAGATTTATAAACTGATGCAGAGGACTTTGGAGGGGGGGCGACCCCTGGAAGTCCAGGGGGTCCCAGAGGGGAGGGGACAGGCCAGGCTTAGGATTGGTGGGGGTTCCTGCTGTTGGCCAACATTGCCTGCCTTTGATACCCGCAGGCCGGGGAGAAATCCAACCGGTGGAGCTTCATGGAACACCTGGCCGGCTCCGATCGGTCTGTGGCGGGAGGGAGTGGCCGCGCCGTCCGGGGCTGGCGGCCGGGGCGTGTCGGGGGCCGTCCAGGCGGCCCGGAGGCAGGGCTGGAGGGGGAGCCAGGCTGCCTGGGGCTGCGGCGGGGTCGGGGCTGGAGCGAGAGAGCGGCCGCGCCTCCCTTTCCCTCAGCCAGACGGCGCAGAGGACCGACGGAGCGAGCCGCCCGCCGCCGGCCTTGCCTCCCTGCCTGCCTGCCTTCCTCCCGCGCCCGCCCCGTCCGCATGGGCCGCCGCTGACCGTCGCCCCTCGCTCGCCCGCCCGCCGCTCGCCATGGAGGTGGCGCGGCTGCTCCTGTTGCTGCTGCCCTGCCTGGCCGCCCGAGCAGGTAAGAGCGCGCCGGACGCACCGACTGGCACTTCGGAGTGGCGGGTGCGGCGCGCTTTCCAGCCCGCGCCGAAGGTCTCCTGCGCCAGCTGGGGGGCCTGGCTTGTGCGCCCCGTCGAGGAAGAAGGAGTCAGTTTTCTTCTTCCAGAATTGGGGGCGCCCTCTTCTTTGGACAGAGTGGGGGGGTGTCGGTGCTTAGAGTCCAGGGGGTTGCAATTTGGATGGATGTGAATTGGGGAGACCGCGCCGTCTAGGACGGAGGTCCGGATTTTGGCGCAGCAGAAGACCCCGGCTGGGGGGGACTTGGCGCTGACGGTTCTTCTGCAGACCCCTCTTGGAATCAGGGTGTGTGTGTTGGGGTCCCCCACGGGAAGAAGGGCGATGGCGCGCAGGTGAGGATAGCAGCCAGGAGGCCAGGGTGATGGGCGCACGGAGACCTCCTGTTGGAAACGGTGGCGGGCGAATTTGTGGCGGTGAAAAGGGGCGATATGTTGGGGTCCCTCCGCCAAGGAGGGCAGGTGAGGCGCCGCAGCAGGACCAAACTCCCCACTAGCGGATTCAAGCGAGTTTTTGCGCTCAGGACTCCGGCGCCAAGAGCGTTTGCAGGTGTCGCTGCAGCCGCGCACCGAGAGGCTCTTGCGGGGCTGGAAGTTTAACAGGCTGCCAGGACGTGGAAGGGGGGGGCTTTAACTGCAGAGGAGGTTGCCCAAGTTTTGGGGAGCTGCAAGATGTTCCTGGGGGGCGCAAGAGGTCTCTTTACCTGGCCTACAGTCAGCCTGCTCGAGGAAGCGCTGGTGTGACTTGGGGGGACACGCTCCCCGACTGTCACTCATCCCATCTCTGCCCCCCCTAATTTATGCAGCTCGCCCCGCGCCCACCAGGTGGCAGTGCCCCCCCCCCAGCGCCACGTGGTGATCTGGCTCTGTTGCTCCGTCTATCCTCCCCCCCCCAAAAAAAAGTGGCCCTAGAGGTATGGGCTGTCGTCGGGTGTACATTTCATGAACCCCCATCTCGCCATAAACAATTACCTTTTGGGAACGGGGGTGACGGGGTGACCTGCGCCATTTTCATAACCCCCCCCAAAAAAAACCCTGTGGAGTCTGTTTAATACGTTTATTTCTCCCCTTCCCAAAGAAATCTCAGCGCTGGAGATGCTCCGAGTTAGTCTGAGGGTCCCTGCGGATTTTTTTGGGGGGGGGGCTGTTGCTGAAATGTGCCTGTATGGAGGGTACCCCCTTTTGCTATTGCAGAGGGAGAGCCCTTAAGCCTTCGGATTTTTTCTGAGGGGTGCTGTCAGTTCCTTTTTTTCCTAATGCAGCCCTCCCATCCCCCCTTGTTGTTGTTTTTTTGGGGGGGGTGTCAGTCCCCTTTCCTTTCCGCAGGGGGCTCCCTTCAATCTTGAGTTCTGGGAAGCAGTCACCTTTTGCTGTTGCGGGGGGGGGGGCGGGTGTCCTCCAGCGTTGGCTTGGGGGGTGTCCGTCTCCTTTGGCTACTGCGCAGGAGCCCCCTTCAGCCGTGGGGTTTTTTTTTGGGGGGGGTCTCCGAAGACCAGTTTGGAGAAGAGGCGAGGGGGTCTTTCTGCAGCGGGAGGGGGGTCTTTGCGGACGCCGCTGCCTCGCTCCTGCTGCTCCTCCTCCGCTGCTGCCCGGTCTACCTCGGGCCCCCCCCCCCCGCTCTGCCCAGACAGGGCGGCCTTTGTGCGCCCGAACAGTGAGCGAGTGTGCGCGGCCGCCCGCCCGGGCGGAGGTTGTTTGCCTTTGGGCGGCGGCCCCCGAAGCAGCTCCTTGGCCGCCGAGACCCCCCCCCGCTCCCCACACCCCCGCAGGGCGAGGAGGCGCTTGCATGGGCACCCCTGCCCCCCTAAATCGACGGATTTATCCCCCGCCTTCTGCACATTCTGCCCGACCCTGGGAACAGGCAGGCAGGAGACCAACCGGGGCAGCCTCCCCGCAAAACGGACGGGGGGTTGCCGTACGGCACCGGGCGGGTTTCTGCCTGCTTCCTAGGCGTCAGAGCTGCCTTTGAATGGCACCATGAGAAGAAGGAGAAGGCAAGAGGGGAGGGTCTGGACGCCTGTCCCCCCACAAAAAAAACCCCATAAGTGGGTCCTCACCACTTTTCGAAGAATTTCTCCCTCTTCTGCGCGTTCGTCCCGCCCAGGTTGCGGGGAACAGACAGGCGGGAGATCAACCGGTGCAGTTCCAGGTGTGGGGATGCCCGCAGCACCTGCCGGACTTCTGTCTGTTTCTAATGCACAAGAGCTGCCTTTTAAAGCGACCCCCCCCCCTGCACTAAAGCAGCGACTTTTCCTGCTTTCCACCACTTAAATTGGGGGCGGGCTGCAGTGGGGCTGTGCGATGCACCCCCTTTCTAACAGGTGCCCTGCTCCGTCCCTTTCCTTCTCCTCCTCAATAAGTATTTTACGGTTTGCCCCGGACCTCCTTCTGAGGGGTGTTGCTGTCATCAGGCTTGGTCCCTGGGAGCAAAGGAGAGCTGGGGTGCTGGCTCCCCCTTGCGGGAGGCGGCCCCAGAGAGAGGCTGGACAGCTCCTTCTTTGAGGAGGGTCTTGCCGGCCGCTTGACCTCCAGGGACCCTTTTGAACTCAGAGGAGCCAAGGATGCACTGGAGGTCTCCCGGGCAGCTACCTGCAGGGGGCGCACTAGCGCTGGCTTTCCTGCAACCGGAAGGGGGCGCGCGCGGGAGCAGCTGGCCGGCAAGGCCCTCCTTGCTCCTGGGATGCCATGAGCAACCTTCGGAACTCATTGGCGCATGATTTCATCACTGTCACCCACCATCACCTAAGAGCTGCTCAACGGTGGCTTTTCTTTTTAAACCGGGGTTGGGCTGGATGACCCCTGGTGGTCCCAGTTCCACAACTGCGTCGTCTTGAACGTATGTGCTGCAATGGGGCTTTCAGGAAATAATAGATCCTGGTCTGGGCAGCTCAGGGGCTCTCAGGCCCCCCCCCCTGCAGCCTACAGGGACCCAGAATGCTGAGTATAAGCAGGATTTTTGGTGGGGGGGGGATTTGGGGGCCACAGATCCCCTTTTTGTTGAGTTTCAGGGAGGGGAAAGGTTTGGACTCTGCTGGCAAAGAGAACAGTCTAAGCCGGGTTGTTGATGCCAAAATGCAAATTTGCCCCCAACGCTTAGCAAAAGGATGCATGGAAGAGACAGGCAGGAAAATATGCCCCTCCCCTCCCACCCCGTTAGTTGGACCCCCTCCAGGGTCCGACTCCAAAAAGAGCTCAGGATGAGCTGTGTCAAGAGAGGGTTGGGTTGCCATGTTTTCTTCCGGGCAGAGCTCCTGTGCATTTAATAGCTGTCGCGGAGAAACTTTTCCTCCTGGCCAAGGGGGTGGGTGGGAACTGTGCCTGTTGGTCTCCTGCCTGTCACACGGATGTTTTTATGGGGATAAACCAAGTGATAAAATCAGAGCGTAGGGGGGACTTCACCTGTAGGGTTTATGCCTGGCAGGCGACTCCAGAAATAAGTGGCTCATCTTTCTGCCAAGCCTGTTTGCAAGCAGAAGACCCACCAGCCTCCTTTTTGACAGCCACCTGAAAACTCTGCCGTACCCATTTGATGGAATGGCACCATTGAGGCCCTAGGTGTCCCATGTTGAAATCTGGACTGAGTTTCCCCACAGGAGGCCTGAAAACCCACCATTTTGGCCCTCTGATGGGGGGCAAAGCAGCGCTGAGCCCCCACTCCACCCATATATATACCCTTGGGATCCCTTCACCTCTCTCCCTCGTGTGAAGGAGGAGCGGCTAAATGAGAGGCAAAACTCTGAAAGGCTTTCCTGTTGAATGCCTGCCTGTAATGGGAATACTGGCAGGAAAATCTTCATGCATGCCTGTGGTTGGACATTAGCATGCCCTTACTCCCAGGAAGCCTGCTGCCCAGGCGTCACCAGAGAGTTTAAAAATAGCTAATTGAAAACTAGACAAATATACAAATAACACCAGGTCAACCATCTCTCAGTGGGGACGTGCAGACTTCGGAGTTGACACAGAGCTCTTTGTCAGGAAGGATAGTGGAAGGCCTTTCCCTCCAGACCCAGAGCCAAGCTGCTTGCAAGAGGAAATGCACGCAGACGGAGACAATGACATCAGGGGGGAAAAACACATTTCCACCTCACTGAGCTGCCTTCTGCTGGCTCCAGGTCCCAGCCATGTCCCTGACAAAGAGCTCTGTGTGACTCCACAAACTTGTGCTTGTTGTGAGTCATGAATGATGCAACTCCCAGCCAGAGCAATCCAGGCCTGTTCAGATCACAGAACTGCAGAGTTGGGGAGGGGTGCCAAGGGTCATCTACTCTAACCCGCATCCAATCTGCATCCGAGGCCAGCTGGGCACAGCAGAAGGGTGTTTATAAGTCGGCATCCAAACTCAGCGAGGGACGTGAGCTTGCTTTGGCTGCATAATCTCATTTGTTTTTTGTCTAGTTTGAGGCAAACTCTCAACTCCACGTTTTCCAGAGTTGAAAATCCCCATTCACACAACAATATGTCATGGAGAACTGTAGAATAATAATAGCCAGTGCTCTCGTTTTGAAAAGATCTACCCATACTCTGCAAATTAAAAAAACCAGACGATACGATGCGATTGAGTTTAAATGTTTCTTCGATTGCCCTTGGGTCTCCCTGCCACACTTGCCATCGTCTCCTGGCAGAACCACCGGCCTCACCCGTTCGGAAAGCCAAGCCAAGTGTCTCTCCAGGAACCAGAGTCGCCTCAGGGTTGCCTTAGCCCAGCAGGCTGGCTCAGGAAGAGCGGGCCTGCAGGCCATTTCCATCTAAAGGTGTTGGCTGCATCCCTCCTGGCCGCCGTTTCTGACCCTCCTTTTTGTGGTTCATAAAAGGAGGGCCTCGGATGGTGCCCAAGGAGTGGCCAGAGAGAAATTCGCTTCCCTTTCCTCATATTGCAACTGGGAGGGGAGAAAAGGAGAAGGACGTCACATTAACATGTCCCCAGTCGTGCAGGGACAGGTTATTATTATTATTATTAATTGAGTTTATATACCACCCTATACCCGGAGGTCTCCTGGCGGTTCACAGGAAAGACCACAATGTATATAATCAGAATAAAAACAGCAGCCCAATAACACCCCCCCAAGAGCCACATTTTAAAACGGTGTGGGATGTTTCATCAGGTCAACCAGAGGCCTGGTTCAAAAAGAACGTTTTTGCCTGGTGCCTAAAGGTGTGTGATGAAGGGGCCAGGCGAACTTCCCTGGGGAGAGCATTCCACAGAAGGGGAGCCACTGCAGAGAAGGCCACAAGAGGAGGAGGCACACGAAGGACGACCTTGGGTGATGAACTCAGGGTCCGGGTAGGGAAGTGGCGGTCCTTGAGGCATTGCGGTCCTGATCTGTTTAACGTTCAGAAGTGCAGGGTCCCTTCTGGAGAGTCGCAGCTGCCTCCCTCACGGCCTTTTAACCCTTTTAACATTATGCAACCTTCTAAGAGCATACCCAAAAAACCAACCCTTACAATAATGTAATAATATTAATATTAAAGGAGGCATTGCAACGTTGTACATGGGCAAATGGTTTGCTTCTATCAATGAGTGACTTGATCTGTGCTTTTCTTGAAGTTACTGTGTTTGAAATTGATGGTTCAGGCCAATGGCCCGTGGAGTCCAGCATCCTGTTCTCACAGAGGCCACTCAGATGCCTATTATGGGAAACCTTCATGTGGGATCCCAGCGCAAGAACAACTCTCCATAGCCCTCTCCTCCTCCATGAACCTGTCTAATCCTTTTTTTTTAATCGTCCAAGTTGGTGGCCATTGTGGCAGGGAGTTCCACTGTTTAACTCTGCACTGCATGAAGAAGTCCTTTCTTCTATCTGTCTTGAATCTTCCAACATTCAGCTCCCTTGAATGCCACCAGTTCCAGCATTATGAATGATGATGATGATTATTATTATTTATATCCTGGCCTCCCCAGCCAAGGCCGGGCTCAGGGCGGCTAACAACCAATAATAAAAACAAGTTGATTGAAATACAACTTAAAAAACAAGGTTAAATGCAACATTAAAACATTAAAATGCAGCCTCATCACAGGAGGAGAAAGGAAAAAAGAAAGAGAGGGAGGGAATCAAACTGACTCCAAGCCAAAGGCCAGGCGGAACAACTCTGTCTTACAGGCCCTGTGGAAAGAAATCAGATCCTGCAGGGCCCTGGTCTCATGAAGCAGAGCGTTCCACCAGGCGGAGCCAGAGTTGAAAAGGCCCTGGCTCTGATTGAGGCTAATCTAACTTCCTTAGGGCCCGGGACCACTAGGGTGTTGTTATTTATGGACCTTGAGGCTCTCCGTGGGGCATACCAGGAGAGGCGGTCCTGTAGGTAAGAGGGTCCTAGGCCGTGAAGGGCTTTAAAGGTCAAAACCAGCACCTTAAGTCTGACCCTGTACTCCACCGGGAGCCAGTGCAGCTTGAAAAGCACCGGGTGAATATGCTCCCCTGGCAGAGACCCCGTGAGGAGCCTCGCTGCAGCATTCTGCACCCGCTGGAGTTTCTGGGACAGCTTCAAGGGCGTAGAGCGAATTACAGCAGTCAAGCCTGGAGATGACCGTCGCATGGATCACTGTGGCCAGGTCGGGGCGGGAAAGGTAAGGGACCAACTGCTTGGTGCGGCGAAGGTGGAAAAATGTCGCCTTGGCTGTTGCTGTAACCTGCGCCTCCATGGAAAGGGAGTCGTCAAGGATTACACCCAAACTCTTAACGGAAGGCAGTGGCACTAATTGGGCCCCCGCAAGAGAAGGGAGTTGGTCCCTCATCCCCATGCCATCCCGACCCAGCCAGAGGGCCTCTGTCTTCGAAGGATTTAGTTTCAATCGGCTCCCACGAAACCATCCAGCCACAGCTTCCAAGCATCTGGTCAGTGTGTCCGGGGCCCAGTCGGTGTGGAAGGAGAAAAACTTCTCTCTCTCTCTCCAGGCCAGACATAGTTTTATAAATTTCTCTCAAATCCTTACTTACCATTTCTCTAACTAAAAAGTCCCTTTCTCCACAGGGGAGTCGCTCCAACCCCTTTATCGTTTTGGTGCCTCTTTTCCCCCAACTCTAAACCCCAAATCTCTCTACTCCCCACCTGGACGTGAGTTCCTCGGGGAAGGGGGACCCTTGCATCTTTCCCACCCCGAGGCTGGAAAGGGGCCGCGCGCCGCGAGGGCGGCCTATAAATAGTCTGGGATATATATATAATAGGAAGGAATGCCGCCGAGGCGCGCGTCAAAGGCGGTGGCGCGCCTGGCCACCCACGCGCGTGTCCCCTGCCGGCACACGCGCGCGCCACGGTTCACACGTCCCATCGCAGCGCACTGCGGGCGAGGCGGCGTCTCCCCTCCACGTTCACCCAGTTTGTGGGGCCGAAGCCGAGGCTGGTCTTTCTGCTAAACTCATCTCTGCCCGTTGCCTGGAGAAGGAGGCTGTGATGTGTGTATATATATATATATATATATATTTAATAATTTGGGTTTAGGACTCGAACTTGGATGGTCGCCTCTTTGGAATTCCAGCCCGGGCACGCGGAGCCTTGGCTGGCTCAGGATGCGTCTCCCACCCCAGCCTTGCCTGGTTTTGCTCCCACCCCCCACCGCCCCACAATACAACAAAGCTTGGGATCCCCATCTTCATATTTTTTCATGGGAAGGAATGTGCAAACAGCCTCTGGACCGCAGAATTAATTCCCCCCTCCAGCTTGGTGGTTTTTTGTTTTTTGTTTTTTGCAAATGACTCCACCAGGCCTCGGCATCCTAAAAAAGGGGGCGCCCCTCCCGGCCGGCCTTGTCTGCTTTTAGAATCATAGAACTGTTGGAAGGGACCGAATGGTCATCTAGTCCAACCCCCTGCAGTGCAAGAACTATAGCTTAAAAATTGAATTATGAAATGCACTCCCTCGTTGCTTCCCCCAGCAAGGCTGCACCCCCGATTTTTCCCCCTGGGAACGAATCTGGAAGCAGATTCTAGACCCCAGACTCCCACCCCACACTTGCTCCTTGCAAATGACTCCGCCAGACCTTGGCTTCCTAAGAAAGGGGGCGGCGCCTCCCCTCAACCCCCCCCCCCTCCTCAGCAGGTCGCGCCTGGAAAAAGTCGTTTCTTTCCGGCTGCAAATTCCAGCCGGCGAAATTGCGAACAGCTGGCCGTCCGACGCAGCTGGCGGGAGGGGGGGGCGTGTTGTTGAGCAGGACACCTGGGTTCTGGCGGGTGGGAGGAGTATGCAAAATGACCAGTGCATTTTCATTGATTCATAAAATTGTAGAGTTGGAACTAGGGACCCCCAAGGGTCATCTAGCCCAACCCCCCTGCAGCAGGAATCTCAGCTAAAGATAAAAGGAAATTTTGTGGGCCAGGTTTCTTTTTCGGGGAATTGCTATCCATAACATAATCACGATCCTCGCTCAGGAAGAAAGAGAGCGTCTGGTTTGATCCCAAATCCTTTTATTACCCAAAATTTCTGGCTGTTGCTTCTTGGAGACGGAGCAGGGAATTCTCCCCCCACTCAAATTCTTTCCTCTGAGAGCTCCTTCGAAGCTTAAAATCCAAGGCCTGCTAAGTTGGATCGGACCCCCCCCCCAGGCCTTCTCTGCCCTCTCGCGGGGGGTTGGACTAGATGACCCCGGCGTCCCTTCCAGCTTGAGGGGTCCATGATTCTATGAATCGGGCAGTTGCCTCCGAAGGCAGGAGAGGTTGGCTTCACGCAGGCGCAGTCTCAGATGGACGAGGGACCTTTAGTTCTGGCCTCTGATCCATGGGGCAAGACCTACCAGGGATGGGCTGCTGGCCCTGGCACTCCTGTGCGGATCGTGTTCTTGCTAATAAAAAGTTAACTCCGACTTGCACACTCCTGACAGCATCCCCAAAGAGCCGTAGCTGCCAACCAGTGGAGGCTATATTGAGTTCCCCGGAGCCATGATCTGACTCAGTGGATAGCAGCTTCTGGCGTTCCTTGCAGATGCCAGGGCCATTTGGACAGCGATTTAAAATTTATCATACCTGCCATGAATGGCTCAGGAATGCAATACCTCCAGGACCGCCTCTTCCCATATGAACAGACCAGGACCCTGAGATCATCTTCTGAGACATTCCTTCCTGTGCCGCCTCCTCCAGAGGTCCGGAGGGTGGCAACACGAGAACGGGGCCTTCTCCGCAGTGGCTCCCCATCCGTGGAATGCTCTCCCCAGGGAAGTTCGTCTGGCGCCTTCATTATACAGCTTTAGGCGCCAGGCAAAAAGGTTCCTTTTAACCAGGCCTTTAGTTGACCTGATCAACATCCCATACCCTTTGAAAATGTGGCTCTTTTTTTTGGGGGGGGTGTCATTGGGTTATTGTGTTTATTTTGATTTTATATATTGTGATATTTTTTGAGACCTCCGGGTATAGGGTGGATTATTATTAGTAGTAGTAGTATTATTATAATGAAGAAAGGGGTGACTCTTCTATTGCTGAAGAATCATAGTCATGGCATCATATTCTTACAGAGTTGCAAGGGACCCCTAGGGGTCCTCTAGCCCACCCCAGCAATGCAGGAATTGCAGCTAACAATCTAACATCTATATTCTGTTGGAAGCCACCCAGAGTGTTTTGGGCGACCCAGTAGGATGGACGGAGTATAACTATTATCATTATCATTGGCATCATTATCAATATTCATTATTATTATCATCATTATTATTATCAGTGCTTTTTTCTTTAAAAATGTTTAGGGGTACTCTCATTTGGACTCCAGAAAACCACCATTTTATCATTCAAATCGGGAAAAATAAAGACAGTAATTGGACAAAAGTACAAAGATCCACAAAATGTTTAGGGGTATGCCTACCCCTGCGTACCCCCAAAAGCACTGAATATTATTATTCTTGGTTTTCGTCCTGGAGATTCCCTAAATTTCCTAAGAGCCGTTCCAGCGCAACAGACTCCCTCGGCCACCTGCCAGGGACTCTTTGGCCCTGCATCTCAGGGGGTTGGGCTGGATGACCACGGGGGACCCCTTCCAACTCTGCAAGGCTTTGATTCTCACAGGAGAGAGAGGAAGGTTTGCTCGGGGAACCAGAGAGGCGTTTGCCGTCGTACCAGACAGGAGGAGAAGGCGGCGGCGCCGGAGGAGAGCAGGTGCCCCGCCGCTTGACACTTCCAAGTTTTTCCAGGCTTTGAGAAAGGAGCCAGCGGAATCCAGTGGGGGCGCCTTGCTGGAAAAACGCGCCTCCTTCGCGGGCCAAGCGCCTCCCCGGCTGGCTGTGGGGGTCGCGAGGCAGCCCTAGTAAGAAGACGTTCCCCAGATCCCCGACATTCCCAAAATAGCGTGGATCGGGCTTGGGGAGGGGGCTGGTTTCTCCGTGAGCGCGTGGCGCGCGGGTTTGTGCTCCATCATAGCTGTCAACTTCCCCCTTTTCTTGCGTGGAATCCTATTCGGAATAAGGGGATTTCCCTTAAAAAAAGGGAAACGTTGACGGCTATGCGCTCCCTGCGGGAATGTGGGTCATTTCTGGGAGCGGAATTTTGGCTGGCGGGAGAAGGTCGCGTCGCGTCGCGTCTCTCCGGCGCTCCTCTCCCCGCGCCTCTTTCCTAAGTTTTGCAAAATGGGAGCTGCGATTCCTGCATCGCAAGGGGGGTCGGGGTCAGGCTACATGACCCCTGGGGATCCCTTCCAACTTCTGCGTTTCTAGGATTCTCCCTGATCCCAGTAGCTCTTTCTTTCTCTCCCCGCGCAGCCCAATGATATTTAATGGGACTTCCTCCGCTTCCCGTTTTGGCAGCCAAATGGTTTTTTAAAAAAATAAAATTGTAGTGTAGTCAGGGGAGAGAAGCCCCGCCAGACTCAGGGTAACCTCCTCCCCCAGGAGCAGGGGCAGCCGGCTGGGGGGGGGGGGAGGGAGCCGCAGGAACGGGGGGGCAGACAAATGGGGAGCCGTCCGTCCATCTCACCCTCTCTTTGGAAAGGGACCAGTTTGGGAAACTGTTGGTCGCCCTTCCCAGGGCCGGAAGGGAGAGCTGCGCAAAGACACCTGGGAGAATCACAGAAACGTAGGATTGTGGGGCTGGAAGGGTCCCTGAGGGTCATCTAGTCCAACCCGCTGCAGTGCTGGAATCACATCGATGGGGAAATCGTGGAAAGTATGACCACCCTGCGTTTCCCCCCAAGATATGGTTACCAGATTGTTTTCAATGAATCCGGGACACTTTTTTTTTGAAGCTGAGTAGCAACAGGGAGTCAGTAGTGGGGATGGAGAGGCAAAAAACCCTGGGCCCAAGCACACATGCATATCCCGAGCCTTCCCCGATGATCTGCCCCCTTCCCCCTTTGTTTTGACAGATCGGAGGAGGCTCAGGAGTCGCAGGCAGGCGGGCAGGCGTTGCCCAGGATGGGCTCTCAGTGCATGGTTTCTCTGCCAGGCAAGCTGCAAAGCCCTTCTTTCACACCCTGTGAAACATAAATGCACAGAGTTGTTAAAAACTGGTCAACGGCTGGCCGGCCGCAACTCCCGAGCCTCCCCCGATCAGTCAAAACAAAGGGGGAAGGGGGCAGGAGATCTGTACCACCGGACGTCCCTGGTTCCCCTTTGGCAGTGGCAGCCTGGTAGTGCAGTTGGCTCTGGCTGGATTCAGGAGCTGTTCACTGCTTGCTGCCATGGCGCCCGCCATTTTTCCTCACCGGAAGTCCCCATATGATGTGTTGCGCACAGGACACATCATATGGGGACTTCTGGCGAGAAAAAACGGCAGGCGCCAAGGCAGTGAGCAGCTCCTGAAGCCAGCCAGAGCCAATTGTGCTACCAGGCTGGCCCCGGGCTGCTGAGGCTGCCGCTGTCATGTTTACCGGGGACAGATTTCCAAATCTGGGGACATTCTGGGGACGGTAATTGTCCGGGGACAGATTTGCAAATCCGGGGACTGTCCCCGGGAACCGGGGATGTCTGGTAACTCTACCCAAAGATGGCTGAGCATTTGCTGACTGGCTGCTCAGGAGGGGGTCAGGGACCTGGAAGGGAAACCAGGGGACAGGGCGTCATTGAATGCACTGCCTGAGGACTCTGCGCTGCAGCATTTTGCTGCAGAACACCCCCTTTCCATATGTGCATATGTTCACACACACACACACCAATTGAAGCTCCATAGTTCTTCCTTCAAGTGGCCATGCAGAGGGTGCAATGCGTCCTCCAGGCCTACAGGGCGCACTTTTTTTTACATCCTATGGTGGAGCACTGAGGTGATGAGGTCAGCTCAAGCTCTATTCAAAGCTACTCCATTGTTTGTGTTTCTGCATTGCAGGGGGTTGGACTAGATGACCATTGGGTTCCCTTCCAACAATTCACTGTTGTTGTTCTTTAGTCGTCTCTGACTCTTCGTGATCCCATGGACCAGAACATGCCAGGCACTCCTGTATTCCACTGCCTCCCGCAGTTTGGTCAAACTCATGCTGGTAGCTTGAGTAGTGATGTATGGAAGTGATGTATGGAAGTGAGAGCTGGACCATAAAGAAGGCTGATCGCCGAAGAATTGACACTTTTGAATTATGGCGCTGGAGGAGACTCTTGAGAGTCCCATGGACTGCAAAAAGATCAAACCTCTCCATTCTGAAGGAAATCAGCCCTGAGTGCTCACTGGAAGGACAGATCGTGAAGCTGAGGCTCCAAGACTTTGGCCACCTTGTGAAAAGAGAAGACTCCCTGGAAAAGACCCTGATGTTGGGAAAGATGGAGGGCGCAAGGAAAAGGGCACTACATGGTTGGACAGTGTTCTCGAAGCTGCCAGCATGAGTCTAACCAAACTGCGGGAGGCAGTGGAAGACAGAAGTGCCTGGCGTGCTCTGGTCCAGGGGGTCATGAAGAGTCGGACGTGACTAAATGACCAAACAACAACAACAAACGTGTGGGTATGTTGTTGTTTAGTCATTTAGTCATGTGGGTATAGGGCGGTACAATTAATTAATTAAAGTAATCATCATCGTCATCATCGTCATCATCTTATATTCCACTCTCTGCCATCAGACCTTCCATGTGTACTCAATTTCCAGGAACAGCCCTGGAGTTACAGACGCCATCCTGGTTTCTGATCTGATCCTGGAAAGTCCCCCTGTTTCCCTTGGAGAAACGTTGGAGGGCGTGTGTGTCAGGCGGTGCTTGGACACGGAGGAATGGTGGGGGGCACCAGCTGGGGAACCCCAAAGGGGAAGAAGGCTCAGAGCCCAGAGATTGGTGGTGGGATGAGGAGGGATGAGGGAGAAGAGGGAGAAGACTGGGAAGAGGAGATGTAGGAAGCTGGAGAGGCGACAGGGCTTAGTGAGAGGGGAGAGTTGGTGGCAGAGAGCAGTCCAGACTCAGCAGCAGAAGCTGAAGATGGAGAGAAGGGAGGGAGACCAAGAGGCAGAGAGGAGTCAGGCTGGGGAAAAGGCACGGGGGTCTCCCTCTCCTGCCTCAACAAGCTCCCCTACCCCCAGGGGTGCCCCCCCAAATATTTCAAGGAGGGGGCCGATCTGCCTCAATATTCTCCATTATTATTGTTGCTCTTGTTATTGTTTTTATTAAGGATTTTCTTCGGTCACAATAGTACAAGCATCGCCCCGCCATGTCACATCACATGCATGTGCTGCCCCCCCCCAAAAAAGTTGGCCAGAACCTGGCGCACCAGGAGAGGCGTGAAGAGAGCGGAGCTGTGACAAGTTTCATGCAACTCATTCAGATGGGCTGTGTACAAATAATTTATTATTATTATTATTATTATTATTATTATTATTATCAGTGGGTGGACTTTGTGTCCTTCTCAGCCTCTCGCCCGCCTCACAGGGATGTTGTGTCGATGAAATGGGGGTGGCTGCGGAGAAGCGTGCAGGTAACCCACAACTCCCGGGCAGGGAAATTGATCCTAGAAATAGAGATGTTGGAAAGACGCCTCTTGAGGATTTCTTACCTGTGGTTCTGGGGGCTGGGCTAGATGACCACTGGTGTGCCCAGTTCTATACAATTCCAGGATTCTATGTAGGGATAAGGATCATCCAGTCTGACTCCTGGATGCAAGTTTGAACAAGAACCGAAGAATAACGAAAAACAGCAAAATAGCTCTGTCAGCAGACCGCGAGGCTCTCAATCTCAGGTTCGCGGGTTCGAGACCCACCTTGGGCAAAAGATCCCTGCCTTGCAGGGGTTGGACTAGATGACCCCTCGGGGTCCCTTCCAACTCTACAATTCTGTGATTCTAACTGCTACTGAGGGGCCTGTGTGCAGTGCGGGAGGGGAAGTTTGGCGAACGTTTCCTGACGCTGTAAAAAAATGGACGGTGCATATAACCTGCAAGCCCCCGCCCCCCCAGGACTGAGAGGTGTGGGGGCTCAAACAGGCGACGAGCAGAGAGGGATGGGGGGAGCCTCTTGTATGCCCTCTTCTCATCCCCCCCCTGTCGCAGCAGCAGCAGGACGACCCCCACCCCGGGACAGGGATGCCAACTTGAATAAAATATTGGGGGGGGGGGAACAGGACAGGTAAGACCCGCTCCCCTAATCGATCACATGACGTGATGCCTACACACCTTTTGAACGGCAACGCCCATTGTCTTTGGCCCCCTCAAATATTTTATTGGGAGTTGCCTCCTGCGCCAAGACGAGATGGGGAGGTGGAGAGGCGAGAAGGTGTGGGGTGTCTATCCCACCCCACCCGCGACCCCTCGCTCTCTGCTGCACCCCCGTCTCTCTCAGCGGTCAGCTTCGAGCCCAGCCGCTCCCCCCATCACCCCCGCCCTCCCGTCCAGCTGGCACCCAAAGGCGTCGGCTCGCATTTCCCTCGGAACAATAACAAGTCTGGGGAAGCCATCAGGAGCTGGGGGGGGGAGTCGGGGGGGGAGGCACACGCCGGGGGATGATGGCTTGGCCAGATGCGGGAGGGGGAGCGCGGGGGGGGGGGGCGGGCGCATAACCGACGGCGGGCCAGTGCAGCGCCAAAGAGGCCCCCGGATCGCGCGCTGCGTCTTTGCGCGCAGATCTGCCGGCTCCGCTCTGCTGCGGACGCCACCCCCCCGGCTGAAAGAACAGCCTTTGCCAAGCCGGCGCCCCCCAGAAAGCTGGGGCTGTCGGAGGCAGTGGTGCTAGTGGGGAAAGTTCAGGACAGGGGTCACAGAAGAGGCGAAATGTATTTCCAGGAAAGAAAAATAACAGCGCGTGGGAATGACAACAGCCGGCGGGTCAAGTTCTGGGCGGGGAGGGGGCACGTATTCATTTTATGTAACCTTGGAAGGGACCCCAAGAGTCATCTAGTCCAACCCCTGCAACGCAGGGATCCCAGAGAGGTTTAGTACCGTAATTTATTGCGCTCACATTCCACCTCCCCCCCCCGCAAGGAGCTTTAAGCAGCTCACATGCCTTTCTCTCCCCCAGCGTTTATTCCCCGCAACAACAGCCCAGGGAGGTAGCAGAGGTTGCGAGGAAGGGAGCTGCGTGGCCGCGTGGGGATTTGAACCTGGGTCTCCCGGCTCCTAGTCCAGCACTCTAACCACTAGGCCCGCAGTGGCTTTGCCCCCCCCCCCCCACTTATCCTGTGCTGGGAATTGTAGTCCTCCGTCAGGTGGGCGGAGGCTGCCTTAGAGCAGATTTATAGCAAACTACGCCTGCCTCTCATCTCTCGATTACAGTCTACTGTAGCCATAATAATAATAATAATAATAATAATAATAATTTTATTATTTATTATTATAATGTTTATTATTTATTTATTATTATAAATAATAAATAACATCTGTCACACAAGCAGGGCTTAATCCAGTGAAGGATTTTACGTTCATTAGCTCACAGCAGTTTAAGAATTGCTTAATTGACGGCCCCACTAGATCCCAGAACATCTGTGCTGGGATCCAGACACACAGATCTGGGATCTTGGAGGAGGTCCCATTTAGACCTGGATTCAGCACTGGGATGATTGCACCCACCCTGCATGATATCATCATCATCATCATCTCTCAGCGACTCTCCATGCCATCAGCCAAGATGCCCTTCTGGAATCTGGAGCCTCTGTCTGGGTTAGGAGTGAGGGTGTGTGTCTCTTTTTGCAATCAGCCCCAGAAGGTGGCGTTTTGAGGACGTTTTGATATTAGGATCCTGTGGGCTGGAGTTCCGCAGGATTGCACCTTCTCTACACAGCTCCCCCGCCCTTCTGTTGGGCATCTATGTGAAACCACTGGGCAGGGGTCTTCTGCAGTTTGGGGATGCACTGTCATCCATGCACAGATGACACACGGATGGATGGCCCCTGTCAGGGATGCTTCTGTTGCGACAGTTGAGGGCTGGACTAGACGACCCCTCGGGGTCCCTTCCAACGCTCCCATTCTACAAGTCTGCATTGCCCACACAAGCAGGGGAGGTGGAGGATAAGCTGAACTGGTTCCTGACCTTGGCAAGGGACTGGATGAGGGCCAGGAAACCGGAGATCCATCCAGACAAGACAGAGGCGACGTTGGCGGGGGGTTCATCTCTGTTGCTCAGCCAAAGGGAGGAAGGAGCTGGCTAGTGATCTGGGGGTGAGCTCTTGGGGGCTCAGCCCCTGTCTGGATATACTGGAAGAAGCAAAGGTCACTACCAACCTTTCTATATGCTTGTAAAACATGGACCACTTATAAACGCCATCTCCAACTCCTTGAAAGATTCCATCAACGGTGTCTCTGGAAAATCTTACACATCACTTACAAGACAGGCAAACTAATAGCAGTGTACTGGATGAAGCAAAGATCACCAGTGTGGAAGCAATGAATCTTCAACATCAACTTCTTTGGACTGGTCATGTTGTGTGGATGCCTGATGATCATCTTCCAAAGCAACTACAGTGGCACCTTGGGTTACAGATGCTTCAGGTTACAGACCCCGCAAACCCAGAAATAGTACCTTGAGTTAAGAACTTTGCTTCAGGATAAGAACAGAAATCGTGTGGTGGCAGCAGGAGGCCCCATTAGCTAAAGTGGTGCTTCAGGTTAAGAACAGTTTCGGGTTAAGAACGGACCTCCAGAACGAATTAAGTTCTTAACCCGAGGTACCACTGTACTGTATTCCGAACTTAAAAATGGAAAGCGTAATGCTGGTGGTCAACAAAAGAGGTTTAAAGACTCTCTCAAGGCAAATCTTTAAAAATGTAGTATAAACACCGACAACTGGGAAGCGCTGGCCTGTGAGCACTCCAGTTGGAGAACAGCCTTGACCCAAGGTGTCATGGGCTTTGAAGACACTTGAACTCGGGACGCAAGGGAGAAACGTGCTAAGAGGAAAGCACGCTTGGCAAACCCTCAAGGGATCAACTCCCGCCTGGAAACCAATGTCCCCACTGTGGAAGGACGTGGGGATCCAGAATTGGCCTCCACAGTCACTCCTTGTTAAGGCCGCGTTTATGGAAGACAATCTTACTCGCCAGAGATAAAGAGAGGGATGTGGGTGACCTGCCTTCCACCTTCACGGTTAGACTGCTGCAATATTTGGAGATTCTTCCTGCTCCAAGGCCTCCATGGTTTCTGCTTTGGCTTCTCCATTGAGAAAAAGGAAGCTTTTTGTTTCCAGAGAGCAGCCAGCAGTGCAGAGGCTGCCTCCCAGTAAATAAATACAGGCCATGCCAGCGAAGGAGTTTTTGGCAGCCGGCGGATTCGTCCTCAGGCCGGGTACCTTCAAAGCACGTCCGGAGCTCATGATGCCTGGCTCGCGTGATGCTGAAACTCACCCACACCCCGTGAAGCTGGAAGGCCTTGTTCACGCAGCACAGTGTTAACCTATGGAACCTGCTGCCACTAGAGAAGACCATGGATGGCTGCTAACCAAGGGGGCTGTGCTCTGGCTCCACAGTCCAGGGTAGCAATGCTTCTGGATCCCAGAAACCGCAGCAGGGGAGAGGGTCCTTGGGTTCGAATCCTGCTCGTGGGTTTCTCTTTTTTATATATAAAAAATAATCTTTATTCATTTAAATTACACACATATACAAAGAATTTACAATTTCATACTACAAAAATAAAATTAAAGAAAAAAGAATCAAGGAAAAAGAAAAGAATACAGAAAAAAGAAGAAAAAGCAGATTTACATGCATAAAAAAAACCTTAATCTTCCTAATTAATACTTAGATAAACACTTAAATAAAAAAGACTTCTGACAAAAATAATATAAAACTGTGCGGGGGGAAACGACGACAGTATAAACAGTACAATGAGAATGATTGGAAGACTCGTTTTTGTGGGTTTCTCATTGGGGGGCATGTGGTCGGCCGCTGTGAGAACCAGATGGGCCACTGGCTTAATCCGGCAGAAATTTCTTGCGTTCTTATGTTGTGCACTGAATATCTTCCTTGGCTGGGTGAAAGACAGAGAGAGAGAATGCAGAAAACTAACTTACTGTACAAAGGGCCATAGCTGTTGCTCCGCCCACTTTTCCCTCTGGCCCCGCCCACCACCACCACCGGCCCTTGAAAGGTTGCCTCGAAAGGACTGCGGCCCTCACGTGGAAAACAGCTTCTTACTGGACTCAGGCTACAAGGCCAGCCCCACTTACCTGGGAGCAAGCCCCATTGCACTCCAAAGGACACCTGCGGGTCCAGAGATTCTCAGAGGACTGGAATAAATATTTGAACTATTTGAAAAGCAATTGTAATAAACAGATTACGCTAGTAGGATTGCAAGATGTTTTGTAAGGAGGTACTATGCGGAATATTGCAGAGAAGATTAGGAAGAGAATTGTTAGTTAAGGATAATTGAAAGTAATAAGGAAATTAAGGAATGTAGATTAAGTGATAAAAGACTGGAAAATCTTCAGATGTGGTTGATGGAAGTCCAAAACACTGTATAAGAGAAGAAGAAATTATGTTATATGATTGTTGGGAATGATATGTAAAATAATAATAAATATATATATGAAAACAGCAACAAAGGGACACACTTCCAAGTAGGCATGGCTCGGATGGTGGCCGAAGGCTTATACTGTTATCGATTCAGGTCCCAAATATCTGAGAGGCCTTCTCCTTCCTCCCTGCAGACATCCTTGGGTGGGCAGAGCTGAGGTGGTGGTCCAGGGGGGAGGGCCTTCTTGGTGGTGGCACCTGAGCGGTGTATCTCCCTGCCCATGGAGGTCCCTAGAATCGTAGATCATAGAATTGTGGAGTTGGGACCCCCAAGGGTCATCCAGTCCAACCCCGTACAATGAAGGAATTGCAACTCAAGCATCCATGACAGATGACCATCCAACCGCTGCTTAAGAACATCCAAGGAAGGAGAATCCATTCAATGATCGGACAGCTCTTACTGTCAGAAAGTTCTTCCTGATGTTTAGTCGGAATCTCCTTGAAGCCATGGGTTCGAGGAGAAAACAAGCACGCTCCCTCTTCCATGTGACAGCCTTTAAGATATTTGAAGATGGCTATGATGCTCCTCTCAGTGTCCTCTTTCCCAGGCTAAACATACCCAGCTCCTTCAACCGCTCCTCATAAGGTTTGGCTTCCAGACCCTTGATCATCTTGGTTGCCCTTCTCTGCACACCTTCCAGCTTCTCAACATCCTTCTTAAATTGTGGTGCCCAGAATTGGACACAATAGTGCAGGTGTGCTCCGATCAAAGCAGAATAGCGTGGGAGAGCTGGACCATAAAGAAGGCTGATCGCCGAAGAATGGATGCTTTTGAATTCTGGTGCTGGAGGAGACTCTTGAGAGTCCCATGGACTGCAAGAAGATCAAACCTATCCATTCTGAAGGAAATCAGCCCTGAGTGCTCACTGGAAGGACAGATCCTGAAGCTGAGGCTCCAAGACTTTGGCCACCTCATGAGAAGAGTAGACTACCGGGGAAAGACCCGGTTGTTGGGAAAGATGGAGGGCACAAGGAGAAGGGGACGACGGAGGACGAGATGGTTGGACAGTGTTCTCGAAGCTACAAACATGAGTCTGACCAAACTGTGGGAGGCAGTGGAAGACAGGAGCGCCTGGCGTGCTCTGGCAGCGCTTTTGCAGGGGCGGCGTGGGGACCTCTGCCCCCAAATTCTGGGATGGCAGTGCCTCTACCTGGCAGCTCTGGGGAGGGCAGGCGTGACTCTCCTTGGAGGTTTTTAAGCAGAAGTTGGATGCCTTATCTGAGATTACAAGGCGCACACCCTGCGGCGTCTTGCGCGGCGCGTGCAGCTGCCTGTCCGCTGCGTTTCCTCCTCCCTCCTCCTCCCTCTTTCCTCGCTGGCGGGGCGCATAGGCGTGTGCCCGGCGTCCGCCTGGCCGGAATCCACCTCCCAGCGCCAAACAAAGACCCCTTTTTCACGGCCCGGAGAGAGGAGATCGGAATGCCGATTGCTTTGGGCACACCTGAGATGCCAGCCCCGTTCCCATGCAGCCTCTTGGAGGGCCCCACATTTGGGGGGGGAGGGTGTTGTTCCATGGGGACCCCCTCTGTGGCACGCCGAGGGGGCAGCGAGACCGGGAGGGCCGAGGACCGGACCGTCCGGGTTTGAGAGGCAGCGTGGTTCAGTGGTTAGAGCGCGTCAGGCACGATAGTGTGAATGAGGAGGAGGAGGCTGCGCGGAGCCTGTGAAAACTTTGTCCTTGGATGTTAAATCAGATTCGCTTCACTCCCCCCCCCCGACCCTCCCCTGAGCCGCGCAGGGTTGCCACCTTTCCCGACCGGCTCTGCTCCTGTGCCAGTTTGGCCAAAAGCAGGTAGATGAGCAGGAGCGGGATATTTGGACCGGACCAGCAGGCTCTCCTGAAAGCAGAGGAGCAGGTCCAGGGGGAAGAGTTGGCAACTTTAGAGCAGCGGGAAGGGTCTGCATGGGGTGAGGGGGGGGGGGCAGGCCGGCCAGTTTTGTAACCCCATTTCCCGTCTCTTCCCTCCTGCAGCCGAACCGGTGGACGTCTTGAAAGTGTTGCAGCTGCAGAACCAGCCCGAGGGCGTCCGCAAGACCACGGGCTTCTGCCCCAAGAGGCGCTCAGGATCGGGGCCCGATGTGGCCTACCGGATATCAAGGCAGGCGCAGATCAGCGCCCCCACCCGGCAGCTTTTCCCAGGTACGCAAGCGAAGAGTGTGGGGGGGGGGCGAGTTCCCATCACTCCCCCTCAGTTTAGCCCAGGTTCACAGTGTTTGGATTCCAAGTTGTTTGGGTACCAAGGCATTTGAGAATCAAGGGACCCCTGTACTTCAAATGTGCCAATGCTTCTCGTGGCTTAGACCCAGCCAGGTGGGCAGAGTATAAATAATAAAAGTTATTATTGTAATAAACAAAATCTGCCTTCATTCCCTTATGGGGGACACAAGGGCCCTTATAGAGTCCTTTTGTAGGTTCTTCATCCGTCGGAGGAAATAACAGAGGCCAACCAGGGAATACTGAGAAGCAAAGCAGCTAGTAAGCCTGATCTTTATTGAACTGTTGCAACAGGGTGCTGCCCTCACACACAGGAAAGGAGGAGGACCCAGAACCCAGGGGGGCCCCACCCTTATATAGACATTTTAAATTTCCTGCCTGGAGCTCAAGACCACCCCTCCATACATCATACCTACATCACAGAAAGGCGGTCTACAACAGAAATCTGAGTGCATTGTTTATCTCCTGTCTGGCAGGTTATCTGATAATGCCTTATCCGATTGCCTTTCCTGGTAGTCTGTCACCCTTTGAAATGGTGATTACTCAATTCCTGTAACAAGGAAGGCTTTTTTTCACCCCCTCCCTCCTTGCAGAGAAAACATTTGGTCAGTTTGGGAGTCAAAAAATGGTTTCAGGGCGGTCTTCCTGGGCTGCTCCAGACATGTGGTCCCCATATCTATGTACGTGCTTGCTTGGTACGTTTATGAACATTTAGTATATATATAAGACCTTAATTCTTTAATTTCATTATTATTATTATTATTATTATTATGTGGGGAGCCTCCAAAACCATCCCTTTTGTGGGGTTTGCTGGGTCTTGTGGGGCCCTCCTTAAACCCTCCTCTCTCCCCCCCCCCAGGTAAATTCCCAGAGGATTTCTCCATCATGGCTCTGGTGAAGCCCAAATCCGGCCTCCAGGCGTTCCTGCTCTCTGTCTACAACCAGCATGGCACCCAGCAGTTGGGCGTGGAGCTGGGCCGCTCCCCCGTCTTCCTCTATGAGGACCAGAGTGGGCGCCCAGCCCCAGAGGACTACCCCATCTTCCGAGGGGTCAACCTGGCTGACGGCAAGTGAGTGCCCTCCCCTCCCGGCTTCCTTCTCTGCCCCCTCCATCGCCCCACTGCAGGGGGGAGGCCTGTGCTTTGTCACGATCCCTGGTGCGATTCCCGCATGGCCCGGGGTTGGGCTGGATGATCCTCAGGGGACCCCTCTCCAACTCTGCCATTCCACGATCCTTTGATATTATGATTAACACATACAACGCACGACAATTACAGAATATAAAAATAAAAAATGAAACAAACATTCAGAGAATCGTCTCCAAATACACCAACAGAATTCGCCAAAGTGTGTATGAGAAAACCACCACAATTTTAACAAACACCAAATATAATACGTAGTAACATCCATTGCCTGGGTTGTTGGCCACAAATAAATATATCTACTGTATCAGCATCAACTATGGTCTACAGGAGTTTATTCAAAAGCAAGAGGAGGGGGAAAGAAAAATAATAATTAAGATATGTGCTTTATACAAACCTTTGGCCTCTTGCTCAACCTGTAATTTCTGTGTCAGTTTTTCCAACAATGTTTTCTGCCAGATTGCCCTATGCCTCTGGTCCGGAGTCAATCACTGCAATGATTTCCCTGTCCTGGCAATGGTCGTTCTTGCCCCCCGCGGTTAACGGATGTGTTACAAGTTCTTTATTTCTAATTCACGAAATATCCTGACGTGTTTGCAAGAAACCGATCTTTGGAGACGTACACGTTGCGACTCTCTGCTCGTTGACATCGAGCAGGTGCCTTTGCTGGACTCTTTTCGGCCCCTGCTAAAAACGGTTTTGTTTGTGGGGAATCGTAGCGTAGGAAAGAACCTCAAGGATCATCTAGTCCAACCCTCCCTGAAAGAGCTGCTGCCAGTCTGTGTAAACAATACTGATCCAGAGGAGCTCACAGTCTGACTCCACGGGAAGCGTCTTCCTGTGTTTCTAGGTAGACCAATGTTGGCAGGTGTTCTAATCTGGTTTTTAGTTCATCAGTTGACTCAAATTATTTTTTGAAGGTTCAATATAGTTCATTCTTAGCTGTGTTTTCCTGATAGCTCCATCGCTCTGTTCTTCATGTAAACAGTTTTTTTCATCTTCTCTTTACCACCAAGCGGTATACACCGTATTTTTCGCTCCATAAGACGCACCTGACCATAAGACGCACCTAGTTTTTAGAGCAGGAAAACAAGAAAAAAAATATTTTGAATGAAACTGTGGATGTATGATTTGTGTGGTTCATGCTATGGCCACAGACATGTGATCTGATGGTGAGTTAGGGGTAGTCCAATGCAAAAATCCTGAGGATCCATGTGGATCCGTGCTTTGTAACCACATTTTTGCACCATTGCAGCCCCTGCCAACAGTGGATGCGTGATTTTTTTGGTGCAGGCTGTAGCCATGGACATGCTATGTGATCTGATGGTGAATTTGGGGTGACCCAATGCAAAAATCCTGAGGATCTATGGGCTTTTACCTCCCCCCTCCCAGACAGCCTCCGCTAGCGTCCCTTATCTTTGTCGCGAACCCACCGATCAGCTGTTTCCTTTCAACACTCCCTTCCCTCTTGTTTGCCTTAGTGTCTTTTCCTTAGCTGGAGCAGTTTTTTGCTCCTCCTTTTCTTCTAATTTCTCTCCTCATTGATTTAGTCTTCCTGTTTCCCCTCTTTGCAAGTTTGCTGTCTTTACCTCCCCCCTCCCAGGCAGCCTCTAGCATCCCTTATCTCTCTCCCCGATGGGCAAATGATCAGCGGCTTTGTTTCAACACCCACTTCCCTCTTTCAAAAAAAAAAAGAAAGAAAAAAGCGTGAACTGCTTTTTGCCCCTGGGCAGTTCGGCTCCAGGGACCACGCATTCGCCCCATAAGACACACAGACATTTCCCCTTACATCATAGGAAGAAAAAAGTGCCTCTTATGCAGCGAAAAATACAGTAAATTCTGAGAAATACAAGGTAAAATAAATTCGTAGGCCCCACTCAGCACCTTCGAACCGTAGCCCAGGCAGGAGATTCACCCTGGGAGTTGTAGTATGGAGGCTCACGTCTAATTCTCTGTCGGTCAGACTTTATTCCATGATGTGTGGTTGGTGCCTGTTTCGAGAGGCAAAGGCGTGCGCCTCCATACTACAACTCCCAGGGTGAATCTCCCGCCCGAGCTACGGGAGACTCCACGCTGGAATTGTGTAGCGTTTGCTCCCGAGCCTTGTTTTCTCCCGAAAATATCCCTCAAGGCAGCAGAGATTTAGGACCAGAGTTTTCCTTCTCCTAGATGGGCACCTTTCCTCCACAACCTGTGCAGAAACCGCCTTCTTGACCATTGGGCCTGCTCATGGCCTCATCATAATTTAATAATAATTTCATTATTTGTACCCCGTCCATCGGACTGGGTTTCCCCAGCCACTCTGGGCAGATTCCAGCACACACAAAAACATAATAAAACACCTAATGGTTCTTATTAGCCTGAGCAACACCGAGTTAAAAAACAAAAGAGGAATGCAAATGGGTAAAATTGATGGTAATTGCAGCCAGACAGCTTATAATGCGTAATGGGAAAAATGCAGAAGAGCAAGGGAAAAACTGAAAAATATTATAATTTTAGAATACCTAACTGTGAAGATGCATAGAATGAAAGGGTTTAAGGTCAGTGAGAAAGAGGAGGATTGGTTTGAGAAGATATTGAACTATTTGAGTAGGTTTGAACAATTAGGGGCAATTAAAATGTTAAAAGTTAAATAAACCTTGTGAAAGGCGGAGTGTTAAGGTATATAGAAGTGTACATATAATTAATCTGAATATGTTATTATTGAATATGTATATTATTGGATATTGTATACTCAATATATCAGCCGCCTGGGGGGTTTCACTCTTTGTGTTTGAGTGGTTGGTAAAAAATAAAATATTTAAAAAAAACCATAATAAAACACATTTTAATGTTAATAAAACATTAAAATCTCCCCTGTACAGGGCTGCCTAAGTTCAGGTGTCTCCTAAAGGTGTGTAGTTACTTATCTCCTTGACATCTGATGGGAGGATTTCCAATAATAATGATGATGATAATAATAATTTTATTATTTTTTCACCCTCCCATTCTGCCAGCGGTGCATTAAAGTCGAGGGAGTTCCAAACTGTAGGTGGCGCCGCGCTGAATATCGGCCCTTCTTATCCACGTGGAACTGGCATTATTACTCCGACTTTATGCAGTTCCGTGACTCTGCGATTCCCCCCCCCCTCCAGGTGGCACCGGGTGGCTCTGAGCATCAGCAAGAAGCAGGTGACCTTGATCCTGGACTGCAAGAAGAAAGTGACCCGCCCTCTGCCCCGCGGCAACCAGCCGGCCATCGACACGCGCGGCATCACCGTCTTTGGAACCCGCATCCTGGACGAGGAGGTCTTTGAGGTGGGCGGCCTTCTCCGCTCTCTCCCGCTGCTACTTCGGCCTGCGGGTGCCGGGCCTGGCTCTTCAACCTCTTCCTTTGGCTTCCTCCCCGCAGGGAGACATCCAGCAGCTGCTCATCTCCTCCAGCCCCCAAGCAGCCTACGACTTCTGCGAACACTTCAGCCCCGACTGCGACGTGAAGGCCGCCCAGAAGCCCCAGGCCCAGGAGGCCCAGAAGAACCCCAGCAGACCTGAGGTGAGGGGGGCGGAGGAGCCGGGGTTCAGGAAAGGGGTCCACGTCCCACCCCCCTTCCACCTCCTCAGCATCCTTGCTGGGCAGCGGGAGTTGGGGAAAGGTTGTTTCCTTCTGGGAGGAGGAAGCCAGGAGGCGGTTCTGTGTTCGAAACACAGTCTGAACCCTCGCCTGCCCTCCTGGGAGGGGGGTTGTTGTCGAGGGCAGACAGGTGGGGAAGTGGCCACGTGCTTCTAACCAATCCCAAAGGCATAGCTGTCAACTTTTCCCTTTTCTTGCGAGGAATCCTATTCAGAATGAGGGAATTTCCCTTAAAAAAAGGGAAACGTTGACAGCTATGCCCAAAGGACCCCGGTTCAAGATTGGGCCTTCGGAGAGACCCCCGCCTGACCTCTGGGAGAGACAGATCTGTGCGGACGAGGGTCCAACTCTGTGCAGAACAGCTTCCTAGGACGCTAAATCTGCCCGGACAGTGCCAGGAGAGGGAAAGGAAACTATTTTGCAGGCAGCAGTGACGCAAAGGAAACACCTTTTCCACGTGCCAGATTCTTAAGGTCAACCAGAGCGAAAATCCGCCTCACATCTTCCTTCTTCGGGGAATTTTCCACCTTCGTTCTGACTCAGGGCGTTTCGTTGATTCCTTGTGTTTTTTCGGAGCAAGGCCAGGTTCCCCTTTTGAGCAGCCCAAAGATGGAATTGCGGAGTCGGAAGGGACCCTCTGCGGTCATCTAGCCCAACCCGTTTCAATGCAGGAAGCACAGCTGAAGGCTCTGGGGTGTTTCAGTGTCCTTGCTGGCACTGCGATTTCGCCTCCTGGCAGTTCCTAACGCCCCCTTTTGCCGGTGGATCTGGAGCGCAGGATTATGTCCATGTTGCACCTGAAGAGGAAGCAGGTTGCTAACTTGGGGCAATTATTGAGAATGTTTTTACATATTGGTAAAATATGGACTAGCAATGAGCTCCCCTCCTCGTAATGGTGAAAGGGCAAAAACTCTCTCCCATACCAGTTTGAGCACATTGTTGTCCGTTGACAACTTGAGCTGTGATTCCTTCATTGCAGGCGGCTGGACTCTTGGGGTCCCTTACAAAACTGCAATTATGGGAACTTTTTGGAACATTTCAGGTGGTGCGGCTGCCATTTGATCAAAGAAATCTTATTCCATTAACCACCTGCTGCATTTTAACGGATTGATTAAATCTGCATTCGTTTTCATATGCAGAGTGAAAAATAATCTCTCCCCCCCTTGGGGAAAGAGGCTCCAGTTTCTACCACCTGCATTTTTAAGCAGCTTGGTTAATCCAGCCAATGGTTTTTAAGTTGATCAATTTAACCAATTAATTGTCAGATCAGCTTTGCAGTCCTGGTGAATTATCAGTCAGGAAGTGGGCAAAAACTGGATTCCCTCTCAAATTGTTTTCCTTTTTTTCCTTTTTGCGGTTTCTTAACTTTCCCTCCCTTGTTTGCTTTTTTGGGGGGTGGGGATGATCAGTGCCACTGAATCTGCAGGAAAAAGCGCCCCCCCTTGCTGGTGTTTCAAAAGGCTGGGACGCAGGAAACCACTTCCCACTTCCCCAATCCAGTATTTTTTGGAGTTAAAAAAGAGAGGAGAGTGTCTTCAGGGAGCTCAAAGCCCTCCAATATTGCACCCCTCATTTTTAGGAGCACCCTGCACCCATCTGCGGGAATGGTTCTCAACCGCTGGGGGGGGTTGGCCTTCTGCCCCCCCCCCCGGACTGGCGAATCTCTGCAGCCGTTTATGGTTTTTTTGTTCTGTTTTTGAAGAAACCGCTTCTCTTGCTCTCCCTCAGTACTTTGGTGAGGACCTGCAGGACTATGACGCCTACCCCTACTATTACGGGCCTAGTGAGGGCGGATTGGGCCCTCTCTCCTCCACGCCTTTGGGGGGAGCCAGTGAGCAGGTAAAGGGAGCGGCGCTGCCGTGCTCCTCCCCAGAAACGTCCATCCGTCCGTCCGTCCTCGTACCCGAGTCTTGTCCTTGTCATGTGGTTGTGGAATAGTCCACCTGTCTGTCTTGTCCACCTATCCATCAGTCCATCCATCCATCCATCCATCCATCCATTTATCAATGTCTATGCATTACCTTGCCTTTAATTTAGCAACATGGGGGGCAAACCCCGCCCTCCCCGCTAGTTTCTTCCAGAGATGGACAGCGAAGGAGAGACTAGAGTCTGGGGAGTTATCCAGGCAGATTGGGAGAGTGTGGGTTGGGAAATAGCCATTGCCGGAGAGTGGCAGGATATGGCCATCCTTGGGTAGATAATAGCTGAGTTGCAGGCAAACCTTATTATTATTATTATTTTAAATGCCGCAATGAATGGTGGAGTTCACTCGCGGTTGCGCTGCATCATATCCCACGTAGTCCATTGGAAACGGCAGAGCCCATGGTGCAGTGCGGCTGTGGCTGAAACCCGAACATGCGGGAGTATCCGGGGCAATGCGGAATCAGTGGGCTAGTTGGAATGAGGAAAACCACAATCTTACGGGCGGGTTTTGTGCAGAAATCTGTGGAGCTCTAGGCTGTGGACTGAATTCATTCGGAACCAAAAAAATAAATAAATTGTAATAAGAAATATCCAATTTGGCCACCAGAAGCAGCTCAGAAGTTTTTTATCCTGTGTTCGGTTAAGCCGTGTTGCTGTGTTTTCCAAACCCGCTTCACCCACCTTGGGGGCAACTATGCTTAGTGCAGAGAAGGCAGCTTCAAACCACAGTTTACGAAGCTCTTCCGCTGACGGTGGTTGGGATTAACCATGGTTTAGGGTTTGGCCACAATGTTCCTCATTTGCTTTTGCTTCCTGCTCCTCCCCTCTTCCTCCTCCATCGCCATCTTCATCACCCCGTCCTCTGTTGTCGTTTGTCCTTGCCGTCCTCCTCGCCGCTGCCAGAAACCGGCCAAGGGGAAGCCCCCCGCCAAGCCCAAACCGAAGCCGAAGCAGCCCCAGAAACGCCAGCTCGCCAGCACGGCGCCCGCCTACGCCGCCAAGACCGGCCCCAAAAACGGCTCCAAGTACCCCGGCAACGGGAAGTCCGGTGGGAAGGCCAGCAGCGCCAAGGCAACCACGAAAAAACCCCCGGGCAAATCGGGGGGCCAGGCCTACGCTGGCGCCGTCGGAGCCCGGAAGCCAGGGAACGGCTACCAGCAGGTAGAGCCACAGGGGAGGGGGTGCAGGGTGCCACCTGGCCCCCCAACCCTGGGATCCGGGCAAAGCTGGCTGCTCTGGCCCCCTAAAACCACCCCACTGCCCTCTCGTCTGCCTGTGTGCCTGTCTGCGTCTCCCCACCTCCACGTGTCTCTGTGTTAACCGTACCACGTCCTGCATGCTGGGCCGTTGGGGGGCCGCAAGAGAAAGGGGCCCCAGAACTTCGGAAGGGCTCCCCACCCTCTCTTGGGAGGGGCGGACAGATTGAGATTCGACTTTCCCTCAACCTCCCGGGAAACGAGAACCCACATCCGTGCCAGGGGGCCCTATCCTAAGTTCGGACTTCTCTTGCCCTTTCCCTTCCCCCCCAAATGGACACCTGCCAGACCCCCCCAAATTGCTGCCATCCTTGTCCGGTTTGCAGGTGGGGGGGTGAGATTCTGCTCCCCGAGATCCATTTGTCTCCCTGAGGGAAAATGATCCGGGATAAGGAGGAACGCTCCTTGCAGAATTGCTGAGTTTGGGATGGGACCCCACAGGGTCATCCAGACCAACCCACAGCCAACTCCTCCTTCTCCTTCCTCCCGGGACTCGAGAGGAGATGTTTGGATGAACTAACCATGTCTGCATATTTTTTTTTCTCTCCCTCCTTTCTCCTGTTTGGCCTGTTTCCTGTTTTGATCCATCCTCTCCCTCTCCCACTCGTCCGTTCGCCCCACAATGTGACGGCCGCGTCTCCCCCTCTCTTGGGCATCTTCTCTGCCCCTCCATCAACACATTCTTCCTTTCCTTCCTCAACACGACAACTCTGCTCCTCCTCCTTCCGTACATACCCAACCCCACACACTGCGTTGCTTTCCTCTTCCCCTCCCTGGCTCGTGACTCTTTCCTCCACTGCCACCACTCTGCTGCACCCCCTCTCAAGGACGTGGGCCTGCTCCCCACAGAGGAGCCCTGGGGGGCCCACGAGTACCTTGACTACACCTTGCCTCCTGAGGCGGAAGAGACCTATTGGGAAGAGGGCCCCACACAGCAGGCGTCCCTACCTGTTGCCTCGTTGCCACAGGGAGAGGTAAATGTGCCTCTAGCACCCGCGTCCTGATGGGCCAACCTGAGACGGAAGGGCGTTCGCTCCCTGGTTGGGTGGGCAGTGCAGGGTCCGCAAGAGAGGAGCCAGGACTCCCGGGTTCTGTGGGAAGGAGAGCCCCAGTGGGCTTGAGGCCCCGGACTCCTGGGTTCTCAGGAAGAGCAGGGCGGATTGGACGGCGAGGGGAAGAGCCCTCTGAGCTCAGGGGCTTTGAGTGCAGGTAGGGCCAGGGAAGACCCCCTGGGCCTGAAATTATGGAAAGGCATGATGGGAGTTGTAGTCCCAAGGCAATGCTGGACCCCTGCCGCAGCTCCCTCTGCCCCCTTGCTGGTCTCTGGCAGGCTGGTGGGGCAGGAGACACCCCCCAAGAATGACCCATGGGTGGGTGGGCACCAGCCCCGTTTGCCCCCCCTAACGTATCCATGGGTTCCCACCCTGCCCGGGGGCCAGGAGGAAGCGCCCAGCCCACGTCCCGCCGAGGAAGAGGTGTTCACCGAAGAGGAGGTCCCCGGCGTGGGGCTGGAGTACGAGTACACCTATAGGAGCTATGGCGAGGGGGCCGAGCCGTCGGAGCTGGGGCCTGTGCTCTCGGCCGAGACCCCCCACGGCGGAGGCGTAAGTGGGGTGCTGCCCCCTCCCTGGAGGCCCTCTGGCGTTCTTTGCCATGCCTTCCTGTCCTCTTGGGTCTACTTCCTGTTGTTCATGCTTGTCTGTGACGTCACTTCCTCTTGCCTGGGGTTGGCTTATGGAATGGATTCAGCCTTGTCCTCTTGCTCTTGTTTTGGTGTTTTATCCGCAACCCGTTTCTGTTTCCTCCTCTTTCGGTTCTCCGCCACGACACTCCTTCTTTCCCAACAGCTTTGGTTTGCGGTTCCTGACGGGCATGTGGCTGTGGATTCGGTTTGCTGATGTCACTTCCTGTTTGAGGATGCCCATTTCCTGCTGCCTGCGCACCCCTTCCTGTTTTGAAGTCACCTCTTCCTCCTGCCTTTGCCACCATTCACCACCGGGTGGCGGTAGCACTTCCTGTTCCGTTTGCAACCCTTCCCACTTCCTATGACCCTCCTCTTTGTCTGATAACATCATTTCCGGCTATTGCCAGGCGCTGGAGGATTTGTCATGCTGCCTGTTTGGGTTGTTTGCCGTTTTCTGCTGCACTCTTTTCTGAAGTTGCTCTTTAGTTATTATTTCAAGCTGTCCAGCCATGTGTGCAACTCACTTCCTGTGATGCCATTTCTCTGTGTGGCGATGTCATTTCCTGTGATGTCATTTCCTTCCTTGTTGACGTGTCCTGCAACACAGTCTACATAGAAATGGGCTGCCATCTTTTCCTTGGTCGCGGCTGCGGCAATGGCAGGAGGGAAGCTTCCTCCCTGTTCTGTGATGTCATCACGTGCCCTATGATGTCATTGCACTGCAGGGCCATTTCTGCAGACAGTCTCCCCTTCCCTGGCATGGTGCAAGCGCTGGAACTCAGTTACCAGTTTGGGGGGAGGGCCAGAAGCCCCCAAACGGGACACGGTAACTGTCAGTCCACGCTGCCATCTTGGAAGGCAGCCCCTTTCCCTTCTTCCCCACACCTTGGCCCCGAAACTCACACCCCTTTTCACCTCCGAATCTTCATGTGTAGAATTTTGCGGGAAGAGTTGTGGGATTCAGAGGCTCACTGGTCACAAGCGGTGTATAAATTTTATGAAATAAAAAAAGACCCAGGATACATAAGAGTTACTTTCTATCTAAATTTAGAAGGAATAGGGGCAACCTATGAACACATAGGCTTTTAGCCAGCTAAATTCTACTCAGAGTAGAGCCATTGAAGGGGAGTCACATCCATTTATTCCAGTGGGTTTACTCTGAGTAGGATGAACCTTGTCTACTACTCAGGCGCCTGAAAAATGTTCTCTGCCAGAGCTCATGTAGTTACCCCTTTTCCACTTTTACTCAAGGCCCTACTTAGACCTTACTACAGATTTACTCTGAGTTTCCCCCAGCTGGTTTATTTACGTGCCGCCCCTCCTTCTTTCTCAGTCCATTTTTGACAACAGATCCCTTTTTGTTTGCCTGCGGCTCCGGCCCTCGCTGTTTGCTTCCATGAAAAACAAACGGCAGCTTGACTCCCCTCCTGCCCCACCTTTCAGCGGCGAGCCAGCCCTTCCCCTTTTTAGATGAGCATAGAATCATGAAATCGGAATCGGGACCTCCCAGGGTCATCTAGTCCAACCCTCTGCAATGTGGGAATCTCAGTCCTTTCCGGCCCTTTTAGCAGCTGCTCACCAACACATGCTTGGCTTTAAGTCCACGTCGCCAAGCCGCCCGCTTCACAGGGACGGCATAGCAGAGGGTTGGGCCGGATGGCCTTTGGAGGGCCCTTCCCGGTCAATTGCAGGCGGTTCCTTTTCCCCAGAGAGCCCCTCCTCTCCCCACCCGCACTGAACTACTTCTGTGAACCCCCTCGGGTGTGGACACCCCCCCCACTTTTTGCACCCAGGGGCTGGGGTTGGGGGTGTTTGAGCCCGTGGCGCCATTCTGTTGACTGGCCCCCTCTGTGCGGCTACATGTCTGCTTCCCCCAGGCCGTCCGAGGAGCCAGAGGCTACAAAGGAGAGAAGGGAGAGCCGGCAGTCTTCGAACCCGTAAGTTCCTGGAGGGGAAGGGGGTCCTGGCCTGGTCTGGATGCGGTGTGTGTCATTTCAGACTGTGTGTGTGTGAGAGAGAAAATTCAGCAGTGCGGGCCGCCATCTTTCCAAAGGTGAACAACCCCCATACAAAAGTTGCTCAGGCTTTTTTGGGCAAAGTTGCCGAACCTTTTTAGCAAATATATTTTTGCCGGTTTTTGAAAATCCTGCCCTTTCTGATGGGCGAATCCCGGCTACGTCCGGGGTATTCCAGATGTGGGGCAGACCCTCCAAACATCGGCCGGTCTAGGCAGGCTGCAACGGACCGCCTGTCTCCTTGAGGTCTCCCCCATCTCTACAGTTCCACGATAGATGCAAATACAGTGGTACCTTGGTTCACAACCACAATCCGTTCCGGAGGTCCGTTCGTAAACCAAAACAGGTTGCAACCCAAGGCTTGCTTTCGCCAGTGGGGCCTCCAAAAAGAAATTGTTCATAATAATAAAAAAAGGGTTGTAATCCAAAAAAAGTTTGCAAACCGGGACACGGGTTTGACGTCTTTGTGATCCAAAACGTATGCAAACCAGACTGTTCGCAAACCGAGGTACCCCTGTAGAAAGGAGCTCGCTTGGAGGTCTCCCAAATCCTGCCATTTCTCTCCACTTATAATCTGCACAAGATTTGCACAAGTCCATCTCTTGTGCACAAGGCCTGGTTTTTGCCACCCCGACCCCTGGAAACAGGCACGTCCAGCCAACTCCGGCACCGTCGGTTCGAAGAATCGTTGAGTTGGAGGGGGACTGCCAAAGGTCATCTAGCCCAACCCCCCGCCGTGCTGGACGCTTCGCCTCCATGAGGTCTAGCGGCTTGCTTCTGCCCCACCCAGGTCTCAAAATTTTGAGATTGTGGCAAAGGACGGCCAGACTCCTCAAAGGGAAGCCAGTGGGATCTGAGCCTCAAGACTCTCTCCCCAGTCTCCAGCAATTATTCCAGAAATGGTTTCTGGAAAACACAACCCACGGTGGCTCTTGATAAGCTCCACGAATCCCTCCACGAATCGGATGGATCCAGTAATACATCTTTCATGTCCCTGTAGGTTTTAATTTAATTAGTAATATTGGGAAGGTAGCCCATCTAGGGGACAGAAAACTCTGGTCCTAAACCTCCACTGTCCTTTGGAGAAGAAAGGCTCAGGACTAAACCCGACACAAATCGGAGTCCCTAAGATGGTTGTGGAGTTGGATGGGACCCCCAGAGATCATTCAGTCCAGCCCCCTGCAAGGCAGGGTTCCCATTGGCTCTAGTTGTTTCCATTCATTCCGTAGGCTGCTTTGACTGCATCCCTGAGTGCACAAAACCAAGATGCAAACGGCTCAGTTACTGAAAATAAATCTCCGCAAGCCTGGGGGGGGCCTTCCATTTTGCTCCCCCCGCCCAGTGACTGCAGAACTGGGAGCCCTTTTTGCACCAGCAGTTGCCCCAGAATAACATCCCCTCCAAAGACCACCCCTCCCAGTTCCACCTTCCTTGCAAGCTCCCAAGGCAGGAGGGGAATCTGAGGCCTCACCAGCAGATCTTGGCAGGATCGGGGCCTCTCGGCTCCTTTTGGGCGGCCTTCAGAATTCCCCGGAGAACGGGGTTGACCTCTGAGCGACCGTGCAAGGCAGCCATCCAACCGGTGGAGCTGAGATGCCCCAGAGGTTTTTTTGTAGCGTTATCGTCTCAGCATAGCGCACTGGGTGTGTGTTGGTGTGTGGGGGGGGGGGAGAATAGCCGGTGGTGGTGTAAACAATGAGCTCTTTCACGGGCGAGAGCAGAGGGACGGGGCCTGTCCCTCTGCCAAGGCAGGTCTGCGGCTGCTTCCTAACTCCTTCTTTTTGCATTCGTGTGTTTGTGCCTCTGCAGGGGATGCTAGTCGAAGGTCCCCCAGGCCCCGAAGGAGCTCCGGTAAGAGGCGTGCAAAACCCCAGGGTGGGGGTTTAAGGGGGCAAACAAGGCCTCCACCCCATCTCGTGCCCCCCGTCTGGTGGGCAAGGGTGATGGTCTTCTGTTCCTCCTTCCCCACAGGGTATCAGCGGACCGCCAGGGACCACGGGACCCCCAGGACCCCCCGGCGACTCTGGGGAGAGGGTAAGGCTGCGATCCAGCGAAGGAGAGGGGGGAGAGAAGGGCATGTGGTGAAGGAGGCGCTGAAGGGCAGCTCCTGCCCCTATGCAGACAAACTTCAGCGTCACAGATTGGATTGGATGCAAAATTCAGCATCACAGATCGAATCGGATGCAAAATTCAGCGTCACAGATTGAATTGGATGCAAACATCAGCCTCACAGATTGGTTGGATGCAGAGGAAGGGTGGGAGGAACTAGCTGGGGCACCCCACAGGGAAGAAGGCTCAGAGCCCAGATATCTGGGGTGGGACAATGATGAGCCGTCAGAGGGAGAAGACTGGGAGGCGGAGGAGATGTCGGAAGCTGAAGCGGCGACAGGGCTTAGTGAGCAGGGAGAGTCTGTGGCAGAGCCAAGTCCAGACTCAGAGGCAGAAGCTGAAGCTGGAGAGGAGGAGGCCAAGAGGCAGAGAGGAGTCAGGCTGGGGAAGAGGCACGGGGGTCTCCCCCTCCTGCTGCTACAAGCTCCCCTCCCCTCTGGTTTCCCAGGACCAGAAGAGGCATGAAGTGGGAAAAGCAGAGGCAGACATGAGGGTCACGTCTCTGTTTGCTTGGGGAAGGCCTAGAGAGGCGGAGACGTAGACGGCTGGGGGGAGGTGGGGACCTTCGGTCTCAGCAACTGATCCATGGGGCAAGAGCTGACTGAGCCGCTCAGCTCATTGGGCCTGGTGATCCTGTTTTTGCTCACAAGGAGTTCATTCCCAGCTGGCTGGGGTGATTCACTGCTGGCTGGCTCCTGTCGTTTGGTGCCCTGAAGGACGCATTGTTCTCCTTTATGGATGTCCTTTGGGGAAGGGTGTCTGCAAATAATAATCATAATAATAGTAATAAAAATAATTTATTATTTATACCGCACCCATCTGGCTGGGTTTCCCTAGCCACTCTGGGCAGCTTCCTACAGGATATTAAAAACACAGTAAAAAATCAAACATTAAAAGCTTCCCTAAACAGGGCTGCCTTTAGATGTCTTCTAAAAGTCAGATAGTTGTTTATTTCCTTGACATCTGATGGGAGGACGTTCCACAGGGAGGGCGCCACTACCGAGAAGGCCCTCTGCCTGGTTCCCTGTAACTTGGCTTCTCGCAGGGAGACAACCGCCAGAAGGCCCTTGGCGCTGGACCTCAGTGTCCGGGCAGAACGATGGAGGTGGAGATGCTCCTTCAGGTATACAGGACTGAGGCCGTTTAGGGCTTTAAAGGTCAGCACCAACACTTTGAATTGTGCTCAGAAACGTCCTGGGAGCCAATGCAAAGGAGAGTGAGGCGCTCTTTGGGGCAAGGCACCCACCTCCCCTCTGCTGTGTGCTTGCATCTCAGCAATCGTCAAGTGCCAGGCGCACATGGTGCTCTCTGCACATGCAAAAGCCCAGATCAAGGCAGCCGGACCTGTTGAAGAGGCACCTGGGAGATGAGGATGCTGGACTAGGTTGGACTGGTTAAACTAGACTCTGGTGGGTGTGAGCCCTTGGCCGATTGTTGACAGTGTGCTTCGTCGTTCACACACACGTTCAAACGTGCGAACCGCTCCTTCCCGCCCCAACTCTGCTCTCCCTCCTTCTCCCCAACAGGGCCCCCCAGGACGCCCCGGCATCCCTGGCTCAGATGGATCGCCCGGACCCCCTGGCACGTCCATGATGCTTCCGGTGAGTCGGGATGGCAGAGAGAGGCCGGCCGGTATCAAGGTCCTAAGCCAGAGGTTGACAAATAGGACCTTCAGGGATTAAATGCGGGGTAGTTCTCAATGACGCTGTGTGCGGCCAACCAGTGCCAGTTTCTTCAGGGATTTCGGTGGGGGTTCTTGATGACATTAACACTAGCCAATCAGAGCTGTGCACAGCCCAGTTCTGCTGCAGACAGATGGCTCTCCCCTAGAAATCAGCCCTGAAAGGAGTCTGAGGGAAACATCTCCCTCCAACTGGGGTTGGGGGGGGCAAATGTGCGGATGTGGGGGTGTTTGGGTGCCTCTCGGTGGAACCCCAAATCTGCCTCTTCCCTCCCTCAGTTCCGATTTGGGAGCAGCGGCGGCGGAAAGGGGCCAGTCGTGGCGGCCCAGGAAGCCCAAGCCCAGGCCATCTTGCAGCAAGCTCGGGTGAGTCCGGTTTCAGGGGGGAGTGAAGATGCTGATGAAGACACCCCCCCATTTACTTCCCCTATTAAAGTCCAGGGAAAGGTGGTCTTCGCTTCCTGGTGGGCCACCCAGATTTCTCGGCCTGCCTTTCTGGGAAGGGTCCTTGTCTGGCCTAACACTGGTCTTCCAAGACCCTGAAAGAGGGGCTTTTTTTGGGGGTGCAACGAAGTTTATGAAACATAATATGCCTGGCATAGAGAAAAAGGAGAGAGAGAAAGGTTTTTCTCCCTCTCTCATAACGCTGAATGATGGAAGGTTCAGGACAGATGATAGGAAGTCCTTCTTCGCAGAGTTAAACGGTGGAACTCCCTGCCACCGGAGTCAGGGATGGGGTCACCAACCTGAATGCCTTCAAAAGAGGGTTATGGTCAGGGAGGAGGAGAGGGCTTCTGAATCCCACTGACTGGAAACCCCAGGAGGGGAGGGGGCTATTCCTCTGCTCAAATCCTGCCTACGGGGTTTCATACTGGGGCATCCGCTTGGCCACTGTGAGCAGGATGCTGGCGAAAGTGAGAAGGCCATTTCCTATGTTCTCGTGGAGCCTCCAGGCCCAGAGGCAGTCTATCGGGACCCCTAGTTTCTTCGGGGCATTGGGCCACTGTGAGAATACGGGATGCTGGACGAGAGGGGGTCCCCGGCCTGATCCGGTGAGGCTCTTTCCCTGCTCTTAATAGTCCTCTCTGAAGGAATGACCGCCGGATGTGGAACACACTTCCACCTGCAGACAAGCCACAGCTGTCTGAACATCATGCCCTCTATGTAACCTTTGGCTTTCTCAGTGGTCTGCCGTGCCCTGTCTGTGACCTCTGTCTCCTCCATCATACATTGTGCAAGGAGGAAGTGACGCGGTGGAGACAGGTGCCAAAATAACTTTGCACCACCCCACGATCTCGGGATTGGAAGATGTGTAAAGGTCACAGTCTGCAAAATGTATCTGGCTGGTTTTGCATATTGTGCTAATAAAAAGAGCCTCTGCAGAGCTATCTGGCAGCTTGCTTGTGCACAGCTCACCTGCATTACCAACTCCTGCCTTCACTTCACCTCTCCCTTCCCAGGAGCACTTGCGTCCAAATGCTCTTCCAGTGATGGTCTGATACAGACACCTTAACCTCTCCTCCCTCCCCTTTTCTTTCCTCCGCAGCTGGCCTTGCGTGGCCCCCCAGGACCCATGGGCTATACGGGTCGTCCTGGACCCCTGGTGAGTATTTTGCTGGGGGGGGGGTGCTTGGGTTTGTTTCCTGGGGCTCAGAGTAGAAGGACTTGGGTGCGTTTGGAAGAGCCACCATCACCCACATTCCCAGGACGATAAATCCAGAATCCAACGGTGCTGTGGTGGTTTGAGTTTTTTCGGACGAAGACCTGGAAGGAACCAGAGTTCGAATCCCCCCTCAGTCTTGAGGTGTGGCAATGCAGTCGGAGCAAAAAGCAATTCAGCACCATGAATTGGGCCCAGAAATGAAGCTGGCGACCAGGGCGTCTGCTTCTGGAATGGGGGGTTTCTGTGAGATCTGGCCACTGCATTTTGGAGCAAGTGAAGTTTCCGAGTCATCTTCAAGGGCAACCCCAGAGAGAGCGGATTGCAGTAGCTGAGTCAACAGCTAATGCTATTCTGCATCAACAGAGGTCTAGTGTCCAGGTCAAGGGAAGTCATAGTCTCACTCTCTTCTGCCTTGGTCAGGCCCCACCTGGCCTATTGTGTCCAGTTCTGGGCGCCACAATTTAAGAAGGATGTTGACAAGCTAGAACATGTGCAGAGGAGGGCGACCAAGATGATCAAGGGTCTGGAAAGTGAGCCTGATGAGGAACGGTTGAAGGAGCTGGGTATGTTTAGCCTGGGTAAGAGGAGACTGAGAGGAGATACAATAGCCATCTTCAGATATCTTAAGGGCTATCACATGGAAGAGGGAGCAGGCTTGTTTTCTCTTGCTGCAGAGGGTAGGACTCGAACCCATGGCTTCAAGTTACAAGAAAGGAGATTCTGACTAAACATCAGGAAGAACTTTCTGACAGGAAGAGCTGTGTGAAAGTGGAAAGGGTTCTATACTCCAGACCATGGGCTACATAGAGCAGAGCTTTCCAAACTTCATGTTGGTGACGTGCATCACTTCGCGACACAGTAATTCAGTATCGCATCATTTCGCCACATAGTAATTCGGTTTTGCGTCATTTCGTGGCACAGTAATTCAGTTTTGCATCATTTCACAACACAGTAATTCAGTTTTGGGTCATTTTGTGGCACAGTAATTCGGTTTTGTAACATTTTGCGGCACATTAATTCGGTTTTGCATCACTTCGTGACATAGTAATTTGGTTTTGCGTCATTTCACAACACAGTAATTCAGTTTCGCATCATTTCACAACACAGTAATTCAGTTTTGCATCTCTTAGCGACACAGGAATTCAGTTTTACTAGCAAACCAGAGTTTAAACTAATCCCTTTCCAGCCCCGGGAGGAGCTTGGGGAGAATTTGCACGACTCGCCGACACACTGCAGCCGAAACACTAGTGTGTCAAGACACACAGTGTGGAAACCTCTGACTCAGAGTCCGCCACCTCCAGCTCTTTGGAGGAAAAGCTGGGATACACAGCCAATTTGAATTTGTTAGTTCCTTTATCTTCCCAAGGGCAGCCCAAATGGATAAATAATCGCCGTACCAAACCAGATTAAATGTGCAGCCCTTCAGAGCTAAGAATGTCTTTTTTATTTCCTGTCTTCCAGGGTCAACCTGGCAGCAACGGCGTGAAGGGAGAGCACGGAGACTTTGGTCCCCAGGTAAGCTGGCTTCCCAACCTGAGCTGGGAGCCCTCTGCTAGAGCCCCAGTCTCTTCCCCCTGTGCCCCCTAAAATCCCCCTTTAGCATAACCTGCGTCGTCTGACCTCCTTCTGATAAAACGGCTGGCAAACGAGACATAACAGCCGCGCATCAGAACATCGCAAGCTCAGCGTGAATCGTACGAGATGGCAAGGAAATCGTCAGTAAAACAATTGCAAAACCATTTAGAAAACAACTAAAACATGAGCTGAACGTCCTAAGTGCCATATAAGTTGTGTTTTATTGGACCTGCTTGAGCTGAGATTCCTGCATTGCAAGGGGTCAGACTAGAGGATCCTTGGGGAGCCCAACTCTATCGTTTTCTGGCTCACACAGACCCATTGCACACCACCCCAGAGGACCTGCGTACGAGCTGGACTTTTGCTGATTTGTTCCCGGGTCCAAGCCGTGTCCTTGCAGCAAGGCATATCGGACCCTCCAAATGTCCCTATTTCCCAGGGAGAGTCCCGATTTCTGATTTGACCCCAGAATCTCCCACTTTTTTTTAGGACACCTCTGTTTCCATGGGAGAAATGTCGGAGGGGGTGGGATATTCCCCAAACCAGCAGAAAACAGCAAACTGCCACCATCTCCATGTTCTTGGGGTCATTTGGCTGCTGCACCCCCAGCTCAGATTCCTCCCCCCCCCCAAAAAAAATCTATTGGCTGCTACAGACCTCAAATGCAACAGACAGCTGGCGGGGGGACGGGACCCCTACCCAATTCCCCACCCCTCTTTCATGAAGTCCCAGGGTTTCCTCTCTCCTCTCCCCCCCCCAAATGTTTAGGGACAAGACAGGGCACCCTAATACGACGCTCTCTTTCTCCACTTAGGGTCCTCGAGGTCCACAGGGGCTGACTGGACCCCCAGGGAAGCCCGGACGCCGAGTAAGTTTCTGTTTCTGTTGTTTATTTATTTTATTTTTTTAATTAATGGAGGCAGGTTGCCGTTTTTTGCCTCCTCTGTGACCCCTGCGTTGTGGTGGGGTTGGTCTAGATGAGCCCCGGGGTCCCGTTCCCGCATGGCAATCCTACGGTCCCGGGAGTCCTGAAAAGTCGCGGAATAAAAGTAAAAAATAACAGTAGTGATTTGCTTGAAAGTTAGGCGGGGTGAGCCTTTGAGAAGGTGATGTTTTGGAAGATTTGGGGCAGATTAAACGGAAGGGCTTCTTCATGCAGTGGAAACTGTGGAACTCTCTGCCACAAGGGGCATTGACGGCGGCCACCAACGTGGATGGATGTAAAAGAGGGTTAGGCAAATTAATGAAGGACTGAGCTCCCGTGGCTGTGCTTTGCCATCGTGGTCGGAGGCAGTTGAATGCTTCTGAATCCCAGTTTCTGGAAAACGGCAGGAAGGGAGAGGGCTTCTGGTTCGAATCCTGCTTTTGGGTTTCCCACAGTAGTCTGGTCAGCCGTTGTGAGAACAGGATTCCGGACTAGACGGGCCCTTGGCCTTCTCATGTTCTGATGGGTCCCTGCCATGGGAGCATATTCACCCAGTGCTTTTCCAGCTGCACTGGCTCCCGGTGGAGTACAGGGTCAGATTTAAGGTGCTGTTCTTGACCTTTAAAGCCCTTTGCGGCTTAGGGCCCTCGTATTTACGGGACCGCCTCTCCTGGTATGCCCCACAGAGGACCTTAAGGTCCATGAATAACTGTAGTTTAGAGGTCCCGGGCCCTAAGGAAGCCAGACTATCCTCCACCAGGGCCAGGGCCTTCTCAGTGATGGCTCCGACCTGGTGGAATGCTCTGTCCCATGAGACCAGGGCCCTGCAGGATTTAACTTCCTTCCGCAGGGCCTGTAAGACAGAGCTATTCCGCCTGGCTTTCAATTTGTACCTGGCCTGATATTTTGTTCCCCTTCCTTCCCTCCCCCTCCCCTTTTTGTGAAGATTTCCCACTCTGGAATCCCACAGCTCATTCTCCCCTGGTCTCCTCGCTGGCCCAAATAGGACTAATTTAGTCAGCTAGCCCTGGTAGTGGATGGATTTCCCCACCAAATTGATTTTTGATTTTATTCTTATTTACGCTTTCTGAACCAGGAAGGGCGGGGTATAAATAATTTTTTTTTTTAATTATTATTATTATTATTATTATTATTATCCCTCCATCCACCTGCCTCTCTCCCTCCCTCCCACAGGGTCGTGCTGGAGCGGACGGTGCCCGGGGCATGCCCGGGGAAACGGGCATCAAGGTAAGGCGACCCTCTGGGCGTTGCAGCGGGTTGGGCTAGATGACCGCTGGGGTCGCTTCCAACCCGACAGTTCTGCCATTCTAGACAAAGGGCCTGTGGGGAACGTGGTTTCATGAGGACTAGCGCCGTCCCCTCGGGATTTGCCATCCTGACCTTGTGAGAAGGGGGGTCACCTTTCCCTTCTCTCTCTCCGCAGGGTGACCGCGGGTTTGATGGGCTTCCAGGCCTCCCGGGGGAGAAAGGCCATCGGGTAAGTGAAACGGGGGAGCCTGCAAAGTGGGGGTCGGCAGCCCCACCCAAATTGCTCACTGCAGGAGGGTGGGCTCGATGACCTCTGGGGGATCCCTTGCAACGCCACCATGTTGTGATTCTAACACACACACACACACACACACACACACACACACCCATTTTCAGCAGTAATTAAACATATTTTTACATCTTCTTCAAATTTTTTTGACTTCTACCAGTCCTGTCTAAAAATTTTCCAATCTAATCTCCTAGTATACGTTTCTTATTTTCCCTGTTACATTTAAAACTCATAACATAACCAGTATCTCTATTCTTTATCTACTTTGTAGCACTTCGTATATTTCTCCCCGCAAAACTTCTTGTAGTCCTACTAACGTAATTTGTTGGTTACAATTGCTCTCCAAATGGTTTGTATACTTCTTCCAATCTTCTGTAAATCTCTGGTCCCGCAGGTTTCAAATCCTTCCTGTCATTTTGTCCAGTTCTGCGTAGTCCATTTATTTTCGTCTGGCGTTCTTCTTTCATCGGAATTTCTTCTTGCTTCCATTTCTGGGCTAACAATACTCTTGCCGCTGTGATTCTAACTCTTGGAATACCCCTTTTGCATCTGCAATGGCTTTGCTCCAAGGGAGTCCCGTAGAACTCCCTGCCACTGGAGATTCAGCAGGAGCCCTCCGTGCCAACTCTTAAGACCCCTGCTAAATACTTTTCGATTCCGCCAGTTCTGTGCAGGCATTCGATAATACACAGAATCCTCCTTCCAGAGGGGTTTTTTTTTTTAAGCTGGCGTTTATCATAAAGTTTTATGTTTCCATTGCCATAAACCGCCTTGATTTTATTAAAAATAAAAATACTACATAAACTAATTCATTTTTTGAATAATATTTTTTAAAAAATATTTATTAAATTTTATAACAATTAATGATACAAATCTAATTCATCGTGTTATTTACAATTATTCTCCCCTCTGGACTTCTCTCAACTCCCCCTCTGCTGAGTTATTTAGTTTTATCGTATCCTGCTTTTTCTGCACAAAAATAAAATCCCTTATTATTATTTCTCTAAAATATCTGTTACTCAAATGAAGTTGTGGAAGTTTATTCAAAGCCTGCCAGTGAATCCAGTCCATTCTGTTGTTTCTGCAAATAGACTGTAAATGGTTCCCAGACTCTTTTGAAGTCCTTTTTGTCCTTCTCTCGTAGTTTGTTAGCTTAGCCAATTCTGCAGAGTTCATCAGCTTTTCTTGCCATTGTTCCTTTGATGGTATTTCTTCCATCTTCCAATACTGTGCAATCAAGATTCTTGCCGCTGTTGTAGCATACATAAATAATGTCCATTTTTCTTTTGGTAGCTCTTGATTTGAGATACCGGACAAAAAGGCTTCAGGGTGTTTGACAAAATTCATTTTAAACATTTTTTTCCAATTCATTGTATATCATTCCCCAATATTTTTTAAATGCATCTGCATTCCCACCACATATGACAAAATGTTCCTTCCTTTTCCTTACATCTCCAACATCTGTTATTTTCTTTCCTAAACATCTTTGCCATTTTCACTGGTGTGATATACCATCTATACATCATTTTCATGTAATTCTCTCTTAATAGTATGCAATCTGTGAATTTTATATCAACTTTCCATAATTTCCCCCAACTTTCAAGTTGGATGTTGTGTCCCACATCCTGAGCCCATTTAATCATAACTGATTTAACCTCTTCATCTTTGGTTTCCCACTTTAATAAAATACTATATGCTTTAACATTCTCTTCCACTATTTCTTTTTGAAATCTGGAGATTGTACAACTAAACCCCTTTTTATGGTCTTCCTTAAAAATTTCATTTAATTGCCTAGGGTGTAACCAACTTTGTAAATAGTCTTTCAGCTCATCACACGCTCTTAATTTGAGTTTACCTTCTTCTTCTGTTAATAACACTCTATATGTCAAACAGCTTACTTTTTTGGTCGACTTAAGTGAAAATGCTTCAGTGACAACCACCATGGTGTTTTCCGCTCTAACATATATTTTCCCCAGACTCTTATTAATGACTTTCTTATTATATGACTTGAAAAACCTTTAAGTATTTTCCCTTTCCCATACCATAAATATGAGTGCCAGCCAAATCTATTGTCGTGTCCTTCTAATTCCAACTCTTCTTCTTTTTCTAATTTTATCCAAACAAGACATGCTGCTTCAAAATACAATTTCAAATCTGGGAGGGAAAAGCCTCCTCTGTTAGTATCTTATGTTTTATCTTTGGTCTTTTCCCATTCCAAATAAATTTTGAAATATCTTTTTGCCATTTTTTGAAGGATATCTTGTTATTTATCATCGGGATCATCTGAAATAGAAATAGTATCTTTGGCAAAGCACTCATCTTTATTGCTTCAATTTTCCCTAACATGGAAAGATTCATCCTTCCCCAGATTTCTAGATTTCTTTTAATTTCATTCCATATTTTCTCATAATTATCTTTATATATATTTATGTTTCTTGTTGTTAACCATATTCCTAGGTACTTAACTTTTTATGAATTTCAATTCCTAACTCCTGGGATAGTTCTTTCTTCTCTTCTTCTTTTTGATTTTTAAGAAGTAGCTTAGTTTTCTTCTTGTTAAGTTTAAATCCTGCTACTTGACCAAACTCCTGTATTTTTTCTATTACCTTTGGGAGAGATAGCTTTGGTTCTTCTACAGTGATTACTAAATCATCCGCAAAAGCTTTTAATTTGTATTCATATTTACCTTTCCTAATATCTACTATTTCTTTATCCTCTCTAATATTCCTTGCTAAAGCTTCCAGGACCATCATAAATTAAAGTGGTGAGAATGGACATGCTTGTCTTGTTCCTTTCGGAATCTCACACTGTTTTGTTATCACTTGATTTACAATTAGTTTTGCTCTTTGTTCTGAGTAAATAGCTTGGGCTCCCCTCCTATATTTTTCTCCAAATTCCATCTCTTCTAGGACTTTTTTCATAAAGTCCCAAGAGATATTATCAAAGGCTTTCTCTGCGTCTATAAACATTAGGGCCGCTTGTTTTTCATTTCTAATTTCCAGGTATTCTATTATATTCAAAATATTTCTTATATTATCTTTCATTTGTCTACCTGGCAGAAACCCTGCTTGGTCTCTCTGAATATATTCCTCTAAAGCCTTTTTTAATCTGTTTGCTAAGATGTACGCAATCAGTTTGTAATCATTGTTTAATAGAGAAATAGGTCTATAATTTTTAACTGACTTCAGATCTGATGCTTGTTTTGGACTTAGTGTTATATATGCTTCTTTCCATGTCTCTGGAAGCTTCCCTATTTTTAGAATTTCATTCATCAGATCTTTTAGAGGGTTCACAAGCTGCTCACTCAGTTTCTTGTAATACTTGCTGATTGCCCATCTGGTCCATGCAATTTCCCTACTTTTGCTTGACTTACTGCATTTAAGACTTCTTGCCCTGTTATTTCTTCATTTAATACTGCTAACTTATGTTTTTATTTTTTGTAAATTACTCTTTTTAAGATATTCCTCTATCTTTGATATCTTTTCTGTTCCCTTTTTATATAAATCAGCAAAGTACTTGACAAAGGCTTCCCTAATTTCTTTTGGTTTTTCTGCTATCTTGCCATTTGCCTTTATTTTGTTGATATAATTTTTTGACTCATTTTTCCTTATTTGCCATGCCAATAATTTTCTTGACTTATTGGCATGCTCGAAATACTTTTGTTTGCATCTTTTAATATTCCATCCTATTTCTTCATTAATAACCATTGAATATTGTGTTTGCAACAACTGATTTGCCTGTTTTACTGTTTCTTTGTTAGGTTTTTTTTCTAATTCTTTCTCTTTTTCTAGAAGTGCATCTAAAATTTCTCTTTTCTTTTTTCCCTTTCCTTTCTTTCTTATTGAGTTTTGTTGGACAAACAGCCCTCTCATAACCGCCTTGAATAATATTTGAATAATATTTTCTAGTTTAACATGTTCATGTGTGTTATATTTCACTAATAAATGGCTTTTTTTACAAACATTCTTATACCCTCTATTATGCGCATTTTTGTATATATCTTTTTTTAAAAATAATATTTATTACTTTTCCAAAAAATTTTAAACACTAAAAAAATAATACAATACATTAAACTAACAAAACAAAACAAAAACAATAAAATAAGTCAAACAATTTCATTATCCCATCTTTCATTCACTTATTTCCACGACCTCCTCACACCTCCCTTTTTGTATTCCACTTCTGTTAATTATTTCAGCAATTCCTTTCCATCTTCCTCTGTTTGCTATCCTATAATTATCTTAACTCATTCTAACCTTATTTTTTCCTTTAATACTCTATTAATCTATTTATACTTAATTCCTTATAACATTTCTACTAAAGCCATGTAACTTCATTCCAACATTTTTCTAACATTCATTGATTTTACAGTATTTCTGTAAGTAATCTTTACGCATTTTTGTATATATCATCTGGGTAGAGAATTGCATCAGAATTTCGGAAAAGTGCAAATTTTGAAGAAGTAATTCCATTTTGGTTTGGGCATTGTTCCAAGGAGTGCAAATTAGGCAGCTTCCCATTAAATTGTAAACAAAATCGAATTTCTTCCCCCACCCCTGGGGGCATTAATTTAAATTAACTCAACATTTTAACAAACAAACAAACAAACAACTTTCTGTTCCCAGCTTATTATTTGTTGGATTTTTTAAAAAAGAAAATAATGGCTATTATCCAAAATGGCTATGTTTTCTTTCCAAATGCCTCTGGGTATCATGGCTGGGAATCGCGGGTGGGGAGAATTGCTGCATCCCATAATAGGCACCTGGTTGACCACTGTGAGGACAAGATCCTAGACTAGATGCACCCTGCCTGCTTGGGCGTGATCCTGCTGCCACGGGGCTAACAACAACAACAACAACAACAAATTATTTAGGCTTTCCTTGGTACTTTCTGACCACTCCCTGACAGGCGGAAGTTCAACAGGTGAATCCTTCCACCCTCACTGAATGCACCTGTTGAACTTCTGCATCTCATCCCTCTGGAGGCCCAGACGGAGCCCAAAGGAGCTTGGGTTTCCTGACCCCATTGGAAGCATCCTGGGCCCATAACCTACTGGCAAAACCTGTTGGTGTTTCGCAACTTTCTGACTAGTTGCAGGACCTTAGCCAGACCTAGCAGAGTAAACGCAGAGTTCACGCAAGCAGTTGGCAACTTGGCTGCAGACAGGATGGACGAAGCAGGAACCAGGAATTTGTAGTTAGGTGTTTATTATATACAGTGGACTATTTACAGGAACAGAACACGGATCTTTAGCTAACTCTCTCATACATGACTCACAACTCTCAACCTCCAACTCCTACTCTCAAACTCGTACTAGCACACATTCCAGTTAATAGGCCATTAATCATTATTCCCGTGAGAGAGCTTGACCAATCATGGAGCTGTCTCCATGCCTCTGTATCACCAGGCAGACTTACTCCTTCACATTGCCTTGGCTGTTGGCCAAACCGTAATTGACTCTGTGTGAGGAGCTGCACGTATTCAGATTCCCAACAAACTACGGCTCCCAGAATCCCTTGGGTGAAGGAGGCGGGGCCTCGTGCAGGGGGTCTGCTCTTCTGTGTCTCTTCTGATCAGTGTGCCTCTCTCTCACCCCACACTAGGGTGACTCTGGATCTCAGGGTGTTCCTGGTCCCCCCGGGGAAGATGGCGAGAGGGTGAGTACTGGCCGTGGGTGCAAAGAGAGGGGGATTTGGGGTGCAGGGAGCATACAGTGGAGTTTGATCCTCCAGAGGTCCGTCCGTCAAGAGGGCGTAGAAAAAAGCAGAAATATTCTAGGGGGCGGAGCAAGACCCCTGTGAGGTTGCCAAGTTTGGAGCTTCTCATCTTGGAGAAAAAGCCTGGAAGAGGAGAAGGCGTGGTAGAAATTTACGAAATTATGCATGGAAGGGAGAAAGTTCATTTCCCTCTCTCTTAACACTCGAACCGGTGGACATTCGGGGAAGCTGAATGTGAGAAGATTCAGGATGGAGTTCTTTTTTTAAAAAAGTCATTTTTGTTGATTTTTCAATAAAAAACATCCAGTTAATACATCCAATCATAGTACTCCAATTGAAATAAAAAAACTAAAATAAAAAAATCAAATTATAGTCCAAATTATAATTATTAATTTTTCGGAGCGCCCCACGGTCTGGATCTCTGAAGGATATCTCCACATCTTAGTCCTGCTTCTCCTCGTTGTTGAGGATGGATTTCAAAAGTCCATATTCACGCAGGTTAACCTACGGAACTCCCTCCCCCATGATGGCCACCAAAGTTGGATGGCTTTACAAGGGGATGAGAGAAATTCCTGGTGGGGGAAAGGGTGTTCATGGCTGGAGGCACGAGGCTTCTGGATCCCAGCTGCTGGCAACCACAGGAAGGGAGAGGGGTTCGAATCCTGATTGCCAGTTTCCCGCAGGGACTGTGAGGACAAGATGCTGACTTACGCAGGCCCTTTGACCTTATCTCTTTGCATATATATATATATATATATTGTATATATAACAGAGAGAACACTTGTAACCCCAAGATCAACAGGTGAGAAAGAAAACCAGAATGAGTCCAGTTGTACCTGGGTTCAAATGAAAAAGTCCAAGTAAATACTATCGGTGTTATCAGTTTGTCAAAGATAGGCTCTTTCCATGTTCCAAAATGATGATGATGATGATGATAATTGTGGCTTTCAACCAATATGAAAGCATCAAAAAACATCAGACATTAAAAACCAAGTATATGCATTATTTTTCAACCTGCCCATTCAAAAACAGCAGGAGTTGAGATTCTCTGGCGGGGGGGCGGGGGGTTGAGAGCCTTTACGCAGGAATGTTTTTTGGTGGAGGGGTGGAGGCAGCGTTCCCTGAGATGAATTCTGCACATGCACAGAGACCCTGTTGTTCCCTGAGCTCCTTTGTGACTCTGTCTCCCTCCCCCCCCCCCCGATGCAGGGAGACGACGGAGAGGTCGGCCAACGTGGGCTTCCTGGAGAACCGGTGCGTATGGTCCCGTTCCTGCAAGGGATCTTGGGGTCTGGCCAAGTCTGGGGCCCCTATTGGTGTATCCCAATGGCGGGGGCCTCGTCCTCCCAAGCAACGGCCGAGGGTGACAAGGGAAGGCAGGGACCTCTTGCCCCAAAAGGTGCGAGTCCTCACCTCCCATCCGAAGTGGTACAGTCCTCCTGACAGCTGGATCGTAGCCCCATTAGCTGCCTACTGTGAGAGGAAATGCTTCGAAATAAACTATCAGAGGATAATTATTGCTTTTGGGGAAAAACCAAAGCTCAGAAATTGGAAACTTCAAGGCCAAAATTTAGAACAAGTCTCGAACTATAAATATTTAGGAATGGCAGTCCAAGCATCAGGATCCAACAAAATTCATATAAACTCAAATGGGTGTGCAAAGTATTGTCAAATTTCTGGACATTACATCAAGGTGGTTCGTAGCTGCTGTGTTTTGAAGCTGTACAGTGGACTGTGTCTTTTTATTATTACTACTACTACTACTACTGCAGTTTTTGAATCCAGACCAAGCCCCAAGCCGCCTGAGAAACATTTCTACCCAAATGCGATTTTGGTTTTAAACGCAGTGTAAGGAGTCTCTATGGGAGTATACTGTATTTAAAAATGAGGTATCAGAGTTTTTAGGGGGTCAAATAGGCTGGGATAGCTGGGATAGCAGGCCTGTTGGGTTTTGAATGTCTTATGTAGATTTTTCAATTTTGTTGTTCTTTATGGGAGAATGACAATAAAGATTATCGTATCCTTTCCAGTCCAGAGGAGAAAACAACAACAACATTAATATTTGTTAACTGACTGCCTTGCCCCAGTCACCCTGGGCAGCTTCCAACAGACATAAAAACACAATAAAAAGCTGAGCATTAAAAACTGTGATGCAGCAGATTCTTGCCATGCAAAGAGCTGGACTAGATGACTCTAGGGGTCCCTTCCAACAGTTCTGTGATCCAGCCCCCTGAAGGAGAGTGCCTGACCTTTTCTCTCTCCTTTTCTTCAGGGCCCCCGAGGTCTTCTTGGCCCCAAAGGACCCCCAGGGATCCCAGGCCCTCCGGTAAGTGCTGGGGAGGGGGTTTTCCTGCCCCACTGAACTGCACCACCAGCCCCCCAGCCCTAACCGCCTCTTGTGTCTCTGCCTGTTCTCCTGACAGGGTGTGCGTGGCATGGATGGACCCCACGGGCCCAAGGGGAACCTGGTGAGTAATAATAATAATAATTTATTATTTATACCCCGCCCATCTGGCTGGGTTTCTCCAGCCACTCTGGGCAGCTTCCAACAAAATATTTAAATACAATAACCTATTAAACATTAAAAGCTTCCCTAAACAGGGCTGCCTTCAGATGTCTTCTAAAAGTCTGGTGTTTGTTCTTCTTTTTGACATCTGGTGGTAGGGCGTTCCACAGGGCGGGTGCCACCACCGAGAAGGCCCTCTGCTGGTTCCTTGTCACTTTGCTTCTCGCAGTGAGGGAACCACCAGAAGGCCCTCGGTGCTGGACCTCAGTGTCCGGGCAGAACAATGGGGGTGGAGATGCTCCTTCAGGTATACTGGACTGAGGCCATTTAGGGCTTTAAAGGTCAGCACCAACACTTTGAATTGTACTACTTTGAGTCGCCCCGGGGTGCCTCGTGGTGGGTGCTGTGTGGGCTGCCATCCCAAACTTCCCTGGGAATCCAGGACTCAAAAAGCTTCGCCTGAGATGGGCCACTCATGGTCTCTCATCCCAAGGCTGTTGTGAGGTCAAAATGGGGAGCGGGTGATCCCACGAGATCGCCTTTCCCCACTTGCCCCCCACTGGACCACTTCCATCAACTACAAGGTGCCACACAAGACACTTTCCACGTTTGTAAGAATTCAATATATGACTTTGATGGCATCTACACTTCGGAACTCCCTGCCTCTTGATCCCAAGAGGCTGTCCGCTTTTGAGTGCCTGCCAAAAGCATCCCTGTTTTGATAGTTGCTAAAAAAAATTGGATGTGAATTTTACCTTGCTTTAGTATTTTAACTTTCTGTGTGTTTTAAAGCAGGGTTGTAGATTTCTCTTGATTGTATGGTTTTCTGTTATTGAAATCTGCTTTGGGTGGTTGTTGTTTTAATACAGTCAAGCGGTCTATAATTTTTAGGAAATGAAGAGAGCGTTAAAAATACGCAGTGTATGTTTCCATGGAGGAAAGTGGCTGGGGATATCGGTGTCAGAAATGAGTAAATTGCTCTCTCGCCCCTTTTGAAGCTGTTCTGCAGGGAAGACGGAGATGCTGTGATTTCTGCATTGCCTCTTCTGTACATTGAGGGGGCTCAATGAGGGGCCCCATGCCTGCCCCCACCCCACAATAAATAAATAAATAAATAAATAAATAAATAAATAAATAAATAAATTTTATTTATATCCTGCCCTCCACAGCCGAAGCCAGGCTCAGAGCAGCTAACAACAATAAAAGCAACACATTTTCCATAAAAACCCAATCAATTAATTAAAATACATTCCAAAATCAATTCATTCTAAAATCAATTCAAAATCAAATTCATGGCAACCATTGGACTAGAGTTCTGTGAGGATTACCAAAGGAGGGAGTCAGGCTGTGCCTTGGCCAAAGGCCTGGTGGAACAGCTCTATCTTGCAGGCCCTGCGGAAAGATGTCAAGTCCCGCAGGGCCCTAGTCTCTTGTGACAGAGCGTTCCACCAGATCGGGGCCACAGCCGAAAAAGCCCTGGCTCTGGTCGAGGCCAGCCTAACTTCCCTGTGGCCCGGGACCTCCAAGATGTTTTTGTTTGAAGACCGTAAGGTCCTCCGTGGGACATACCAGGAGAGGCGGTCCCGTAGGTACGAGGGTCCTAGGCCATGATGCTCCCCAGTTTCGGACTGTGACAATCTGACTCTGAATCTCTTGTTTTTGACCAGGGACCTCAAGGGGAGCCGGGACCCCCTGGCCAGCAGGGGACTCCAGGGACGCAGGTGAGTGAACCCATCAGAGGACCTCTGCTGGATCTGTCCCCAACATCCTCCTTCCCGCTCACCCCCACGGCATGAAGTCCGCAAGCCGGCTGGAATGGGGAGATAGACTAGCCCTGAATGGGGAGGTTCCATACGGCAGCCATCAGGACTGGCTCACAGGCCCCTTTCCTCTCCAGATGCATCGCTTTAAGGAGAAGCTCCAGCCGCCGTTCCTCAACCTGGTGCCCTCCAGACGTTTTCAGACTACGATTCCCATCAGCCCCACAGGGTGTAGCGAATGGTGGGAGTTGCAGTCCAGGGCCTCAGGTTGGGAGAAGCCAACGCCAAACACTGCTAGATAGATTCCTGGCCAACATTGATTCCTGCGTTTTAGGGGGTTGGACTAGATGACCCTGGGGTCCCTTCCAAAGCTATGATTCCTGTGTTTGGATCAGCCTTTTGGCTAAGATCTGCTCTTGTCCGTTTAATATCAGCTACGTCCTCTACTAAATGGATTTTTGGAGCTGGGAGATGGCAGAGGGACTGGCTCATCAGCTCCCCATCTGTGGAGTGTTTTTGTGGGTTCAAAAAGTAGAGGGAAGCAACATTTGCAAGCTTATCTCTCTATTCAAGAACGGACAACTTCCAAGAAGTGCTCCTTCGAAGCTGCAGTTTGCCTGCTTCTCTGAAAACAGGCTGATTCTCTTTGCTTCAGATGAAAAGGGGAGACAAAAATGCACGAAATTAGGATAATTGGCTCGGGAAATAGAAATTCTTCCTGGGTCTGGTGTGGGGCCTCTTTGACCGTCTCCGGAAATGTCTCTAGAGGAGGCCTCCGGCCGACAACTGTAAGAGCAGGATGAGAGCCCTTGGGCCCGATCCTGCAGGCTCTCCTGACCTTCTGGTCCCAAAGAAATGACCCTGAGCAAGGAAGGATTTGAGAGGCCGCCAGAGAGAACTGGGAGGGTGGACGTTTTTGTCCTCAGTTGGGGGGCTCAGGAGGGCATCTCCAGGAAGTGGGCTGGGAGGGCGCCCGTCACCGACGTTCTCCTCTTTCTCCTTCTTCTCAGGGATTGCCGGGACCTCAAGGTGCAATGGGACCTCATGGGGAGAAGGTGAGCTGGGAGGGACCCCTGGCTTGCTGACCGAGAGGGGCAGCCACGCCGAACCCCAAAGCAGGGAGGTGGTGACTGGGTTAGGTTGGGTAGGGTTGGGTTTTAGGGTTGGTTTGGGTTTTTGGGTTGGGTTGGAATGGAATGGGTTTGAGGGTTGGGTTTGAGGGTTGGGTTGGGTTGTAGGGTAGGGTTGGAATGGAATGGGTTTTAGGGTTGGGTTGGGTTTTAGGGTTGGGGTGGCCATTCTTGGGCTAATGGGATTTTCTCCTTCAGGGCCCCAGAGGGAAACCTGGACTTCCGGGGATGCCTGGCTCCGATGGCCCGCCTGTAAGTACCTGCCCCTCACCTCTGCCTCAGGCCTCCCTTGGCTCAGTGGCCCCCCAGCAAAGACGGGAGGCATGTTGAACAGGAAGTAGCTGGTGGCCCTGTCCTCTACCCTTCTTGGAGTCCCCACTGAAAAGAGAACGCTGAGAAGCCACTGTTTCTGCCAAGGGGAGGACAATGTTAACATGATTATGCTGGGGTTTTCCTAGTTGCCATGCTGGACGCCAGTCCCCACACCAACACCTTCACCCACCCGTGGTCATGACTCTGCAACCATGTTGCAGCAGTTTCGTGGCCGGCCTACCCAGCAACGCAAGCAGGTTGGGGCCCTTGCAAAAAAGAGCAGGCGTCCATAGGGCCCCTGAGATCCCCCCAAAGGGTGGCCCTTCTGTCCTGGTCATGTCAGCACCACAAAGTGTCACAGATCAGCCTCCCACAGGGTAAACTGTGAAACGCTGGCACGACGGCCACTATCGGGGCCCACAGGGGGCAGTTTTGAACAGGAAGTGTCTCTTTGCATTCCCTGGTAGCCATGTTAAACAGGAAGACAGCCATATTAGACAGGAAGTGAGTTGATGTTGCATCCTTGTGAAACAGGAAGTGAGTTGATGTGGCAGCCATGTTAAACAGGAAGTGAGTCGATGTGGCTGCCTTGTTAAACAGGAAGTGAGTTGATGTGGCAGCCATGTTAAACAGGAAGTGAGTTGATGTGGCAGCGATGTTAAACAGGAAGTGAGTTGATGTGGCAGCCATGTTAAACAGGAAGTGAGTCGATGTGGCTGCCTTGTTAAACAGGAAGTGAGTTGATGTGGTGGGCATATTAGACAGGAAGTGAACTACGGTCAGTAGTAGTAATAATAATTAATTTCAATTTACATATGGTACCACCTTTTATCCCAGGGTAGTGTACAACATTTAAGACATATTTTATGCAGTACAATAATAAAAACACAATACAGAGCATAATGATACAATAATCATAATCATTCCACTCCCCACATTTGACATAGCCTGCTAGTCATATTAGACAGGAAGTGAGCGGCTGCCCCATCCTTTGTGCCTCCTCCTGGCATTTTCCAGCTGAGCTCCCATGTCCCCAAACGGCTTTCCCCTGGCCCTGGGCAAAGAAGGCCCTGGCAGACTGGCATGGAGATTTGCCCTCTCCCCAAATAGTGGGATTCGAAAAGGAGGCAGCGATCCAAGTCCTGTGGATTATTAACTCAACTCCTTCTTGCTCTCTCTCACCTTCCTTTCATCCCTTTCTCTTAGGGCCACCCTGGCAAAGAGGGGCACCCAGGCACCAAAGGAAACCAGGTGAGAAGGGGCAGCCCCACACCCAGCACGTGGCAGCAGTCTAACCAGGGGGGTGATGGGGGAAGTATGGAGTGGCGCCGTGAGGCTCTCCCCGCCCACAAACGGCCGTAGGCGGCAGATCACCAGGCATGGGAAACGGTTTCTCTGAGCCACTGACACCATGGGGTCTCTGCTGACAGCACTGGGTCTTTAAGAGGGAGAACAAGCCTTTCCATGGCTGGCAGGCAGCTCAGTTTCCAGACCATAAGTGAAAAAATATCCCAGGGAGAGCAAACAAGTACATCGAAAAAAGATGCTTTTATGTTTGCATTCCTGCTATGCCCTTTCCAGACACTAGGTGGCAGGAGGAATCGACGCACAGAGCAGCACCTCCTTTTCCATCCAGCAGGGGGCAGTGCAGTCCCACACATACAAAGACATGCAGTGCTCCGTTAATCTGCGGAACTCCCTCCCACAGGAGACGGTGATTGACGGCCGCCAACCTAGACGGCCTCAAAACAGGGTTAGGCAAATTCACGGAAGAGGAGAGGGCTCCCAATGGCTACTAGCTGGAATGTCTGTTGCTTGAATTCGGAATCCAGAATCGTGTTCGAATCCTGCTTGCCGTTTCCTCACAGGCATCTGGTTGGCCGCTGGACTAGACGGTTAGGTTCCTAGGCCCTTACAAAACCCAGGTTCACACACACTTTGCAGAGGCCTCCCTTAGAGGGACCCTCACAGACACACAGCGTGGAAGGAGAGGGTTGCATCCTGAGCAACTTAGTATTTCCGCCTTGCCTGAAATCCAGACATATGCCAGGAAAACGGGGGCCTCGAGGGGCGGAGGGCAGCAGGGTCGGTCATTTCCCCATCCTACCTCTTAGCAAACACAGGCAGAAATCCAGCTTTGACTGGAATGCAGAAGGGGAGCAGCCAGCACCTGTTGAATTTCAGCCTGCCCTGCAGCTCTTAAAAGTCGTGCTGGTAAAATTGACGGATTTAATAAGACACAAATCCAAAACTATGGTACAGAAACAATGGGAATGCTTAAATGAATATTCACACAAGCAGGGCTCAAATACGAAAGTTCTTCACCTTGTGAAGAATATAGAGAACACAAAGATTTGACGGACCATGAAAGAACTAAAGGAAAGGAAGTGACCGAAGAACAGGTGTAAAGGTGAAACGAAGAGACGTGTGGTGATTTCGGTGAAAGTCTTTTAGAATATTTTAACTAGGGTTTATATATTGTAATGTTTGAAGTATAAATTTGGTGTTATTGATTGTGAAAAGTATTTTCTTTTTCTTTTTCCTTTCCTTTTATCTTTCATCCCTTTTCTTTTCTAGTCTGCATGTTGGAAAATACGTAGACAAATGTGTTTACAGTGTTATGTATTGATTTTTGTTTTTATTTTTTGTTTTTATTTTCTTGTAATAGTTATTAAAAACTAATTTTTTAAAAAGTCATGCTGGTGGAGGAGCGGAATGATCAGGGCTGAGAGGCCCTGATCCCTGAGGGTCTTCCGGTGGGCATTTTTTTGGGGGGGTTTCCTCCTTGTGATTTCTCCTCTGACCGGCTCCTCCTCTCTCTCTCTGTTCCCCCCTTCCAGGGCCCGTCTGGTCCTCAGGGGCCAGTTGGCTACCCGGGGCCTCGTGGGGCGAAGGTAAGCAAGCACCTGATTGGCTCACAGGACTTGGCAGGGCTGGATTTCCCATCGTCCTTTGCTTCCGAGGCGCAGGGCTGCCCTTTCCAATTGGAGAAGGGGAGAAGGGCGGCCCCTTGGGAGCCTTAGAGAAGTTGCAAGGGGCCCCTGGGGGTCATCTAGCCCAACCCCCTGAAGCCATCCTTGCAGCCTAGGACCCACGTACCTACGGGACTGCTTCTCCTGGTATGTCCCGCGAAGGACCTTAAGGTCTACAAATGACAACACTTTGGAGGTCCCGAGCCTCAAGGAGGTTAGATTGGTCTCAACTAAGGCCAGGGCCTTTTCAGTACTGGCCCCGACTTGGTGGAACGCTCTGTCACAAGAGACTAGGGCCCTGCAGGACTTGACATCTTTCCGCAGGGCCTGCAAGACAGAGCTGTTCCGCCTGGGCTTTGGTTTGGACTCAGTCTGACCCTTGTGTTTCCCTCCCCTTATGGTTTTGATCTATGAGCTACTTTTAAAATGAGGCTGCATTTTAAATTGCATTTGAACCTGTATTTTAAATTGGTCTCTACCCGCCCCCCGCCCATTATGTTTTTCTGTAATTTTACTGGTGTTAGCCGCCCTGAGCCCCGCTCTGCCTGGGGAGGATGGGGTATAAATATTGTTGTTGTTGTTGTTGTTATATAAGGCGGCATATGCAGTCAGAATGAAATAAATTGAGAGGGCCCCTCCCTCGCTCCTCCACCGCAATTTGTATTTTTCTGCAAATATTTTCCCTGGGATCTTCAGTTGGTGGATGGTATACAGATCTAATACTGGATGTGGGTGGCGCTGTGGGTTAAACAACAGAGCCTAGGGCTTGCCAATCACAAGGTGGGCGGTTCAAATCCGGCGGGAAGGTAAACGGCGTTTCCGTGCGCTGCTCTGGTTCGCCAGAAGCGGCTTAGTCATGCTGGCCACATGACCCGGAAGCTGTACGCCTGCTCCCTTGGCCAGTAAAGCAAGATGAGCGCCGCAACCCCAGAGTCGGTCACGACTGGACCTAATGGTCAGGGGTCCCTTTGCCTTTACCTTTTTATACAAATCTAATAAATAACAGTAATAAGAATGGTTGCACACCTTGTAACTGTTCTGGGGAAATTGGGGGGATTTTATTTTTTTTGCATGGGAGAATGACGATCATTTTGGGTGCTGTGATCTCGCACCACAGTCTTATCCCCAAAAAGTTTTAGAAAGTTGCAACAGTTACATTGTTCTGGAGCTCTATATAAGCAGGCTGACGGAGCTCCTCAGTTCAGTTCTGTTCTGGCCTTTGAATAAACAAGAGCTGCTTGAAGAATCGCTGTGTCGTCTGATATGTTTGCCCACAACTTAACAGCCACCCCCAAACCCCTCTCTCTCCTCATAGGGAATGGACGGCATCCGAGGCTTCAACGGCCACAAAGGCGAAAAGGTGGGTTGTTGGGAAGGGAACTGGTGGTTCAGAAAACAGCAGTGACAACCCCCAAAACCCACATTTCTGTTCAGCTACGGAGAAAACACGGAATTCCCTAACTGTAGGGTTTGGAGAGGCCCCCAGGTGTCATCTAGTCCAACCCCCCACAATTGCAGCAAAGGAATCGCTGGCAGGTGGCCATTGTTGTAAACAAATAAATCTGCCCTTTTTCCCTTATGGGGGACACAAGAGCCCATATAGAGTCCTTACGTAGGTTCCCTATTGGTAGGAGAAAAGAACAGAGGCCAACCAGAGATTATTGAGAAGCAAAGCAGCTAGTAAGCCTGATCTTTATTGATCTGTTGCAACAGGGTGCTCCCCTCACACGCAGGAAAGGAGGAGGAACCCAGAACAATGGCACGCAAGGCCTTATATAGACATCTTAAATTCCCTGCCCTGGAGCTCAAGACCACCCCTCCATACATCATGCATACATCACAGAAGGGGTGTAACCTAAGACCACCCCCCAGATACATCACAGAAAAGGCGGTCTACAGCAGAAATCTGAGTGCTTTGCTTACCTCCTGTCTGGCAGGTTACCTGTTAATGCTCACTTGATTGGATACCCTGGGGAGCCTGGCCAGTCTTTTGTAATGATAAATATTTAGTTCCTGAGCCAGGTCACAGGTTCACCCTATTCAAACACAGACAGACATACCCTTATGACAGGATTTGTGAAGGAAAAGACAATGGGGAGGCTTTTCCATTTTCCTTTGACCTTGCAGAGAAAACATTTGCTCAGTTTAGGAATCAAAAATGGTTTTAGGTCAGTCTCCCTGTGCTGACCTATGTACGTGCTTGGTTGGTACACTTATGAACATTTAACATGTATCTAAGACCTCAAAAGACGCAGGTGGCACTGTGGGTAAAATCACAGTGCCTAGGACTTGCCGATCGTATGGTCGGCGGTTCGAATCCCCGCGGCGGGGTGAGCTCCCTTCGTTCGGTCCCAGCTCCTGCCCACCTAGCAGTTCGAAAGCACCCTCGGGTGCAAGTAGATAAATAGGGACCGCTTACCAGCGGGAAGGTAAACGGCGTTCCGTGTGCTGCGCTGGCTCGCCAGATGCAGCTTCGTCACGCTGGCCACGTGACCCGGAAGTGTCTGCGGACGGCGCTGGCTCCCGGCCTCTAGAGTGAGATGAGCGCACAACCCTAGAGTCTGGCAAGACTGGCCCGTACGGGCAGGGGTACCTTTACCTTTTTAAGACCTCAAAATTCCTATCACACCATCCAACCTGGGGTGTGTGTGCGAAGAGCCTGGGGTCTTCTGAGTCTGTGGGGTCCTGAATCCCTCTTAATGCCACTCCCCCCTTTATTTTCTGCAGGGGGAAGAAGGATTTCCTGGTTTCAAGGGCGACATGGGCGTGAAAGGGGACCGGGTAAGTAGGACAAGCCCTCTCCCCACTTGCACCCGCAGCCCCCTCCCCTGTTCCTTGTTCCTGCCTCATTCTCTCTCTCTCTCTCTCTCTCTCTCTCCCCACAATCAGGGCGAAGTCGGCGTTCCAGGATCCCGAGGCGAAGACGGCCCTGAAGGCCCTAAGGGCCGCACTGGGCCCCACGGCGACCCAGGTCCCATTGGGCTCGTCGGAGAGAAGGTGCGGATTCCGGGCTTGGGGTTGGAGATAGAACCGTAGTGTTAGAGGGCCCCACAGTGGTCATCTAGTCCAGCCGCAGGTGGAGATGGACTGGTCCCACTGTGGTTTTATATTTCGTTGGGAGCCATCCGGCAGGGAAACCCAGTCAGATGGGTGGGGTACAATTATTATTATTATTATTATTATTATTATTATTATTTCATCTGGTTTGGGTTTCAGGGCATCCTCCCTGGGGGTATAAGGTCTCCTCGCTCACTTTATTTTTTACGTCTCTCTTTCTTGCAGGGGAAACTGGGTGTTCCGGGTCTCCCTGGGTATCCCGGCCGACAAGGACCTAAGGTCAGTATACCTCCAAATTTAGGTACTTGACCTGCCTTACTGTTCAGGGAAGCTTTTAACGTGTGACATTTTAGTGTATTTTTAATCTTTGTTGGAAGCCGCCCAGAGTGGCTGGGGAAACCCAGCCAGATGGGTGGGGTACAAATAAATTATTATTATTATTATTATTATTATTATTATTATTATTAGACTGCAGTTACTGCAGTTACTTTTGCTCTTGCACCCCCCCCCAAAAAAAATCTTCTCACCAGTGTGTTTCCTTCAGCAAATAACAGCCATAGATCAATTGTGAACACGGAAAACCCCAAATATTTGCAATATTTAGCCATATTCCCCGGATTCTCTGTAAAAACGGAGCAATCGAAGGATGACGATTTGGGAGTCGTGGGAGCCGTTTTCTTCCCTGCAAAGAAGGGGGGTGAAGTTTCCCTGCACGGATCTGTACTGGCCCCCTTGTGGCATCACCGGTACCCAACTCTGTACCCCCCTAATAATGGGGGTGGAATCGTCCCATCTCCTTGCAGGGAGAGAAGTTGTGCCGTCCTCCCCCCGCCCCCTTCGTGGCCCCTGCACTCTCTGGGCCCCCCCACTCCGATTTTCATAGAATTGTAGCGTTGGAAAGGACCCCCTGATGCCATCTAGTCCAACCCCTTGCGATGTCCTGGCCGGTCCATTCCGAAAGCCCTCTTCCGCCTTGTCTTAACCGCCTCTTCCTCCTCCTCTTCAGGGCTCTCAAGGCTTCCCTGGCTTCCCCGGGACGAACGGCGAAAAGGGGGGACGGGTAAGTGGCCCCCTCCTCCTCGAGGAGCTCCCAGCCCCCCCCCCCAGCAACTTCTCTTTTGGGCGGGCGGTTTCGGAAAGATGTCAAATTCGTTAAACTAAGTAGTTTCGAATCGATTGCTGCTGTCCTGAATTATTATTATTTTAAATTTTTTTATTAAATTTTATTAGATGTTACCCAAAAAAAGGGGGGGGGAGATAGAAACAATACATAACCATACATAAAACCTACACAATTTTCCAGAACGCAGACTAGAAAAGAAGAAAGACGAAAAATAAAAGAAACCAACAAAACGGAAAAGAACGAAGAGAAAAAATGCTTTTCATGATCAATGATTCCAAATTCACACTTCAAACATTATGATATATAAGTCCTAGTTGTAATATTATAGAAGACTTCCACCACTGTTCTGAATTTTACGGCGGCGGCTTCTTCCTTGGGGGGTCTTGCAGATGGCTGTTCCAAACAGCGCTTTTTCTAGGGTTAGGGGGAGCTGGGGGTGAGTCTATGGAAGGTAGGGCCCCCCAAAAGTGAGTGACTGTTGTAAAGGAAGCCCGAGTTCCAATGCTGCCAAAAGGTGTTGGAGCAGCTGGGGGGGGGACTAAGCCCCTTTTGCAGGATGAAGCCAAACTGTGTTGATTAGTCGCACAGCTAGAAGGAGGGAGAGGGAGGGGGCGAGGGGGGGTTAAATGTTTGTGGGATCCTGCTGTGAATCATCTGCCTTTGTTCCTCCTTGCAGGGGATCTCTGGGAAGTTGGGACCCCGAGGTGAGAGAGGCCCCACGGTGAGTAGCCAAGGAGGAAGGTGGCGTGGGTCAAATCGGGTGGGGGGCAGTTTTTGCCTTCCTATTCACTATCCCCATTTCACTCCCCACATCTTAATGGACAGTTGGGGGTGGGGAGGCGGGACCCACACATACTGTCTTTCCCACCCATGGGAAGGGGTGCCAGGTCAGGATCACCCTAGACCCAAAATTCCAGGGCCCAAGCCTGAGATGTGGGGGGAGGTCCTGGTGATATGCTGGGGGGCAGATGGTGGACCCTAGTGGTTCTTCCTCTGTGTGTGCTCCCTCCTACTGGTGAGGCTTGGAGACGGAGGTGAATTGGGAGAGGAGAAGGGGGAGCGGAGGAGGGCAGAATCCCCTGAGAGTGTCTGCAATAATATTCAGAGACGGAGGTTAATTGGGAGAGGGGAAGGGGGAGCGGAGGGGGGCAGTCTCCCCTGAGAGCACTTGCAATAATTTTCAGAGACAGAGGTTAATTGGGAGAGCGGAGGAGGGGAGGGGAGGACCCCCCACCCAAGAGGATCTGCGATACTGGCAACCCCCGTATTAGGCTCCACTGATACATGCGCGATCATGCGCTGAACCCGGAAATGACCGTAAGGAGGGCGGAACTGGATCCCCTCAGATGGGAGGGAGGCTGCACTGGGATGAGTTGCCCCCTGGCTCTCCGGATCACTTACTTCTCTCTCTCTCTCTCTGCCCCCTGTTCTTCTAGGGGCCACGAGGCCAGCGGGGGCCACGAGGGGCCACAGGGAAGTCTGGAGCAAAGGTTGGTTTATGGGATATGGGATATGAGGCTCTTTGTCTCTGGACTCAGCTATACAGCTGCAAATATAACATTTTAAGTGTGTTTTAAGTGCATTATACAAATGTGACACTAGATGGCGATGTTGAGCTAACTGCAAGTTCAATATATATCTTAAAACGTTTTTTAGAAAAGCATTTTCACAGCGTGTTTTATATATGTTTAGATTCAGCCTCCCTTTCCAGGGGCCTCCTGGGTTCTCTCAGGGCTGGCAGGGGTGATTCTGTGTTTCTAAAAAGCTTCCTTTTCATCTCATCCTCATGCAGGGCACATCGGGCAGTGAAGGACCAGCCGGGCCCCCCGGGGAAAGGGTGAGTAAACAGGAAGGAAGACGGGGGGGTTAAGGAAAGATGGAGGAGGAGGAGGAAGGAGCCCCCAGTGAGAATCTCAGGAAATTAAGAGAGCACTGAGGCTCGAATTCAAAAGCACACGCCATGTGAACATCTAGCAGCAGGGAGTTCCAAAGGTCACACTTCCTTTCCTTGGGCATCGCTGCTCTGGAATCTGGGTGGTGATGGCACATCCGGATCCAGCACAACGTTTATTCATTTTATGTATTTGTTTTGTGACGTTTATTCACTGCTTGACTGTAAACAAACAAACAGCAGCCTCCACATGGTTTGCAAAAAAGAAAGATAGAACAACAAAATTGTCAGTGATAAAAATTAACAGCAATAATTTAGGACTTTGGGAAAGTTAAACAAGCAGATTAAAACTCACACTGCTTTCTAAGCCCCTGGGTATAAAGTTTTGAGCATGGTGAAGGCAGCTGCCTGCTATCAAGTGTCAGGCTGTTCCCAAGGGCAGGCCCTGCCCGACTAAAATTGTCAATGCTTTTGTTACACGTCGCCGGTCGCACTCTGGGTGCTGCTGCTACTTAGGGGTCGGTTTCCCCTGCGTCACCGTCTGCTTAGTCTCTAGAGCATGGGACTCTTAATCTCAGGGCTGTGGGTTCGAGAGTCACGTTGGGCAAAAAAGATTCCTGCTTTGAAAATTATTCTTATATACAGTGGTGCCTCGCAAGACGAAATTAATCCGTTCCGTGAGTCTCTTCGTCTTGCGGTTTTTTCGTCTTGCGAAGCACGGCTATTAGCGGCTTAGCGGCTTAGCGGCTATTAACGGCTTAGCGGCTTAGCTGCTATTAACGGCTTAGCGGCTTTAAGAAAAAGGAAATAAACTCGCAAGAACTCGCAAGACGTTTCGTCTTGCGAAGCAAGCCCATAGGGAAATTTGTCTTGCGGAATGACTCAAAAAACGGAAAACTCTTTCGTCTTGCGCGTTTTTCGTCTTGCGAGGCATTCGTCTTGCGAGATACCACTGTATTACATTTGTATACAACCCTATGCCCATGGGCCTCAGGGCGGTGACAACATAAAATCACAAAATCTAAAAATACATAATATAAAAAACCCAATAACACCCCCCTTACAGGGGGTTTGTCTAGATGACCTTTTGGGGTCCCAATGATTTTAGGAAGCCTTCCGGTTCCTCCTCCACCAGATGCTTCTCAATGTTTCCTTCTCCTTCTGCGTCTTCCGCAGGGTCAACCGGGACCACAAGGACCAAACGGATTCCCTGGGCCAAAAGGACCTCCGGTGAGTTCTCAGTTATCTGCCCCCACACTCTGCCCACCCCCACCGGTCATCCCCCCTCCGGCCACCCACTGACCCTCTTGTCTTCTTTGCTCACAGGGCCCCTCGGGGAAGGACGGTCTGCCCGGACACCCTGGCCAGCGGGGAGAAGTCGTAAGTTACTCTTTGCTTATTACTCCTAGTACTCCTACTCCTACTCCCTCTCCCCTCCACTGCTGGCTTCCGCTCAACACCCCATAATATTCTTGGGGAGAAGCTGGCAAACTGCAGGCTGGATGACGTTGCTACAAGGCGGATCTGTTGGCTAACCGAACTCCGAAGAACAACATTCGTTTCCTTATGAAAGTTCAGTGGTACCTCGGTTTTTGAGCGTCTCGGAAGCCGAACATTTTGGTTTCCGAATGCCGAAAACCCGGAAGTACCATATTTTCCCCATTTTTGAATGCGCCTTCGAAGTCAAATGGCTTCTGCTGCATGTTTTTCAGTTTTCACCATTGAAATTGACACTCTCCCTTTGCACCTCGGTTGTCGAACGTTTTGGAATCTGAACGGTCTTCCGGAACGGGTTACGTTTGACAACCGAGATAACCGCTGTAATTCCTACCATAGAACTAGTTCACAGCGGTTTGCAATTATATAAAGGTAAAAACCATTAAAAAAGTGAAAGCAAGCCAAAGAATTAAAAACAAACGCTAGCAAGCCATTGCAGAAGGAGCTATTCGTAATCACCTGGTGGAATCAAAAGGTTTCCAGCAGGCGTTGAAAAGCTGGTAGGTCTCCAGTGGCAGAGAGTTCCACAGGGCTGGGCCAATGACAACAAATCATTGGATTCTCATTGTGGTCAAATGAGCCTGACCAACTTGGGGAATGACCAATGGCACTCAGGAATTGAGCTGACTTCAGGCGATCCCTTAGGTGACCTGGAAAGATTTGCTTCCTCAGGATCCCCCAACAGTTAAGACACTCAGAGTTGAGTGACTCTGAGTGTCTTTTTTTTTTTTTTGCACTCTGCACACACTCAGGGGTTTTCACGCATTTGACGGCTGGCCCTTGGTGTGTCGAAAACCCTGCTTTCCAACAGATCCCCCGCACGCTTCCATCGCATCTCATCCCACTTCTGACACCATTGTGGACACCAGGTCATTCAGGAGGAATCCCACCCAGGGGAAACAAGAGGGAGTCGTGTTGTAAACAAAATCTGCCCCTTTTCCCTTATGGGGTATCCCAGAGCCCATACAGAGTCCTTACGTAGGTTCCCTATTGGTAGGAGAAACTAACAGAGGCCAATCAGAGAATATTGAGAAGCAAAGCAGCTAGTAAGCCTGATCTTTATTAAAGCTGTTGCAACAGGGTGCTCCCCCCACATGCAGGAGGACAGAAGAGGAGCCAGAACCCAGGTGTGCCCGCCCTTATATAGACATTTTAAATTCCCTGCCCTGGAGCTCCAGACCACCTCTCCATACATCATACCCACATCACAGAAAGGGTGGTCTACAGCAGAAATCTGAGTGCATTGTTTACCTCCTGTCTGGCAGGTTACTTGTTAATGCTCACTTGATTGGATACCCTGGGGAGCCTGGCCAGTCTTTTGTAATGATAAATACTTAGTTCCTGAGCCAGGTCACAGGCTCACCCTATTCAAACACAGACAGACATACCCTTAAGACAGGATTTGTGAAGGAAAAGACAATGGGGAGGCGTTTCCATTTTCCTTTGACTTTGCAGAGAAAACATTTGCTCAGTTTGGGAATCAAAAATGGTTTCAGGTCGGTCTTCCTGCGCTGATCTACGTACGTGCTTGGTTGGTACACTTATTATATATCTAAGACTTTAAAATTCTTATCACAGTTGTAACCTCCCCCCCCCCTTCTTTCTCTCCCTCACAGGGATTCCAAGGCAAGACCGGACCCCCTGGAGGACCGGGGGTTGTGGGCCCTCAGGTAAGGAGACGGGCGTTGCTCTGTTCCTCCCCAGCACCAGAGAGCAGCCAAAACACCAGACCCTGGGAGGGGACAGTCAGAAGGTGGCAAGGGTGGGGCGCGTTCTGTTTTAATTACCTGTCTTTTAACAGATTTCGGTATTTTATATTGTTTTAGTTCTGTTTAGAGTTTGATGACTTTAAAACAATTACATTGAATACCTTTCTAGTTTAGTTCGATGTCTTTTTTATATAACTTTTTATTAGTTTTTTAACATACCATTTTCAACAATAATTGAACACACTTTTACATCTTATTCAATTTTTTTGACTTCCATCAGTCCTGTCTGAAAATTTTCCAATCTAATCTCTCAGTATGCATTTCTTATTTTTCCTATTACATTTCAAACTCATAACCAATATCTCTATCTTTTTCTACTTTGTAACACTTTGTATATTTCTTCTTACAAAACTTATTGTAGTCCTACTAGTGTAATTTGTCGATTACAGTTGCTCTTCAAATAATTCAATATACTTCTTCAAATCTTCTGTAAATCTCTGGTCCCTCAGGTTTTGAATCCTTCCTGTCATTTTGTCCAATTCTGCGTAGTCCATTAATTTTATCTGCCGTTCTTCTTTCATTGAAATTTCTTCTTGCTTCCATTTCTGGGCTAACAAAACTCTTACCAGTTTAGTTTGATGTCTTAATTGGTTGGAAGCCACTCAGAGGGGCAACCCAGTCAGATGGACAGAATATTAATATTAATATTATCTTGTCTGTGCAAGTTACATTGAGTCCTGGCTTGGGGAAAAGTCAGGATATAAATGCAGCAGCAGCAATAACAACAACAACAACAAATAAATCACTAATAATATCAATAATAATAAAATCTGCAGGGTGGGGAAGGGATTGTTTGTGGAGGGCTCTCTCCTTGCTCAGGGGATTCAATCCTTGGAGGTTTTTAAGCAGAGGTTGGCTGGTCGTCCGTCATGGACACTTCAGCTGAGATTCCTGCATTGCCGGGGGTTGGTCTAGATGAGTCCTGGGGTTCCCTCCATTCCCTACAACTCTCTGTTTCCTTGGCAGGGCCCTGCAGGAGAAACAGGACAGATGGGGGAGAGGGGCCACCCCGGCCCTCCTGGGCCTCCCGGAGAGCAAGGCCTGCCTGGGCCCTCTGGGAAAGAAGGCACAAAGGTAAGCCCTTGGCGGGGGGAGCGGGGTCTGGGTGCGAGGGCAAGGGCTCATGGGCAGCCCAGCAGGGGGAGGCGGGGTGGGGTTACGGGAAAAATCTAGGTTCGAGGCTGCTCAGTCACCCAGCTCATTGGGCAGAGCCTGCGGGTCCCTGTGGAATAATAATAATAATAATAATAATAATAATTAATAGTAATAATTTTTATTTATACCCCGCCCTCCCCAGCCAAGACCGAGCTCAGGGCGGCTAACACCAGGTATAAAAACAATTGATTGAAATACAACTTAAAAACAAGATTAAGCACAACATTAAAATGCAGCCTCATTTCAGTAGAAACTCAAATCAGAAACTTTTTGGGGAGGAAAACGTCAAGTCTTCACCAAGGCCAGCTATCCAGACTGGTCCTACATGGGCCAGAAAAAATGCCAGGAATAAAGGAAGGAGTCCAGCCACCAAAGTTTATTGCGCAACAGGTTCAAAGAGGAATTTTGAACCCTGAGGATGGGGTGACAAAGACTTTTAAAACTTTCCCACCATATCCCAGAATACAGTTCGTACAGCATCATCGATACATCATTGCTACATCACTGACATGTCACAAAAGGGGAGGGGTAGACAGGGGTTAAAGGGACGTGGGTGGCGCTGCGGGTTACTAGGACTTGCCGATCAGAAGGTCGGCGGTTCAAATCCCCACAACGGGGTGAGCTTCCGTTGCTCAGTCCCAGCTCCTGCCAACCTAGCAGTTCAAAAGCACAATGTGCAAGTAGATAAATAGGTACTGCTCTAGTGGGAAGGTAAACGACGTTTCCGTGCGCTGCTCTGGTTCACCAGAAGTGGCTTCGTCATGCTGGCCACATGACCCGGAAGCTGTACGCCGGCTCCCTCAGCCAGTAAAGCGAGATGAGCGCCGCAACCCCAGAGTCGGCCATGACTGGACCTAATGGTCAGGGGTCCCTTTAGCTTTTAGACAGGGGTTACACTAGTTCAACCTTGGCAAACAGGTCCAGACAAGTCCTTGGTACAAGATTAGCATAAGTAGACATGTCAGGGCAAGACTCAGGTATAAGATTAGCATAGGCAAAGACCTCTGAAGTCCCACCACCCAAAGTACAATAGAACTTCCTTTGCATGTCTGGACCACTTGGCAAGTCTTGTGATGGGATTAGGCTTTTCTTGGCCAACAATCAGATCAGCAATTGTCACCTCTGGGCACTTCCTGGGGTAGGAGGTGTGCTTGGGGAGGTGGCGGGGGAAAGAGTCGGTTTTTTGAAGGGCAAAATAGTGTTGAAATGGAGGAAACTGGCAAAGGAGTTGATTTTATATTACTGTATTTTTCACTCCATAAGACGCGCCTGACCATATGATGCACCTAGTTTTTAGAGGGGGAAAGCAAGAAAAAAAATATTATGTGCAGAGCATGTAAACGGCTCTCGCTTTTCTTGCTTTAAACCCTTCCGTGCCTCCTCCCGCTTCGCTGAGAAGCCAGCAGAGCAAGAGCAAGAGGTGCGTAGCGCCTCTTCTTCTGGCTTCCCAGCAAAGCGGGATGAGGGACGAAAGGGAGCCCTTACAAGGGAGCGCTGAGCAGAGCCTGGCAGTGGCTCTTGCTGGGGGAAGGGACAGAGGGCAGCCCGTCAGTCCCTTCTCCCTCCTCAGGGAAAAGCCTCCAAGGACTGCGCTCCCTTTAAAGAGCTGCGCGGAGCGTGTGTGTGGATCTTGGGGGCTTTTCCACAAGGTGGGAGAAGGGACTGACGGGCTGCCCTCCCGCCTGCATTCGCTCCATAGCAGGGGAAAAGTGTGTCTTATGGAGTGAAAAATACGGTATTTTTTAAGCTAGGTAACTTCCCTGAGCTTTCAAGTTGAAAGGATACATTTATGCATAATATCTGTAACATTTAACAACTTTAAAGATGTGGGCCCCCCCTCTCTAAGGGACCCGCTACCTTTCCCGGGGACTCATGGGGTGAAAACATCCAAAGCGGAACCCCTTTCCGGGGTGCCTTTTTGGGGTTCCAAGCACTGTGTGTTAGTTAGGCTCAAAAGAGGAGGGAGGAAGCTCAAACTTTCAAAGGTCAAGAAAACTTCCTTGGAAATCCCCTTCACCCTCTAAGCCCCGCCCCTGGTATCACAGGCTCCGCCCCTTAGTACCCAGGCCCCGCCCAGTGCACCCCAGAATTCTGAGCCTCGGGATACCTGCCCCCCTTCCCCCTTCAAGGATCCTGCCATGATAGATTCAGGCCCCCCAGCCCAAGAAGAGGGGGACTGGGGTTTGGGGGGCTCTGGCCAGGATTTGGGGGGTCAACGTGTCCTTTTCCCCCTTCTGCGTTTCAGGGCGACCCCGGCACCCCCGGAGGACCCGGCAAGGATGGCCCGGCTGGGCTGCGAGGCTTCCCCGGAGAGCGCGGCCTGCCTGGAACTGCCGTACGTACTTGGGGGGGCTCCTTCCATGGGGTTGGCCTGGGAAAACGTAGCGTGGGTGCAGGGGGGGCACGGCGTTTTGCGTTGCAACCATCCTGCCTGCTCTGGGGTTGAGATTAAACTGCCAGGAGCTAAATGTATGTAGAAAATACTCAAATCCAGCATTGCAGAGTGTAGTCAGGATTTCTGGGGTTTTTTTGGGGGGTAAGAACCTCACTTAGTTAAAGATTTTTATTGATTTTGGGGAGCAGCTGCCCCTCTCTGCCCCCTCTTGGCTACACCCATGGTGGAACAATACAAATCTAGTCAGTAAGAGCATAACAAGTTAAAAGTTAAAAACTTGGGGTTTTTTTGTGGGAGGGGGGTCCTCTTCATTTGCCTGCGTGGGCCGGACAGAATAGAAAGAATTTCAGCAGGTCTGTGAAAGTTGGCACGGAAAGGGCCCCCTGATTCTCCAGTGGCAGAGAGTTCCGCAGGTTAAGCACTGTCTGTTGGAGGGGATGCCAGGAGACAGGGACTTATGTTCACATGTGGTGGGAGTGTAAATATGTACAAATTTTTTTTGGCCAAAGGGTGTTTAATGAGATAACAGAAATCACTGGGTTAAAGCTGACCAAAAGTCCAGAGGTAGCATTGTTATCGATTTACGATGGGATGGAAGGTTCACGGGCTATGAAGGAGTCGCTCACAAGTTTATTGACAGCCGCACGGATTATTATAGCCAGGAAGTGGAAGGGGCAAGCAGAATATAAAATGGGAGAATGGTATAAAGAGGTGTGGGATATAGCTATTAATGACAAATTAACATGTGCCATTAAGGTAACACAGGGAATAAGCATGAGGAATGGTTTTGAGGAGATACGGAAGGTGTTTGTAGAATTCGTACTAGTAAAATGGAAAGGCGTCAAACCATCGCAGGAGGTGTTGACATTTTGGGAGGCTGGATAGTTACAATGGAATGGTCTCAAATACACACACACACACATATATATATATATATACACATATGGGGAAGCACTGTCTGAGTGGCCAGAGAAGGGGCTTCTTTGTCTTGGGGTGTGCCCCCCCCTTTTAAAATATTGTAGGGAGCAAACGACTTCTTTGCTCGAACAGCCCCACTGGGTACCCGTTTGTTCCGGATGCAACAATGACTTAGGGCCAGGCTGTCTGAAAAACTATATTCCTTCTTATTAGGCCACCCAGGTTTTGAGATCTTCGGGGGGGGGTGGCTTTTCTTGGTCCCACCACTCTCCCAGGAACACTTGGGGGGGGGGAGGACAAGGCCTTCTTGGTGGTGGCTCCTCCCAAGCAACTTTGGAACTCTATGCCTGGGGACCCCAGACTGGCTCCTGCCTTGTTGTTTTACTGCTGGCAGCTGAAGGCTGTTTTATTCCCGCACTTAAGGTGTGTTAATTTAGGGCCCCCCTCAAAGCTTAAGTTTTGCAAATTTCTTCAGTGAGGGGTCTTAAAAATATATTTCGGTGTGTGAGGCATTCAAATCTGCTATTATTTTTGCGACTGGGGAACATTAGATGAAGAAGCCCATAAACTGCTTTCAGGAAACCAAAGAATTTAAATTTTACTTTCTGAAAATGTCAGGTGATGCTAAATAATTATTATTTATATTATGTATTATTAAATACAAATATTAATATATAATATAATTGCAAATGCCTGGCAATAATTTTTAATGATTTATATTCAATTTCACACACATTTTGCTTACTGAGTCATATTAACTTCACCAAAATACCTTTTGAATTCCCAAATTATGTTGCAACTTTTTAGCACCCCTCATTTTTTGAATGTGAGCATTGAAAAATTCACCACAGGACTCTGGGAACTGGCCGGGTTTGTTTTCTTGGTTTTTTTTATTTTAGGAAATGGCTTTTCAATAGTGCTGTGCTGTTTTTATTATCTGTATTTTAGCAGGTTTGCTTTAATTCTATTAGAGTTTAATTAAACAATTACCCTTTGTATGCTTTTAGCTTTCTGTATTTTACCTGCCTTGAGTCCCAAATAGTATTATTTTGTTTTATTTGGTTTATGATTATTGCCATTATTTATTAAATGGCTTATACCTTTTTTAGATTCTTTTAGCTTCTTTACTGAAAAATAGAATTATATGGTTGCATCTCAGGGTTGCGGTTCATAGCAAAAAAAGGCAAAATAAAACCCCACATTGCCCTCTTCGGCACTGACTTCAGAACAGAGGGACTCCCTGCCACTTGACCTGCATCTCCCGCACCGCCTTGGCCCTGCTGCCAGCGCTGATCCTTCATTTGCTCACCTGGCTGTTTATATTTTACTTAGCTGTGATTCCTGCTTCACAAGGGGGGGGGTTGGACTAGATGACCACTAGGGTCCCTTCCAACTGTGCCATTCTCTTATTCTGCCTTATTGGTGAGGTTGCGTAGCCCTTAGAAGTCTCTGCAGCACTTCAAATAAATAAAAGGGGACAGAAGAAGGACTGGACAAGGGGTGGGTGTTTTGTGTCTGTGTGTCTACTTGTCGGCCTGCCTCAAACTCTTCCCTCCAACCTTGCAGGGCGGGCCTGGACTGAAAGGCAACGAGGGACCCGCTGGACCCCCAGGACCCGCCGTGAGTGTTTCCTCCCCCCCCCGGCCCTGACGCACCGACCCAGTGCACGCCCTGCAGCCACAACTCTGCCCTTCTCCTTGGCACCTCCTGACGTGCCGATTGAGCTCTGCACATGCCCAAGAGACCACATTCACACCCGTATCTATTAAGAAGTTCAGTTCTTCCCCAGTTTCTCATCCCCGCCCCCCCAGTCTTCCATTCAGCTCTCCACATTTTGCAGCAATAGGTTATCATTAGAGGAATTTTTGTCGCCAGCCTTTTCCCCCCAGCCTACAGAAGAGCACCTGCAATTAAAATAGAGAATAAATAAGCCCACTGAAACATTTCAATAATGGAGAGTCAACCCAGGTGGGGAGGGGAATCTCTGTCTACATGGGTCTGTCGTCGTCTCCATGTTGGATCTTGTGTTTGGCGAGAGCCTGCGTCAGCTTTGAGCATCCCACTGTACTGGGGTAGTGCAGGGTGGCTCCAGCAGAGGCGCTCTGGGTACGAGCCCCTTTTCCCCATCACTCAGCCTCCCTTCAGGACCCTCTTTTCATCTTGCCTTCCAGGGATCCCCAGGGGAAAGGGGGGGACCCGGGCCAGGTGGCCCCATCGGACCCCCAGGAAGACCAGGCCCTCAAGGACCCGCTGGCTCGGCTGGGGAGAAAGGCGTGCCTGTGAGTAGGGGGGAAGGGGCAGGACTCATGGGTCTTCTCGGGAGGAAGGTAGGGTGGAGGAAAGGCAAGCAGAGCCGGGAGAGGGGCAGATGGTGGGGTACGGCAGAGGGGACCCCCAAGTTTTTCTGGAGGGAGGGGGAATGTAATAAGGAGCCCTCAACACTCCCCGGATTCCTGGGTCATGTTGATTAGAATCCTAGAATTGTAGACTTGGAAGGGACTGCCGGGGTCATCCAACACAACCCCCTTCAAGGCAAGAATTTGGTGGAAGAGACACAGAAACTGCAAGTGGCGCTTGGGGTCAAGAACTCTGGGGCGCCCCTGGGAAAGGGGGGTGGGCGGTTGAGATTCCGGGGTGAGTCTCGGGGGCCCCCTCCTCACTTTCTCTTTTCTCCCCCAGGGCGAGAAAGGTCCCATTGGCCCCGCAGGCCGCGATGGCGTCCAGGGCCCCGTCGGGCTGCCTGGCCCCGCAGGACCTCCGGGGGGCCCGGGTGAGGATGGCGACAAGGTAAGAGTCTGGAGCGCGTCTCCCCTGCCCATTGCCCCGGCCTCTGGGCTGGGCCTCCCCGGCTCACTCTCTCGTTCTCTCTCCGCAGGGCGAAGTGGGCGATCCTGGCCAGAAGGGCGGCAAAGGAGCGAAAGGGGAGCACGTAAGTTGGGGTCATCTTGAGAGCTGCGGGGCAGGGCCACAAAATGCGTTGGGTGGGGCTCTTCCTCTCCTGCCTCTCCATCCATGCCATTCGCCTCTTTCTCTTCCTCCCTGCAGGGGCCACCGGGACCCCCTGGCCCACTGGGTCCTCTCGGGCAGCCAGGAGCCGCAGTAAGTCCTCAAGTTCATTTTACCACCTTGTGTCTGGTGTCATTCGGGAATTTTAAGAATGCCCCCCCCCCAAATCAGCACAGTTATGGTTGGTCATATTCAATATAGTGGCCAGTTTTATCTGATCAGATGGTTGCCTCCAGCTAAATCTCCAAACTTTTGGGGGCAGCCACACTAGTTCAATTAGCTTCCCACCATACCCTGTCAAAAGCATTTTTCAGAAGAGCGGTTTGCGCGACCCGCTAAGGAAGAAGCAAGACGAAATTTGAAACCATCATGAAGAATTGGGTATCTTTCAGAAGAAAAGGAAACTGGTTTAGTTGAGAGTGATTTAGTTGTGATTCCTGCATTGTGTGGAGGGGGGAGGGGGTTTCCAGCTTGGGTGACCCTTGGGTGCCCTTTCTATGATTCTTGTCTTTTACCCTTCAGGGCGCAGATGGAGAGCCTGGAGCGAGGGGCCCCCAAGGCCACTTTGGCGCAAAGGGGGATGAGGGAACCCGAGGGTTTAATGGCCCCCCAGGGCCCATCGGCCTGCAGGTACGCCCAGGGACACCCTGAACGGAGGGTCACACCTCTCCTCCTCCCCCCGTCCAACCCTCTATCCTGCACCCAATTCCCCACTTGGTCATTCAGCTCCCTGGGTGGCCCTAGACCAGTCACTCTCTCGCCACCTAACCTACCTCACAGGGCTGTTGTGGGGGTGAAACGGTGGACGGACCATGTACTACCCCACCTCAAGCTCTGCAGAGGAATAAAGGTGGGAGAGAGATGTCATGATAAATAACCACGATTGATCCTGCCTCTTGACAGGGTCTGCCTGGACCGTCTGGGGAAAAGGGGGAGACGGGCGACGTGGGGCCCATGGTAAGTTTTTATCTGTTTACAATTTATCTGTAAATATTCAATAAACCATTTCCACTCTTTTATAAAAAGTTTGTTATCTTGATTTCTTATTCTTCCGGTAAGTTTCGCCATTTCTTCATTTTCCGTAAGTTTTTGTATCCGTTTTTCCTTTGCTGGGACTTCTTCTTCTTTCCATTTCTGGGCAAGTAACATTCTTGCCGCTGTAGTTGTGTACATAAATAAGTTTCTCTACAATTTAGGTAGTTCTGTCCCTATACAGGCGCCCCTAATGGTGGTCTTTTGGGGTTCCTGTTTCTAACTGCATTGCAGGTTTCCCATTGGGGTACTTGGTTTGCTCTTTGGCAACTAACCCAGCTGCCAGGCCCTTCTCATCTTCCTGTGGAACCTCCAGGCCCAGCAGCAGTCTATCTCGACTCCTAGGTTCTTTGGAGCATTTGACCACTGTGAGGACAGGAAGGGGGCCTTGATGTTTCCTCTTGGGCCTGACCCAGCTGATTTGGAGCTCTTCGGCTCTTTTTACATACATATCTGCCGGACGGCTGGTTTGCTGCCTTGACCAGGCGTGGCTGACTTGTGGCCTGCAGGCCAGAGCTGCCCCATGGGAAGTGGCTTCCCAGCTGCTACAGCTTTACCCCCTGATCAGATTTTCTTGGATTTTGGCTTATCTGCTGGCTGCCTGGCAACGCTCTGGGCACCTTCCAACTCTCCCTCTCCTGGGAAGGAGGGGGGCCGGGCTGTCCTTTCCAGACTCTGACAGCCAGCTCTCATCTGCAGAGTTGGCCCCTTGCTTGCTTAGCTCAACTTCTGAGGCCGACTCTTCTGCTGTGCTCAGGGGGGCCACGTTCCTGCAGGCCAGTGCTGCCCCATGGGAAGTGGCTTCCCAGCCACTACAGCTTTACCCCCTGATCAGATGCGGACATAAAAGATCCCTCTGCCTGCTCTTGACCGATGCCCATGGCCATCTGTCAGGGATGCTTGAGATTCCTGCCTTGTGGGCTGGACTAGATGACCCTCGGGGTCCCTTTATCATTGCTGCGGTTCTATGATCTTAGTGTGAAGACCAGAAGGGTGAGATTGGGGACTAAGCCCTCTGCCTGCTCTTTAAGAGGTGAAACTGTGTGTCGTCTCTTTGAGTTTGGGAGCCTAAGAATGGGGGGGGCATCTTTTTCTTAATATTATGGAAATGAAAGCAACGGGGGTCTCTTGCCCCCCTCCCTTTTCTGCCTGTTAAAAGCAGAGTGTTTGCTCAGAGCAGCACATTGGTCCTTGAGTCGGACTTGAGCATCAATCACCCACATAGCGGGGCTCAGGTGCTAATAATAAATACACTTCTCCATGCAGGGACCCCCAGGACCCCCCGGACCACGTGGCCCAGCCGGACCTTCTGGAGCAAATGTGAGTGTATTTCTCCTTCCACAACCCCCCACAACTGCTATACCACCGCCGCCTATTAACTGATATTCAGCATGGACTTCTAGTCTAACAGTTTGGGGTCTCTTTTTCCTTCCCACACAGGGTCCCCAAGGCCCGCCAGGCGGCGTAGGAAACCTTGGCCCCCCAGGACAGAAGGTGAGTGGCTGGGAGACAGGACTCCTGGGTCCTCTGGGGAGCTTAGTTGGGAGTGGGTCCTGGGAGCCAGTATCCCTGTGTGTTCTGAAAAGCGAATCTGGTTTCCCTGGAGCAAGAAGGGAACGAGGAGGAAGCAGTTGGAGGGAATGACTCCTGGTTTCGGTTGTCTCTATACTAATGCACAGAGCATGGGAAATGAACAAGATGAACATCCAACTGTACGATCCTATGATGCAATGAGTAGGGTCTCTGTGTGTGTTTGGGGATCTGGGGATGAGTGGGTATTGATCTCCTCTTCCTGGTTCTTGGTTCTCTGGATGGCAGATGAGCTGTGAGTCTCTCAAACGGATTCCCCCCCCTTAGGGATCTCGCTCCCCAGATATTCATGATCCCTTCCAAATCCCCCCAATTGCCCCCACTAACTAATGAAAGCTCTCTTGAGCCTATTATATTATATTCACTGTTCCCAAGTCTATTTACAATGGGGGGGCGTGTCCTGGAGAGAACCTCAGGGGCCAGGTTGAGAGGTCTGGAGGGCCTGAGATTCAGAATGAGTAAAAATACACACACTGGCTTGGAGTAAATGAAGAATGGAGGATGGGAAGAGCTTTGGATAGGACCAGACCCACACCTACACTGCCCTAAATATCCTTCTGTCGTTTCAGGGTGAGGCAGGAGAGCCGGGAGGTCCTGGTGTCCCTGGAGAACCTGGTGGCAAGGTAAGAGGCCCCTCCCCCTCCCCTGCCCCATCCACCACCTCTGCCACCACCATTGTGACACCTGTCCTGCCCAGCACCCCTGATGGGGTTGATTGACAGGAGTGAAACCCGTGTCCTGGTGAGGGACAGGGGAGAAGAGTTTGATTCTCTCCCCATTTGAAGGCAAACCACCTCAACTCCCCAAAACCATACGGGGACCAAAGCACAGAAAAAGCACCCTGGACCCTTTGAAATGTTGCGTTGCAACAAGGTGCCCCAGCTAACTCATCTACACGAGGGGGCAAAGATCAGTGCAAAACAACAGAAAAAAATGGGCAATATTGGGGGGGGGGGATTATCCATTAACATCTTAGAGACCAACTAAGTATGTTCTGGGTAAAAGTTTTCGTGTGCCTGCACACTTCTTCGGATACCATCTTCTTCAGATACCAGCTGTGCATGCACATGAAAGCTTATACCCAGAACATTCTTAGTTGGTCTCTAAGGGGCTACTTAGAGGGTGGCACTGTGGGTTAAACCACAGAGCCTAGGACTTGCCAATCAGAAGGAAGGTAAACGGCGTTTCCGTGCGCTGCTCTGGTTCGCCAGAAGCGGCTTACTCATGCTGGCCACATGACCCGGAAGCTGTACGCCGGCTCCCTCGGCCAGTAAAGCGAGATGAGCGCCGCAACCCCAGAGTCGTCTGTGACTGGACCTAATGGTCAGGGGTCCCTTTACCTTTACATTTAAGGGGCTACTGGACAATTTTTTTACTTATTTCAACTGCATCAGACCAACATGGCTACCTACCTGAATGGGCAATATTGTTATCAATTCATTTAATTTGTGTCCTGCCCTTCCTCGCTTTGTGCCGGAGGAAGTCGCTTTGCCAAAATTTGTGGGTTAGGCACAAACGGCGTGCAAAAATGCCCGTGGGAGGAGAAATTTGTACTAAAATGCTGTGGGAAGGACTTTGAAAAAAATAATAAATGTGTGAAAACGTGGGGAAGCAGGCTAAAGACCGGAGAAATGGGGAAACCAGAACTTGTACATTTGCCAGTTTCTGATACAGGTTCACCGTACAGAACTTTAATATCTGACATTTTCCCTCCTGGCCCCTAAAATCCTTCATGGCCCTCCACAGACGCTTCCTTCCCACAGATGCAAACAACCCACTGCCTAATCTCAGTGTGACCACCTTTTTCTCTGCCCCTATTCAAGACCCAAGTTTAAGGGCTTGGTCGCTGGACCAGGCAAAAAAATCCTTCTGGTGTCTCCTGCAGTGGCCAACCCAGCTCCCCCTCTGCCGCCCCCAGAGTCCCCCTCCCTCCACACAGCCCCAGGCATTTGGAGGGTAGACTGCCCCTGGAGCTGGAAGCCCCACTGAGCTATTTTGCCTGACCGCCGTTCCTCTCCCTCCAGGGCCCACGGGGAGAAAGAGGAGAGAAGGGCGAGGCTGGAGCTGCTGGCGTGGCCGGGCCCCCTGGCGGGAAGGGCCCCCCCGGAGATGACGGCCCCAAAGGGAACCCCGTAAGTGGTACTGCAGAGAGAGAGTGGGGCGAGTCCTGCCTTGCCGGGGTTGGGCTAGATGACCCTCAGGGTCCCTTCCGACTCTGCAATTCTGTGATTCTCTGTTTCTATCTCCACTTGATTTCATTCCATTCTTGGGGGGAAGTTCCTTAAAATTGGAAAGGGGGCTGTCATTGAATGGGATGGAAAAGGTAAAACGAAGCCATGTGTCTGTTGGGAAGGAACAGCTGGGCAACCGGGAGCGAGGGCTTAATCTCTTTTTTTAAATATATCTTTATTAATTTAAAATAAATACATTTATGAGGAAAAAGACGTACATACAAGTAAACAAACATACAATCCAACAAAAAACAACAGAAAAATCAAACAAACCACCACACTATAAAATACAAGAAGGTTAATATAATTATCATCCTATATACTCCTGATACTGAACACAATTATAAAACTTACAGAGAAGAAATTTAAAACTGACTTCCAATTAATCTCACTGTACTTTATCTATCCATTACAGTTACATATTTCTTATATAATTTCTTTTTACCTCCCTACAAACTTATATTTATACAGTACATGGATCAGTCTAATTCTGCCAAGATGTTTCCTTTTATTCCAGAGTTTTCCAAAGATTCTTTAAAGATTCCCCCAATCCTTATAGACTTTTTGTTTTGATTGGCCTAATCGCTATCTCTCACTTTTTTAGGGTCCAGTTGGTTTCCCTGGAGATCCGGGACCCCCTGGCGAAATGGGACCTCGGGTGAGTCATGGGACCCCTTTCCCTAGGAGCCCCCACAGAAGGGCCAGGATCTGACCCGGGGGCTGACCGTGACTTTGTTCCCCTCCTTCCAACAGGGCCAAGACGGAGCCAAAGGCGACCGGGGAGAAGACGGAGAGCCGGGAGAGGCGGTAAGCGCTCTAGGTCTGGCCGGAAAGAGGTTCCGGGTCATCTTCTGCTGGGTTTGGTTCCAGACATGATGCCTCCTGCGAATTCACCCTCCTCTTTCCCCAACGGCGAAGGGTCTCCATCACCTTCTTGGCTTCCCAAGACGTCCTTCTGCCAGAGTTGCCTTCCCCTTCTTTGTCTTCTTCCCAATTCCACTCCTCCTCGTCCAGCGTGACCCCCTTCCCTTTCTCCCCCTTCCAGGGCTCTCCAGGACCCACTGGTGAGAACGGACCCCCCGGCCCGCTTGGCAAGAGGGTGAGTGGAGAGGGAGGGGCCACATCCAGTCCAACATCTAGAGGGTCCAGGCCCTTGGGCTTCGGGGGCCAGAGAGAGAGGGGCCCCTGTGCCTGGGGGCCAGCTTGGCATCTCTCTGAGCCCGGTGCCTCCCCATCTCTCTCCACAGGGTCCGGCCGGCACCCCAGGCCCCGAAGGACGTCAAGGGGAGAAAGGCGCCAAGGTAAGTTACCTGGTCGCCAGGTAAATGGAAGGGGAAGCCGGACAGGCAGGTGGCTTGGCTACCCTAAAGAAGAAACTATGGGATATCAGAGGAGCCAAACAGGCCCGTGTGTGTGTGTTGTGTTATACCTTTCAGTTTTCCATGTGCTCTTTTAATATTTGAATTTATTTGCCCTACCCTCTAAGGTCCCAGGGCAGGGGTTAGAACAACTGAAATATATTTTTACTGCTCTTTCATTTTTTAAAAAAGAGATTTAGTTGTGATTCCTGCATTGCATGACCCCAGGGGCATAGCTGTCAACATTTCCCTTTTTTTAAGGGAAATTCCCTTATTCCGAATAGGATTCCTCGCAAGGAAAGGGAAAAGTTGACAGCTATGCCCCTGGGGTTCCCCTCCAACTCTGCAGTTCCATTATTCTTAACCTCCCTCCCTCCAGGCTAATCCTACTCCCAAAACTCCTTCAAGGACTTCCATTTCCCCAGCCACTCCACATCCTGGTCGCTCTCCTCTGGCACTCTGCAGGGCAGCACAATCCCAGTGCACGTCTACTCAGGAGTAAGCCCCGGAGAGGCCCACGCAGAAGTAATTGCTAGGTGGCAGGATTGTGGCCTGAGGCCATTCCTCCTGCCCTGGAGGGATTTGTAGCTGGTTTAGGATGGATCTCTCAGCTGCAATTAAAAAACAGAAAACAAAACCCTGAGCTGTAATTTCAAAAGATTACGGGGCGATGGCTGCAAACCGCTTGGGGCTGCGAAAGAACAGAAATAAAATCCCCTGCCGAGATGAAGTTGGAGTCCTCCCTCGCTTAGGCCACCTTGATTATATATTTCATGGAAATGCAGGCTATAAATTCTCGAAACGGATAAACAGTGGAAGAGGGCTTGGGAACGAGGTGCTCTGTGTTTTTTTAAATAGAACAACAAAGTTCTGGGATCTTTATCTAGCTCTTAGGACAGCAACGCACCAACTTGCACACCTGGCACCATCGCTAAACAGCTGTGGGAGACGGAGGTGTTTTGCTCTTCCCAGAAAGCACAACTCAAAAGCCCCACAAGGACCAGTTAGCTGTGATTGCACGGGGTTGGGATAGATGACTCTTGGGGTTCCCTTTCTAGCCCTACAATTCCTGATTTCCCCTCTCAGGAGATAAAAATGTTTTTGTATATGTTGGAAGCTGTCCAGAGTGGCTGGGGTAAAATTATTATTATTATTATTATTATTATTATTATCACCACCACCACCACTGTCATCATCTCAGTGTGCAAGAGTGGCCTTTGTTTACAAATCTGACAGTCTGTTTCCAGGAAAACGAGTTGCTTCAGGGACTTCGGTGCAGTTTCTTAAAAAACAATTATCATTTGGTTTTACAAATTTGTTCACATTCAAAATCACAAATAATAAAAAATTACACAAGATTCTTCCGAATCTCTGGACTTCCCTCCACGGGTTCTGTAATTAACCTTTCCAACTGCATATTGTAAATCACTCTAATTTGTCAGTTGTCCAAAGTCCATGTAACATTGCAAGAGTTATTTAAGACCTGCTATAGACTCCAAATGCTTACAGTGGTCTCTCAAGTATAATATTAATTTCCCCCATTCTTCGTTGAAGTTTTGATCCTCCTAGTTTCTGATTTCCCCATTCATTTTTGCCATCTCTGCATAGTCCCAACAGCTTGGTGCGCCATTCCACGCTGGTGGGGACCGACTTGGGTGCAGTTTCAACAGGCTGGGACAGACTCCCCTCCCACCATAATTTTGATTATTTTTAGATGAAACACAGCCTGGGGAGTTTGTGGCTTTGGAGGGAAGGGGTATGTGTGTGTCTCTGTGTGTGTGTCTAATTTTCTCCCTGCTGGCTTTCCCCCATGCAAATCCCAACCCCACCTCACCCAAAATCCCCGGCTGGGGAAACACAGCCAGATGGGTGGAGTGTAAATAATAAATTATTATTTTTATTTCATTGTTGGGGCTCCTGCAGAACTGGCAGCTCCCAAACTTCACCCAGCCCTTTATTCCCTTTCCCACTTACAATAAAGTAGGACGCCTCACCCATCCACATTTTAATTCAAGGCCTGTTGGGTGAGGTGGTTTTTCTGTTTTTTATCGGTAAAGGTTTTCATTTCCTTTTATACGTCCTATAAGAACGGGTGAAAATCAAAAGATGGAAAATCTGAACTGTGAAATCGGGGTTGGACTAGATGACCCTCAGGGTCCCTTCCGATGGCACAATTCTATGATTCTTTTATACTGCTGTTCGGTGAATGTATTATTTAGTTGTGAACTACTCTATTTATTTACTTATAGTTAATAATAATAATTGGTATGCCGCCCTTCCTCCACAGATCTAAAGGCTGTTCACAACATAAAAATGCAATACAAAAACCACATAATACAGAATAAATCCCGGTTGATGGTTTTCCATTTGGAGGATCTGTTTAGCCGCTGTAAGAACGGGCTGCCAGACTGTGTGAATGAATGAATTTTATTATTACGGTCACAGACCAGTTCCGGCTCACTTACAATACCAGGAAAATCATAAAACACAACAGGAATACATTGAATTGCAATTAGGTACAACAGAGACAATTCAGATATAGTGGCAGATTTAATATATATTAAATCTTGATCACTAAAATATAACCTAAAATTGTCATTTAAAACCTTAGTCATTTTGGTAGTGCAGCTTGTTCCCTGAGTTTTATGGCAGTCACACAGAATTTGGCCACCCTGAGCGTGATCTCAGGATCCTTGTCCTCTACCAGGAGCTTTAGACATTGAAGTTTGGGCCCGTTTGGAGATTTTGGTACAACAGGGGTGATAAATACTGAGCGTATATCCCCGTAGAAATGGCAGCGTGGAATAGCAAGAAGGAAAGCAACTGGGTTGTGCGTCTGGGCAAATGCAAAAATATTCCGAAACAGAAGTGAGGGGGCGGGGATTGGCCGCTTTGTGGACTTGTTGAGTCAGAAGGGACCCCGAGGGTCATCCAGCCAAACCCCCTGTGACCTTCTTCCCCTTCCCTCTCTAGGGAGAGCCAGGAGCACTGGGAGCCCCAGGGAAGACGGGGCCCGTCGGCCCTCAGGGACCCCCGGGGAAGCCAGGGACGGACGGACTGAGGGGCCTCCCCGGATCAGTGGTAAGGAGACCGACCCGGACGCCGGGGTTCTCTGGGAGGGGCCGGGTGCGCATGTGTGTGTCTGCTGAAGTCGGGCTCAGTTGGGGGCCCCTTGTGTGGCACCAGGGGAGCCTCAAAGACCCCCACCAGTGGGGCAGGGTTGGTGTCTTGTGGTCCTCCAACCAAGTCCCGTTGCAGGATCCTGGAGAGTTTGTGGGGGGCGTATGGGGTGTCAGGGAAGGGGTGGCACCTCTGGTGGGGACATGTCTTCTCCTTCTGGGGTGGTTTGTCCACCTTTGGCCCCCACCTCACACTCCTGGGAGTTGTGGGGCTGGGGCAGGGGTCCCGATCCCGGGAAACGGTGAGGAGAGCTGAGGGGTCTCAGACCCTTGGAGTTAGGGGCTCTGGCGGGACCAAGTCCAACCTTCAAGCAGGCAGTGGAGGAAGGAAAACAACATGGCGGCAGGTTGCGAGGTTTTTGCGGTTATCAGGAAGGCCGACCTGAGAATCATCTCGTTTTTGTTTTTAATAATGCTGTATTGTATTTTAATATTCGGTTGGAAGCCGCCCAGAGTGGCTGGAGAAACCCAGCCACATGGGCGGGGTATAAATAATAAATTATTATTATTATTATTATTATTAAGGTGCCGAAATTATGGCTGAAGGTGGTCTCCGTAGAAACTGCTACAGCCAATGCTTAGTCTACGGGGTATTTTTATGTTTAGTAGATAATCCATTGGTTTTTGGATCGATTCTAATTTTCCTGAAATAAAGCAAAGACCAGAATGGAAGGTGGTTGAAATCTCTACGCTTCACATGGTTGCTTCTAAAGGCCATAAATAAAGTATGTTCAATCAGGATAAAAAATAGAAGGCACAGTGGACGCTCGGGTTGTGAATGTGATCCGTGTGGGATGCACGTTTGCAACCCGCAGCGGCACGTCTCCGCATGCACGGGTTGCGATTCAGTGCTTCTGCGCATGCGCGACCGCCGAAACACGGAAGTAACCTGTTCTGGTACCCAGCTGCAGCCGCCGGAAGAAGATGGGTTGGGGGATGCATTGCAGCAGGGAGGGGAGGAGTCTGTGGGTGGGGCCAGAGCAAAAGTGGGCGGAGCACTGGGCGCTTTGAAGGGCGGGGCTGTGTGAGGCCCCCAAGGGCCACCTAGAGAGGCTGGGAAGGGCTGCCTTTGGGCACTGAATTTCCCACCCTGACTGAACTCTTTTGCCCCCCTCCCCGTCTCTTCCAGGGGGCACAGGGCAAGCCAGGAGCGACCGGCCAGGCTGGGCCCCCGGGACCAGTGGTGAGTGTCTGGGGTCTTCTCCATGGCCAGGGGGGTGGGGATGGTGGATGGTGTGACAGCCTATGGGGAGAGAGCTAAGGGTCCCAACCGTTGGGCCTCTTGCAGGGGGTTGAGCTGGATGACCTTTGGGTTCTTTTCCGACTCTACTATTCTGCGGTTCTTCCTGCAGGGCCCCCCCGGTTTGCCTGGGCTGAGAGGTGACTCTGGACCCAAAGGAGAGAAGGTAAGGCGAGGGTTCCCTCCGCAGATAGGGGGCAGTTGCTTCTCTGTTTGCCCCCAAGATGTGCATGCCACATCATCACTTTGGTCTCTTAAGTGGTGAACGTCAAACTCAGCCAATAGAAAAGAGACTGTTGGTCAGGGAGACCTCTGGCTAGGAAGCTTCTCCTCCGTGTTCAGTGGGCAAAAATGGAGAAATGCAGGCCCAGTTTAATCTGCGGGAAAATGTAGCTTGAGATGGGTGCTTTCCAGGTTTCTCTTGGGGGAGTGAAATTGACTAGACACAAGTGGCTTGGGATCTGGAAAGTAACTAGATCACAGGTCGGTTGCAAACTGGAAACGGATGAAGTCATAAATCGCTTGCAATCCAGAAACTGACTACACCATAGTTCGATTTCGAACTGGAAATTAACTAGACCATAAGTTGCCTGTGATAACCATAGGTTGCGGAAATTGGCTGGACCGTAAGTCGCTTGGGATCCTCAAAAACTGACTAGGCTGCAGGTTGCATGCTATCTGGAAATGAACTAGACTGTAAATGACTTGGGATCTAGAAATTGACTAGACCGTAAGGGACTTGGGATCTAGAAATTGACTAGACCCTCAGTGACTTGGGATCTAGAAATTGACTAGACCGTAAGGGACTTGGGATCTAGAAATTGACTAGACCCTCAGTGACTTGGGATCTAGAAATTGACTAGACCCTCAGTGACTTGGGATCTAGAGATTGACTAGACCCTCAGTGGTTTGTGAAGTGGTCCAGTCCATTCCCCCCTCCACCTGCCCTGGTGCCCCTCCAGTAAGTGCTTCCTCTCCCCACAGGGACACCCCGGTCTCATCGGCCTGATCGGACCCCCAGGAGAACAAGGGGAGAAGGGAGACAGAGGCCTGCCTGGCCCACAAGGCACAACGGGGCAGAAAGGAGAAACGGTGAGTGTTTGGGGGCAGAGATGTGGGGCAGGCGGGATCCAAATAAAACCAGAACAAAAAAAAATGGAGGACCCTAACCCCTGAGCCATCAGGGAAACGCCAACAGGAAACACAGGATGAAGGAGAATTTGTGGCCAGGCCTCCACTCAGGAGAATTTGTCTGCCTGCCTGTCAAGGATTCCTTCGCTGGGATTTCTGCTCTGCGAGGGGTTGGACTAGATGATCCTCGGAGGTCCCTTCCAACTCTAGGATTACACAGAGAAACAACCCTCCGTCCTACGTGATGTCGACACCCACCTGAGTCTTCCTCCAAACATACTTTTGCACCACAACTTGTTTCTTTTCGCTGTTTAATTTGTTTTATTTTTTTGATTCTGTATCCTTAGGGTGAGTGAAGGGTGAGCAGTGGATAAACAAACAGGAATAAAAATGCAGATAATTTGTCGTTGTTACCTTTCTACAGATTTTATTGCCTTTAAAGGTTTCTCCATGAATAATCAAGACCAAAATCTTCTAGTTGAGCCGATTCCGGTCGCCACAAAGAGGGAGAGAAGGGTGGGGGAGGGGACATGGGGGGGGAGAAGCCGGGTGGGGGTCTTCTGTGCCTATAGCATGGGGGGAAGGTTGCAGGGACTGGCAGCAAGGCAGGAGAGCCAGCTAGGACTCCTGGGTCCCCTGAGATGGCATGGTCTTGCCCGACTGACCCTTTCTCTCTCTGTTTCCCCCCACAGGGAATCCCTGGTCCAACCGGCCCCCTGGGACCCGCAGGACCCCCTGGTCTCCCCGTAAGTGAGCCCCCCCTTTGCCCTCTCACACACCCTCCCTGTGTGGCACCTTCTAACACCTTTTTAAAAACATTATCCTTTCCAGATTTATACATTTCACTAATTTTTCAACCATTCTGATGTTTCAAAACTTGACTTCCTTCCCCCTCTTTCTGTGGCTCCTTAAATTTATTTCTAATACCTTCTGCCTATCCAAAATTAACCAGATTTGCTCGTTTATTCGTATACTTTAAATATATAACCCTTATAGAACTGCAGGTTATTACAATAATCCTGCCAATGGTTTTATCTGTAAATATTCAATAAACCATTTCCACTCTTTTAATAAAAAGTTTGTTGTCTTGGTTTCTTAGTTTTGCGGTAAGTTTCGCCACTTCCGCATATTCCGTAAGTTTTTGTACATATTCTTCCTTTGCTGGGACTTTTTTCCATTTTGAGGGCAAATAACATATCTAATTGATTTTTGACTTTTATTGTTAATCATGTTTTTATATTGTATTTTATGCTGCTTTTATAATTAAGTATTTTAAAGTGTTTTAAATTTGTTGTTAGCCGCCCTGAACCCGGTTTTTGAACCAGGAAGGGCGGGGTATAAATAAAAATTTATTATTATTGTTATTATTGCCACAGTAGTCGTGTACATGAATAAGTTTCTATACGGTTTGGGTAGTTCTGTCCCTATAATTCCCAAAAGGAAAGCTTCTGGTATTTTTTACAAAGGTTACTTTTCGTTTCATTATATATCATTTCCTCCTCTCTTCCCCAGGGTCCAGGCGGCCCCCCAGGTCCTAAAGGAGCCACGGTAAGAGCCTCCCCACACATTGAGCCCCCCCACCCGCTTGGGGGGAGAGGCGGGGCGAGGGCGTGCCCCTCTTTCCCTCGCGTGCCACTGACATCGCCAACTTCCTTTTCTAGGGTCAAGCGGGACCCAAAGGTCAGCGCGGAGTCCCTGGTCCCCCTGGACGGCCGGTAAGAAAACCCCACACATTCCCCCCTTCGTCCCCACACCCTAAGGTCTGCTCCTCCAGCTGGGAAAGCAAAACCCTCCTGACTTGAATGGCCTAGAAAACTGTGTTGTTGTTGTTGTTTTTAAAAAATTATATTCATGGTAAATATTCAGGCAGTAGCGCTCGATACTCTCAATCCCACGGTTGTGGGTTTGAGTCCCATGTTGGGCAGAAGATGGGTTGGACTAGATGACCCTGGGGGTCCCTTCCAAACCTGTGATTCTGTGGTAATAATAAGAGCAGTGGACATGTTGGATTGGGTTCTGGTAACTGGGATTTCCCCACCCAGCCTCCCACACGGCTGCCCTCTGCCTTCCTCAGGTCAGCCGAAAGGAAGCCCCTTTCCAGAGTTAGACTGTGGAACTCCTTGCCACCAGTTTTTAATGTGTGACATTTTAATGTATTTTTAATCTTTGTTGGAACCCGCCCAGAGTGGCTGGGGAAACCCAGCCAGATGGACGGGGTACAAATAATAAATTATTATTATTATTATTATTATTATTATTATTATTACTGAGTGTGGGAATGTTCAGGGATGCAGGAGAGGATATATTGTTCGATTATAGCCTTTCCAACTTGTGTTGGAATTTTAGCAGAGTAACATTCCCCTTTTTTAAACTCGCAGCAGATGCGTTTGCTCAGGCTCGCTAAAGCCTCTATAATAACTGTTCTGGTATTTCCCCCTTATTCCCTCATAAAAGAGAAGACACGACACGGTCTTCTATAAAAGTATAAAAAGGTTTACTCACACATCATTCTGTTCACAATAGGATCCCAGAAGGCAGACTTAGCTTAGAAAAGTAACATACACTTGGAAACTACTCCATAAGAAGACAGTCCCTTTGCCCTCTCTGGGCTGAAGGCCAAGAGAGCATCTTTGACTAAGCAGACGTTGCTTCTTTGATGCATGTAGTCAAAAAGAGAGAGATGGTTTTGTGCTTTTGTCGTTTACCTGCACAGGTGAGGCCACGCCCACCTCTAGTCACATGCAGAGGAAGTCTGTCCCAGCCGAGAAGGAAACAGGAAGTTGACCTGCTGGCTGGACAAACATTCCTCCCCATGTGTAAACATGTTCATTCTAGGAATGTTGTACTTGACTGCTCTTGTGTTTCACATCCCACACTGAGAGGATTGGGCAAGTTCACAGCCATGCTCCTGACTCAGAGGGGAACGTGGCCTGAATGGCAGCTGCCGGAAACCAACCGCAGGAGGGGAGAGAAGGCTCTTGAGTTCGAATTCTGACGGGTGGTTCTCACGTTCTCCTGGCCAGGGACCCCCCGGAGAGGTGATCCAGCCGCTGCCCATCCAGAGGCCCAAGAAGAACAAGCGTTCGGTGGACGGCAGCCAGCTGGTGGCCGAGGAGCAGCCGCCGTCGGACGGGGCAGGCCAGGCGCCCTCGGAGGGCATGGAGGAGATCTACGGTTCCCTCAACTCCCTGCGGCAGGAGATTGAGCAGATGAGGAAGCCCCTGGGCACCCAGGAAAGCCCCGGGCGAACCTGCCAGGACCTGCTGCTCTGCCACCCGGACCTTCCTGATGGTGGGTTGGGGGGCTCAGGGTCCCCTGGAAGACAGGAATAATAATAATAATAATAATAATAATATTCTTTACACCCCGCCCATCTGGCTGGGGCAGGGTGGTGGTCGTCCAGCCGCACTTGAGTTGTTCTGCAACTTCCATGAGCTCCCAGCAAGCGCAAGGGATGATGGGAGTTGTAGTCCAATGTCTGCAGGTGGGCAAGGCCATTGCAAGGAGTCACAGAAGCCGCTGGGTGAGGCTTCCCGGCCCATCCTGCCCGAGCCACCAAAGCGGCAGGTGGGAGGTGCGATTCCTGCCTCGCAAGGAGGCAGGACAAAGAGCCTTGGGTAACTCGCATAAGTGAGCCCAGCTGCATCCTTTGGGGGGAAAGCAGCCCAGGATTCTTAGCCTGCTTTGCTGATGCAAGGCGGGCGGCAAAGATAGAAAAGGGCAATTCCTGGAGGCAAAGATGATGAGAAAACCCCAGCAGGGATTTAAAATCTCAAAACGTGCAGCGGTTCAGTGTGGAAATACAGGCCATTACACCCCTTCCAAGTTCCTTTCAAAGTTCCCCTCTTCCCTAAGCATAGAGAGAGACCATAAACTGGGTAACCTAAAAATTGGTTTACTTACAAACTTTCCAAAGGTCAGGTCCATGTGCTTTTCCGTGCAGCATTCAGAAAAAGTTGCGCAGCTGTGAGGAATCCTTTGCTTTAAGGGAACCTCCAGACCCAGAGTTAGTCCATCTCGATTCCTTGTTCTTTGTCAGAATTAGATGGGGGGGCCCTATGACCTCACCCAACTGCTGCTGCTGCTGCTGCAAGGCTTTTCTGATGTTCCGTTCTCCTTTTCTTCCCACCCCCAAAATAATAATATCCAGGCGAATACTGGATCGACCCCAACCAGGGCTGCTCACGAGATTCCTTCAAGGTCTACTGTAATTTCACAGCCGGCGGAGAGACCTGCGTCTTCCCCAGCCAGGAGATTCGAGAGGTAAGAGAAATGGGATTAGATCTGTCGGGGGGGATGGATGGACTTGATGACCTCTGGGGGCCCCTTCCCATTCTGCAATTCTTTGAATCTCTGCCCTCCAGATGTTGATTTGATTGATGCTCAACTGGACCGACTGCGATGTCCACGTGACGGAAAGCCTATTCCGAAATGATGGCTGCTGCCGTTCTTATTCTTTACAAATGAAGGTTGCATTCCGGTATATTTCCCTCTCTCTCTCCTTTTCCCAGGTGAAAATGTCGACGTGGGAGAAAGAGAAACCTCAAACCTGGTTCAGCCAATTCCAGAAAGGCAGGAAGGTGAGGGAACTGGGATCCAGGGGGTTATTTACATGCGGTATAGTGACCCCAACAGTGTCTCTGGGGCTCTGCAGACCGAAAGGAGGAGGAGGAGGAAGAAGAAGAAGAAGAAGAAGAAGAAGAAGAAGAAGAAGAAGAAGAAGAAGAAGAAAGGATTTAGTTACACTACTTCTAGATTTCAAAAGGAAGTCATAGAAGGAAGTCATGATAAAACGGTTACAAGATGATATAGGTCATATTATTTGAAGACCATATGTGGTGGGAATGTAAAGAAATTAAAACATTTTGGGAAATGATATATAATGAGTTGAAGAAAATGTTTAAACTAACATTTGTAAAAAACAACAACCCAAAAGCATTCTTGTTAGGGGTTGTAGGAAAAGACCTGCCAAGGAAATTAAAGAACATATTTATGTCTGCGACAACGGCGGCCACAGTCTTAATAGCACAAGGATGGAAGAACGAGGAAATCCCGACAAAAGAACAGTGGCAAGGGAAATTAATGGACTATGCGGAACTGGCGGAACTGACACACAAACTGTGAGACAAGGAGAACTGTGGCTTTAAAGAAGAATGGGAACTTTTTGCAAATTACTTTAAAAAACAACAAAATGAATTGGACTCCTTGACAGGTTTTGAATAAATATACACAAATTAATACACATACACAAAATAATAATAATAATAATAATAATAATAATAATAATAATAAATAAAAATACCCTGTCAATCTGATTCGGCTGCCCCAGCCGCTCTGGGCAGCTTCCAGCATAGTCTAAAAACACAACTATGCATTCTTCACAGAATGCACAATTCACCTGTGGAACTCCCCGCCACAAGAGACAGGGATGCTTTGAAGGAGACAAATGCAGGGAAGAGACGGCTGCCTGTGCCCCTGGTTGCAATGGCTCTGCTCTTCCTCCACAGCGGAGTGTGTTGCAGCAGTCTAGCCCTGACTCCTTTTCTCCCCCTCGCCAGTTCTCCTACTCGGACGCCGACGGCAACCCCCTGGGCATCGTGCAGCTCACCTTCCTGCGCCTTCTGAGCGTCTCGGCCCGGCAGAACTTCACCTACCACTGCCAGCGTTCGGCTGCCTGGCACAGTCGTGGGGAGCCGGCCCCCGGGGGCTACCAGCGCGCCCTCCGCTTCCAGGGCGCCAACGAGGATGAGCTGAGCTACGACAGCAGCCCCTACGTCAAGGCCCTGCGGGACGGCTGCGCGGTGAGTCCTCCCAGCAGGGGTGGCATCGGGCGGGAGCCGGGTTCCCTGGGCACCCAGGGGCCACGCTGTGAGGACAGGAGGCCGGGTCAGACGGGCCCCTTTGGGCAGCTGATCCGGGAGGGCCCTTTGCACGCCCCGATGGAGCCTCCAGGGACAGAGGCAGACTCTTCAGATTCCTTGGGGGCATTTGACCACTGTGAGAAGGGGATGGTGGTCTAGGTGGGCCATTGGCCTGATCCAGTAGTCCTTATGACAGAGTGGGCTGGTGGGAGGTCACTTTACGGGAATTTGAGGGGAATTTGAAGCTTTTGCAGAGCTGAATCGATGCCCAACCTTTACTGAGCATTCTTGCAGGGAGGCTATCCGACAGCAGGGATCTCCAAACCACAAAAAGTCCAGCATCTTTTTTTTAAAAAAAAATAGTCATTTGTCATGGATGCTGTAGTAGAAATTCCGGTCATGGCACAGGGTTGGGCTGGATGACCCCCAGGACCCATCCAAATCTGTGATTCTAAAGCAGGTTTTTGGATTTTTATTTTTTTAAAAAAATTCTATTTCTATGCCACTTTTTATTCAAATAAATCCCTAAGCAGCTTACAAGCAAAAGACAAAAATGACATAATGAAACATCACGGATGCAGCATAAATGGTATAGAATGCTTAACAAATCATCAGTAAAGCAATCACAAACAAAACAGTGACTGCTCTTCTACATAAGTGGTTCCTCAGCTTTTCTGGGGGGCCCTGCCCCCCTGGTTCAGTGAACTTACACTCCACCCAAAACAACACACCGTATTTTTTGCTCTATAAGACGCACCTGACCATAAGACGCACCTAGCTTTTAGAAGGGGAATGCAAGAAAAAAAATATTTTTAAAGGGAGCGCTGAGCAGAGCCCGTCTGCATCCCAGCCTCTGCTCAGCGCTCCCTTTCACGAGCCGAGAGGAGCGTGGGTGCGGCGCTTGCAGGCTTCTCCCCAGGAGGGAAAAACCCCCAACAGCCACACACATGTTCCACGCGGCTCGTGAAAGGGAGTGCGGCTTTTGGGGGCTTTTCCAGGAGGTAGGGGAAGGGACTGAGGGGCTGCCCTCTGTCCCTTCCCCTACCTCCCAGAAAAGCCAGCAAGAGCTGCACACTCTTTAAAGGGTGCGCGGCTCCTGCGGGCTTTTCTACGAGGAAGCAGAAGGGACTGACGCGGCCAGTCAGTCCCTTCTCCCTCCTTGGGGAAAAGCCTGCAAGAGCCGCACAGAGTGTGTGTGTGTGGCTCTTGGGGGCTTTTCCCACCTGCCTCCCACCTGCATTCACTCCATAACACACACACACATTTCCCCTTACTTTTTAGGAGGGGAAAAGTGCGTCTTATGGAGCGAAAAATATGGTAATTCAGAAAAGCAGTTTGCATGACCCTCTAAGATAATAACGCAACAAAATTCAAAGTAGTAGCGATAAATTGTACATTTGTTCAAAACTCAATTAAAACTACTTAGTTTAACTATGTAAAGAAAATGGATGGATTTGACCTTGTCAAAGACTTTGCCATTAGAAAAAGGAGGGTCCCCTCCCCTTTCAAATATAAATGAAGTGGAAGTAGACAATAAGACTGTAGGTTGTGTTTCGTTCCCCGAAATATAATTTTATGTTACGGTTTACCATTGTTTATATTTTGAACTGGATATATACGGGGCAGCAAAACCTTTTAGGCGCATAGGGCCTCTAAAGGTCTTCGTCTCGCAGCAATGTTTCTGAACGCCAGAGGAAAAGTTTTTCTCGCACTCGGATCCCGCTCGTGGGTTTCCCACCACGCTGGCCAGGTTTGCCCTCACGTTCTCACGCCGTCTCCTCTCCCTCACAGACACGGAAAGGATCGGACAAGACTGTCCTGGAGGTCCACACCCCCCAGGTGGAGCAGCTGCCTTTGATGGACGTTCGCGTGGCGGACTTTGGGGAGCCCGGCCAGAGGTTCGGGTTCGAGGTGGGGCCGGTCTGCTTCCGAGGCTAAGGCGGCGGGAACCCCCTGCTCACTTCACTGAGCCCACCCCCCGACCCCGTTTGCCCTTGGTCTCCAGAGGAACCCCCCACCCCACAAGCAGTGACGGAACAGGATCCGGCCTCTCTCCACGCCCCCCCTCAAGACACAGCGGATCTGTCGCCAACCAATGGGAGACTGAGGAGCATCGGGGGTCCGGGGCACCAGTGCAGACCAAAGAGAAGTGGACCGTTTGGGACAAGCCAGATGATATTTTATCGCCATTCCTCCTCCCCACCTCTCCTCCACGAGTAGCGGGTCACAAAGCGAAGCCCCCTCCCCAAACACGCAGGGATCCCTCCCCACTGTAGCTCTTTTCCCGCTGAACCCACTACTCTAACCCCACCCCATGCCTGATCTCACGGCTGTCTGTCTCCCCCCCCCCCAAAAAGCACTAAAGCATCCCTTTCCCTATTCCTTCAGGGGTCCTTGGGGAGGAAGTGATATATATTCAACAATAATCTGCAGAATTTTCCAGTTGTAACTCCCCAGTCCCAAATCCAGTTGTTGCATTTCCCCTGTGACCCTTGCCCACCCCAGAATTGGGTGCCCTTTTTGGCTCTCTGTGGAGGCAAGAATGGGACCCTTTGCCCCCACCCCTAATGGCCACTCCCACCCCCTGCTGGCCCTTGCACCTGTTTTAAGACCTCACCCGCCACCCCGTCCCAGCTCCCCAACAGGTGAGTGTTTTTTGCAAAAGGGAAGCCACAAGCCTTTTCCTGGCTCTCTAGGGAAATCCCCTCACCCCCTAACAGACAGCACCAATTAAGCCCCACATTTACAGGAGGAAATAGGGGGGGCAGATACTACAGGAACCTGCTTGTGGGCTGGAAAGAGGCAGCTGGAGTGAACAACTTTGCTTGTCTCTATCCTAATGCACAGAGCATGGGAACCAAGCAAGATGAACTCAAGCTCCCATTACAAGGTGGCAAATGCGATTGAATAGGCACTGCTGAAAGCAGAAGGGCTAAATGACACTGGGTGGGGGCAAACTTGGTACAAAAGCCCCCCACCCAGTTCAGAGACCAAGAGCAGAGAGGGGTTCTCTGGCTTCCCAATGGCCGCCTCTCCCCCAAACTCTGATCATCTCCACTCTAGCCACCATTGCCCCAAACATATCTTAACTTTCTTTTTTAATGATTCTAAAACTAGACACTGCCCCGGGAGACGGTTCCCCCCTTTTGCACAAATTAGTGTCCCGCCAGGAATTCAGCTCCCCTCCCCTCCCCTTTGCTAAACTTTCAAGCCCCTCCCCCATGTTCTGTGTGCTTCTAAGAAGCATCTTCTGCCTCCCCAACTTCCCTTCGCCCCCCAGAGCAGCTCCAAAGACCAGAAAGGAAAACTGTGTGTTTTGTTTTTTGTTTTTTTGATAAAGAGAAAAATAAATAAATAAATTAATTATATTATTTAAAGGAGTGGATATAAGAAAAAGAGACTATTTTCATCTCCTGCTGCCTTTTAATTTTTACGGAAGATGGAAAAAGGCGAGTTTCACACCCAGTTTTTGGTGCTCGGGAAGTTTAAAAAAATAAATTTATTTTCTCTCGGCCGCCTGCAAAGGTTTTTTTTCCACCCCTTCTCTCTTGAAAGGGGTCCCCCCCCTACACACAAAAGCTCCTCCTTGGCTTTTTTGTTTTCTTAAAAAGCAAGCGAGGGGCCACCCCCTGGTGCTGGAAGCAGGCGACCCGTGTAATGTTTTGTAATTAATTGTGGAAATTGTATGGTGCCTAATAGATCATCTATAATTTTGCTGCTTTCTTTGCCTCCATTATTATTTCCTTGCCTTTGCCCGTCCGTTGGAGTTTCGCTTTCGTATGCCCCAATGTGCAAATAATGCAGCCTCCCGGTTGAGGGTCAACTAAAGCCTTCTGCAGGGGGTTCGAGGGAGGCGCCCCCCAGGGGTCTCTACGGGGCAGGGGGCAGGGGGGCCTTGATTCCTAACACTCCACAACAACCAGCCTCTGGATCCAGCGAACCGGTGGGCAAGCAAGGAAGCTGAAGGCTGGGAGATTCGGGACAAATAAAAAGGACTTAGGCGCTGTTAACCTGCGGAACCTCTTGCCACAAGGCAAAGTGACCAACTTGGATGGCTAAGAGTCCCAGCAGAGGCAGCAAATGCTTCCGAATATCGGTTGCTGGAAACCACAGCAGGGGGAGAGGGGTCTTGTTTTCGAATCCTGATCGCTGGCTTCCCATGATAGGAATTTATTTTATCACATGATCTCAAGGCAGATTGCAGGGGTCTGGTTGGCCACTGTGAGAGCAGGAGCGGCACAAAACAAATGAAATACCATGAAAATCCCTGAAATGAGAAGTAATCGACTAGAAATATTACCTTGTGGCAATAAACTAAATAATAAAAATCTTTAACATCAGCAGTAACATCTAGACCATGGGAGCATTTCAGCCCTGCTCTTGCATTTGTTTAAAATCTAAAACATGTATTCATTCTTTGAATTTGTGCCATTTAGGTTTTTAAACCTTTTTGTAAAAGCAGCACTAGAATTTTCACACTCAGCCCTTTATTACTGTGCTTTGCTTTCTTCAAGTTGGGCTTTGCCTAAAACTTGCCATTTAGGTGTTCAAACCCCTTTTTTGTAAATTCAGTATTAGAAACTGTACTTTTCAGTCCTTAATCCCTTTATTACTGCGTTTTGCTTTACTTCGGTCGAGCTAGGATTATAACACTTCAGAATTTTTGGGGTTTCTACCCCCCTTTTTGAATTTTGGTCATTTAAAGTTTGTGATTTTTCTATTTCCTTCTGAGGAAACTGAGTAGTTCAGTGAAACAAAGTTTGCAGCCGGCATCCCATTAAGGCTTTGTTCAATTCTTAGGTTTTTTTCCTTTAATCTTTTTGATTTTTATTACTTAGTTTATTTCCACAAGATAATATTTCTAGTCGACTACTTCTAGTTTCAAGGATTTTCACGGTATTTCATTTGTTTTGTGCAATTTCTCAGTTTTGTGACTGCCTTTTTTTCTATTGGTTACTGCGAGAGCAGGAGGCTGAACTGTATGGGCCTGATCCAGGAGCCTATCGTGTCCTCATCCTCCTCACACAAACATGCCTCCCCCTCTCGGGGTTGGGCTAGATGACCCCCAGGCCCCCTTCCAGCGCTGTGACTCTCTGGCACAGACATAAACTTCCCTGCTTCGTTTTTTTCCTCTTGGCAATGAGGCGAATGATCCCAGGTGTGAGTTGCTAGAGAATTTATTTCCACTGTACAAAGCAAGACAAAGGGACAAACGGGATACGTGGTCCCAAAACAGGGCTTCCCCCCACCCCATGGAGATCACGGAGGGGGGGGAAAGCAGTGATATGGCCTCCCCCCAAAAAAACCCACAACCCGCCATGCACAAACCCCACCCCCAGCTCAGAAATTGGGCTTGTGTTTCTTGACTTCGACCATCAGGTGGTGGATGTTGATGAGCTCGGAGCGGACGGGGAGGGCTTTGAGGGGGGGCAGCGCCATGACCTTGTGGAAGCGGTGGTAATACTGGATCAGCTGCGTCAGGGCCCCCTGTGGGGAGAGAGAGGGGGGTCAGGGGGGTGAGATTAGAGACACGGGGTGGGGAGAAGGTCACAGGCACCCCACCCCCAGAGAACACACAAGGGCACAGCAGAGAGACCCCCACCAGCAAGAAATAAACACCCTGTGCTAAGCGCTGCGATGGGGGGTTGGGCTGGATGACCTTTGGGGGTCCCTTGGGATTCTATAAGCAGGAAGCAGCTGGGGTTTTTTTTGGGGGGTGCGAGAACCATTTGAAATTGGGTGGGGAGTGAGCTTGGGGGATTTTAAAGATGATTTCTGGGATCTGCAACAGGGGGACCTCAGCCAAAACCTGCCCTGTTCCCTTGGGGGGGGCGGATTTAGGGGAAAACCTGGATGCTGCAATAATACACACGATAATAATAATAAATTTTAATTATACCCCACCCTCCCCAGCGTAGACCGGGCTCAGGGCGGCTAACACCCGATATAAAAACAAAGGGATTGAAACTTAAAAACAAGATTAAAATACAACATTAAAACACAGCCTCATTTCAACGGAAACTCAAATCAAAAGCTTTTTGGGGGATGGAAATGTCAAGTCACACCGGGCTCTTCCTGAAATTGCTCCGGGGGGGGGGCTTCCACAAGCCAAGGGGCTGCCCCCCCCCACGGCACCCATTAACCCTTCCCTGCCCACGGGGCCCACCTGGATGATGGTGGTGCCGTTCTTGAAGTTGGTGAAGGAGCGCATCACGTCTTGGCTGAGAGCCTCCACCGCCGCCTTCCAGGTCCCCGCGAAGCCGCGCACCAGCTGCGTCACCCGGGCTGAGAGGGGAAGGGGGCAGATTTGGGTGGGGGGCATTGAGGAGGGACTTTCCTCCTCCGGGAGGTTTTTTAAGCAGAGGTCAGGCGGACGCCAACTCCTGCATTGCACGGGGGAGGCGGGGTTGGGCTGGATGACCTTCGGGGGACCCACTTCCGTCCCTATGACTCCGTAAATCGTCAGTAGCAAATGAGACTCTTAGCCTCAGGGCCGTGGGCAGGGTGGATTTGATCTAAATCAGGGGTCAGCAAACTTTTTCAGCAGGGGGCCGGTCCACTGTCCCTCAGACCTTGTGGGGGGCCGGACTTTTTTTTGGGGGGGGGAGGAATGAACCAATTCCTATGCCCCACAAATAACCCAGAGATGCATTTTAAATAAAAGCACACATTCTACTCATGTAAAAACATGCTGATTCCTGGAATGTCTGTGGGCCAGATTTAGAAGGTGACTGGGCCGGATCCGGCCCCCGGGTCTTAGTTTGCCTACCCATGTTCTAAATCAAATCGATTCAAATCACGATTTAAATCACTAGACTTGATTTAAATCTTTTTTCTTTTCTTTTTTACAGAAAGACTTATTCTTGCTGGTATAATCTTAATATTTGCAACCAGACGAAGGTTTCCTTTTTGGAATAATAAATAAAAAGTCGTTTTTACAGTCATATCAAAAATTACTGATTTGGTTATACACAGACCGATAATAATTACATCATTGTGAGGTTTAGTAAGTTAACTGTTTATATACGGACAATTTTTCTGTTGTACTTTGTTGGAAGGAGAAAACTAATCATTTCCTTAATAAAAATTTATTTAGCTAAAACAATAACATTATAGCATTATAGTTTATTAACTGATGTGGTTAAACTTTTTTTTTAAAAAAACACACACCTTAGATTGAGTTTTAGCACACATGAAAAACTTAAAACAAATCCTTGTTTCCTGATGAATAGCCTTTGGACTATAATGTAACTTAAACAGAAAACTATATTTAGAAATAAATTGTGCTCTGAAAGCATTTTATTTCAAAAATCCAATTTAAATAATAATTTAAAAAATGTTTTAAATTAAAAAAAAATCTGATTTTTAATTTATTTTTAAATTGTTTTTTTTATCCATCCTGGCCATGGGTACAAGTCCCACATTGGGCAAAATATTCCCTGCACTGCAGGGGGTTGGGCTGGATGACCCTTGGGGTCCCAACTCTCGGTTTCCTGCCTCCTTGCCTCTCCCCGCCTGCCAGGCCCCTCACCTTCCTCCCCGCGCAGCCTCTCCATCTGGCCTCGTTCTGCCAGCGCCTCCGCCTCCTTCACAAAGGCAATCATCCCCCCAAAACCGGGCGCCAGGAGCTCCTCGATGAACTCCTGGAAAGGAGAAAGGGGTGGGGGAGAGAGGGAGAAGGAAGGATGGAAGAGACCCCTCAGAGGAGCCGCCCTCCACTCGCTAGACTCCATCTCCCAGAAGCCCCAGAAAATGAGGGTGTGCAACCCAGGGGGTGATGGGATCTGGAGTCCGCGAACCGTTCCCTAGGTTGTGGCTGCTGTTGCATGCCGGCAAGTGAGAGCCACAGGTGAGAACTGAGTGCAGGATAGGGCCAAGGTACCCCCAAAGGAGAGACATGGGTGGCGCTGTGGGTTAAACCACAAAGCCTGGCACTTGCCAATCAGAAGGTCGGCAGTTCGAATCCCCGCGAAGGGGTGAGCTCCCGTTGCTCGGTCCCAGCTCCTGCCAACCTAGCAGTTTGAAAGCACCTCAAAGTGCAAGTAGATCAATAGGTACCGCTCCGGCGGAAAGGTAAACGGCGTTTCTGTGTGCTGCTCTGGTTCGCCAGAAGCGGCTCAGTCATGCTGGCCACATGACCTGGAAGGTGTATGCCTGCTCCCTCGGCCAGTAAAGCGAGATGAGCGCCGCAACCCCAGAGTCGGTCACGACTGGACCTAATGGTCAGGGGTCCCTTTACCTTTACCCCCAAAGGAGCAGGACATGTTCCCCCCCCAGGGACTACCCCTCCCCGCAAGGGCAGCTGATAAATTATCAGTGGCGTGTTGTATCGGCTTCAAGTTCCTAGCCCTCATGTTGGAAGGAGGGCCAAACCCTCCAAAGGACGGGGAGGGGAAAGTGCGGCCTGGCTCCACAGGGCCTTCCTGGAGCCTGCCTCAAACTCGTCTCCCACCCACAGCACCCAGGAGAGGGGGCACAGGTATGGGTGCAACTGCGCCCTCCTTGGGCGCAGCTCCCTCCGCGCACTCCGTTTGCTTACCTGCGTCCGAGCATTCAGGAGCTGCTGGAATCCCTCCACCTCCTTGCTCTCCTCCACCGCTCGCTCCTGGGAAGGTGGGAAGAGGGGCGTCACAGAGTGGGGCAGGGGGAAAGGGGCCTTGCTACCCCTGCCCCCTCCCTTCGTGGGTCCTGTCCCCGCCAGGGCAGGGAGGGGGCAGACCTCTCCCCCACATGACCTGCTCCTGCTTTCCCCTCCCCCCCCCTTTGGGTCTGCCAAGGGAGCAAACTGGTGGCTGAGGAACAGAATGGTGGACCTCTTTCACCTTTGCCACGCTAACGTTAATCAAATTTGTATACAAATTTATTACACACACACACACACACACACACACACACACACAGTCATACCTCGGGTTACAGAAGCTTCGGGTTGCACGTTTTTGTGTTGCGCACCACACCAAACCCGGAAGTACCGGAACAGGTTACTTCCGGGTTTCGGCAGTCGCGAATGCACAGAAGTGCTAAATTGCGCTTTGCACATGCACAGAAGTGCCAAATTGCAACCTGCGTGTGCACAGACGCGGGTTGCGAACTCTGAAGCTTGCAAATGTGCATCCCGCATGGATCACGTTCGCAACCCAAGCGCCCACTATATATATATTCAATGACACTGGTTGGCATCTGTCTGTCTTGGGAGACAATGGAGGAGAGCACCTTTGTTTAGTTTGTCTGTATAATGCCCAATGCCCATAGATCTCACAACATAAAATCACCATGTAAAAAACACAAAATGCATGATTTATCTGTAAGCCACCTTGAATCCGTATCAGGGGGAAAAGGCGGGGCATAAATAAATTATAATTATAACTATCAACCCAACAATCCCCCTTTGGAGGTGAGGTCAATTATAAAAAAGGACGTCAGGGCGGTTCATATGTATACACAGCCTACGTATTTTGTGTCCTATGCTGCAAACCGCACTGCGGTCCCTGGATAAAGGGCGGTACGTAAATTTAATAAATCACAGGCTAGATGGCTACGGGGGGGGGGGTCCCTTTCCAGCCCTGGGAGTCTATGGCTCCATGTTCTCAAGCTCTCTTGGTTTCAACAGCCTAATTCAGGAGAGGAGGAAAAAAGGAACCAAGGCTTCTCATCGTCCAACCACCGGGATCAGGAAATGAAACCATGGCTGCCCGTCTGCCCGTCAACCGGAGACCCCCCAGGGCTGGAAGATCTCGGCCTCTGGCCCCCCAAGTGCAGGGGACTCAGGAGCCCAGCTCCCCGGGACCCACTACTTACCATGAGGACGCCCAGCATCATGTCGTAGTTGTTGATGAGAAAGATGAGCTGCTCTTTGCGCGAGGAAAACTCGGCCGCCACCCGCAGAACGAAATTCTCCACCTCTGTCTGGAAGAAAGAGAGAGAGAGAGAGAGAGAGAGAGAGAGAGAGAGAAAGAAAGGGGGTGGGTGCTTCAAATGGTTCCCCCTCCAAAGAAGAAGCAACAGCACCACAGGGTGGGGCAGGGGCAGGGGCCTGGCCCATTGAAAGCCCCCCATTTTCCAGGGAGCCATAAGCCAGCGTACGCCAACAGGGACACCTGTTTACATGCTACTGCCTGAGTTTTAGTTTTTCCTCTTCCCTCCCTGTACCTTTTCCCTTGCATGCTGTTGCTGTTTTTCTTTTCTTTTTAAGACTGAGAGCCTACGTGTCTCGTTTTGATTGAACCCAAGTCCCTTTCTGGGAGAGTGGGGTGCAAATGCTCTAAATACAAGTAAAAATGACTAAATTAGCCCCCACCTTACCTGCAACTGCCCCAGCAGAGTCAGCGTCCGGTCGTGAGGGAATGTCTGATTGATGCTGACAATGGCCGAGGAGAACTCTGCGTACCGCCGGGTGATCTGGGGGTGGAGGGAGAGGGTTAGGAGCTGAGCATGCTGGGGGGGGCAGGGAATGTGCACCCCGGAGCGGTTCTGTAAGGCTCTTCCCTCAACTCCCACCCAGAGATGGATGCCTTTTCCAGTTGCATGAAAGGGAGAGAGAGAGGACCAGGGATGGCAACTTGAATAAAATATTGGGGGGGGGGGCGGTTTGCAGGTAAGCTCATGGGGAAGGGGCAATGGCAAGGCCCAGCAACTTTGAGGGGGCTGCAAGTTGGCGTCTGAGCTTGCTTTCCCCTTCATCCCCCCGCAGCCCTTTTTCCTTTTGTGTCGTGTACTGGAGATGTGAGCCTGCGTTCTGTGTGTGTGCAGGGGCTGCCTTCACCACCCCTAAGGCGTAGGGAAGCCACACTGCGGGAGCCTCTTTTGAGCTAGCCAAAATGCTGTCGACAAACAAAATCAGAACTTTTAAGGAAGATAAAACCAAACCGCCCAGCATCCTCCAGGTTCGCTCTTCCCATGGCCAGGCTCTGAAGAGTCAGGAGGGAAGCCTCAAATGGCATTATTGTTATTGCTATTGTTATTAATAATTATTACATTGGTATACCACCCGCTTCATCTGAAGATCTCAGGGCAGCTCGCAGCATAAAAACACAATGTCAGGAACGTGCCCCCCCCCCCCGAGCACAGCAGAAGAGTCGGCCTCTGAAATTGAGCTAAGCGAGCAAGGGACTGACTCTGCAGATGAGAGCTGGCTGTCAGAGTCTGGAAAGGCCAGCCCGGCCCCCCTCCTTCCCAGGGAAGACACTTTTAGCTCTCAAGGAGAGGGAGAGTTGGAAGGTGGCCAGAGTGTTGCCAGGCAGCCAGCAGATAAGCCAGAGTCCGAGACTGTGTCTTCTGGGAGTGGGAAGGAGGCAGACCAGCCGGTCAGTCCCTGTACTAGGAGACGGGAGAAGCTCAGAGAGCAACAGAAGGGAAGAGGAAGAAAAGCTGGATTTTGGCATTCTTCCTGTGGGGGGAGGGACGATGATTCAGAATGATCAGCAGAGATCAGGCAGAAAGCCGTCCTCTGGATGCACTTTTCTTGCAAATAAACATACATAAAACTGACGGAGAGTCATTACTGCTGATCAGGCTGCTTGCCTGCCAGAGATTGATATATATACAAGACACAAAATACATACTAAAAGCAAGCACAAGAACAAACCAAACCCTGGGCTATATCCCTCACTAAACTGTTCCCGATTCCCTTGGAAGGGATTCGAATGGTGTGGGGGGGCCCTCCCCAGACTTACGTAGTGGGGCCGGGTGTCGAGGAAGCCCAGCTTCTGGGGGTCGGTGTTCTGGATGCTCTGAATGTTCAGCTCCAGGATGTGCTCAAAGCGCGGCCACAACATCTCCAGGAGCGTGTCCCAATACCTGCATGTCCGGGCGGGGAGCAGGGGAGAGCGGGCGGACAGGATTCCTCGCTTAATGTTTATATTTGATGGAGATATCCCAAGATCCAGCACCTTAGGACGGCCTCAAAGCTGGAGACCGGAAGTGTCCAGCTGGCCAGGGGGAAGATCGCCCTCAACCTGGCAGGAGAGCAAGGCTGGGAGAAAGACTTCCCTTGTCAGGCGGGTCCAGTGGGAATCCTGCTCTGCTGGGGGAGCAGTCGAGCAGGAGGGGATGGAGAAGAGGTGCTCAGCCGTCTGCCAGGCATCTTTTGAGCTGAGATCCCTGAACTGGATTGGACTGGATGCCCCCCCCCCCCATAGCTGTCAACCTTCCCTTTTTTTGCAGGAAATTCCCTTATTCCAGTGCCGTTTCCCACTGCTACCCTGGATTGTTAGATATCCCGTAGACTGTTCCCGGGACAGGTGAGGCTGCTGATCCCTCTATTTTCGAGGCTGCTGATCCCTTATTTTCAAATCTGAAAGTTGACAGCTATGACCCCCCCCGCCCCCCCCAGGAAGGGGCCCCTTCCCCACTCACTTGTCGATGGCGGGGACGTTTCGCTTGGCCATGATGGCTTTGAAGCGGAGGACGATATGGATGCTGAGGAAGACGGCGATGCTGTCGTAGCAGTCGCTCACGTAAGCGTCCATGTGCTTCTGCCGTTGTTGTTGTTTTTTTGGGAGGAGAGTGAGAGACAAACCGAAAGGGCAAACCCACAATTTAGTCATTTGTTTCAACAAATTTATACGCTCCCTGATGGTCTGTTTGTGTGTGTGTGTGTGTTTTAAAAAACCCCACTTTAAAGCAGTTCACAAAAAAAAGATTAATTAACTTCAATTATAAGATTAATTAACTTCAATTATAAGATTAAAGGTAAAGGTAAAGGGACCCCTGACCATTAGGTCCAGTCGTGGCCGACTCTGGGGTTGCGGCGCTCATCTCGCTTTATTGGCTGAGGGAGCCGGTGTACAGCTTCCAGGTCATGTGGCCACCATGACTAAGCCGCTTCTGGCGAACCAGAGCAGCGCACGGAAACGCCGTTTACCTTCCCACCAGAGCGGTACCTATTTATCTACTTGCACTTTGATGCGCTTTCGAACTGCTAGGTTGGCAGGAGCAGACAACCTCTGATTGGCAAGCCCTAGGTTCTGTGGTTTAACCCACAGCGCCACCCGCATCCGAATTATAAGATTAATTAACTTCAATTATAAGATTAATTAACTTCAGTTATAACATACCAACCAAATCAAAAGTTAAGAATGGAGTGGAAGTATTTCGAAGACTATATGTCAAAATATTGTTCTAAAAATGACATGTTAACAGGCTTAGAATAAAAAATGTAAGCGATAACAAAACCAACAAAGAAAAAAGGAAAAACCAGAATTTAACAAAAATAATTTATTATAGAATGCAAGGGGAAAAAGGAACAAAGAAATATACAGAAGTCGAATTGCTGTGGAGGGAAGTAGAGGGTGGGGGTGGGTTTTATAATTAAGTGTATAATTATGCAGCTGTCGTAATTTAGATATTATATTTTATGTGAAGGAATCATTGGGAATTTTGATTATTGTGTTAAGTTTCAATAAAGTTCTTTGAATTTTTTTTTAAAAAAGATTAAACGGTAATATGGTCAAAAAAAAATAATAGACAACAGTTGAGAAACCAAAACTGGTTGCAATTCACATCCAGTTTCTAAGCATCTGTGCCGGGTTGTCTAAACATGAATGTTTATTTTTATCACCAATTTTTTAACAACCCTTAAAGTAAACACGAGAAAGTCAAAATAAGAAAGGCATACTCCATTACTAGAAGAATAAGCAAATCTAATACGGCCGTATCTTGATTGTTGAATGCCTTGCAACTCGAATGTTTTGGCCGCAACCCCGGAAGTGAGTGTTCTGGTTTGCGAACGTTCCTTGGAACCTGAATGTCTGACGAGGTTTCTGCGACTTCCGATTGGCTGCAGGAGTTTCCTGCAGCCAATCGGAAACTGTGCTTTGGTTTTCGAATGTTTTGGAAGTCTAACAGACTTCCGGAATGGATTCTGTTCAACTTCCGAGGTACGACCGTATATGGACATTATTATTTTCATTATCCAGGTCCATATATATTTATTTTTAATCTGCTATAGGTTGTATAAATGGGTTCCACATGCTGCTATATTCCATGCAAAGTGTACGTATACTTTAATATTATTATTTATACCCCGCCCATCTGGTTGGGTTCCCCCAGCCACTCTTTGCACAGACAAACCCAAATGTTTTCAGCCAGCACCGAAAAACACGCAGGGAAGTCGCCCGCCGTGCATCAAGAGGCAGGGAGTTCCAAAGTCACGCTCCTTGGAAGCGTATGCTTCGGGGAGGCGGGAAAAGGGAACGTGAAGGGGGTGTCCCTTTCCTTCCTCCATCCCTGGCAGCCTCCCCCCCCCCGGCACCCCTACTCACGAGGAACATGGTAAGCGTCTTCCCCATGACGGCGTTGAAGAGGTCCAGGGCGGGGGTCCCCGTCACCAGGAAGAAGTCGCAGAGGAAGAGGTACTCGCGGCAGCTGTTGTCCAGGAGGGCGAAGTGCTGGCTGCGGAAGAGGGACTCAAAGGGGTACTGGGGGGGGGGGAGAGAAGGGGGTCAGGATCAGGACCAGGAAAGCAGCAGGCAGAGCTTCTCTGCACCCCGAGGGGGGAGACACTGGCACCCCAATCTATTCCTTCTCCAAGAAGACAGCTAGGTCAGGCCAGCGGCCTCATCTCACAAGGGCAAAAGAACCTGGGAAACCAGGTAGACTGCCTCTGGGCTGGAGGCTCCCTAAGGAGGAGGAGCTGGCTGCCGGATCTGGCCTGTCCTCAACCAACGTCCCCAAATGGGAAGAAGCCCACGAAAAGGGACTTGTAGGGTTGGGGGAAGGCGACACGATTGGAGTCTGTAAAATCCTGCCCAGCTTGGAGGAGAGTGGAGAGAGGAAGCTTTTTATCCCTCTTGCCTAACACTAGAATTGGCGGAATCGGGACCGATTAAAGGACATAACCTGTGGAACCCCCTCCCACTGGAGGGCTTCAGAGCATTTATGTTGTGAACCGCCCTGAGATCTATGGATAAAGGGCAGTATACTAATTTACTTGATAATAGTAATGATGATGATAAGCCTCAAAAGCATAGCTGTCAACTTTTCCCTTTTCTTGCGAGGAATCCTATTTGGAATAAAGGAATTTCCCTTAAAAAAAGGGAAACGTTGACAGCTATGCTCAAAAGTGGTGCAAACAGCTGCTCCAAGAATCCCTAATATTTAGATGTTTTTCATAGGGCCCAGTCCCAAAGGGGGAGCCAGAAAGGAGGGGGTTAAAAGAGGGGGACTCACCCGGACGTCGCTCTTCTGGGCAGAGTGGGGGACGATGATGGGGCCCTCCAGCTCGGCCCCCCCAATGACGCTGCCCCGGTTCCCCAGCGTGAAAATGGTGTTGCGGTTCCGAAGGGACGGCTTTGAGAAAAAGCGTGGCAGCAGCAAGGAGAGTCAAGGGAGAAACGTGCCCAGGGAGGCAGACCCCCACCCAGACCTTGTGCGGGCCCCCCCAAAGGAGCACAGGAACGGGGCCTTCTTGGTGGTGGCTCCCCACTAGTGGAAATCTCTCCCTGGGAGGCTCACCTGGTGCCATCACTACATCTCCTCAAGCTGCCCAGAGTGGCTAGGGCAACCTAGTCAGATGGGTGGTGCATATAATTAATTTACTATTATTATTATTATTATTATTGTTATTGTTATTGTTATTATTTCATTCCTAGCCAGGTCTTTGGCTGCCAATGGTGGCCTTTGGGAGCAGGTGGGCTGTTTCAAATGCAGTCCCTGCCCAGTTTTAATGTGCGCACCTGTGGCTTTTTCTGAGCTGCAATGGCAAAAAATTGTGACTGATAAATTTAATAGACGATAATGAGAGTTCTGCTCAGGATCCAAGCCCCTCACAAGAGGGAAATGTTCAAGGCAGCTCCCGTTTGGCAGCCAGCCCAACTGGAGGGGGATCCCAAAGGTCATCTATTCCAACCCCGTTATCAGGGGCCAGGCTGGGAAAGGGGCAGGGCTGATCCTGCCTTTCTGCCCCTTCAGTGCGAGTGTCGTCGTCCCCCCCCCCACGCAAAAGGATATCCTTCTTGGCGGTGTCCTCTACCCCCATGAGGTCGTCCTTCTCGGCCACTTCTTCGTACTGCGGGCAGGGAGAAAGAGAGAGAGAAGGTGTTTGAAGGAATGAATGGACAGGCGGCTGTCATCCGAAATTAACACAGAATAGCTTTGATGATACCAGCATAGATATATTGAGCAATCTTGTAATCTTGCCAGCTCAAATATTAATTGCAGTTCGCTGGGAAGCACCTCGAAACCTTACGCCACTCACTAGGGAATACTGAAACAACGGAGGAAATGATGTGTAATTTGAGATTTCCATGAGGACTGGCACCTCCAAGCACGTTTTACGTGATCTGGCATTCCTTTACGGCATTGCACGTTTTCCAGATGAGCCTGGAAAACCTGGAACTAGACTCGATCATCAGGTAACACTGATATTACCTCTTTTTGTGAATGCAACATTCATTCCTACTTTTTAACTTGGACTTTGTTATTCTAGCCCTTGGGCAACCGTACTTAAAATCATGGAATTGCAGAGTTGGACAGGATCCCCCAGCATAGCTGTCAACGTTTCCCTTTTTTTAAGGGAAATTCCCTTATTCCGAATAGGATTCCTCACAAGAAAAGGGAAAAGCTATGTCCCCAAGGCTCAGCGAGCGCAACCCACATTTCACAGTTTATTTATCTGACATTTGGTTTTTCTCTGTTTACGACCGCTGCTCTTAAGACGCGTCACAGAATCTTTACCAAAGCGTTTTGTAAATATGATTTAGAATTCCTTTATGGCAAAAACAAGAGCAGGTAGTTCCATCGGCAGAGCATGAGGCTCTTCATCTCTGGGTCGTGGCTTTGAGCCCCACAAATATTCCCACGTGGCAGGGGGGTTGGACTAGATGACCTTGGGGTCCTTTCCTACTCTTTGGTGGCGCGAGTCATCCAAAGGAGAGTCACCTGCACTTTCATGAGGCGGCTGGTGTAGGACTTGAAGTAGCTGAGGTAGATTTTGCTCATGGTCTCAACATACTCGTCCCGGACCTCTTTGGCCACTGAGCGCTCATGGCCCAGCAGGAACTGGTAGAAGAACCTGCAGAGAGAAAAGGGGGGGGGAGAGAGAGAGAGAGAGAGAGAGAGAGAGAGAGAGAGAGAGACAGGGGGACATGGCGAGTGAGGAGACTTCGCTTCCAGACCTGGCCCTGAGCAAGGCATGCTGGGAAATTCAGGAGCCAGGATGATGCCAGAGGGATTTGCACACCAGTCCCCTGCCAAGAGCTGACCCAGACCCTGCGTTTGCCATCCAAGGCCCTTCTCTGTGTGTCCCCCTCCCCATGAGGTCCAGAAGGGGGCCTTTTCTGTGGTGGCACCATCATTGCATGTCTCTAGGTGCCAGACAAAAACATTCCCAGGTCTTTGGGCATTGAATTATTATTATTATTAATTTATTTATACCCCGCCCATCTGGCTGAGTTTCCCCAGCCACTCTGGGCAGCTTCCAACAAAATATTTAAATACAGTAATGCATCAAACATTAGAAGCTTCCCTAAACAGGGCTGCCTTCAGATGTCTTCTAAAAGTCTGGTAGTTGTTCTCTTTGACATCTGGTGGTAGGGCGGGTGCCACCACCGAGAAGGCCCTTTACCTGGTTCCCTGTAACTTGGCTTCTCGCAGTGAAGGAACCACCAGAAGGCCCTTGGCGCTGGACCTCAGTGTCTGGGCAGAACGATGGGGGTGGAGACGCTCCTTCAGATATACTGGACCAAGGCTGTTTAGGCCTTTCAAGGTCAGCATCAACACTTTGAGCAAGTCAGGGGGGACAACTACTGTGCTGATCTTATTATTATGCTGTGTAAAATAAACAACAACAATAGCAGCCCACCCAACAACAGCAGCAGTCGCAGCAGCAGCCGCCCACCCATCTGACTGGGTTGCCCCAGGGACTCTGGACGGCTTCCAACAAATAATGAAGCATAATACAGCATCAGACATTAAAAAATTTCCCTATACAGGGCTGCCTTCAGATGTTTTCTAAAAGTGATGCTCTGAAAGTTGCACACTGCCCTGGGATCTTGGGAGAAAGGGCGCTACGCAACTGGAATAAATAAGAAAATATAGCAAGTGGTCATAACGCAGGGAACACGAACACACACAGGCGCCTGATGTTTCTGATCAGGCTGAGCAAGGGCTGCTGGGAGTTGCAGTCCCCAGCGGGTGGCCAGAAAACGAAAGTAAGCAGGGGATTGTGGGAGGCTGCTCTCCTATTGGCCCAGCCAGCAGCAGGGAATGCTGGGAGACTCCTGAAGGGGCGCCGCATTTCCCTACCTGTACTTGAGCAGGGCATTCTGGGGGATCTGGTAGTTGGTCATGGGCTTGCGGAAGGAGTAGATCTTTTGTAGGATGAATTCCCGGATCTTGGCCACCGCCTGGCAGGAGGGGGAGAGAGGGGGGCAGGTCAGGGAAGAGGACTGAGGGCGGGGGGGGCTTGTGTCCTGAAGAGCCCCCAGACTCAGCCTTTCTTCCAGGGCAACGCAGAGCGAGGAGGGAGCAGCTCCCCATTAAAAAAAATTCTGCACTGGCTGCCAAGTAGTTTCTGGGTCCGATTCATAGGGTGGGTTTTTACCCATAAAGCCTTAAAAAGCTCAGGACTGCGAGGACAGCTTCTCCCCATATGAGGTCAATCATGAAGGGCACGGTAGAAATTTAATAACTACTATATTTTTCGCACCATAGGACACACTTTTTTCCTCCTAAAAAGTAAGGGGAAATGTCTGTGCGTCTTATGGAGCTCGCTGGCTCCCTTGCCCAGGCTCCCATTGCTGAATGTTCGGCAAAGGGAAGCCCTTTGTTTCCCCAGCGACATGTGACTGGCTGATTAGATTATCTGTCAGGAAACTGTAGAAACGGCTCCCTTTCCTTTCCTAAAGAAGCTGCAGAACGGTGAGCTGAATCCATAAAAACAGGATTTTTCCCCCTTTGCAAAGTAAACTCAACAACTTTGAGCTGATCCTCCAAAAAAGGAGGCTTTTCCCCTCTGCAAAAGAAGCTGCACAACTGTGAGCTGACCACCCCCCCCACAAAACAGGGCTTTCCTCCTCTAAAATCTAGGTGCGTCTTACGGAGCGAAAAATATGGTAATAACAACAGAGGTTTTAGCCGGAGGGAGACAGGTGGGCATAGGATGCACATAAAAACAGGAACTTGGCCTCTATGACAACCAAACGGAGACTCTGGGAAGGACAAAAGAAACTGCTCCCCTTGTGACATCGCTTCTTAAAAAAGAGACGTTTGTTCAATGTCCCACGTTGGTAAATTTTTGGGACAGGGTGACAGAAATTATTAACTGGACAGGAAAAATGTTATGTTTGCAGAGGAAAAAAACCTTTTGAATTATATCCCCGTCTAGCTAAGGGATGGCATGGATGATTGAATTAAATTTTTATTATTACGGTCACAGACCAGTTCTGGCTTACTTACAATATCAGAAAAATCTTAAAACACAACAGGAATACTGTGGACGGCATGGATGGACTTTCCATGTCCTTTTGACGGAACAAAAAGACTGGTGTTGATGAACCGGAAGAACAAAAAATCCATCCTTCAAGCAATGGATAGAAGATACCTGCCAGGGGCTGCGTTTGACGAGACAACTCACCAAGGTGCCAACCCTGAATGGGGGGTCATGGGGGGGAGCTCAGCTGGGGTGGGGTCCCCTCACCCCTCACCTTGGCTTTCAGCTTGTCCAGGATGTCGGTCACGTCCGTACAGGCCATGGTCTCACGGAAAGCCTGCTCCTTGACAGCATTGATCTTGTTGTTCAGCTCATGAAGCTGTTCCAGAAAGGCCTGGTCCGTCACGGGCGACTCCAGGATGGTGCTGGGAAGACAACGCAGGGGTGTGTGTGTCATACCTTCACCCTTAGGACTTCCCGTCTCCCACCCACTCCTCCCCAAAAAATTGAAAATGAGATTAAAAAAAGAGATTGAAACTGAAGTGGCAGGGAGTTCCAGAGTGCATCGTTGCTGCCCCCTGAAAGACTGACTAGCAGCGAATACTGCTTGGATCTGAACTTATGCACTTTTCAGTCTTTGTTTCGCCTGGCGCTTCTCCCGCCCTCCACCTGCGCCACTGACCTGATCATGATGTTGGGAACCACCAGCTCGTCCACCAGCTGGGAGAGGCGGCCCCGGACGGCCTGGCGGTTGCGCAGCCGGACGTTCATGGCCACCGACTGCTCCTGCAGGGTCTGGATCTCACAGCTGATGCTGCTCAGGTCGGACTGGAAGGAGCTCAGCATGGCCTCCATGCGCTGCGACATGCGGGGAGGAAGGAGAGGCGGGCTTGTGCTCAGGGAGAAATGGCTGAAGGAAGCAAAGAGTCCACTTGCCCGCTGGCAAGACCTACGTAAGGAGACAGACACTCTCCCTGGGAATGTCCCTCAGCCAGGATGCCTAAAGCAGAACCTCCTCGCTCAAGAGAAGTCTACCTCTGGGAATGATGAGGAGCTGCAGGTGGGCAGTGGAGGACAAAGACAGTGGGAGATGGCTGCCTGCCCCTGAACTTCCCCGTTGGGGGCCTCACCAGAGAGCCATCTTCAATATATCAAGGGCTGTTCGGAGGGCAGGACTTCGAAAGAGATTCCAGCTAAGCAACAGGAAGAACTTTCTGACAGCCAGATCTGTTTGACCGTGGGATGGAAGGCGGTAGACTCTCCTTCCTTGGAGGTTTTGAAGCAGTGGTTGGACGATGACGACGATATTATTAACCCATCAATCAATTTTGCATATCACCCTACACCCTCAGACCTCAGGGTGGATCACAATACAAGAAACACAAACACCTTAATAACACATAATACAGTGGTACCTCTGGTTGCGAACGGGATCCGTCCCGGAGCCCCATTCGCAACACGAGCAGAACACAACCCTCGTCTGTGCGTCCCGCGATTCACCGCTTCTGCACATGACGCCATTTTGAGTGTCTGCACATGCACAAGTGGCGAAACCCAGAAGTAACCCTTTCAGGTACTTCCAGTTCACCACGGAACGCAACCTGAAAAGACGTAACCTGAGCCGAACGTAAAAAGAGGTATGACTGTAAAGGATGGCCACCTATCGGAAATTCTTTAAAGGGGGTTGGGCTAGATGACCCCCGGGGGTCCCTTCCAACAACAGTCCTATGATTCTGGGAGGGAGGAGCCTCACAGTGATTTGGTGAGAACAGGGTGGGGTCTTGTTCCCACGCAGAGATCGGGGCATCGTGAAGAGGGAGAGCAGAGCACAACACCCCACACTGGCGCTTTGTGACTCTCCCTCTCCCCTTCCCAAGGCAGGCAGGATGAGATTAAAAACAGTTAAGGTGCCTTTAAGGTGCTGGTTTTGACCTTTAAAGCCCTTTGTGGCTTAGGGCCCTCGTATTTACGGGACCGCCTCTCCTGGTCTGCCCCGCAGAGGACCTTAAGGTCCATGAATAATCGTAATTTAGAGGTCCCGGGCCCTAAGGAAGTCAGACTATCCTCCACCAGGGCCAGGGCCTTCTCAGTGATGGCTCCGACCTGGTGGAATGCTCTGTCCCAGGAGACCAGGGCCCTTCAGGATTTAACCTCCTTCTGCAGGGCCTGTAAGACAGAGCTAGTCCGCCTGGCTTTCCATTTGAACTTAGCCTGATCTTTTATTCCCCTTCCTTCCCTCCCCTTCCCCTTTTTATGAAGATTACCCGCTCTGGGATCCCACAGCTCATTCTCCCCTGGTCTCCTCGCTGGCCCAAATAGGACTAATTTAGCCAGCTAGCCCTGGTGATCATCTAATGTTCATTGGATGGATTTCCCCCCTAAATTGATTTTTGAATTCTGAATTTATTGTTCTTCACGTTTCATACCGTATTTTCTGCTGTTTTCTGTAGCATCAATTAAGTGTTTTAAATTTGTTGTTAGCCGCCCTGAGCCCAGTTTTCTGAACCAGGAAGGGTGGGGTATAAATAAACATTTATTATTATTATTATTATTATTATTATTATTATTACAGGTGGGGACCCTCCTCACCTCCAGGACGGCGTCGCAGGCCGTGATCTGCGTGTGGAGCGACGCAATGTTCTTGCTCTCCTTGATGTCTGGATGAGGCCACTAAGGAGAAATGCCTGCTGGGAGGAGACAGCCGACGAAAGCCCACCCCCCAAACATTTGGGTACATGCCCAAAACTGCACAGACCCCACCCCCCGTGCAGAAAGCCAGGCCAAGCCAGCTCTGTTCCTGGGCTCTGGTGAGCCTTTTCCACTTTGCACGGGTTCAGCTAGAGGACCTCTGGGTGCCCCGTTCAACCCTTTCGCTTCTGAGGATACAGTCCTTGATGGAGGCGTTCTCGATGTGCTGCAGCTCCAGCTCCACCTGCTTGGAGTAGTGCCTCAGGTCCACCCCCTGCGGGACAGAATGGGGAGGGGTCACCACCTGGGGGGGCACTGTCCCTTCCCCCCCTCCCAGCCCTGGCAGACCTCCCCCCTCTCACCGTCTTCAGCGCCTCCTGCACCAGAGCATCTTCCAAGTTGGCCTGGATGTGAACTGGGGGGGGGGGAGAGAAAGAACAAGGTCAGGACGGGGGGGGACGGGACACAGCTGCTCTGCCTCTCCCCCCCAAAAATTGATGGGGGCGTGACAGAGCAATCGTGCCAAGACGGAAGGTTTTCCCACTGGTCATGACTCAGAGCAGGGTATGAGCAGGAGGAAAACACACCCCTTGTTTTCAAGGCAGGTAGCCCCCCCCCCAAAAAAACCCCCTGCTGCCCCCAAAATGCTGCTTTATATTTTAAAGGGGGAAAATCTCAACGCTGTTTACAACCCGTTAAAACATCAAATGAAACCACCCAGAAAAAAAGTCAAGCTCTGAGGGAAATATTTCAGATCCTTCTCAAAGAGACATTTGCCTTTCCCCGTATTTATCAACTTGCTTAATTCCCACAGCGGAAGGACTCTAGGAAGCCAGTGGGGTGTAGTGGTTAGAGCAGGGGTCAGTGAAGTTTTTCAGCAGGGGGCTGGTACACTGTCCCTCAGACCTTGTGGGGGGGGCGGACTATATTTTGGAGGGTGGGGGAAATGAACGAATTCCTATGCCCCACAAATAACCCAGGGGTGCATTTTAAATAAAAGGACACATTCTACTCATGTAAAAACATGCTGATAGAAGGTGATTGTGCCTGATCCAGCCCCCAGGCCTTAGTTTGTCTACCCACGGGTTAGAGTGTCAGTTTAGGATCTGGGAAATCAGGGTTCAAATCCCCGCTCAGACATGATGAAGCTCACAGGGTGAGCTGGGAGCCAGTCGTGCAGTCTCTTCACCTACCTCACAGGAGGAGGGGAGTGAACCATGTAAGGCAAAGAAGGTAAAGGAGCCCTGGACGGTTAAGTCAAAGGAGACTATGGGGTTGTGGCGCTCATCTCGCTTTCAGGCTAGGGAGACGGCGTTTGTCCAGGTCACGTGGCCAGAATGACTAAACCACTTCTGGCGCAACGGGACACCATGACGGAAACCAGAGTGCATGGAAACACCGTTTACCTTCCCGCCACAGCGGTACCTATTTATGTACTTGCACTGGTGTGGTTTCCAACTGCTAGGTGAGCAGGAGCAGGGACCGAGCAACGGAAGCTCACCCTGTCACGGGGATTCGAACTGCCAACCTTCTGATCAGCAAGCCCAAGGGGATAAGTAGTTTAGAGCACAGTGCCACCATGTACTCCTTGGAGAAAAAGGTGGATCCGAAACGCAGTAAATCAGCTCTTCTTCGATACGATACTCTTTATTGACATTGTCCCATACAGAACAACAAAACTGAAAAATCTACATAAGACATTCAAAAACCAACAAGCCTGCTATCCCAGCCTGGTTAGCCCCCTAAAAACTCTGATACCCCATTTTTAAATACAATATACTCCCATAGAAAGTCCTTACAATGTGTTTAAAACCAAAATCGCATTTGGGTAGAAACTGTTTCTCAGGCGGCTAGTCCTGCTCTTTATAACCCTGGACCTTCTTCCAGAAGGCAGAAGCTGAAAGAGATCATTTCCGGGGTGCACACTATCCTGCGCTATCTCTGCAGCTTTCTTATGGCACCTGGAAGCATAGATTTGATCCAAATCTGCTGACCTGCTTAAGGAAGGGCTCAGGCAGGTGGAGATGTCAGTCGCCAACCGGGAACCCAGAGATCGCGATTGGACCCACGCCAGTCACAAAACGCTGATTTTGAACCCTGCTTCCTCTCCAGGAGGAGGTGGAACAGTTTCCTGGCCCTCCCTTGAACAAAGGTCAGTCTCCTACCTGTGGTGCCTGCCTTGCAGGGACTAGATGACCCCAAGTAGCTCTGAAGGAGAGGGAAGGAAGAGAACTTACTGTCCACTTCATCCAGGATGAACTCATCTGAGGTCAGGTCCAGCTCCCCCAGGTTCAGCTGCAAGGCCTCCTCGCTCGGACCCTAAAGGGCAAAGGAAGGAAAGTTAAGGACGCAAGAAAAATGTTGGAATCTGCGTTCGACCGAGTGACCCCTCCTCCGGTCGAGTCCTTCGGAATCGCCTCCGACGATAATTAACGACCTGAGCCTCTGATAAGGCTCCAGGCACATCCCCCATTACACAGAGAATCAAAGCAGCAGAAGTGATGAGATTTATGGCTACATGCTATGCTAAGCTACACAGACAAAAAGAAATACATCCTCTCTCTGTGAGAGCAGAGAGCAACTGAAACACAAAGGAACAGGAAAACAGTAACATCACTCCGTCTCCTGTCTTCCGTGAGACTTCCAACAGCCTGGAATCTCTGGAATGTAAACAGAGTCCTGTGACTCCAAGAGCATTGAACAGTGGCAAACAGAAACTAACAAAAAGAACCCATCAAGTTCTCACAGTGGCCAACCAGGTGCCCATGATAATAATAATAATAATAAATTTTATTTATACCCCTCCCCAGCCAAGACCAGGCTCAGGGTAGCTAACAACCAATATAAAAACAAATTGATTGAAATACAACTTAAAAAACAAGATTAAAATACAACATTAAAACATTAAAATGCAGCCTCATTTCAATGGAAACTCAAATCAAAAACTTTTTTAGGGATGAAAACATCAGGTCTTCACCAAGGCTAACTATCCAGACTGGTCCTACATGGGCCAGAAAAAAGGCTGCTTTCAAGGGGCAGATTAGAGGCACCAGAACGCAGCCCAGGAGAGGGAAGTCTGCAATGTCTGATGGTTCATTATGTTTCTGTATATGCTGGAAGCTTCCCTGAGGGCCTGGGGCGACTCAGCCGGATGGGCAGGGTGCAAATAATGTAAAATACAGTATTATTATTATTATTATTATTGCTACTACTACTACTACTATTCAGCCCGCCTTCCCCGTGATGGCTCGTCCAGCTGCGTTTCTGCCCTGCTTTCCCTCTTGGCAGCCCAAAGGGGCGCCGTCGGCTTAAAAAGCGACAGGCAGGAGCCCAACAGGTGCAGAGGGGGACGCCCCACCGCGCATGCGCACTGGCCAAAGACGAGGGGCTGAGGGGGCGGGGTCAAAGGTCACCAGAACATTCCCCACCCCCAGCCCAAATATTCTTTTTGCGATTGAAGAGAAATAAAATAAAGAGGGGGAGCAAGAGGAGGGTGTCCTTTATTTATGAGACACCGGAAGTCGGGGGCTCAGAGACCGGAAACGGGGGCAGGTCCGTGACCCTCACCGATCCGTCCCCCGCCTCTTCCTCGTCCATGTCTCCCGCCCGGAGCTGCTGCTACTCCTGCTGCTGTCGCCGCCGCTGTTCTTCGGGCCCCGCTTCGCCCGGGGCCGCTGCCTTCCTCATCCGGGACTTCCAGGGGAACGGCTTCCGGTTTTTCGACACGAAGAACCACAAGCCCCAGAATGCCCAGCGGCGGAAGCTTCGAAGGGGTTGGGGGGTCGTGCACCCCTCTTCCTCCTCCCCATAACGCGCCCCAAAGGACGCCTTGTTTCCTCTGGAGAGGAGATGGGCTCTCACGGAACCTTCCACTCCACCTCCTTGTTTCCTACTCGGGCATTGCAGGGCGGAGCACAGCCGACTGGAGGAACTCCTCCCTGGACCATAGATATAGAAAACGAATAGCACGTAATTGCATTTCCCAGCAGAAATGGGGCGGCACCCCACTTTACCCGCTTCACCCCTGACACATTTGTAAATGAGAGGGATTATCCAAGCCGGACGACCCGACCAACGTCGCTAAGCAAAGGGCTTCCCTTTCACGGCTCTACATTTCTATCTCTATGGTTCCGGAAGTGGGTATGCCCTTAGGCCCCCACCTTCGCCGGAAGTCGTTTTCGCTTCTGTGGGAGGGTCTTATATGCAGGCCGCGGCGCCGGCCCTACTTCCTTTTCCGGCCACAGCAGGAGAGAGGAACAGGCGCCGCAGCCATGGTGAGTCCGAGGTGGGGGGACCCGGAATCCGCCGCCATCCGCCGCGGGGGGAGCGCCGGGAGCGGGACTGGGGGGTTCCGCGGGGAGGGTGCCGCATGGGCTCCGGTTTCGGGTAGCTATTAAGGGCGCGGGGGGGGTCTTCCCGGTGGGCGAAGGAGGGAGTTCGTTTCCAAACATGGAGACGGGCGAAGCGCTGCACCTGGTGAACGCCTGCCTGCGTGGCCGCAGCTGGGAGCTTCGGTGAAGCTGCGAGCCTCACAACGAGCCTGCTAGGTAGGCCAGTCGTGTGATGATCAGCGCCCCAATTGGGAAATGGGGGCGAATGGGGCGCTGAGCCTGAGAGGGGGCTGGCCGAGTTCTGTGGGGGGCTTCCTTGGGGGGCAGCCTCCTTGATCCTGGCAGGCGCTGCCCCTCGAGGAGCCTCAATCGCACAGCCCACTTCAGCTCCCTTCGCTAATAATAATATTAAATTTTATTTACACCCCGGCCATAGCCGGGCTCAGGGCGGATTCTAGCACCAATAAAATCACAGTAAAAACATAATAGGGGGGAAAGAGAGGGGGGAACCAATTTAAAATACAGGTTAAAATGCAGCCTCATTTTAAAGTAGCCGATAAATCAAGACCATAAGGGGAGGGAAACATAAGGGTCAGACCGAGTCTGAGGGTTTGCTGAGGGCAAATGGGCCTGGCAGGTTCCTAGTCCTCAAGTCGCTCCAGCGACAGCCCTGCAAGGGAGGTGGGATCCGCCCTGCTGCGTCTTGACTTTGCACAGAGGGAGCCGGGGGACATTTGTGGGCAGAGGCTTCATCTGGGGTCAAGCCCTCGTGGGGCTCTGGCTTACTGGTTGCAAGTTCATATTCTAACAATAACAGCAATAGTACTTTTATTGTTTATACCCTGCCCATCTGGTTGGGTGGCTCCAGCAACTGTCAGGCTAGCCTTGCTCACAGGTGGTGGTGAGGCTGAAACAGTGCAAATCCCTGTGGCAGCTGCTATTATTATCATTACAGTAAATTTATATACCACCCTAGACCCACAGGTCTCAGGGCGGTTCAGAGTAGTATGTTTTGTCTCTGCGGTCAGAGGCAGCGATGTTGTTTCTGGGAACCGCAGAAGAATTTATTATTATTACTATTACGTACTTCTAGGTTTCCCTTTCTGGCCGCTGGGAGAAGTGGGATTCTGGATTCTGAGGCTGGAAATGGGCAGCTTGTGGCTCATCTCAGCCTCAGTTTCTCCATCTGTGAAATGGAGGCCTGAAATCGTTTACACCTGCAAACATGTATTTCCCCGACTTCACTTTCTACTCAGGGCGTGGGAAGCCTGGTCTTAAGTCATTCTTAGGGGTCTGGGCCCCCATCTCTGAGCCCTCCAAGCCTCCAGTGTCGGTGGCAATGGGGAGACTGTTTCCTTTGCAGAGCTGTCAGGATTTGTTGCCCTTTCCAGAGCCTCAATAAATCTTTGCTTCTCTCCTCCTCCCCAAGTCGCTCGTCATCCCTGAGAAGTTCCAGCACATCCTGCGAGTCCTCAACACCAACATCGACGGGCGGCGGAAGATCGCCTTTGCCATCACCGCCATCAAGGTCCGTAATGGGGCGGTTGTTGCGTGTTTCCTTCAGTTAACTAGAATTATAGAGTGGGAAGGGACCCCATGGGTCATCTAGTCCAGCCCGCCCCCTGCAATGCCGCTCTCACAGCAGTTGAGACGTTTGAGGCGGCGGCCATTGGGGGACCTGCAATGGTCAGTAAATGACATGGTGTCCCTTCGCCTTTACTTAACCCCTGTGTAGGAACCAAGTCGCATTCTCAGGGGAAAAGCAGGCCTCTGTGACCAGGGCTGGGTTTGTGATCTGGCAAAAGCAGAGGGCCTCCTTTCTCCCTCTCATCAAACTAGCTCAAGGCCGAGCTCTTCCTGCACAAATGCACTCAATGCGTCTGCAAAAAAAGTTATTTGCACAGTTGTTCCCTAGCACGGTCTTGAGTAAGCAGATTCGGTTAACTACTTCTGTGCTCTCTGTCGCATCCCTTCGTGTGGCCTTTTCTCTGAGTGTCTCTTTGGTCCTGCTCCCCTGATCCTCCCCTCTCCTTGCTTGCAGGGGGTGGGCAGGCGTTATGCCCACGTGGTGCTGAGGAAGGCGGACATCGACCTGACCAAGAGGGCTGGAGAGCTCACCGAAGATGAGGTGAGTGTGTGGATGTGTGTCCTTGCAGAAAGCCTGGAGGGTGAAGTTTTCATTGTTGTTGGGATAAATCTTAGTGTCTTCTCTCTCTTTTTGGTACTCCTGTCTCCCGAACCTGAAATATAAAACAGGGTTTTAAATATATGTGTACCTTGATCTTCTTTATTTTACTTAACACAATATGATTGTTATTGTTTACTTGGGTTTTTGTCCATTGTAGTTATTATACAATCAATCTGATGTTTAGGATTGATTCAGACGTAACACGGAACGCATCTGTGACGCTCTTGGCCCTCTCCCTCGCAGGTGGAGCGTGTCATCACCATAATGCAGAACCCTCGTCAGTACAAGATCCCTGACTGGTTCCTGAACAGGCAGAAGGATGTCAAGGACGGGAAGTATAGCCAGGTGAGAGCCAGGGGGACGGCAAGAAGCGAAATGCCTGCCTCCTCTGAGGAGCAGCTGGTGGGCCGTCAATTTGAAACCTTGCCAAAGAGAAATCCATGGGACAGTGGCGACGGTTGGACTTGAAAAGCTGAGAGGGGAGGAGAGCCTATTCAGACAGAGAGTTTGACCCACAAACGTTGATAGCTTTGGCTACCAGAAGACTGGACAGATTTGTAGTGAAGGCCATTTCCGCACTTCCTCCCTTCTCAGAGGCAATGATCCTCCTGCATGCTATCTGCTAGGAATCTCAGGAGCTACTCTTCAGCTTGGATCCTGCTTGCGAGTTTCCCTTAACAGGGATCTGGTTAGCTGCTGAGAGTCCAGAAGGGTCCCTTCTGGCCTGGTTCAACCTCAGGGCTCTTCCTAGGTCCTTATGGTTTGTAAAATCTGCAAAAGGGACTCAAGAAGTGGGCATGAAATTGTCTCACGAGTTCAGCAGGGGCTAGGACCAGGCGCGGTTGCCCCGACCTCTTCCTACACTGAGAGCCAGTGTGGTGTGGTGTAGTGGTTAAGAGCGGTAGTCTCGTAATCTGGGGAACCGGGTTCACGTCTCCGCTCCTCCACATGCAGCTGCTGGGTGACCTTGGGCCAGTCACACTTCTCTGAAGTCTCCCAGCCCCACTCACCTCACAGAGTGTTTGTTGTGGGGGAGGAAGGGAAAGGAGAATGTTAGCCGCTTTGAGACTCCTTAGGGCAGTGTTCCCCAACTTTGGGCCTCCAGCTGTTTTTGGACTACAATTCCCATCATCCTTGACCACTGGTCTTGCTAGCGAGGGATGATGGGAGTTGTAGTCCAAAAACAGCTGGAGGCCCAAGGTTGGGCAACACTGCCTTAGGGCAGTGATAAAGTGGGATATCAAATCCAAACTCGTCTTCTCTTCTCCCATGCGAGCCCCAAAGGCCATGCTAGGTGGACATCTACCTCCAGGGCTGGCGGGTGGCGGCTGTGTATCCTCTGCACCATGGATGCAGGGCTTCTGTTCTGAGAAGGGAACTGCCCCATTGCCAACCCCTTCCCTCTGCCCCAACAGGTCTTGGCCAACGGGCTGGACAACAAGCTCCGCGAGGACCTGGAGCGGCTGAAGAAGATCCGGGCGCATCGGGGCCTGCGCCACTTCTGGGGGTGAGTAGCCGAGAGGGAGGGGGCTAAGAAGAGGGTGTCTGTGCGGGTTCAAGCAGCAGCAAGCAGGTGTTGGGGGGCAGCGGGGCAACACTGGGAGGATAAGAAAGTTTCCTGGGTGGCAAATTCCCTGCCTGTTGATATCTGGCAGGCCCCTCACTACTCATTAGTAGGTTGAGAAATTGGGTCATGAGGGCTGAGCTGGGGAGGGGCATGCCTGTCACCCCTCTCCTCCCCCCACCTTGCTGATACCCCACACTTTTCTTCTCTCCCCACCCCAGCCTACGTGTCCGTGGCCAGCACACCAAGACCACTGGCCGTCGTGGCAGAACCGTGGGCGTCTCAAAGAAGAAGTAAATCTTTTCCCGTGCAGATAATAATAAAAAAGGGTTTTCTCAATGCTCCTGCCTCTTCTTTTGTCTCTGGTGGGTGGGTGGGGGGCCTGGACAGTGGGTTTCCCGTCTCTGCACATTTCCTGGCAAAGGAGGGGGAGGTCTTGGCTAGCCCAGGGGGCTTAGAGGGCAGAGCATCAATGCTCAGGGACAACGGAAGAATGTAGGTGAGCAGGGATCCCTCTTTTGGGGGGAAGATGTTCCAGTAAATAAAATAATTAAAAAACACCTGATTAAAAGCAGCACTGCCAGGGACTGGGAGAATCCCTTACAAGGAAAGTCTAAATAGCTTGGGGAATTTTTAGCCAGGAGGCGGAAGGATAAAGGTTTATAAGGTCACGTGCACCCAATTTAAAGCACTTGGCTGTGCCCAAGGAATCCTGGGAACTGGTTTACCCCTTCCCAGTGTTGCAGTTCCCAGCACCTCAACAAACTGTAGTTTCCAGGGTTCTTTGGAGAGAGGCTGTGTGCTCCAAAATGCATGGGGTGGGTCTGACTCCCAACTGAGGGTAAGTTTGGCAATTGCTTCTTTTTCCCCTCTAGGAAAACAGGGTCAAGAATAGAAACTAAAATGGTTTGCCCTTTCGCTGGCGCTGTGGGTTAAACTACAGAGCCTAGGACTTGCCCATCAGAAGGTCGGCGGTTCATATCCCCGCAACGGGGTGAGCTCCCTGCTGCTGCCAACCTAGCAGTTCGAAAGCACGTCAAAGTGCAAGTAGAGAAATAGGTACCGTTCCGGCGGGAAGGTCAACGGCGTGTCCATGCACTGCTCTGGTTCGCCAGAAGCGGCTTAGTCCTGCTGGCCACATGACCCAGAAGCTGTACGCCGGTTCCCTCGGCCTGTAAAGAGAGATGAGCACCACTACCCCAGAGTCAGCCACGACTGGACCTAATGGTCAGGGGTCCCTTTACATTTTACACCAGTATATATAATTTTTATTAAATTTTCTAAATGACATTTAAACAACCTTAAATCAATGACCTCCCTTCTCTTTCGGTGGTTTATTTTACATACCTTATATCCCTGCATATTTTACTTGAACTAAACCATTCAGTATTCCATTATTGCATCCATCAAAACTTATTTACACTGTTGAATTTATCTTAATGCTACCAGCGTTTTTAAACGAACACAATTTTTACCCATTGTCAGGTGGCAGTGGCGGTTGCTCGTGAGTAACCAGGCAGGACTCCAACCTGTCTTTTACAGGTTTTATTTTGGTTCATAACTATTTACCGTGCAGAACCCCAAAGTTCATGCCTGCCTCAATCCAGGAGTGGCTCTTTCTGGTTTTTACCCCAAGGTAAGAACTTCGTCACCCCCAGCCACTTCCTTCCTTCCTTGCATTTTACCCCTCTGCGCAAGGTGGGCGACTGAAGATGCGTGTTTCCCTCCTGGCAAGGTGCAGTGCTGGGGCTCCCAGCAGCATCCCACACTCTCCCCCCCCCCCCGATCCCTCTTCCCCACTGGAGGCTTGGCTTTCCCCACCACAGGAAGAGGAACTGCTTCGCAAGATCTTTGGGGGCTCCCTGTATCCCAACGGCCTCTCTACCTCCCTTCCCTGTTCCGATGACACTCCCCTGACACCCATATATTCAGTAAACGTTTTCCAGGCTTCTTTAAACGTGCATCCTTGCTCTCATTCTATAAATTAAGTCTGCAAGCTGCACATATTTCATCAGTTTAAGTTTCCATTCTTCTTTGGTTGGGACCTCATTTTACTTCTTTGGGCTCACAAGACACAGGCCCTGGTAGTGGCGTACATGAATAGCCTTTTTTGACACCTGGGAATTTCCCTCTGAATTATCTCCAACAAAAATAACACTGGGGTTTTTTTGTTTTTTTTGAAAATGAACTTTTAAACATTTTTTTTTCCAGTTCATGATACAGTGGTACGTTGGTTGTCAAATGTTATCCATTCCCAAAGTTCTGAAACATTCGACAACCGGGGCGCAATGGGCAGATGGCAAATTGTATTGAGAAAATTGAAAAATGCCTCGGAAGTAGTTTGATTTCTAAGGTGCGTTTGGAAATGGAAGCATTTACTTCCGGGTTTTTGGCATTCAAAAACCAAAATGTTCGACAACCGAGGCACCACCGTATATTATTTCCCAATACTCTTACCCTTTTACAAGTCCACCACATATGATAAAATGTACCCTCAACTTCAGTACATCTCCAGCACTTACCTGATTCAGACTTACACATTTTAGCAAGTCTGCTCAGAGTTAAATACCATCGGGAAATCATTTTCCGGTAGTTCTCCTTCAAAGAATTACATGCTGTGTACTTCAAATCGCTCTTCCACAGATTTTCCCAGAGGCTCAGATTATTATTATTGTGGCGATCACACAGGGTCCCCGGACGTTTGACGGTCTATTGACCCTGTGCCACCACTGTGATTGCTTTCTTCGCTGCCACCAACCCGTTTCTCCTCACGGGTACACACAGAGTCCAGACAGTTGTCAACATTAACAAAAATTCAAGTTTATTTATAGGCATGAACAAGCTTATGGTTACAGTTAATTTTTCTTGGCAGTTTCTTAATCTTAGTTCCTTAACTGTCCTATGCGTTCCTAACAACTTCAAACTGATTATTCCAACTATCTATCAGACTCCACCTAACAATTCCTCTCACTCTCTCACCACACAACACGACCAACCGAAAGACTTAACCTCCCTCTTCCCTCTTCAACTCTCAACTGACTTCCACACAGCTCCACTCTCACTCTAACTCCTCCTATCCGTTTCTCTCTGGCCAATCACATCACACTCATTTAACCCTTCCTTATGACCCACCTAGGAGGCAAACGCCACAATTATTTTTATTAATTATCATTTATATACATTCTCTATTGCCAGTGTGTCATAGAAGCTTTAACAAGCTCATCTTTTTGTTTCCCAATCTAACAACAGTTTGTACATTATAGATAATAGTTTTTCTTTGTTTTGTAAAAGGTCTTTTTCAAATGGTGAGCTTTGGTCCAAAATTTTTCTTCCTGTCTGTTTTAAACATCTCATATAGTTGATAATATTGTAGCCAAGTCAGAACTCTACTCTCAAACTGCTAAATTATTAAGCTGAATCTCTATCAGGGCTCCAATAGATGCTTGATTTATGTATGATTTGTAACCATTACGCTGAAGACAGACCATAGGCACTGGCTCTCCAGGGCCCTGGCAGCCCCTACATCCCCCCAGTGGAGGGGCTGGGCACCCACAACTTTTGCGCCAGGGCTATGCATGGCCCAGTGGGGGCATGAGTGCCCGATGTCACTGCACGCTGATGTCAGATGCACAACCCCAGGAACCCGGTGCCAGGGCCAAGCCAGCGAGACTAAGACCAAGAGTAAAAGAATTCTGTCTGTACTTGGATGTTTCTGTAATTTCTTTCCATTCTCTGGACCAGACTTGGGACTCCTGCGCACTTGGAAGCTGCGTGTTACTCTGCCACAAAGGGGCCAAGTGCTATGGGTGCAGGATGGTCCCACCTCATAACCACAACAGGTTTTGGTTGTGGGGATTTTCGCCATGGGTTGTGGGTGACTGAAGAGGCTCCCTTTAACCTTTTGATAGGATTCCTACAATGGTTGTTTAAGTCCAGCTAAGAAGCTGGGTGTCCCAGTCCAGGCACAGGAACCTGTTAGGATCGTCCTACTCTCGTGTAGGCATGCCCGACTGGCATGTTCTCTCCAACCCAAACATCACAGCAACTGATGCCTTGGAGACATCAGCACACTCAGTGATCCACAGAGTGTTCACAGTTTGCGTAACAGACCTCAGTAGCACAGCATTTTGGCTAATCTACATTTATTTACATATAATACACTCGAAGCATTCTGCTTTAGCTCCTTCCTCTTATCAGACAGCCAAAAGAGAAAGAACAAAGGACAATAGTCCTACTTCACAGAACGCAGTAATACCAAAACATCCTGTCTCCACCACTTCCCATACTGTGGAATGAAAACATACACCATCATGTGATAGACAACAATCCCATGACTGCAGGCACAGGGAATGAATCTCCAACACAACCGTGATCTGCCAGATTCATCTTTGGCAGCAGCAAAGCCCAGCGTCGTGGCCCGTCTTTGGACCAATGATCCAATGATTAATTCATTTTAAAGATTACGGGATTGTGTGTTTTATTCCATGGCGCAGGACCTGGGAGATAAGGCAAAAACATAAAACTGAACAATAGCATCACAAGAAGTTAAAAACTAGTTAAAAGCCAACATTACAAACAAACAAAACAAAAACTAGCACTGAAAGACGCTTGTAGGAGGTGCTCTCTAAATGGTCTGGCTGAATAGAGATGTTTCCTTCCATGTATCATATGTGTGCAGATGAGAACTGGCTTTGGCTGAAGCAAACAAACTGCTTACTGCTGTTCACAACATGTAATACACAGAGAACTCTTTCTCCCTCATGGATGCAATTCTTTGCTCCTGGCATGCGCTAAGGACTTTGAAGAATCAAAGAGAAGACTAGTGAGAGATTCTTAGACCTAAACCTCCCACAAAGAAAAGTCTGAATTCAACACCTTGGCCACTGATTTCACCTTGCAGATCTGGATACATAGTATGAATAATATGGGACACCAGGTTTGCACTCCATGGATTTGAGAGGCAAGGCTGACTTCTCTGCTGCGTTGAAGAAGCACAAGAACACTGTTGCGATACAAATTAAAGTCTCCTAAAATACAATCACAACACAGCAATTGCTATGCTTTCTCCCCAGAGTGAGTTCTTTGATGGGAAGAGAGAGTGCAGCTGTGATGGAAGCTCTTTCCACATTCCAAGCACTGATAGGGAGTCTCCCCGTATGAATTATTTGATGGGAAATGAGAGTCTTGTAGGAGTGCAAATATCCAGAGATGTAGTGATCAGGTGGGATTGCTATGAGGAATTATAACAAGTATAGAGTAAGCCATCTGTGTCAGCAATGAAAGCATTGCGTTGACCGGGTTTAAACTATTTTGACATGATTCTTGATCAATCTACACCTCTGCATCTCTGGCCATTTCCTCTACTGCCCATTTCACATGTCACGTACACAGCAGTTGCTTCGCCAGGCAGGTATCCTGGGCCATAAATATAGTGGGCAAGTTTCTTTGATGCAGTTTTCTTATATATTTATCTTAAGATGTTTATCTTGGAGCCAGGAAACAGATCTCACATGAAGGGGATAGTGATCTGGTCTTTCTGGCCATCCTTCTTATCATGTTTATTTCTCACCTCTGGGGTTGCCAGATGCACCCCTTTGTAGTTCTCGACTTATTTACCCCAAAAGTATGCATGGATAACTAGTGTTTATAGGTTAACTTTCTCCCCACGTGGGTTTGTGGAAATGCTCAAAAGAAATCTAATTGGTTCTTTTGAATGCTCTGTAAAAAGTTCTTTTGTGAATAAAACGGCCTGGGCCAGGGGCTGTGCGACGGACAAGCACAGAGAGACACGATTATACGCACCCTTCCCAGAGTCTTGCTGGTTCAAGCCTCTGTGTGTATTCTTATTAATCAGAGTTCAATCCTTCCTTTACTTTGTGAACGCAACAAGACTTACTGTGACGGAAACTCTTTCCACATTATAAGCACTGATAGGGTTTCTGTCCTGTATGAACTCTTTGATGATAAGAGAGAGGGCTACTGTGACGGAAGGTCTTTCCACATTCCAAGCACTGATAGGGTTTCTCCCCTGTATGAATTCTTTGATGGGAAGTGAGTTGACCATTCAGACAGAAACTCTTTCCACATTCCAAGCACTGATAGGGTTTCTCCCCTGTATGAATTCTTTTATGGGAAGTGAGATGTGAACGTTGACTAAAGCTCTTTCCACATTCCAAGCACTGATAGGGTTTCTCCCCTGTATGAATTCTTTGATGAGAAGTGAGATCTGAGCTCTTTCTGAAAGTCTTCCCACACTGCAAGCACTGAAAAGGTTTCTCCCCTGTATGAATTTTTTGATGGGAAGGAAGACTGGTTTTGTGACTGAAGCTCTTTCCACATTCTAAACACTGATAAGGTTTCTCCCCTGTATGATTTCTTTGATGGTAAGTGAGATGAATGCTCTGAGTGAAGTTTTTTCCACATTCCAAGCACTGATAGAGTTTCTCCCCTGTATGAATTCTTTGATGGTAAGAGAGATGAATGCTCTGAGTGAAGTTTTTTCCACATTCCAAGCACTGATAGAGTTTCTCCCCTGTATGAATTCTTTGATGGTAAGAGAGAGAGGTGCTCCGACTGAAGCTCTTTCCACATTCCAAGCACTGATAAGGTTTCTCCCCTGTATGTATTCTTTGATGGTAAGTGAGATGAATGCTCTGAGTGAAGTTTTTTCCACATTCCAGGCACCGATAGGGTTTCTCCCCTGTATGAATTCTTTGATGGGAAGTAAGATGACTACTCAGACGGAAACTCTTTCCACATTCCAAGCACTGATAAGGTTTCTCCCCTGTATGTATTCTTTGATGGGAAGTGAGATGAATGCTCTTAATGAAATTTTTTCCACATTCCAAGCACTGATAGGGTTTATTCGTAATGGGATTTATTTGATGAGAAGTGGTCTGGGAGCTCTGACTAAAGTTATCTTGACAATCTGAGTATTTATATGGCTTCTCTACGGTGTGGATTCTTTCTTGGTCCCCCTTGTTATTAATTTCCATTTCATCACCCCCTGCAATGAAAAAAAAAATATTTTTTAAATATTAGTATGTTATTGAAAGATTATTCATTCATAAAGAAATTATATGCTAAGAGGACTTCCTGTTTCCGGCGGTGGGAAATGGCTGACTCCCACAAGATTGGACCCCAGCTGTGCCGATAATTCAGGGCTGATATGGGGTTAATTAGCCGTGGCAGCCTCCCCAGGGTAGGGGAGAACTGTCTCAAAGACCCATGGATTGTCCGAGATTGCCAGGGTGCACTAAGGTGCAGCCAACAGGACACGGGGTCAAAGAGCACGGTCACGGCTGGCACTCTCCGATGTCACTCCTATAGCCAGACACATCTGTTTGGGAATAAAAATAGATTTGAAAAACAAACAGACATGGTCTGAATCGAAGAAGCTGGTAAAAAAACCCCTGCAGAATGCTGTCTCTGGTGTACGAGCTCAGACTTCAAAGAGATCCTCATCATGGTGTGTGGATTGCAGAGGTGAGTGGTATGCTTTTCTTCTTCTCCTTTCTTAAGATCAACAATTGGTTTTTCATGTCAAGCCTCATTAAGAACTTAAATTGTTCTAAAAAAAAATGAGTGCAGAAGGAATTCTATTTACAATTGGGACTCATGCACAGCTTTTTTTTTTTTTAAAGACTAGAAATGTTTGTTAAAGAGGAGAACAAAAGATTAAAATGGCGCTCCCCTATTACGTAGTTACCGAAAATTTGAAATCCCTCCCTGATTAAGAGAAATAGGAATTAATTGTTGGCTGACTACAACGGTTTGAGACAATATTTTGGATAATATACAGTGCAGCTGTTTGCAAAAGATTTTTTCCATTATGAACAAGAGAAAAGGCTAAATGGATGTCTAGCAGCCCCCCTCTAGGGCCCGGAGGGGGGACTGGGTGGCTTCCAGGAAGGCTGATCGATCGCCAAATGACTGATATATTACAATACAGCAAACAATCTGCTTCAGAACAACCCAATAAGGCGAAAGATACTGCATTTATACATCTTAAAAGGAAGGTTTTGACAACAGCTGGACAGGAAAGATTAATGATTTGGAGCTGCCAAGATACTAAACTTCAGAGAGCTGGACAAAAGCCCGGAATGGATGGAGCGAGATGAAGTGGCGCGAGTAAAAAAAAACAGCTGAAAGGGTACATTACACAAACAAATCTGCACTCGACGGACGAAAGGTTATCTGTTTTCTGACATGATTGAGAATCGCAGAGCCAGAGACAAAGACGTTGAGAGAGATAAAATCGAGATATGAAAATATCGATGAGATGCAGGACTGAGGTTCAGACTGTGGGAAGTCTTAAAATCAAAATAACAATTTGGAAGACAAATTGATCTTTTTTATTTTTATTGGATTATGATTTGATATGTTAATTGGGTGTTTTTAATGGAAAATTAATAAATGCTCTAACAAAAAATAAATTATATGATAAGAGAAAGGAATAAAAAGAGAATTCTTACTATGGGAATTCTTACAATGGAGTTCACTGCCTTTGTTGGCTGGTATTAGCTGAAATATTTATGGGAACCTGAGATTCAATTAATTTTGTTTGGTGCAATCATGGAATCTGCTCTGTATCCATTGTCAGTTATCTCTTTAGTCAACCAAAATCAACAGAAGCAAAAACACAAATCTGGCAGAAGCTACTTCAACCTCCCTACCCACTCTGATGGATATTCACAGACAACACCGCCAATCGCCCTTCATTCCAAGTGATTTCTGGGGGCGTTAGATTTCCAGGTGGTGTAGGTAGCGCTACTGAGTTCCAGCCAAACCTTGCAGATTCATCGCAAGGAGAGAGATATGGAATTTCAAAACAGATATGATGATCCTCAGAGAGCCTTACCCAGAGATTTGAGGAGCCCACGATTCTCCTCCATGACCTCCTCATGCAGAGTTCTCTGGTCAGGATCCAGCAATGCCAACTCCTTGTCCGTGAAATGAACAGCGACATCCTCAAAGCACACCAGACCCTAAAAGAAAAAGGGAAATGTCCTTCTCTTAGACGCCATAAAGATGATCTACCACACATTGCTCCGTTGTTTTCTGCCTGTTAATTGCTGTGTTGTTTAAATGGGATTGTTTTGCTCCACATGGTATGAATGCTTATTTTAACATCTCGCTGGAATTACTTTATTATTTTAATGATGGGTCCTAATCTTTGTGTAAATGGGTGGAACTCCACATTTTTTTCTTCCAAGCATTCTGGCTGCCCCACCCCTCGGCCTCTCTCCCTACAAGTCTCATGCCCCCTACCTGATCTGCTTCTATAGCCGCTGCTTCCCCTTCTCCACCATGAAAAGACGCACGAGGTCTTGCTGGCATCATCCGGTCGCCTGCCAGAGACAAAGGGAAGTGGGAAGCCATGAATGCCTGCTTCTCTCTGAGGTTCAGGACTGCATCTCTAATTTCAGATGGACTTTTGAAGAAGTCTACCCTATTGAGTGCCGTTTGACATTCGTACACCTTTCATATTTTTGTTGTTGTTGTTTAGTTGTGTCCGACTCTTCATGACCCCATGGACCAGAGCACGCCAGGCACTCCTGTCTTCCACTGCCTCCCGCAGTTTGGTCAGACTCATGCTGGTAGCTTCGAGAACACTGTCCCACCATCTCGTCCTCTGTCGTCCCCTTCTCCTTGTGCCCTCCATCTTTCCCAACATCAGGGTCTTTTCCAGGGAGTCTTCTCTTCTCAGGAGGTGGCCAAAGTATTGGAGCCTCAGCTTCACGATCTGTCCTTCCAGTGAGCACTCAGGGCTGATTTCCTTAAGAATGGATGCGTTTGATCTTCTTGCAGTCCATGGGACTCTCAAGAGTCTCCTCCAGCACCATAATTCAAAAGCATCAATTCTTCGGCGATCAGCCTTCTTTATGGTCCAGCTCTCACTTCCATACATCACTACTGGGAAAACCAGAGCTTTGACTATACGGACCTTTGTTGGTAAGGTGATGTCTCTGCTTTTTAAGATGCTGTCTAGGTTTACCATCGCCTTTCTCCCAAGGAGCAGACGTCTTTTAATTTCGTGACTGCTGTCACCATCTGCAGTGATCATGGAGCCCATATTCATATTCATATTTTAAAATATTCATATCTTAGTTGTGTAAAAATACATCTCTGCTCCTTTGAGTTCTTGGCCCCAACAGCCTCCACTGGTGGAGGACAAGAGGGCAGGGGAGTGGACCGCCCCCTGCACCACCATGCCAGTGGGGTGCCATCGCGGCCACTTCCGGACATGCGCCATGCACCCCCCCTCCACGCCGGGTGCCACGCCCCCAGGATGCGCACCAGCCATGCCCCCACCTGCTCTCCACCCCCCCTTCCTGAGACAGCAGCTCCACTGCAGACAGCAGAAAAGAACCAACAAATTACGGTAGTTTATAAATCCCCACAATGTGACCAAAGAGAGAAATAACTCCCTCCTTACCTAGTGGTCTCTCCTTGGTGTCCATCGGAGTCCTCTCTGCCTCAGAGGAATCAGGACCCATTTCTGCCATCAGATTCTTTCCCTGAAAGAGCAACAGAGATTCAAAAGAGAGAATGGAGAGAAGGATTAGAAAAGGATTTTGCAGAGCTAAACACTTTACCAGATCTCATTCCTTGGATCCTATCCATAAAGGGATCGGACATCGGTAATGCATTTTGGGATACTCTCCCTCTGCTTTGGAGCCCCTTTTGAAAACCCAGAGGAAAATATATCTCACCTGCTGCTCGGCCTCCTCTCTCTCCTCTGCCTGACTAAGGAGGAAACCTTCGGCCAGGGCCACTGCCTGGGAACTGGTCTCTGCTCCACATTCCCTCACCCAGCTCTCCATCTCTGGTGGAAGGACAGCCAGGAACTGCTCCAAGATCACCAGGTCCAGCATCTCAGCTTTTGTGTTCTTTTCTGGCTTCAGCCACTGACAGACAAGGTGGTAGAGTCGGCTGCATACCTCTCGGGGTCCTTCGGCCTCCTGACAGCAGAACTGCCTGAGCTGCTGGCAATGCACATCTGAGTGGAGGGTGTCCTCCTCACCCAGGATCTTCCCCACAGAGTTTTCCCATAATTCCCCACTGCTCCCATCTTCAATGGCATGGCCTCTTCCTGCTTTAGGTCCAGCCGAGTCTTGCTCATCCATCTTTGCTCTCAGGAAGCTTCCAAGAGATTAGAAGGAGTCCCTTTTTTCTTCTGCAAAGTTCTGCTTGTCCAAATTAGAGTGCTGGCAAACCCTACAAAGCAAATACATTGTTCTGTTATAAAATGGGAACTCTCAGGATCAGAAAAATGTCCCCAGACTTTTGGGTGTCTGGGGTGACTAGCAGTCAAGGCTGCACTGCACTAAAGCCCAGACTCTGAACTTAATGTGATTGTAAGTTGTTTTAATAAAGACTCCAGAAAAACAATAACACACCATCAGAATTTTTCTCAATCTGGCTGATCTAAACTTAAATATAAGCAGAAGTTATTATCTCCAAAAGGGAAAAAAACACACACCATCAGAATTTGGCTCAATCTGGCTGGTCTAAATATAAATTTAAGCATAGCAATAGTAATATTATTATTATTACTACTACTACTACCACTACTACTACTATGCTGCCCATCTGACTGGGTTGCCTCAGCAGCTTCCAATAAGATGAACATCAAACACAGTAAGATATCAAACATTAAAAACTTTTCTTTATCAATAGAGCAATTATTTTCCTTGCTCTGAATCCTCCCTCCTCCGAATTCATCAGTAGACCAAGACTTTATGCTGTTCCATTGGTAGAAGAAGAGGAAAAATGACTCTTACTCACACTTAATCTAAGCACAACCGCAAGGGCTCCTGACAAGGCGTCTGACTATGGAATGTGGATTGCTAATCTCTTAATTCTTCTCTATCCTGTTTCGCCTTTTTCTTTTCCAGTCAATTCACGAACCCGGAACTCACTACAGTGGCCACTAATAATGAAACGTATGTCACAGATATCCCTGCACATTTATTACAATATTTTGTAATATACAAATGATGGGAGAGAATTTACAATCGTCGAATGGAAAGGGACCATGTGGACCATATAGTCCAATCCCCTGCGATGAAGAAATATTCACCAAACTTGGGCACATACCCATGACCAAGTAACACCCTCCCCTTTCAAGTGGGGGGGGGCTTTAGCTCTGGGGGACCTCCCCCCCTTCTGTCCTCCCTCCTCTAGGGATCCAGCTTAGTTCCTTTTAAACCTTGGGTGACAGAGCACACCCAGTTCCTCCTTTTATGGAGAGCAGGAGCCCACAGAGAGAGGCTTTCTTCTGGGGAGGGTGGGACCCCCTTGGCAGGCAGAGAGGAGCAGCAGCTTGAACAGAGAGGAAGGGGGAGGTGGCTCCCTGCCTTGGGGGTCTTCCCCCCTTGAGTATCCTCCCCCTGAAGCCCTGGAACCCCCCTTCTCCCCCGGGGGCCCCAAGGGGAAAGAGAGAGAAGACTCACTGGATCCCAGGAGGGGCCACCGAGGCAGCCTTGGCAGAGGACGGAGGAGGAGGGGCTTCCGCTCTGGAGGACCGGGGACCCCCGCCCCCACTTCCTGGCCTCTCTAGGATTCCAGCTCGGCTCCTGTTAACCCTTGGCGAGCCGAGCGCACAGAGGGCAGAGGAGAATCCGAGGAGCTGCGCATGCTCCCTGCGGGCGACCCAGGGCCTTCTCAAAGCAAGAAGCGGGGAAAGGGGGAGGTGGAGGGAGGGCGGGGCAAGGACCCGTGACGAAACAGCCCTGGCCCCGCCCCTCCGCCGGGAAGGCGGCGCCTGCTCTGAGGGAAACGGCTTTTCCCGCCTTTTCCCAACTTCCCGCCTTTCGAAACCTGACCTTCCCCTCAGTTTTAGGCGCCAAGGAGGCCGATTCCTGGCAGACCAGGTGGCAGTTTCCTTGGGCTCCCTCGTTTATCGGGGGATTTCTTTTCATTCTGCGTAATTTCTGTTTATATCTCTTGCATTTGGAGCTTCTATCTGCTTCTTTATTTATTTTTTTTAATGATATTTATTAAAGTTTCAAAGAAAAGATTACATAGATAAAAAGAGGAAAAAAAGAAAAAGAAATAAGAAAAGAAAAAAATACAAAATACAGAAAAAAGATAAAAAACACTTAAAAAACACATCAATCTTTCCATACCTTACATTTCATTTCCTTGCTTCACTGACCTCCTCACACCTCCCTTTTTTGTATTCCAGTTCTATTGGTTTATTCAACAATTCCTTTCCCTCTTTGTTTTTGTCTTAATCCTTTAACTTAATATATTATAACTTTGGATTTTCACCTGTTAACAATCCATTTTTACATACACCTTTATAACATTGCTGCTAAAACCGCTTAACTTCATTCTGACATCATTCTAACATTCATTAATTTTGCAATATTTCTGTAAATAGTCTTTAAATTTCTTCCAATCTTCTTCCACCGACTCTTCTCCCTGGTCTCGGATTCTGCCAGTCATTTCCGCCAGTTCCATATAGTCCATCACCTTCATCTGCCATTCTTCCAGTGTGGGTAAATCTTGTGTCTTCCAATACTTTGCAATAAGTATTCTTACTGCTGTTGTGGCGTACATAAAGAAAGTTCTGTCCTTCTTTGACACCAATTGGCCGACCATGCCCAGGAGAAAAGCCTCTGGTTTCTTCAAGAAGGTATATTTATATACCTTTTTCATTTCATTATAGATCTCCCAGAAAGCCTTAATCCTTGGGCACGTCCACCAAAGGTGAAAGAATGTACCTTCAGTTTCTTTACATTTCCAACATTTATTATCGGGCAAATGATAGATTTTTGCAAGTTTGACTGGGGTCATGTACCACCTGTATATCATTTTCATAATATTCTCTCTTAAGGCATTACATGCCGTAAACTTCATACCTGTGGTCCATAACTGTTCCCAGTCAGCCATCATTATGTTATGTCCAACGTCTTGTGCCCATTTAATCATAGCAGACTTCACTGTTTCATCCTGAATATTCCATTTCAACAGCAAGTTATACATCTTTGACAAAATCTTAGTTTTAGGTTCTAACAGTTCTGTTTCTAATTTTGATCTTTCCACCTGAAAGCCAATTTTCTTGTCCAAATTGTATGCCTCCATTATCTGATAATAATGAAGCCAATCTCGCACTTTATATTTTAGTTTCTCAAAACTCTGCAGTTTCAATCTATCTCCCTCTTGTTCCAGAATTTCCCAATATTTTGGCCATTTGGCCTCCATATTGAGCTTTTTCTGAGCTTTCGCTTCCATCGGTGACAGCCACCTTGGGGTTTTGTTTTCCAATAGGTCCTTATATCTTATCCAGACATTAAACAGTGCTTTCCTGACAATATGATTTTTAAATGCTTTATGTGCTTTGACCTTATCATACCACAAATATGCATGCCATCCAAATACATTATTAAAACCTTCTAAATCCAAAATGTCTGTGTTTTCAAGAAGCAGCCATTCTTTCAGCCAGCAAAAAGCTGCTGATTCATAATAAAGTTTAAAGTCTGGCAGGGCAAATCCACCTCTTTCCTTTACATCCGTTAGTATTTTAAATTTTATTCTAGGCTTCTTGCCCTGCCAGACAAATCTAGAGATATCTCTCTGCCACTTCTTGAAGCAATCCATTTTGTCCAAAATTTGCAATGTTTGAAACAAAAACAACATTCTAGGCAATACATTCATTTTTATCGCAGCAATACGGCCTAGCAGTGAAAGCTTCAAATTTGACCAAATTTCTAAATCTTTTTTCACTTCAGCCCAACATTTTTCATAATTGTCTTTAAATAAATTCCCATTTTTAGCTGTCATGTTAATTCCCAGGTATTTCACTTTCTTAACCACTATCTGCTTCTTTAGAAAGGCATTTTGCTTTATTAAAAAAGTCCCTTTCACCAAGCTTTGCCTGCATTCCATCCAGCATTTAAATCCATTTATTCAAATGGATTTCGAAATAGTCCTTTATAGTGCCACCCTCTTCCTTCTCTCTCTGCTCCTCTGGTGTCACTGAGGAGAAATGAAGAGGCTCCTCCGCCTCAGGCGTTGCACTTGGTGTCTGTCCCTGTGGGAGAGAGAAACCAGGTGGAAGAAGGGCCCAAGGATCCTGTAGTGGCCCCAGCAGAAGCCATCCACCATGGACTTGGAGCCCTGCAGGTAGTCCTTGTCCCACTTTTGGATGTGGGGCTCCTCCTCTGGGAACATGGCCACAAACCTTCCTTGGTCGATGGCGAAATGGAAGAGCTCCTGCCAGTCAAAGAAGTACCTATACAGGTAGTGAACTCTCTGCATGCCGTTGCAAGAAGTGGCAATCCTGCTTCATCTGGTACAGGATGTGTTGTGTGGGGGGCAGGGCAACAAATCCAACTCAATGGTGTAACATTGGAAAATGTTGACCACTTATAAACATCATCTCCAACTCCTCAAAAGATTCCAACAGTGTCTCCAAAAAATCTTACGCATCACTTGGGAAGAAAGGTGAACTAAAATCAGTGTACTGGAAGAAGCAAAGATGATTTGTAACCATTACGCTGAAAACAGACCATAGGCACTGGCTTTCCAGGGCCCTGGCAGCCCCTCCATCCCCCCAATGGAGGAGCTGGGCACCCACAACTTTTGCGCCAGGGCCATGCATGGCCCAGTGGGGGCATGAGTGCCCGATGTCACTGCACGCTGATGTCAGATGCACAGCCCCAGGCACTCGATGCCAGGGGCAAGCCAGCGGGACTGAGACCAAGAGTAAAAGAATTCTGTCTGTACTTGGTGTTAGGATATTTCCGTTCCACCTTAAAAGGGAGCAGGCTTTGTGAGTCACAGTCTGCGTATTTCCTGTTCACAGGAAGTTTATGTTTTGTCTTTGCTTTCGTTCTCTCTCTGTGTCAGAGACACTGAAGCAGGCAGTCATGTTTTCTTTGTTCTGATCAACGCTGAATAAACTTGTAAATAATGCTCTCCTGAGTGCATCTTTCGCTGTGTGCATTATCTGCTGATAGAGCGTGCATCAGCTCTGGAATGTGGCAAGCTATTTCTGGAGCTCGTGTCGCTAATTGCTGATACTGCGTGTCTACGGGAGATTGATGGACGTCCGGAGACGACGTGGAGTCATGATGGACTTTGTCTCCCTGGCAGTATCCCAACAACAGGTTTCGGG